TAAACTAGAGAAAGTAGTAAACAAAGAACTTAAGAATGTTAAAAAATGGCTTGATGCTAATAAACTTGCATTAAATATAGACAAAACAAGCTTTGTCATCTTCCATTCTTCTCAAAATTCTTTAGATAAAACTGTCAACATTAAGATTGGTAAGCAGCATGTTAATCAGGCTAAACATGTTAAGTTTCTTGGTCTCCTTTTGGACGGAAACCTCAATTGGAAATATCACTTGAACGAACTTTCAAAGAAGTTAGCAAGAACTAGTGGTATATTCTTCAAAATAAGGCATCTTCTGCCTACTAGCGTCCTAGTTTCTATGTATTACTCTTTATTTGCCTCTTTTCTTCAGTATGGAATCATTGTCTGCGGTCTTACCTATGACATCCACAACAAACCGATTTACCTTCTACAAAAGAGAATTGTTAGGGCTATTGCTTTCAAGAATTTTACATCACCATCTACACCTATCTTCTCTGAATTGAAAATTCTAAAGTTAAATGATTTATTTCACTTCAAACTACTTATCTTTGTGTATGAATCTGTTCACCTGATTTCTCCTACCTTCTTCTATAATTTTTTTGAAACTTTGTCTACCGTTCATCAGTATGATACAAGGCGGGCTTGCAAAGGTGATATTTTTATGACGCGCAAGAATACTTTGCAATATTGCTTACGATCTATTAAATATGCAGGCGCTAAATCCTGGAACGACATTCCATTCAATATCAAACAATCTACTTCAGTAGTGATTTTCCGTCGTGATCTGAAATTGCATCTGTTCTCAACTAAGTACCAATTCTGAATACCTTGATAAGATAATTCTTCCTTACATTGATCAATCGCACTAGAAGATTTCATAAATTGAATGATAAGTTTTTAGCTTAGGGGGTGCTCTCTCCTCGATTAGTCTACCTACTGAGAGAGCTCCTCCTTAAGAAATTCCTCTCCATACGAAATTCTATGTACTTTTATTGTAAAATTTGTCATTTTTTGTCATCTGTTGTAATTTGTTGTTCTATTAAATTGTATGTATTTTAGAAAGATCTTTGCATGTAGTAGAATTTTAAAATTAAACTGAACTGAAAATTAAACTGAACTGAACTGAGAACAGTGATGTGAAGAGGAATTCAAAGGCCACAGACACGCTCAGTTTCAAGCTCGAAATATTGTAGCTTCGTAAATTTGCAAGAACAAAGAAAGTCAAGAATAATTTGCAGACTATTGGAGCATGTCTGGCTAAAGGATTAAAACTGGTACTAAACATGTCCCTATCCCATTCAACACTGAGCGACATTAATAGCAAGATCCTCCCTTCTTATGTATAACAGTGCCTAAAGGAGTGGCCACCTATTTGGCATTTCACGTATTCTTTGGTCTGGATCTTCACGATCACGTGCACCAATTTTCTCTTCTTCGCGGTCATTTTTCGCCTGTTTGCAAGCTTTCACATTTCACGGTTGATACCTTATTCATATATTTAACGACACATTCTTTACTACCTTCACGTTAAACGGGTTTTAAAAACCGCTGACAACCTTGTCTATCGCCTTTATCTATCGCCAAAGGAAGATACGCCTTTATCTATCGCCAAAGGAAGATACACCTATACCTATCGCCAAAGGAAGATACGCCTTTAACTATCGCCAAAGGAAGATAGGCCTTTATCTATGGCCAAAAGAAGATACGCCTTTATCTATTGCCAAAGGAAGATACGCCTTTATCTATAGCCAAAGGAAGATACGCCTTTATCTATGACCAAAGGAAGATACGCCTTTATCTATCGCCAAAGGAAGATCCGCCTTTATCTATAGCCAAAGGAAGATATGCCTTTATCTATCGCCAATGGAAGATACGCCTATAACTATTGCCAAAAGAAGATACACCTTTATCTATCACCAAAGGAAGATACGCCTTTATCTATGGCCAAAGGAAGATACGCCTTTATCTATTGCCAAAGGAAGATACACCTTTATCTATTGCCAAAAGAAGATACGCCTTTATCTATCACCAAAGGAAGATACGCCTTTATCTATCACCAAAGGAAGATACGCCTATAACTATTGCCAAAAGAAGATACGCCTATAACTATTGCCAAAAGAAGATACGCCTTTATCTATCACCAAAGGAAGATACGCCTTTATCTATCGCCAAAGGAAGATACGCCTATAACTATTGCCAAAAGAAGATACGCCTTTATTTATCGCCAAAGGATCATACGCCTTTATCTATCGCCAAAGGAAGATACGCCTTTATCTATCACCAAAGGAAGATACGCCTTTGTCTATCATCAGAGCAAAACAAATGATAGATAAAGAAAATTTCATGTTTTGTCTATATCTGCATATTCTAATTTTTTTATCACAATTTGCACGATCCATATGAACACCTGCTTTCATCTCCTGCACTTAAGTTATTGTTAGCCTCATCAAAGTTTTGCTCTCCGTTTTTCTACTCTTTTGCCATTTGCTTAATTCATAGGAAGAACAGTGTGTTACCCACCGTTTGGATGCTTCAACAACAGCAGTCCATGGAACATGGTTTGGAATTTTCTTCCAGAGCGACCATGTAGAACGGGAACCAAGTTCATTTTATACACAAGGGAAAACGAAATAGGAAGAGCCATCCACATGTTCGATGTAGATGCATCACATTTATCAGTAAGCAGAAAGACTATCTTCCTAATCCATGGATGGAAAGGTTGGTAGCTAGCCGATTATGTTTTCGACGGCAACAAGCACCCACATTATTTGATAGGCAATGTATTACATGTCTATTGTTAAAAGCATCGCCCATTTCTACGTCATCGTGCAATGTCCCCCCCCCCCCCCCCCCCCCACCACAGTAGAACAGGCACTGCAACACCTCGTTAAGTACGCCTGCAGATAAACCTCTGCATTTGCACTTGCTTTTCTTTGCAGAAACCCAAGCCACTGCAAAGTGGGTAAGACAAATGAAAGATGAACTTCTGAAACGTGATGACTTCAACGTCATTGGTGTATACTGGGGTATAGGCGCTAGAAAGCAGTACTTTCAGGCAGCGGGCAACACCCGGCTAGTTGGGGCACAAATCGCTTACCTCATACAGCGTCTTCATAACGACTTGAGGTTGTGCTATAGCAAGGTCCATTTGATTGGTTTCAGCCTTGGTGCTCAGGTTGCTGGGTTTGCTGGCAAAAGACTCCGCGAGAAAGGACATGTCATTTCACGTATAACAGGTTTGTACAGGTTCGAAGACTGTAAACGTGTTTCCTGGTATCTTATTGGAAAGTATCTTATGTTGGTACATGCAAAAATTCTGCATTGAAGGCCATAATCCAACCCATTAAAGGACTATATTATAAATTTTCTAAAATTTTCAACATTAAATTTACTGTAGTTCCTATAATGAATTCTCTTACGCCCCTTTTTAACAATATTACCTTTAAACCAGTAAATACCGTTGTGTGGAAGTCTGTTAATTCTGTTTCTATGGTTGATGTGCTTGTAAAGCATGTGCTTCCTTTGGTAAGTATGAAGTCAATATGAACTTAAATAAGGTTTTTTAGGTTATAGACATCCAAGAATTTGCTGACGATTAGAGAACTTTTCTCGTCAGCCCCTTGGAAACAATCAGTCCTCTCCAAATAACCAGCCCCTAATGATTGCAGCTTACATGAAGTTCTAAATATCAATACAATTATTCAGGTCTCGATCCAGCTGGACCTGTTTTCGCTCGCGAGCCAAGCAAAGCCAGACTTGATTCAACTGATGCTCGATTTGTTGATGTTATTCACACAAGTTTCCTGTATTTTGTGGGGATCAAAGACAGATCGGGAGACATTGATTTCTACGTTAATGGCGGAGGAGCTCAGCCTGGTTGCGGACTCAATAGTAAGACTATTAAAATTGCATATAATTATTTAGGGGTCTGGAGCACAGGCTATTAATTCTTCTTTCTTTCGCAGTAGCAGCCTCGAATCGTGCTAGTGCGAGGAACGTAAAGGCACTACTGTTTTTCCTGCGAATTCTTTAAAAACACAATTTCTATGGGACTCGTTCTCTTTTGCAGAGGTTCCGCCAATATGCAGTCATATCCGTGCTGTGGAGCTTTTCATAAAAAGTATAAATCCACCTTGTGATTATCGCTCGTACGAATGCTCAAATTACACAGCATTTCGCTTTGGTTACTGCAAAAATGCTAGATCCACTGTTATGGGATACGATGTTAGCAAAGGAGCAAGAGGAAAATACTACCTCCAAACAAGCGGAACTTCACCGTTCTGCTGTAAGTGGCTCATGCACATACATTTGTTGCACGTTTTAACATCTTTCGTGTATTCGAGTTCGTACATCTTCTTTTTATATCACGTATTGCAGGAAAACTGAAATGCGTGTAAATTCTCATGGATGTGCAAAACGCAGTTAGTAAGATGTCATAAAGAAAACAGTATCGAAGCTGATGCTTAATCATTTCGTATCTTGCTTAAAAATCAATGTACGCAACTTTTTGCGTTCGTTGAAAAACTCCTAGCACGATGGTTTAGGGATCTCTATCTGTTTTTAAGACTGAACCAACGTAAAAATGAATCGACTCCTTCATTTGTAGGGCGAGTGCCTGGAAACTCATTGTTTGGTTTGGAGACCCACAAGCATGAATCCCTTCCCCCTAAAGAGCTTGTATCAATGGTAAAACATCTCACTTCTAAAAGAAAATTCTATAAAATTAAAATTTCAAGGGAAGGCTTTTCTACCTTTCAGTGTTTCTTGGTAATATCCCTTGGTTTCAATCTTGCAGGTGCTTCTTGGTATTATCGCAAAGGCAACCTAAGTGACTTCCCCAGTCTGCTTTCAACACCAAACATTCATTTTTTACCTGAACGACCCTGAGACAATCCTTAAAACTTTATTTTCTATTTTACCAGGATCAACTGAAAATGGCGATATGCGGAAGCCAGCCACCTCAGTTCCAACTTCCACGGACACATTGGATACGATTAGCAGCATTAGAATGGAACTATAACTTCTTTTATATGAATTTAGAACAAATGTTGATTCATTCATAACGTTTTAAAGGCATTGATAGATTAATAAATAAACCTCTGCAACAAAAGGAAATAAGAAACAAGCTCAGTTAACCATGTGTGACTTTGGTCTACGTTGGGGTTCGAATTAAGTGGCATTGAAGCCGATGCACTGCCTTTTACATACACTTGGTGCCAGAGCATCCAGATACTCGAAGGCAATTATTTCAAAAATACATTGTTAACTGGCTCATTTAGCATACATTTTAAAAATTTGACAATATTTTTTTACAAAAGCATTTCATCATTCAAAATTCGTTCTACCGAGAAGACAACGTGAGTGAAAATATAGTGGGAAATGTATAAGTAGCATGAAGCTACGCAGATTCCATAGCAAGGACATAGGTGCTAGATACGAAATGTTACTTTGATGTAGCCTAATCAAACTTGTTAACGAATGATTCAGGCAAGGCATTCGTGTGAATCTTATGTTTTTAGGACTCTTTTCATCAATGATGTGAGCTACATTCAAAAAGATTAAAAACGCTGAGAAGGCTTAGGCTCATTTTCTGCCTACTGTTACGCTAGACTGATCTCACAATCCGTCCAATTAGAAGAAATATGCTAACAGAGGGCCTAAATCACCAAGCGAACTTCAAGCATTGCATGGAATTTTAGTTTTACAGGACCCTGTCCGTTGTCTCTTACTTTAAGGAGGCTCTATCAGTGCGGGTCCGAAGGAATGAGCATAAAAATGTAAAACGCTCTATTTGCAAAGCCAAGTAACACTGCTTTGAGAACATTGCCAACTGCGAACGTTTTTGAGTATCAAGCCTTGAGAATGTGCCACTCCACTGTGAAGTAAATCCAGAAAATTCTCACCAACTGCTCTATGTGGACTCAAAATAAGATAAACAGGGAGAAGCCTGTCTTCAGGACTGGATGCAAAACGAACGACTCTTGACTGGATGCAAAACGAACGACTCTTGACCGAATGCAAAATGAACGAATCTAAGAAAACTCTCACTCTGCAAACCTAGAATGGAGCCAAATCAGAAAGTGCTGCAGCTGTGTCCTGTGCAGTACTGCCATTTAAACGCATTATTGATATTCGTAAGACTATGCATTTGAATTTATGCGCCGAAGGATTCGTTTATTATAACACCGGTCAGTCAATCTCCATATAATTGATTACGATTCGCGAAATTTTACAGCTAGATTCCTAGCTTTGACAAGTATTATATGAACCACATTCTCCGCATTTTATACCAACTATGTGAAACTGGGCCTCAGATTCCTGAAAAACAAAGTTCAGGCATGAGGAACTAAAATCTCCCACAATTGTAATGATCTTTTGAGTAATTAAAGATTCTCCATTTAGAATCGAAGAAATATTTCATGATCACAAGGCAGTAGACTTCAGTTGTCAAGAAACAATACTAAATAGATTATGAATACCGGCAAGCAGCAGAATGATGGCCTAGTAGCTAAGACTCAGCCAGCAGAAAAATCGAATGATGCAAGTGATTAAAAATGGTAGGTGAATTGATCTTGATCTCCAAAAGGTTATGACTAATCGAGAACAAATGATAGAAGCCTGTTGACGTGATTTGTTGAGAACGATGCACGCCATGGATTACCTGATGCAGATGATCAGATGATGGCGATTAGATGATGATAAAAGATCTAGGTAATGATTACTATGATTGTCTATCCCTTGTCAATGAATAATGACTTTTGAACATGTCATTGTGAATGAACGACTTCTGAGCAACGCAATAACTATTCAAGCTAATTGTTAGGTACAACAAGAAGAACGTATTCAACAGACATATTCCAAAAACGTAAATTAGCTTTCCAAGCAGAAGAGCGATAGGAAACGAAAAATGTCACTTTCTGCAAAGAAACTTATAATTTTCACAGATTCCTGTACGATTCGAAAATTGTTAATGCTGCGTCACTATCTCGAAGAATTCCCACGAGTCGGTTAATTCTTTCGGTGCGATTAAATTTTACCAAACAATTTTATGAATGAGTGCTCGTTTGTATCCAGTTGATATATGAATGCCACTTCATCAAAATGAAGCGGTAGTAGCCAAAAACACACGTTTAGCAGAAAGCATGCGATGCAAGGTATGCTGTTGAAACCATTTCAATACACGTGATATTAAAGCACTGGATCGGTCCAATTCTCAATTGCACCAGCCTATTCCATCAGCTTGAAGTAGATTGGGAACTTGCCATAGGCAGGCTTAGACAAATATTCTGCATTTCCAAAAATTCAATAACGTGACGATAACCACGTGTTGCTATTCCATTCATGATCAATCAGTACAGTGGCACGCCACAAGACTGAGGCTATACTCCCGTGGGACACTTTAACTGTTTGAATGTTGTTTGGCCTAGCATTATCACAGGTCAGTTCACAACTCATTTTGACTTTCAGTAAGTGTTCCTGTCTTTATCAAGACAGACGTTGCAAGGAGAATTCTTTATAATATATACACTAAAAGAAACCGTTCTTGTGTTGATTTTGAAAAGAAGAATTAATTGGCATGGAGAGTCGTTCAAAACAACAATTTCGCAAAGTTGCACTTACCTTGTGACAATCTCTGCATAGAATCTGGAACGAAAAAAAATTCTCTAAGAAAGTACGTTATAACAATAATAAAAGTAATAGAGATATACTAATTAAGGAGTAAAATATGTGAAAAGCTATTATGAAGAACTGCACAACTTTACTTGCAAATGAGAAGAAAAATCATAGTAAGTTTATTTAATCAATATACAAAGGTAAAATACTAAAAATGATAAAGGATTATAAAAATTGTCATTTGATAAACGTCACTCAGTAAATATGATATTTAAATATGATATTTAAATATGTAACTGCCGAAAAGTAAGTAAAAAGTAGAGCGTATACAGAAAATGATGTTTAAATAAAACTGAAGGGAATATCAGCCATTTTTTATCCAGCTCTAATGTAAAAGCTTAATGTATCGATAGAAGGTGTATTATCAAAAAGTTATCACGAGCCTAGCGGGATAGCCCTTTGAGAAGCAGTACACACCATTCTGGAAATGGCATTAGAAAATTTATTGCTTTAAAAGTTTCTTCATATTTGTAAAAACAAAGCCTCTTAGATTTTCGGATGGCAGAGGCTAAGGATGGTAATTACCAAGAAAAATACATGTCTTGTAAAAAAAATTAAAAAGGATTTAACTATGTTTTACAAAACATACATATAAAAATCAAAACAAATATTAAGGTAAAATTCAATTAAAAGTAAACTTCTAAATTGGGTCGGATGGGAGAAATATTTAGGGAGGAAGAAGCTTTTTCATTTGAAAAACTGGATGATAATCAAAAACTGATAAAAATTAAGGCAAAATAAAAGTCCATTAACGAGGTTCAGGAGAGAAAAGTCAAGTATTTTTTCAGGAAATATTGGTATCAACAAACTTGACGCTTTCTTTATCATCAGCGAATCCGTGATTTCAGCTCTACATTTCAACCTCTTTTGTGCGAAGTTTTTTTTAAATTCAAACTAAAAATTTTTTGCTAGGATTAACCTGGGCAGGCCATTTTAATCAATGAGAGCAGGTTCTACAAATCTTTATTAGCACAAGTTTAGAAAACGTTTGCACTATTTTCTACCCAAATGATAAAAAGAAAACCCTTAAATAGGCATCCCCTCCTTAACCAGATTAGATAGCAGATTAAATATCACGTGAGCATAGGGGTAGCCGGCTACAAAAAGCTTTTACGAAAATCTGTAATTAAGTATGAAATACCTTCATTTTAATGTCCTTGTATTTATCATCTAACGGCGTCGCTCCTACTATTTCATCAAGTCTTTTCCAAACCATTGCCGCATCATCGTAACTTTTACAACAAATCGGACATGTTATTGCTCTGAAAAGATAACAGAAAATGATATCAGTACGAAAAGTCGAAAAGTCCAGTTACAAATCTGCCATGGTCATCCTTACTAACATGAAAATTGCAACTATTCCAAAAGAAACTACAACCAAGGAATAGGTTGTTTCATAAAGTTATCAAATAAAATGTGTTGGTATTGGTATATACAAAAAAAGGCTATTCGGCAACCTACGACGTACACCAAATTACAAGACACACTTCAAGAAGGTCATGGTCAGTGGCGTAGGGTACAGGGTGTATCAGGGACACTTGCCCCAAACAACATATGGGGAATGCACTAACATCTATGGCATTTAGCACTGAGTGCCAGCTTCCATTTACGAAAGACTATGCCCATTCCTCTCTATGTCCCTACTTTGAAATTTTTCTAATGAGGCATAAATGAAATGCTCCTGACTTTAATCTGATCACTAGGCCTATGCTGTGCAAAAATATCAGCAAAAAGACGGCAAGAACAGGTAGCCTTATTCAAGGTTTTAGTTTCTTCCGAATCTTATATCGTATCTTCCGAATCTTATATCAAAAATCGCAAAGTCAATACAATACGTCTGCAGTTGTATCAAAAATAGATGGCATCGAAACACACTTCTTTAAAGAAAATTCAAGGATTTTGAGTAAAGAATCTGAAGGTTAGAGGCCTTTAAAATTATCAAGGCTTAGAAACCGAAAATGTAGAAAATGTTCACCTAATATTTTTGTACTTGCTAGCGTGCAACAGGGTAATGATAGACAAAAAAGGACTTATGATTATAAAACATCTTACAGAATAAAAAACCTGAAAAGTTGCTACTGCAAATCTTTGTCCTGAATAAACGATTCAGAATGGATAAAATCTCCTTTTTTGTCTAATTTTTCTAAATAGAATTTTTTAGTGATCAAAAAACTTTCTGTGCCACTTGAAATACAGGAATAATGAAACAGCTGAGTAAATTAAAACTAGGAAGCGAAGATTTTCTAAAAATATGTACGTATTAATACATTTGCATCAATATCCAGATATTTCTTTCTGCATTGAAGTATGGATTAGACACGTCGGCTAAGGAACAGTACTGAAGCTTTTCTAGAATATCTGTAATTCAAGTAATAGCTGTTCGGTCGGAGGGCCTATTCTGAAAGGTGTTTGAAAATACAAAGGACATCAATAAAAATCATGACAAATATCAAATTACAGAATTTAAAGCCAAATTTTTTTTTTCCATTTCTTGTTTTCCTTCAAAACTTCTACTGTTTCTTTGCCAATACCGACTTGTTTTTGAAGAACTTTGTTAAGGAAGATTTCGCGTAATTTGTTGGCAGATAAAAGTCTTCAACATACGTTCAAATGTTTTTAACCACATTGAAAAGGATTTAATTCAGAAGAGCTTGATCCTACCAGATTAGAAACCCAGCCCTTTTAAATGAGGTAACGTAAAGCAATTGTGAGAAATGCGGCTTACTCAAACAATAAAGATTAGTTATTTTTTCTTTTCTTTTTTAAGATAAATACTAACAGCCAGAATCTAATACCGTAGGGCGTATAAAGAACAAACCAACCTGGTTTGAGATTTTTTGCGGGTGAATGGAGTGTTTCAACAGACAGCATTGGTATGAAAAGAATCTCACTAAACGACAATACGTCTTTTAATACTGGAAGTATATCATCATTAGGCCTGGCCCTTTTGCATGGAAACGGTTCTATGATAGTGTATCTTCAATAAAATCTTCTTCAGATCCTACAGGCCACTTTGCGTTTTAGGACGCGGTATGATTACATCCTTCAATCAAAGGACCTTGATAATTCTACTCATAAAATACCACAACACAACGTCACAACACAACGTCACAACACAACGTCACAACACAACGTCACAACACAACGTCACAACACAACGTCACAACACAACGTCACAACACAACGTCACAACACAACGTCACAACACAACGTCACAACACAACGTCACAACACAACGTCACAACACAACGTCACAACACAACGTCACAACACAACGTCACGACACGACACGACACGACACGACACGACACGACACGACACGACACGACAAATAATGCCAGTTAGATCTGAGGTTTGGGGTTTGGCATAGAACGAAAGAACAATGCCAGTTAGATCTGAGGTACCATCTAAGTGGGGGGGGGGGGTAACCCTCCCTCTGATATGTCTGTCACTATTCTATTATGATTCTGCTATTGCAAACAAAGTGTTTTGATACAAACTCAAATTTTTAGGAACCAAAATGCTGGCAAAGAATAACGAAAATACACCAAAATACGTATAACAGGAAGTGGATCTTATTAAGTTTAGAATGATTCAAACAGTTTCTGAATGTCTACACTATTTGTTACAAAAACACACTACAAAAACGTCGAGGCTCGATTTAGCAAATATATAGGAATATCGTAAAATTTGACTGACATGGCCAAAAATGTATCTTAAAAAATAATGCTTTTTTGCAATTTTTTTTGTAAATATAATGTAAATAGATATACACAATGAGGGCAGATTGCATCAGCTAGTCAATTGTGCTACTAAAAATTTAATCAAAACTGTTGTCTTTCAGTTAAGGACATTTTATCGTATGCAGTTGTAGAAAAATCAATTCTAAAATAAAAACACCATTAAGAACAATATTGTCTCAAATCATAAAAAAAATGAAAATATCGAGCCTAAATTATCTGGTTCTTAGAAAAAAAAGATTTAATGAGAATAAAGAGATTCGAATCAGAAACTTAACCGTCAAATACTGTTCTAAGCTGAACAGCTAGCACTTAATATTTCTGGGCTTAACCAAATCTCATTCATGCTAGCCAGACATTATATCATAACTTCACAACTTTTAGGCCTGACACAACAGTAGGACCTATTTTTCCCGAAAAAAGGTTTTAACATATCTACGTTGAGTCACGTTTGAGGCGATATCGAGTCACCTCATTTTAATGTCCTTTTCCTGTAAGCTGCTTTATTCGCACGTTTTAAAGCAACCCACATCGTTATCCGACGCACGCATGTCTGTATCCTGATTTACAAAGCATCTACAGATTCAATTTCGTTGCATATTTACTTTCTATTGTACAGACCCTCATTTGCCTTTTGTTTAATTCTTTTCTTTTGTTCCTTGTGTCTCCCCTCGGGCAATTTCTTGATTTCCCTCTAGGCATGTCTTAAGCCTTAAAGGTCAGCAAACAACAAATGCCTTCGACATGACACACCTATTCCTGAAGGAAATCCAGCAATTTTCTCTTGTAAAATTTTCTCATCGAATAGATACCCTTTCCATTTTATTAAATCCCATTGAATACCTGTTTTCGTCAAATACTTAATCTGTGAATAGTCAAAAGGTTATTTTTAACTCAAATTTCTATTCCAGGCGAGAAGCATTCTACGGAATAAGGACTGTGCGTCGAACGACATGCGAAAGGCGACAAATGACTTTTCTCAAACTACATGCAAGACATACGAGATTTTACAACAACATAATATAAATTTTTTCAAACTATTAGATACATAATCGCTTTGCGTGATACATTTAGTAGCATGGCTGTTTCGTTGAAAAAATCTGCTCTGTTTTGTTAACACGCGAGACAATTTTCAACATTTTAATATATCATTTAATCTGATGCTGGTCCATTGCCGTAACGAAGGAGCTGGGACACTTAAGGATTTTTCAGTTGGGGCCCCTTAGTAAACAGTCTGAGAAATCACGCAAGCTAGGGGCCCTGTTATCGTTTATCATATCAAGAATATCAGCATTAGGGTCCAGTTTCTGTTTTCAGGAACACACATGGTGTCATGATGATGATTGGACCAATTTACTGAGCCCGCCGAGAATTAACGGCATGGCGTATTTGAAGACACACCTAACTGCCTTATCTACACTCTTTTTTTATAAGAACCAGTAAATTTGAGTTCAGGCTGACTGTTCTCAATTTTTTTCGAAAATCTGAGGGTGGATTGTTCTTGATTTATTCTTTAATTAGTAGGGTGTAAGCAGTGCGATTGCTAGCCTTTCGCTCTCAGGACGTGTTCAGGCCACATTTGCCAACATTGTGAGTGGGACAACCTTCATTTGGCGTCAAGTTGGAACATTCGCCGAAAAAGCATCCACACATGGCTGAAAATCCTAAAAAAGACGTTTTCCAAAATTGCATTTTACAGTAGCTCAGCCTCAGCTTGTTCTTATATTTTGACCAGTTTTGAGGCTCGTGTTCTTATTAAATTGTTCTTATAAAAAAGAGTGTAAATGATAAACAATCATGAAGCGAGGACCAATGCAATTCTGTTTCAACAAAGGAACTTTGATTAACCAAGGCCATTCATATTCTGCCTTCGTGCCAGAGTACTTGACAACGAAAGAATGACAACACAAAACCCTGTTCAAACCAGGTAAAACATGACGTAACAGGTTGGCTCAGTGTGTACCCTCCACCCCCTCCACCGAATCTTCTCATGGTAATAGAATAATGAACAGAAGATATAGATGGGAACTCATTGTTCAAACCAGGTAAAACATGACGTAACAGGTTGGCTCAGTGTGTACCCTCCACCCCCTCCACCGAATCTTCTCATGGTAATAGAATAATGAACAGAAGATATAGATGGGAACTCATCAAAAGCATCATTACAAAGCCACTTTATCTCCTATTTGGAATTTCCGGCAAACGCATTTTTGCGACTTGAGTTTGAAGATATGCTCTCAGTTTCTTGAGAAGACCAGTCACGAAGAACGACGGGGGAGTGATGAACCAAACAATGATGATCCACACAATGATGAATCACGATAACCCGGTTTATCCTGGTGCGCTTTCCTGGAGGCGGTAACGTAAAATGCGAGTTTACCAAATCTATCCGTCCACATACTTGAGGCACTGTAAATCCATATGCAGACTTGTAAATCCCATTGTTTTATCTATTAAAGCCCCGATAATGAAAATCTCCACAAAGCAAAGTTGCTCTCCATTCTCGGCAAAACCATCATCGGTGATTGTAAGAACCTGCCCAAGCCATCTATAAAGCCCTCTTAGATTTTGCCTCTAAATCTCCTTATTACTTTTTCATTCATTCTGTTTTCCTGGCACCCTGGTTTCCTGTTCATTCTGTTTCCCAAATCCCCCTATTTTCTCCTTATCTATTCTGCTTTCTGAAATCCCTATTGTTGCCTCTTCGATTTATTTCCGAATCCCCTATAATTTCCTTATTCATTTTACTTTCAAAACCCCCTCTTAAGCCCTATCCATTCTGCTTTCTGAAGCCCCTGTTGCTTCCTCGTTCGTTGTGCCTTAAAAGCCCCCTGTTATTTTCCCTCCAATACTTACAAAGATCACATACACAAGAAATACCTAAAAGGGTACCCTTTGATTTACCAGCTTTTAAAAACAGATTAATGCCACTGAAAATATCAGTGGAAACTGCAGAAGATTTCAGTTAAATGATTCTACACATAGATTTGTTCACAATTTAAAAAAACTTCTGTACTTTTTGAACTAAATAAGGCAGGCATTTGACGTATAGATGATATATTAAGTATGGAGACGTATTACTTCTTCCAAGTGTGGAGACGTTAAAATGCAAAGCTAAGTTACAAAAATGCAAGGGGGCCCAAACGTCGGCACTAGTTAGCATAGCACCAGGGACACACACCGACCCATTTCTGACAAAATGCCACCTTATTTAGATATGCCCCCTTTGGAACTTTGGAACAGTGTTCCTTTTTCTGTTCTGAGACAAAGTATCCCTTCATACCTATTCCACTCTAACTTTGAAATCCTTTCGACGTCCCTGTAAGAGGGCGGGGGGCTATCGTAAGGAGAACAGAAATGCAATAGTAGCGGGATGAGGAAATGAACTCAAATAGAAGCAATTATCCACTTAAGAAGTAAGGTCTTCTGTTAATGTCCAGCTTCTTAAGAAATGAGCCTCAGGTTCTAATTGTAAGGTGATGACATCGAGTCCTGCACGTCAACTTCTGCGCGTTTTTTTAGTAAAAAGTATTCAAAAGTTGGTAGCTGCTGGGAGAGTTCGAAAACAAATCCACCTAAATCGTGATCTGGGCTGCGAAAACCTTCTATATGGCAATAGGTCATCTGATAACTGCAAAAGAGCTATTCATGAGAGTCTATTCGATTTCAGTTACAGATGGATAATAAGAAGAATCAGCAATAAAAGAAAAGGCAATTCTTAAGACATCTTACCCTGTTTTTCTCATGGCACTGTAGCATCCCCTAAACAAGAAAACAAATGCTTGATAATAGCAATAAAAATTGAGAGGCCTTGACTACAAATAGAGAGGGAGTTCGAATTAAAGAGCATCAACGTCTTTGTGGGCATAATATGAACCAAAGAAGCCGCTTGCTTTCTGAGCCGCAGCGAGCATTCCACGTTAACTAGAGAAACCCGTGCTTATGCCTTCGAGTTTGACAGGGCCCATAACAGTAGTATACCACAATTACATAGCTAAAAGACCACTGGAGAATATCAATGACAAGAATTATAACTGATCGTATAGTACTATAGAAAAGTTTTGCTAGGGGCAGGGCTTGGGGTTTTGCTAGGGTTTGGTCAAAAATCACAATTCCACACACACCAGTTGAATTTGCTTGCAACAGTCAATCACTAGCAATCCAGTCCTAAATAACTTCATTTTTACTTTAAATTCTAAGCAGGAAAGCATTTTAAAAGTAATTCATAAAAGTGACTTTCAAGTGCTTTTGGAAAAGAGTCTTCAGTTGGAGTACCAAACGCTGGCCGGAGTACCTTCGAGTCAAGTGAACATCATAGTCACCAATATCGATGAAAATTCTTAGTAGAAGAGAATTGCATATCCATTTCTATTTGAAAACTTCAGAGAATTTATCTGGATTCTAGTTGGCAAGGGCACCATGGCCGGAGGGACCAAAATGGCGACGCCATTCCGAGGGAAATAATTTGGAAAAATCCGGATACACAATTGCTCCTAAGTTAACCGCTCTTTTGCGGGTCTCTGTTCTTCTCACTACTTTCTGTGCGGGAAATCGAAATAATGACATTATTGTCGGGAAATCGAGACTGCTGCTTCCCCCTAAAAATCTTGGTCACTAAACACCATGATTCTCTGAAAAGGACGAAGAAAAATGGCCTTTTTGACAGGCACTGATTTTATTCAATCTATTACCCCGTTCAATAAATTCTTCGTTCCGCTGCTCAAACTGGCAATTTTTACAGATTCCCGTCCATACGATGACATCCACAATGAGAACGTTTACTTACTCGTCACGTAGGTAGGTGTGGATATTTCTTACATAAAGAAAAGCATCGGGCAATTAGCGGATCGCTTACACCTACCAAGACAGGTTAATTACTTAGTGATTAATCGATAGTTGGTTATCCTGTAATCAAAATCGAACCAGATAGGTTCGGTTCATGTTTCTAATGAGCGGTACAAATGTGAATTGCCAATCCCAAAGCATATATATTTTAAGTCAAGGAAAATTTTCTACAGCGAAACAACTTGCCATCTCATTTTCCCTGGCACTTCTGATGATCAATTTTAAGAAAACCTATAGGTTTCCCTATAAATCATCGGTAAGAAAACCATCGGTTTTTGCTTAATAACTTTTTTAACGAATCTCTTCGATCAGACCTCTTGAAGTCGATACTGTACAGTAACAACCATAAAAATGCTTTTTCGTGCATCTTAGCTACAATATGTAACCAGCCAGACGTCCGGGTTCATTTTTCTAGGAATTGCAACTTGGGGTCCAACTTTATACTTAGAAATAAATGACAGTATTTGAAGTCGCAAATATTCTGCAATGATATTCCATATTTTTCTCGTAAAACTATGGAAAACTGTTTCTTGAAATTTCAACATTACACGAAACACTTACTCGTGAATCATGTGACCACAGCTCGGTACCAACAATGGAGTTCTCGATGTATGCATATCCTGAAATGAAATATACTCGATATCATCAATTGGTTAAATCTGCATTAATATGCTATTTCTAGCTATTTAATAGCATGGTTATACCATTTGTAACAGCATGTTAAAGAATTCACAAAAACTAGCTTTATTTGTTAATTTCCAACGCCTTAAGATATTAAAGGAGATGCTGTTTTAAAGCGAATTTTGAGAAGAAGCTAAAAACCAATTTTGGTCAGAACAAAACATTTATTACTAACAAAGCGGATCCTTGACGGTCATGAAATTTGAATCACAAATGAATTTCAAAAATGACTGCCCTGATGACGAAGAAGTTGAAAGTTTTACAAATTCTGTTATGAAAATTCTTTCCAAACGATAACGACGGAGTCTTTTAAAGTTACCATCAAAATACTTCTATTTAGTTCGATAACGAAGTTTATGAAATCAATATGCTTGCAAAAATTTAAGTTTTAGCCAACAACTTGTTTATTTAAAACAAATATCTTTGTTTAGCTCACAGACAACTGGTTTTGATGCTCTTCATTTTGTTTTGCTTCCTATCTTTGTTAGTTAGACATATTCTCATGATTAAACTGGCATAAATAATCGTCCCCTTTCAGGGCTGCCTTCAACAGTAAATGACTTATGCTGTATTAAACATATATAAGCATTTTATTCAACACGCAATCTTTCTACATAACCAGATAACCCAATCACGAAACATCCAAATCTACTCTAACTTACCTCTAAACAAACTGGACAGTCAGATCGCGATATTTTTTCTATACACTGTAAATGTAACAGAATCGATATGTCAGCAAGCAAAACTTCAAACCAGAAGTCATGAAAATAAGGCGAAAACCATTGACCTTTTAGTGCTTCTATTTATATGAGTTCTATATCAAGTGTTTCTAATCATATAGTCTTTATGTTTATACTTTCTACGTAAATGCCCCACATAAAGCAAAAAACTTATTGAAACGAAGCTAAATGAAATTTTGCTTACTTCAACCATCAATAATTTCAAATTTGGGCATCCTTTTTTCTACTCAGTACAATTTGTTCTAGTAACAATAACAATGATCCATGAAAAATTAGCTTTAATATAAACAGGCCATATAATCTTGATAATACAGAATCACCTTGTGACTTTCTTTTATGCCTATTGCCAAACACATGTCACATTTTGGACAATGAAAAAAATTTTCTTCACCACCAATTCTAGAAAATGAATAAATGGATAGCTAAGCATGAAGCTAAAAAAAACTGGCAAATTTTAAATATTCATGTGCAATCTTCATCAATTGTGTAGATTTTGTTTCCCTTTGGAATATTCTTCCATGTAGCATCGTATCATATAAAAATTAAATCAAGCAACATTTAATACCAGCAAGGAACATTTACACTGATCACATGAGCCTTCACGAAAAAGGGCAGCAGATTTTGTGACCTTAAACATTTTCTTTTATAATAATCATAGGGTCAAAATGCATGAAGATGATTATCGTAAATACAGAAAAAAGGGCCAATCTCAAAAGAAAAATTTATAGAATTCTAACCTGCATATTCTACATTTGTCACAATGAAATTGTTTTTTGTCTCTGTCATCAAACATTCTGCAAACTAGGCAAGCATAATGACCAAATTTGATGTGGCAATTAATGCATCTATCAGTAACCTTGAAAAAAGTATTATCATATTTGTAAATACCTTCTGTTTAAAAAGATGTCAGGGATAAATCAGAAACTACAAAATATTTGAAAGCTAAAAAATCTTAAAACATTTACAAAAAGTTTTTTTGATTAAAGAATTTTAGAAATTTCTACCATTATTCTCAAAGTCGGGTTCAGATTCATTTTGGTCTATGAACATTCTTTGGGAATAAAGAACTTAGATCAATCTAACAATTTCATTGTTCAAATCGATTTTAAAATTTCAGGAACTTTTTAGAAGAAAGGAAACTTAATAATGGGATATTGTACAATGTTAACTGTACTTTTCTTATATATATTGTGTAAAATATCTAATATCGTTAAGATTGGTTTGCTTGGGGCTAAATTAGAAGAAACAATCAAAGCAAGGACCAGTGCCACTGATCTTAAACTGGGGGGGGGGGCTAGTAATATAAATTAAGTTTCCTGTTACTCTCTCTACCCCCAAGTGTTGCAAATATTTTTTTGGTGCTGTTTTACTTGTGAACTGTGGTCCAATGTACTTGGTAGAATCAAAAGGTTCATCTATATAAATAATTTAAGCTGGTTTAATTCTTTCATTTAGCAAAAAAGCAGGGGGACATGACCCTATAGCCCACCCCCTCCCCTGTGGTGCAAGCCATGAAATTTCACATTGAACTTTTATATTGATCATATCAGAACAGTCTCGTTTGCAAAGAATTAAATGTTCTGGGTCTAATTATGCTGCATACTTCATACACTTAAAGACTCATTGCTAACAATGGGCCTTTGCGAGCGTGGCGACAATCCAAACAATGGCAGTGAACTTCTAAGGATTAACCAAAATTGTTTTCAGACTGTCTAAAAATGCATTATGGGATGTTTGCGTAGTGCAATGACTCACTGTTAGCAATGAGTCTTTAAAAAAGCTATAGCAAATTATTAGTGAGTAAATACTTACAGCCTGTTTTAATTTACATTGAATGCAAACAATTTCTTCAACACTATATCTGTCAAGAGTGTGACTCTCTGAGATATCATGGCACAGACGACAGATAAAAAATTTCTTGCAGCATGGAGCCTGAAGAAACATGTAAAACAAATGTTAAAGAACAGTAGTAATATATTTGGCTAAAATCTAAGATAAGATATCAAAAAAACCTTAATACAAGGTAGATGAGACACAACCAGAGAGGAAAGAGAGATCTGTTTGACAGCTTTACAATGTTGAGTAGTTAATAAGTATATGGTAGATGCAGTGGCTTGCTGTTTTTTCTTGTGATGTTTTGGTAAATTATTATTTAGCAAAATAATTATAAAGGTTAATGTCTTTGTCCATTTCATGTGGATTGAAACATTCTGGTACCATTTGTGATGGTCAGCTCAAAAGATGACTAGAAATTTTAATCAAAACAATAAAGTTGTGCCAATTTTTTGGAAAGTATGTGAATTTTGCTCTCCTTGTACAAGACAAATTCAGTTCAAGAAATATAGGGGCTCAAAGTTTGCAAAAAACATTTCTCCACCTCTAAAAATTCAAAAATTTGGTATTAGAGCCAAAGTTTGAAACTTTGAAGAACAATATATTTGGGATTTTACAAGATATCAAGCTAAATGGTGTTCCTATCTTATTTATATGAACATTGTCACAAATTTTAATGAAGATCTGAGATGGTGCATGTGGGACCCCTTAAAAATTTGGTCCATTTGGCATGGAATGACCCTGTATTGAAATCTGGAGCCCATTTGAAGAAATATAAAATAATAAATAAAGTTTATCTTGTCAGAAAAAAAGAAATTGCTTTAATTCATTTTACTTATGGGTCAAACACAATGAAAGATTTTGAGTGGGAATCTTGTTATGCTTCATTAAATATTTTGGTCTTTGTTGTTTTTGTGCATAGGGTTACCAAATGTTTTGTTTTAAGGTCATCAACCTGATACTTTTGTCACATAAATATCTACAAAAATTTGGTAACTAAAGAAAAATAAGGCAATTTTCCCCAAATCTTGAGGGTATGCATCAAGAAATTATCGCAATTTTAACATCATTTTGTTTTATTTAACATCCCAGTGTTTGCAATGCAGAGCTAGACAAATGCAAACATAACAAACCGTTTTCCCAAATATATTTTGTTAACATTTTGGAGAGACTGGTGCAGAATTCTTTGCTATTTGTGGAATTTGAAAAATTCGAAAAAAATTGCCACAGCCACAGTCTCGCACCACAGTGGCAAAAGAGGAGTGATGTGGAACTCTTTATTGTTTTGCAGTCTTGTTAAATTTTGCAGCAGAACATACACATATAAGCCAAGTTTCAAATTTCAGCCCATAGTAGAGCAAACTTTTTTTTACGAAGAGCATCAAAATGTGCCTAGTGTATGGGCTACTACTAGTAGTATACTAGGCCATAACATTAGCCAGACCAAGAATTAAAAATTATGTTGACAATCAAACAGTTGTGGCTGCTCTTATACAAAAACTTTTGCAAAATTTTCCAGTTTATCAAAGAGAACTATCCTTACCACTAAACAACATTTTCGCAAATAGTGGCTACAATCTTGAAGGTCATCCAAGTCCACCTCTTCGTAACTAGACGCCATTTTGATTAGGCTTTTCCCAAGCATTGAACTGAATTGCCCAGGACAGTACCAGGCAAACGTGATCAGCATGGGAAAATGTACTTGCCATGCGCGCGATGAATCACAGGGGTTACAGCAAATGTCAACACTGCTCACGCAACATTTCAGGACGAAAACACCACATTGTTTTGAATGATTAAAGATTCGTCAATAGATCGACATATTCAAAACAAAGGCAGTTCAAAAGTTGCATGGTTGTTCTAGCAACAAATGTAGATAGTTCTATTGCCATAACATAGATGACACTTTAAACAATAGGCATTAAGTGTGTCTCAATTAAAATTACAATTAAAACTCATGCAAATTCCAACCTGGAAATGCATACAAGTACATATTTTCACACACCAAAAAAGAATAAATTAAACACATAATTTAGATGCATTAAGCAGAAAAGGGCGAAAACACACCAACCTTTAGAAAGTGAAGGACATTTTGCAACCAAAGTTTGAAGAATCCAGGAAAATTTACATGTTTTCCCATTAATGATAGGAAATGATACATCCAAAAGCTGTTTTGTTAGGCAATGAAAATCACTTGAAGATTGTCAAGCACTAGAGTGGTAAAATCCTTGAAAAAAAATTGCCAGAGAAGAGGTTCCGAAGAAGACATCCCCCTTGACCGAAGATAAATAAAAATGCGACTTGTGCTAAACACGTGCACTACACAACATTCCAACAACGACTGAACAAAATCTTCAAAATTTTACACTTGACTTTAAATTGACTTTCCAAAAAGAGAAAGCCACTCAATGCAATGCTATTATAAAGTTAAAAATTAGTGATTGAGAAATAAAAGCCCATAGTTTCAAATGCAAACCTTTGAATCAGTCTAAAAATTTAGATTAGCCAAGTAATTTTGTAATCGATAAGAAATGGTTTTGAAGAAATTGTCGCGATAAAAACTGTAACCTACAGAAAAATCTAGATTTTGCTACAAAACGAAACTATTGCCAAAATAATTGCCAAGCATCAAGGTTTTCCCTGGTTATTATCATTTCTTTTGAATGTTTTGCCTTTTCATGTAAAATGGAGAAAACTGGCCGTTACTTTTGATTATAAATGTGACTTCGTGATCGATAAGGAATATGAAAGAGTTGAATTGTCGCGAGAAAAAGTGTAGCCTACAGAAAAATCTAGTTTTTGCTACAAAACGAAACTATTGCTAAAATAATTGCCAAGCATCAAGGTTTTTCCTGGTTATTATCATCTCTTTTGAATGTATTGCCTTTTCATGTGAAATGGAGAAAACTGGCCGTTACTTTTGATTATAAATGTGACTTTGTGATCGATAAGGAATATGAAGGAGTCGAATTGTCGCGAGAAAAAGTGTAGCCTACAGAAAAATCTAGTTTTTGCTACAAAACGAAACTATTGCCAAAATAATTGCCAAGCATCAAGGTTTTCCCTGGTTATTATCATTTCTTTTGAATGTTTTGCCTTTTCATGTAAAATGGAGAAAACTGGCCGTTACTTTTGATTATAAATGTGACTTCGTGATCGATAAGGAATATGAAAGAGTTAAATTGTCGCGAGAAAAAGTGTAGCCTACAGAAAAATCTAGTTTTTGCTACAAAACGAAACTATTGCCAAAATAATTGCCAAGCATCAAGGTTTTCCCTGGTTATTATCATTTCTTTTGAATGTTTTGCCTTTTCATGTAAAATGGAGAAAACTGGCCGTTACTTTTGATTATAAATGTGACTTCGTGATCGATAAGGAATATGAAAGAGTTAAATTGTCGCGAGAAAAAGTGTAGCCTACAGAAAAATCTAGTTTTTGCTACAAAACGAAACTATTGCCAAAATAATTGCCAAGCATCAAGGTTTTCCCTGGTTATTATCATTTCTTTTGAATGTTTTGCCTTTTCATGTAAAATGGAGAAAACTGGCCGTTACTTTTGATTATAAATGTGACTTCGTGATCGATAAGGAATATGAAAGAGTTGAATTGTCGCGAGAAAAAGTGTAGCCTACAGAAAAATCTAGTTTTTGCTACAAAACGAAACTATTGCTAAAATAATTGCCAAGCATCAAGGTTTTTCCTGGTTATTATCATCTCTTTTGAATGTATTGCCTTTTCATGTGAAATGGAGAAAACTGGCCGTTACTTTTGATTATAAATGTGACTTTGTGATCGATAAGGAATATGAAGGAGTCGAATTGTCGCGATAAAAATTGGTTGGATTTTGATTGGAATTTTCAGATGTTACAAAATAAATTTCATCCGACTTCCTTTGTTGCCGTCGAAATAAATGAGGGGAACAAGTCCAGTTCACATACGTCCATTTTAAACAAGAAACTTGTTTTCAATTACTTGAATACTGGGACTAGAAGAAAAAAAACGCCATACCCCCACAATAGATATTTGCAAGACAATAGATCTTTTTTGAAATCTTTTGATATGGGTGTTAAATTCCCCCTCCCTCTCACTTTCCCAGCCTGTGTCGGAGCCAATGGCCAGGACACGAAACAAACAATTACAAAACTCCAAAATTGCACAACTGTGATGGGCTGGTTGGCATGAAAGCTTTGACGCGAGCATTAAAAAATCTTTAATAAACTCCAAATCTTTTGATAATAAATTTCCAAAGTCTCTTATGTTTCTTAATAGTAGGAAATTAAACATCAAAAATTGCATACAAGACAGAAAATGCTACAAATGGTAAAAATGAAATTAAGAAAAAATAAGGATAGATGAAATAAGAAACTCGAATGCTTAGCATCGATCCTCGTTTCTTATCAACAATCTGTGTAGCTGGTACACTATTTCCCATTAATATTGATAAATAGTATCAATTTGAACCTGCATTTTCTTAGCATGAATCTAAAACAAGAAATAAGAAAAATATTTAGATAATGTGAAAGCAATATTGTAGATGTTTCTTCCAGAAACGATTCAGATAATACCATGTTCGGACCAGATAAATAACGGATTCATGGGAGGACTAGCAAATGAAAAGTAAATGACCAAATCGTGACTATATATACTCTATGTATTAAAATGGGAAAGGACTAGAATTGCTATGGTTAAAATATTCAGGTTCCATGCCCCCTGGCCATTTCTATCTGTCGGTCTTTTGATCCACTGCGTTTTCGTATAAGCAATTCCGATTCAAGAAAGCAGAATTGATTTCGAAATTCCAAACAGTTTGTAATTAAACTTGAAAGTTTTATAGTTTGGCACTGGTCTCGTGCGGCGAAAGCCTTTACGTAAAGCTACTTCCTATAGTTTTCTCTCTAGGATGCAAACTTCCAAAAATTTCCTGTGGCATTGAACACAAAAGACCAGACTGCTAGAGGCAAATTGTTTCATAAGTCCTTACGCAGTTGAGGTTTTTGCCTGTTTATTTGTTTTGTTATCAGCAGCAAATTGTGTAAATGTTATTTGTTACAAGGGATGTAGCTTTAGGGATGTGGATGTTGGTAGCTTTTTCAAAGTTTGCGTGTAAATGGCCACTTCGGACAAAGAAATAAGTATGAGTGACAGCCAATGACGTTTTTTAGAAAGTTAATCTTGATCAACTGATAAGTTTTTATAAAAATTACTATGAAATTTGGGTGGGGATCAATGACCATTTATTTTGCTAAATTAAATAATATTTCAATTCTTTGTTTGCATTTTATTTGAAAATTGACTGCCCCTAAGTTTTTATTAGATAAAACAAAACAAGTTGGAATATTCGAAGAAAAAAGAGGTAGAATTTTCTGAGCGATGTGATACAAGAAGAGAGCAAATTTTTAAATAGAATGTAAATGAAAAATCTAGATTCTATTGGAACTAGCGAGAAATCTTCCAACATCAATCTTCCAACATCAAGGCTTTGGCAATTAATAAAGCGTGTTTGAGATAGCTCTTGCTAGGCTACGACAAAACCGTGACGTCAATTGATTAACTAGAGAAGTAAAGAAAAATGAATGAGAAATATTTCAGTTCTTATTTGTCACTGGAAGGCCATTAAAACTTAATTTTTGTTTACCATTGTAACTATTTGAAAGAAATTAATGAAAATTATATGATGTGAAGTTGGAAAAAATCACACGAACGCACAAAGGGGTGTGTGCTTCTTTTGGTCTTCAAGATTTTGGATGACGCATCAAATTAAAGCCAGCGTCCTCGTGTTACAAAATAGACTCTAGACTCTTCGATTAATCAGGAAAATAGAATCTTCATTTGGTGCGGGAGTGGCTCAGTGATTAGAGTCGTGTTTCTACAGATCCATAGGCTTGGGTTTCGCGTCCTGGACATGACTAAACTTTCACCCAGAGTGAGGGGAGTCACCAGCTTTCTACATTTCCAGGTGTATTCAGTGGCGGAAATAGGGGGCTCAGCCCCCCTCTCGTCCAAAGATAAAATGCAAAAAATATAAGTTACAATTACTTGTCAATAGTGTTATCGGTCGATCTTTTGCATCATCAATTACCTTAGATGCGATATCAATCGTGATATCAAAAATCATTAATGAATTGTTCTTAAGGATTGGGCGTGACCAGCAAAGATTTCTTAAGGGTCCCACCCCAAAATCACCTATTTTCATTCATCAAAATGTGCATTGATAAAGTTTTCTTAAAATTAGGCATGATCCAAGATGTTATCTTTTCGGAAAATCGTAGGCCTGAGACCCCCACTCCCCCCTCCACAGGAAAAAAAATTCTCCGTTCAAACGAGCAAGTATTTTAAAACAAACTAACAAGTGAGACAAAGCCTTAAAATCCCATCTTGCAATTTAAATTATGCGTGGAAATATCAATCTCGACTTAGACCTTATTTCTGAGGCTTCGATGAAAATTCTTTATGCTGTTTTTAACTTATCCTCTTAATGTAATATCTCTGCCTGGTAACTGGACAGAAAAAATATTCTGTTCTTTTGAAAATTTTCAAGGCAAATGCTCATAAAAAATTGGAAAAGCATTTTCTTTAGAAATGTAAAACCATACAAATGAAAAATATGTGCCTTCGTGCTATTGACAGCAAATATCCGTATTTATTTTTGGTGTTTCTGTTCTTTGTCGTCAGCAATCCTGGCTTAAAATGATATGCGCTCAGCTCAGCTCTGAGAATTTCAAGCTTTCTAAAAGTTTATGGCAACTTCAAGTTTACTTAAACTTTATGACAATCAGAAAGCATTTATAAGTTAGAAAATTTACTGCATTGTATTTGTTTATAATTTTGATCAAAGCATGTTCTCTCGCTGTTAGCTAGAATCAATTTTGTTGATAGTCTTATAACAGCAAAATCATCTCAAAATGAGAAGTTTCTTGAAATATTTGAAACCAGTTAATTAACTGCTATTAGCTCCACTACTGAATTTGTCAGAGCCTATTGTTTAGCTACTAGAAAGTCACTGAAGCTGTAGGGGCGATTGCCCCCTTGTTAGAATGTTAAAAAATGCCCTGTTGTCAAAAGTTTCATGGAAGTAGTAAACCTAGTCGGTGTTTTCAAGCGGGTTTATGAAAATTAAGAAAAATGTTGATTCATCAGCTTTAGAAATCATTACATCTGTCCTAAATATAAAACACTACTAAAAAAGGAGCTCTGAGAAACTGCAAGCATGATCACATTCTTCAAGGCCTTGGCTCTGATATGGTTTGTATCACTCTCTAGAAAGTGATGATGACAGATTTGCTTAGTGGTGAACCCAGGGCTGCCGTAGTGGGGGGGTCTGGGGTGCAGCCCCCAGAAATTTGTTTGGACCACGCCCTTCAAACAATCGCAAATGCGGGGAAACGCTCTTTTTGCAAAATTTTCCCCCATTATTTGATTCATGTTAGCTACGGTAAATAGCAAAGTATTTTTGGCTATTTGGTTACAATTGTTATTGGCACAAGCAGAAAGTATACTACACCCCCCCCCCCCCCCCCCCCCCAATGAGTTTTACATCGTTTTTGAACAAATCTTGAGGATCATATTTTAGAAAAGTGGGGTGGTCCGGACCCCCCTATTCCCCCCCTTGGGTACGCAACTGGATTTGCTACTGCCGTTTGATATTTTTTTACATGTTTTTGAGCACTTACTTCATTTCTTTTCTTGCTGCAAGCCTAAATCTGTTTATGATCAATTTACATTTTGACAGAAAATGACTTCAAATCTGGAAGGCTTCGAGAACAAAACAAATAAACAATTTTACGTGTTTTAGCTTGGGCGAAACGCCTTGCATGATGATTCTGCAGAACAATTTCGTGGTCATTATTATGATTCGCAACTCATTGTGGTTATCTGCTTTCTCCATATTTTTTACCATTTCGGCGTATTTTCTGCAATTTAGAATTAGCGGAACAATATTCTATCGATTCAGGAGGGTGGAAGGAAAATGCTCTTACATTTCCCTTAAATAGACCTAAGTTCATTTCTAACCTTTTTACCTACGGATTTTCTGCTTTTCTCCAGTTGAAAGTCCATTGTCTCTTTTGTTGCTCTGCATGGGTTTGTTTTTCTCTTTAACAGACTTTCCTTCTTCCCTCATATTCTTGAAATCTAACAGGAAATACCAATTAGGAAAAGTGTAATAATCGCAACTTGCATGGTTAGTCTAATCTAATCCAAAGAATAAAATTTTGGGGGGATTGCGTCAATTTTGCTTGTAGCAGCGTTGTTCTGCTTGCTTTTCAACTTAAACTCTGTTGGAATTTTTTGGAATAAATAGAACTATTAGAAATATTCAGACAGGGACATGGCGGTACCCTGGGTAAAACTTCGCTCCTCCGCTGCTCCACTTCTCCGCTGCTCCACTACTCTACTCCTCCGCTTCTCCACACAGCCTCATTTACGCTCAAATTTCTATTTTCTAGTTATGTAAATATGCAACGATGTAATTTGAAATAAATTTTATAGTTGGTATAACTCGCACTACTTTTATAATCAATTATTGTAAGGATTATTTTTCTTGTGGCATCGTGAACAAGACAGATGCCCTTGCCTAGATATATAGATAAAAGGAACCCAGACAGTGTGGTAGTGCTGTCGTAATAACAAGGGAGGCTCTTGCACACAATGCTGCGAAAAACAATAGCAAAAGTAGAAATTGGCTATTCTTTGGCATTAACAAGGGGGCTCAGCCCCCTGAGCCACCTAAGTCCCCTAGCACTACACCCCTGAACCCAGGGGATGTATAAACCATGGTGGTGGTTCTTGTTGCAAGAGAAAACCCGAAAAGATAATGATAAGCTCATCAATGACTTATAGGTAAACAAACACAGCAATTTCTTTAAATTCATTTGTGCTTTTCATTTCCATCTTAAGATCAATTCGTGCGAAGATAATGAATTTTCTAAGCATCTCTGATCCTATTATTCAATGGCTCTTTGTTTGTACGACTTTTATCGACACACCAAAGATTTAGCACAGTCGCTGCAGACCGTCAATTACTTTATCTCGATTCAAAAGCTTTGTTTCAAATTGGAAAGCATTTCTCCGTCTCTAATCAACTATAACTCTAAATAATCATGTAATGTTGGCATTCGCGGGTAGTCACTTCTTTTATTTGTAACCGAGGCTTGTCTTCTTAGAATGCTTGCAGCATCCATGGTTGCATGCACAAATGGGTAAGGACAGAGACAGAGCGTTCATCCTTCACAACATCTAATATTTTAGGAGGTGCAGCAAGAGCGGGTCCGTTTCAAAAAATATCTACTGTATTATTTTATGGTGATGCAGAGTCAGCTTATGCTGATGTGGACCTGCATATACTTCTAATAAATGAAAAGTTTACCTGAAAATATGAAGAAATGTTAAGATTGTTCAGTAATGAAAGTCCTCAAGCCTAGTTTTTAAAATACAAGTTCCAGTTTTAAAATAAAATTTATTTATAAAATCAATATGTAATTTGATGTTGCTCTTGAATTCTTGTGTCTTCTCTTTCTCTTTTAAACTGTTGTCAATTGAATTCCACAGAAGACATCCTTTATATCTAAGACTCTTTCTGCCAATGTCTCTTTTAAATCGCGCTATGTCAAGTTGCAATTAATTCCGAGTCCTACTCTCTCGTTTTTCAAAAGGCCCTGAGAGTAGAGCAGGGCAGTTTCCATAATAGATTTCCATAATTGATCTACTTTATTGTTATTCTTCTGTTACGTTTTGGTCTTGAGATGGGGTTTACCCCAATAAGCTAGCTATTATGAAAGTGATCATTCAGACATTCTTCGAAAAGTCTACCTTGGGAAGATCTCCTAACAGTCGCAGAGGCTGTGGTAAGGGCGAGGGCGACGACTGCCATACCCCTCTTAATCTATAATCCAGAATCTCAAAAGGGGCAATCTTTCGCGTCTTTTTAGAAACCCCTATAAGTCCAAATGTAGAAGGGGTCTGGCACTAGCAAATTCGAGTAAATTATGTTCTCCATAGTAACTATACGCTGTAAATCTAGAAAATAATTTTGAAAATGCTCTTTTCGAGGTTGTCAAAAAATTGCTACCATGGCTGGAATTTTATCACATTTTTCCATCTTTATTAGAGAAGAGCATTGCAGTAGTTGCAACATAGTCAGGGACCGCGCACTACTCTATGAGTAAACTATCCAAAGTTTCGGTAGAGTAAACCTTCCAAAAAATTTTCTAGCCTATTATTGCAAAAAAGTGGGTGGGCTATAGCCCCTGCTAGCCCAATGGCTGCGCGGTGTCTGACCATAGTTGCACATTGGAGACAAAAGGAAAGGATGGAGATAGATTGATTGGTTCATTGACAATATGTGTGAAAAATTTAAAAACAGCTTTTGTTGTGGGATTGTCGTGTAACTAGAATGAGAACAATGCTACGAAGTAATTCCAGCTCCAAACGTTTTTTTTTCAAGGAAAGTCATTCCAGTTCCATGGCTGACACAAAAAGCTTTCATTTTACGATCAATTAATTTCATTTAACAACTGAAGTCATTTATTATGAAGTGTAAGATGTGGACACGTTTTAAAGCACTTTTTTAAGGGCAGTCATGTCAACGGTAGGGACATTAATGCATCTTGGAGCGATGAGAATCTCATTTCAGTTAAAAGAAGGAATACAACAGGCTGTTATGTGAGATCAGACGGTCAAACCATAAAACATTTGCTCAATTTTGCTTCTGGCGAAATCTCAAATTTTGTTTTGCTCTTCTGGTGAGATTTAGAATCTTGGTGGTTAGATTGGTACCAAAGGAGCTCAAAGACAAGGATATGCCATAATTATGATACGAGCGACCCAAAAACCGACAATACCCCCTGGTAAAAAGACTTGGGAATATCGGTCCATGTAAACAAATGATGCAGATATAGCCTGCATGCCTGCCTCATATTGGATTACAGCGATTGATGATCAAACCATTTGTTCTCATTGGTTATGTGTGAAATTTTGGCGTCCTGAGGCTCACTTGCTTTGCTAGCCAATAGCTTTGACCGACATCCCGGTTACACCATAGACCTCTCTAGCAATTCTGAGTTTAATCTTGCGAGAAATTTAATCGCTTTTGAGTCAAGTCGTGCACCATTGACTCTCATCATTGGGCTCTCAGTCCCGCCATCTGTGGATCGTACAAGGCTAAACTTTGGTTTATTTTTTATATCAAGCCTTCGCAGAGCTGGGTTCGATTGGGGAAATATCATGATGTCTATTGCCGACCCGTTACTATCGACGGTGAATGTTTTCAAAGCTGAGAGCAGAGAGAAGAATCTTAGTGATATCACAGATTGGAATTACGACTTTCATACGGTTGGTACCACCCCCTTTTGAATTTTAATTTTTTGCTGTCGATCCGCAAGCCGTCAACGGATTTTATCGTTCTAAAACTTAAACTTCAATGTTTTGCACAAGGTTTTCGATTTTGCCTATTATTTTTTTGAGTTAGCAATGTTTCACCTGAAAACAGGTTCGCAAATTCTGTAATCAAGACAATATTTTGAATATTGAGTAGTAGCCTGCGTCTAGAAAGGGGGTTTTTCGTAACTTTGATTCGCATTTACAGTTTTTTAACAGTTCTGTGATTCGCATTTACAGTTTTTTAACAGTTCTGTAGAAATTTAACACAGGGACATTTGAAATGGTTAAAGAGTTTATGATGGCACAAACGGGTTCAAGAATTTCAACGGTTTTCAGTATGAAAATCTGCTTAGGTTCAGCAGGACGTGTCTTGCTTGCTTTTACCTGACAATAACTTACAATTCATGTATCATTTCATCAAATATTCATCTCCTAAAACGACAGGGAAAACCCCCATTTAATTGCTTTGTATAACTACTATTATACGTTTATTATCAAACAAGTCTAAAATTCGTTGGTGTTGGTGCAAATGGATGGTTTACTTTCGCACAATGTTGTTTAAACATGGCAGGTATTTAATCGTTTCTACTGCAAATATTATTCCCAACTTTCCTCGTAATTTGTTAGGAATGTGTTAATGGGGTTGATTTTTCAATTTCAAGTCATATGTGTTCCTAAAGATAGACCGCGTCAAATGCAGAAGAGCCTAGGAAGCGAAACCAACTCCACCTCGCAGTTTTTTTCTCACTTTCTCTAAAACTGGCACTTTCCGAAGGGAAACCCTTTCAAAGGCTGTTCTTGCTGTTGGTCAAATTCAGCGAGGATTTTGCTGTCTGATCTCCATAATCCGTCCGGGAATGCCAGAAAGATTTTCCCAATTATGGAACTTGATATGTGTAAAGATTTCAACAAATAAATTTGCAATGGGCTCATAAAAAGTTTTATGATACTCTTTTCTGTTCTTGAGATTATAACAAGTTGATTCGGACTGGAGATACAATGAATTCGCTTCATGCAACTTGTTAAAAGTAGTGATATTTCAGGCAGCTATAAGGAATATCAACAAAACCAGTCAATCGAGAAGGAGAATACTACTTACATCAAGTGAACAAACTTTTAATCTACTTAATTGTAGGACAATGTTTATATTGCGACGATATCTTTTAATTTTTGCCAAAGTCAAATGCCAGTAATATTTTCTCCTCTAGAAGAAAACAGTGGAAAATTACGCTGTTTTTTTGTATTCAGGCCTTTGTTCAAGATGACGCGGTGATTAAATTCATGTTGTTGGAATTTCCCCACACAAATTGTTGTCTGGTAACACGTCAAATTGGATTCTTTTATATTGATTCTGGCTTTGACTACATCCGAGAAGGACTTGCCACGTCCGCTGACGTCATGTTTAGTTCAGTACAATGGTGAGACGATAGTATTCAAAGCTTGAAGGGGGCGTCGCCTCTGACCTTCTATCTGATTGAGAAATAAATCAGTTTCAGATAGTATTATGGTGCGGTATTGCGTGACTTTTAGGCTGTTATCGGGATACCATCGTTCTACCACATTTTGGTTTGGTAATTGTCATCAAATCAGAAGGACCTCTGGTAGTGTTACCTCAATTATTCAGAGAAAATTGCAAACGAGCCATTTTTTAAATAGTTCTCTTTATCCCCTAAAAAGCTTCCATAATTCACAGCTACTTTAAAGTTAAAGATATCCTCGCTGTAATTCGGAAAAATATTTTGTCATTAGTTGTTAGATAAAATAATGTTGAAATATTCCGATATCGGAGCGTTTGAAATATAAGAAAAAGACCTACCATATGTTTAGAGGGTTCGGACTAAACTATTTACACACACTTTTGCATGCTTGCAAAATCTCTTTGACTTTGATAAGATTAAGGCCAGACCATGCCAAACAAACGTAAACTGTATAGAATGTTGAATAAGATAATAATTATGCTAGGCCCGCTCACGCCGCCGATATTGTTTATGGTCACGATTTAGCGCTTTAAACAAAGCGGTTACTACTGAAAATTTGTTTATTGCCGACAGAGTTAGTAGTTTACACACATATGGGCAAAAGATGAATTATGGTTTTCGCGAATACTCAGTTTTTGTACCAGCAGCTTGTGGACGGGATTTTCTTCGCTCCACAAAATGACAGAAGTGAACAGTGAGCGACTGCATAACTTTTACCTTACAACCAAGGACATTTCAACCGGAGGTATCAGGATGTATGCCCCCACTTCTTTTATCTCCAAAAAAGCTCCCTGCTCTTGAATACCGCCTTTTAAAACAGAATCAATACCAGGAATGTTCCTTATTTCCCCCCCCCCCCGGAGGGACATCACAGGCTAGCTCCCCCCTCGGGAGGATTTCTGGTATGTTTAGGATGAAGAAGGTCCCTCTTTTAGGGTGATTTAGGATATGGGTAAGAAAACACTTTGTTAGGGTAAGCCAAATGCTGGAATATTCCATTGGTTTCAAATTAGAGAACATCAAAAAAGGAAATGCGATTTTTAGGAAAAATCAAAACAGCACGAGTAGTGAAACCAAACAGAAAAATTGTGTTTTGCATTTATCTTTATCCCGAAAAATTTGTTTGGGTCAATTTTATAATCTGCCCCCCAGCACACCTATCCAGTATCCTGAACATAACAGAGTACCCCCTGGGGCATGCTCTCAAGTATCACCGACTCCTTCAATGGTATTCTATTACTACTATTAGCGGTACTCAGCCTCTATTTTACTATACCAGTGCCCAGGGGGTCTGGTTCATAACTCGGTTCCTTTAATGCTCCCCCTACGGAATACATATTGACATCATTACTTTTTACATCTGCCGCGTGTGTAAACAGCCTCATAGCCGGATTATTTTTCAAGATTCCCACCTCAATGTATAATTAAACGTTTTTGAAATCATATCGCTTTGACATATCCATGACATAAACCTTTGCAGAGTTTGCTCTGTCTGGAAAATACCGTGAGAAAATTCTGCAGAATGATTGATAAAGCTGCCCGTATGCCTGATTATCATTACCAAAAGAAACTGAACGACATTTGCTGCTATCTATCAGTCCATTCTTATCTACCTGAAGTTTCTGTGGCCAGTTTGCGTCTTTTGTCATTCGAATGAAATGAAACCGATTTTCGAAAGATGGCCTCAGACTTAGGCCCGTAACCAACAGGGGCAATGAGTGCGGACAAAACCCTTTGCTTTGGACCCAAACCCGAGTACTGTATGTCACAACATACGTATACAGTGTTCAGAAGAGCAAATGCCTTCTCTGCTGAGGAATTCTAGCCGGGATTTTAGGACCAGACTCGCCAGACTCTTACCGTACAGGTTTTATGGCGGCAGGGTCCTCGTGTTCAAGCAGGGGCCTAGGGGTGAAACTTGAGATCGAAAGTTAATATGTATAATCATTTATTTGAAAATGAGATTAAATATTTACCGGGCCTTAGCTACCCTTTCCCTGAAAGCTTTTTTCGGGGCAAAGGGCAAAGCCCCTGGTATTGATAAGCGCGTCTAAATTAACTGTCAATTTGCCCACAAAATCGCCTAATTCTCAGGCAATTATTTTGTGTGACTATTAGGCAAGCAACCCCATATTTTGTCGCCTGTACGCCGGCGGGCCTGTCTTTCATCAAAATAGGAACACCTTGAAGGAGAACGGTTTCCGTCTTTGAGAAGTAATGTGATTTATTTGGTTAAATGTTAGTTACAATACCTTACAAACAAATTTGTCACCGTTTAGCAACTTGCTAAGTCATCTAAGAACTAAGATCTTTTCTGTCTCTTGACCCATTCTGTCAAGTTCTGCTAAGAAGGCCCCCCAAACAGCGTTTTTTTGCTATTATTTTCCTGATTGTAAGGTAAATTGTAATGAAACTATTGATGAACTTCATCTGTTCTTAGTAAGATTGTTGTTTATCATACTTGTTAAAGAACCATATAGTAATGAAATTATTTTATCTTTAAAGCTTTGGAGTGAATTTGAAACATCATCAAGTGATGGCTCGACATCTGACAGCGCAGATGATAATTTCACGGTGGATATCGTGGAGTTTCTCGCAAACAGCTCGCAACAGTCTAAAAGCGAAACCCCCGAGAAAGCAGTGCAGGTGAAGCAAGAACCCACAGAGTGTAGCGAAGACTGGAGCTCAGGGAAACGACCACAGGAGGAAAGTGAACACAACAGGGACCTGGCAGGCTCTCCGCCAAACCTGCAGCCTGTAGCTGTGGCGTATGTGCAGCAAAACTATCAGCAACAGATTGGTGACTGTTTTCAAAAACGATCTGTAGAGAATTTTATTGTCAACGAGTCTACAAGTCCAATACTTATTCCATCTCTGCAAGAGGCAAACGGACCGATTTATATTTCCCCTACCACTGCGGTGGCACATCAATTCGCAACTATGCAGCCGCAATATATATTGACTGTGGCGAATCCTGCAGGGCCTAGCCAGTGCTATCACCTAGTTCCTTCCCATGAACGACATAACATTTACACTACTGTTACGAAAGCACCATGTGCGGAAACGTGCTATTCATCAAACGGCTTCAACATAAATGAAAGTTGTTGTCTCCCGGATGGCCGAAGTATCATCGTAAACCCAACTGCAGTTTTACCCCAAGTTGTCCTATCGTCCAGTGTGGAAATAGGCCCATCAGAGCTGAGTGGAAAATTCAAGGTTGCTCCCATCCCAAGTGAAAATTTACAAAATTTAACTACATCTGCAATGGTGGGTGCGCATTCTGTTTCCGTAGAGGGGAAATTACGAAATGGAATTGAAAAAATGGATTATACGCTAGATATCGGACTTGAAAATCAATTGATATCAAAAAAGGACTCTTCTTTTGACAACAGTGCACTTAAGCGTAACGTCTCTGTACCTCGCACACATCAGTGCTCACATCCTGGTTGTAAGAAATCATACACGAAAAGCTCGCATTTGAAAGCACATCAAAGAACCCACACGGGCGAGAAACCTTATGCGTGTACGTGGGAAGGTTGCACGTGGAAATTTGCACGATCCGACGAGCTTACACGACACTATAGGAAGCATACAGGACTTCGACCATTTAAATGTCTGAGATGTAGTCGCACTTTTTCAAGATCGGATCATTTGTCGCTGCACATGAAAAGACATACAAATAGTTAAATTCCTACCCTTAATGGATTAGAGAAATTATGTAGGCTGGATCTTTTAAAAGCATCTTAGGGAAAATGTAAAATCCGTATTATAGAACCATAGTTTTGACTTTTAATTCTCAGGGGTTTCCTGCAAGCGTTTTGAATGCCTTTTGTAGGCACTGCAGGAGATGGCATAAAAAGACTGCTACGTTGCAATGCTCCGCTCAACTGCTTAGGTTAACTTAGTCTCGTTTCAGCATTGTGGTTGCGTAGCCTAGACCGTTTCAGCATTGCAAAACGAGGCCTAGACCCTCTATCAACCTTTTTCCGATTATACTAATGATAAAAGCCGCGAAGCTTGGTAAACTCCCCTTAGAATAGTAAACGAAAGCCTTAATGTTCATCTCATCAAAGTAATTGATTGTTTAACATATCTGGACGGATGAACTGGGATTTTTTAAAATTATTTTCAGCGAAAATAACGCAAGGATTACATGGATTGAGTTTTGGACAACCAATTGAATGAGGAGACCAATTTCAAGCCTCGATGGAGATGTCTACTAAGTCTGCTGAAAGTTGTGGGTGGGGGGAGGGGGCATCTGCCATCAAAATTCTTCAAACATTGACTCTCCTTGAATGTTACTTGGAATAAAGCTGGAGCTGCTTCGATATGATATGTTCCACTGCCTCAGACCAGTAACAGCATTCTATCTCATATAAAGCAGGGGATAAAACGTTAGGCCATTAGAATGAATTGATGAAACGGTTAATACAGAAAGTAAAAAATGATCATCTACGCCCATATGTTTTCTAAGGAAATCTGAACATGCGTAAGCGATCGAATTTTTTTTACATCAGGTACAAACTTGACAAACTTAACGTTTTATTCCTTCAGAAATTTCAACCTTGAGAATTTTCTATCTTACTTCAAAACGATACTACTTGATAGGTATCTGACCCTCAATAAAAAGTTCATATATATTTTAACGATCTACATGCTTTGAATGTATATGGCATTGAAACAGCAGTATCAGGCTCCCAGTAAACGAATTGCCAAAATTTGTATCGGACCCGAATAATTATGACGAAACCGGAAACTTTTATGGTGACACACTTAGATTCTTTCGTAGAAATCTGGAAATTACTGGCGTCCTTTATGACATTAGAATTATTTTCGCAAAAACTAATGCTGTACATTTCTTAGTGACCCTTTCCTATGGTACATCAGGCAAGCGCGCGTGCAGGAACTTACTCTTTCAATAAATATAATTGACTTGGAAATATTTATTCCGAGCACGCACAAACAGATTTCCAGATGCCAGTTCCACTTGAAAGCATTATATGACCGGGAATGATGCTGATAAGGACTTCAATAAAATGACTCGATTGTTGCTCCTGCCACCCAAAAAATAGTTTTCAAATGATTACAATGGAAACCATCTTTTGTAAAATGTTGACATAAAAAATGACATTTTATTCTTATTTATTTACAACGCCTCTTCTTCTAAATTATGACATTCTGTATTTGTTGGCGATGTTTCGAGAAAAGGCCATGTTGGAAAAGAAGCCAGCGGGGTATTTGTAAACTAAAGATGGCCTTTACGAAACCATTGGTACTAGACCTCTGTAACTTCGGCTTGGCCTTTTTAGGCTGTAAACTATATTGAATCTTCTTAGACTAGCTTTTTAAAGCCTTTTCGAATATGTTAATTTTGTACAAATGTAAAAGTAAAATATTTAGTATCGAGAATATTCAATTTTTAGCAGTATTAGCCTAAAAATCAAAATTGCCTTTTATAAGCTGATATTAAGTAAATGATATAAACAATTGAATTTTTCGATGAAGTGCTCTGCGTAGGCGTTAGACCACGTCAATCATTCATCACTTTTATCATCAATCGTTGTAATCACCGCCACAATCATCATCTTCATCAATAGTCACTACCATCATCACCAATCACCATAATCAATCAATTGTCAATCGTGATCATCATCATCAATCATCGCCATCATAATCGACCATCATCTTACATCATTATCATGAGTTTCTCAATTCATCAAACAATCACCATTAGCACATGTAGCCTTTGGATAGCCAATTTTTCTATTTATAACTTTAGAATTGCTTTTAGGGTCGGATTTTAAAACACACACGTCCTGGGATTATGTGGTTTGAGACAAGAAACCAGTTATGCAGGGCTGTTGAATGCAACTAATCTTGAAACGATGGACTGGATCGTGCCCTGCAAACACGAGATATTATGCCATAGTTCTTTTTGTTATTGCGAAAAATCGTCTAGCTACGTTTTTATTCATATTGAAAAGTAGGAGTTATTTGTCTTTTCTAAATATTGAGCCACTCCTTTGTTTTAGTGAAATCTAAAACCATAACTACGTGATTATACAGTCAAGCAACCCATGAATAAAGACTGCTTTTATCGCATAACATGGAGGCAATTAAAAAGAATCGAAGCCACAGGTTGGAATCCTTTCATGGAAAACAAATGTTATTCCTAATCTCTTTTTAACAATTTAATACCTACCTCCCACTATAAACCTTAATGCTTGATTTTGGCCCTGCTTAGTCAGGTAGAAATTGGGCAAAGGAACTACTCAGAGGCGTAGAAAGCATGTTAAACGCTGGGGGTGGGGGTGCATGTAGACCAGTGACGACAGAACGACCAAGGGGCAAGGGGGCAGGCTTGAGTAAAAGAGCATTTGAAAGATAATTCCCAGCTTCTATTAATTCTTTCGTAACTTCCATTTTATTTCCATCTTCTGTAGGTATCTAGAACCGTCGTCGAGAAACGTCATCAGGAATTAGGCACTAAAAATAAAATTTCTTATGAATCTCTCTCATTACTACAAATGGCCGGTTTCAAGGGCACTTAAATGCAAAGGGCACTCTGGCTCCCCTTGCCCTTCATATTAAAAGGCAACAAGGGCGGTTGATCCCCCGTACCCCGGTACCCCCCTTCCCCGTCATCCAGCGTCCTTGGTTTAGACAAAAAGCAGCACTTTTATTAGTTTATTAGACAAAAAGCAAATGCCCCCAGTATCCCTTGGTCCCTAGGTCTATCTACTCATAAATCAGCCTAGGGGTTTAAAGTCCTGGTGCCGAAGGCATAATGAAGCCTTGTCTATCAAAATTTACAATCTTTTTCCCATTTATTTGTAAACTGTTTAACTTGGCTACCAACAAAATAAAGCGTTGATTCGTTTCTAACACAGATTATGGGAAAGCGTTGAACGAAATCTAAATGACTCAGGAATTTATTTCGGGAAAATAGCTGAAGAGTCAAAAGAAATTAAAGTGCAAAACATTTGAAGCGAGATTTTGCTTTGAACATCGAACATTTGAACATTTGAACAACTTTAAAACTCAATTTTCAAAGAAACAGTGTTGCTGAATGGCTTTTGTAAGAAACTGCCACCATGTGTGGGGAGGGAAAAATAATTTTTAGATCACATACTTTTTAATGTCAGGAAAATATTTTCACCAAAAAAGAACGCCGGTGCTACCAATAGGGTGCGCCAATGATTAATTGTTGGTAACATAGTGGATGTAACCATAGATTACACTACAAATTAGTTTACTAACTCTATTACCCATTCTCTATCGGTTTCTTATCAGATTCAGAAGAATTCAAATCGATCTTAACAGAGGAATTGGCAAAGACGTAGAAAACATTTCAATAGAGGCGGGGAGGGGGACATGTAGTCAAAATAAGGGCACGTCCGAAATCTGCAAGTAGTTCCTCTACCATTTTATCCTAAAAGTGGGGGGCACGTGCCTCCTGTGCCACCTGGTTCCTACGTCTATGGGAATTGGGAGGGGACATGTCTCCCAGTCTCTGTGGTATCACCATTAGTATACTCTGCAGCTAATCCGATGATGAAACTTTCATTTTATGTTTATCTGCATCAACAATATACCTTTCATGCTACAGCCAGCCATAGGGGGCAAGAGGACCATGACCCCTGTACTTTTCTGAAAGTAGCCTTTTAAGAGTTGATAGCCAAACTTTCTCTAAACTTCACCGTGAAGTCCTAGGGGCCGCCCACAAGTGACAAGAAAAAATGCACTTTCCTTTCTTAAACTTAAAGTTCGACCAGAGATGCAGTTGTCAGCCCTACTGAAAATATAGACACCACAGTGTCCCTGCATCAGACAGATTCGGATACTGTCTATCCATTCATCAGAAAGATGCTATTAAATTTTCGAGTAAACAAGATCTTACAAACATGAGTTTACCATATCCAGACTAAACCGTATTTCAACTTAAGAAAGCTTTAAGAGTTTTAGATCAGTGAGCAATGAAGGATCAAGTTTATTTTGGACCTCTGCCCACAATCCATCTTATGCTGAATTAAGGTTACTCATATTTACCCACCCTTTTCATTGTTTTCTTTATTCCCACATTTACATACGATTTTCGTTTTGTCATTCTTGTGAATATATTTTCTCGTTCTGTTTCAGCGTCGTTCACCTACGTACAAACTGCTGTAAAAAAGCTAGTCATAGAGTATCCTCTCCTTCTTTCAAGCATATATCAAATTCGATAGAAAGTATATTCTAAAATGCAGATCGACCGTTCATTATGACAAACAATTTAATTAGATAGTTTTTGGGGATTATTTGCCTTCATATGTGAAAAATCAAGCATAGATAAGGTTGTTTACGTAACATAATTTACATGGTTTCTAAATGATCTTGGATATCAAGAAGTCTTTAAGTCATAAATAATTCGAAGAAGTAACTCGAGTCCCTTATGGCTGATCTTTTATGAAATTAATACAAAGTTTGGGTTGTTAATTTTGATCATTTTCTGTAAGTTTCGGAAAATTAGAGTAAATTTAGGTCAAAGTTTTGATCCTTTGGCGAAAAAACCTTGTCCATAGGGTAAGGCGCCGCATCGTGGGCCTTTTTCATCTCTAGGCAAAAAGCTTCTGTAAGAACAGGGGTAGATCCAGAGCAAATTTTAAGGAGGGGCAGTTGGTAGTGGGCGCGCTGAAAAATTTTTCAAAAATTGGTTACGAGAGTACGCTGTATACAACAATTTCAGATACCTTTTCAGAATAAACATAACTTTGAGGTAATCCTTCTTTTTCATCTGATTCTCATTTTTCAAAAGGGGCGCACAATTTCCAAGAAAAGGGGCGCCAGACTTGCTTCAACTCGTTGAGGGAGTGGCAACTGCCCCTAGTTGCCCCCCCCTTAAATCCGCCACTTTTTAAAGAACTCTAAAACCCTAAAGGCTGGGTACCGTGTATTCTTGGTACAAGTTGCATTTTAAGCCGCGCATATGATGTAATGCACCGAAAACTTTATAGTGTTCTGTCATTCAAAAAACTTTATTCTGTCATCGAAAAATAAGTGTATTTAAAATTACTGTGCTAAAAATTAGACATTTTTTTCTCACATATAGGACACCATAAATTACCCTTTAGCCTAGAAAGTGTCTTATAAACCAGATAAAATATTTGAGTCTAGAAGTTTTTAAAAAAGGTTTCCTATTTGCTGGGCCTTACTGTAGTATCTAATCCAAGTAGAGTAATAATAGTAATTTTAACTGTTTGTAGATAAGCTTGCACGTAAGCAAATAATTGATAATCAAAGGCTGCCCCCTGAGTCTGACCATTCTCCCATCTTTGTTGGTAGAGTGACACACAGCATCAGTTTTTGTAGAAGCAATAAGAATGTTTAAGTGTTTTGAAAAGCACGGCTGAAATGAACGCTTTCCACCAGTTGAATCCTTAAGCAAACCAAATTGTAATCAATAATATTTATTTATAATGAGTCACAACCTGTAAGTCGTTGCCTTTTTGCTTTTTCAGCTGCTACATGCTTTTATATTTCTCTAGATTTTTAAATAGGTTACAATTTCAAATGCAACTATTCTACTTAGAAAACTTAAGCTCGCATGGGTTGAAAAAACATATCACAGGTTTCTGCTTTTACTTCAAGCTAGCTCTAGGCTCTATAAATTTGGTTTCCTTTGAACCTCCATTTGAAAAAGGTAATCTGGGATTCCCCCCTGAAATAAATATTTTTTCGCAGAAATCAATCTATTAAAGATAAAGAAAGGGGCTTGCTATTTTACGTAAGAAGTCATTTTGAAAGTTGGTTATCAATTTTCTACAGTAAAATTGGGACTCTCTGACATAAATACTAGACAACTGGGTATTTTGGATACATTTTTGGTGCACTTCTTTTTTCTTATAGGTTGATAAATCAATATAAACGAACAATCGTAAGTGCATTAAAATCAACCAAACAACAACAGTTACTCGACAGTATCGATTTCAAATCGCATGCAGGCACTGCAGAGAATGGGGCTGAGGGGGCTATAGCCCCCCACTTTTCGCCAAAAATGCAAAAAAATTGCCAATGAATCACCAGTCAAGTCACTTTTTATTCGTTTTTAGCCCCCTCCCCCACTCCCACTTTTTTACACCCCCTACATTTCTCAACGCTCCACGGTGTCTGGTATACAATGATTATTTTGTCTATTCAGATAGATTTTCAGGAGGAGTTAACACGGGGCTCATGATTTGAAACTGGTATCTATTCACATGCACATAGAAGGGTATTTATTCAAAATCTACCTTATTGATTTATAAGGCACCACAATCAATTACTTATCAGCGCTTTTTTGAAAGTTTCCGAATCAGTTGAAAAATCAATGTCAATTTTGAATAAATCAAAGAGGCCTAGGCCTGCTTAGACACAAATCGGTTTAGGAAATTCATTTCTTTTAACCCAAGCCCATAAATCTATTATGACGTAATATAAATCCCTCCGGTATCAATTCTTGTTTTGTTCCCAGCATTTTCAAGCTTAAAGAAATCAAACTCTAGGCTGATTCAATAAAATCTAGATTAACATGCTTATTCAAAATGCAGTATCGCAAGGCAATCTTCAATTTATTAAATGCTAGGCGATTAAAATTATCAAAATCCTTACACATAGGTTTGATTATGAATTCAAAAGCAGTTGTTACAAGGTGGTTGTAAAATCATTTATTTTGTGGTCTGTGATATCCTAGGAAGCCGACAGATTTTTCGGAGCTTCTTACGTCACCTCTTAAAATTTACATTTACAGCTCCAGGGCTGGATTTCAAAATGATGATACCGATGAGAGAATTCCAAAATTATTTTAGGTAAAATGTATTCTGATACTGAAAACGGCAATTTAATTGCAGCAATTTGTTTTGTTTTGTGGTATCAACTTTATGGTATCAAATATTATCTCCAAAATATCATGAAAAGGAGACAAATTGAATAAGAGACTAAGAGGTTCAAGCCCGCCAATGTTGATGTTGTTGTTCATTGAACGAAGAGCGAGCCAGGCAGCAGAGTAGTAAACAAACAAAAGAGTTTCACATGCTGGTGAAACTTTTCTTAAAAATGTATTATGATGTTTCAACGTTAGATATTGTCGCTTTTTTATGCATAGCAGGATGGCTGTTTATGATGTTTGTCCATTTGGTCGCTATTATATATGGGTAAGTATGCATGGCCTAGTCGCGTCTATTGAAATTACATTCCGATACTGCGATCTTGCCTTCCAATCTTTGTATTCGTAAGACATATTAGAACTTAGTTACTGAAAACCACAGTAAATTTTTTTCAAAGTTTAAGAAGTATTTTTTGTAATCCTAGTACTCCTGGAAGCCTTTTGCAAAGGTTGAACAAGGATGCAATTGCAATCAATTAGAGTAGAGTTTGCCTTATCAGCAAAAATTCTGTCTCGGGATTTAATACCTTGCTTCATAATCGTGTGATGATATCTTAAATTTAACACTATGCCTTAATGTTAATAATAGATTTATGTAATGGAATTTTCTTTCATTCTATAAAAACTATGCCATTTTTATACAAATTAATTTTAATGGCTTTGAAAAAGCAAATATTTGAGTAAACTAAAGCTTTTCGTCTGACACTCTTCAGAGTTGAAAACGTCAGAGCATAGATCAAAAACTCTATGCTAGGAAATATATATACCCAATTGTGGATCAAAATAGGCCAATCAGAAACGCGAGCACATGACTGTTGAGGTTGACCAATCAGTACCGCTTGCCTATTTAGAATATTATCAATGGAGTCTTAGGTGAAAACGAACTCCTTTTGTCTACACAATAGCGGTTTTTTGTGCTTATGTAGATAGATTCCAAAACTGCTAGACAGAAGGATGATCGGGCTTTACCAATAATCTGAAACATGTCGCCATTATAGTTTTTGGCACAATCTGGGTTTTCCAGTAAATGCTGCCCAATAGCAGAATCGCAGATTTTAGTTGTACTTTTAGATCTGCAAGACCGAGGTGGCTGTTCTCTTTGGGGATGAGTTTTGTTTCTAATACTAGACAGCTTGCCCAAAATCACTAGGGAAATCTTCACAGCTAACCTGACAAAAGCAGATGACCTCAAATCCAAGTTCATTTGATATAACTAGACTGTATCATATGTCTGTCTTTTCCAGTCACAATAACCCTCTGAGAAAACCTCCATAGTGCTGTGTTTTGGTGAAACTACTCTGTTTATGATTTGTCATCATAAATCTATCTTTTAGGAAAATACATTTGTACAGTTGGGGGAACTCTACAAATTTAGATGAGTTGCCAGGGGTGACAATATTGAAGGTATTTTCTTGTTGTTTAATGTTGTTTCAAAGAATATATATTTTAACTGAGTTAAATGATCTTTATTTTATATCTGGTTGAATAATATAACCAGAGTTTATTAAGAGGTCATCAAATTTTTTCTTGAAATAATTTATTAAAACCTAAACTCAATTTTGCAGTATCACTGGCATACATTGTTCTTAATGACATGATTGTTTGCATTAGACTTGTTTCATATTATATCATTTTCAACAATAGCTGAAGAGAAACTTTTAGAACAGGATGGTATTAAGCTGGTATTCCAAGTTTCATGTTTAATTTTGTCATCTAGGGATCCTCTAGCAACTATTTGAAGATATTTTTTTTCTTTTTTAGCCTGTTGTAGGAGATGATGCTAACTCATACAAGAACTTCCAGTCTTTTTTTGAATTAGAATATCCAAAGGTATGGCAATATTGTCTTTTGTTAGAGTACTAGAATATCACCCATTTTGCTTGTATACTTCATTGAAATTTACAGTTAAAAATTCTTTTAACTGGAATTTTGTAAGGGTTGAGGAAAGCAAGAACATGTGGCATATTGAGTATCAGGCCACTATTATATTGTCAGTAAAATTTGAAAAAAATGGTGATTAAATTGAATCATTACTGAGTTCTGTTTCATTGCAAAGTGATGACATAGTTGATTTGTGATGTTTCTGTCTTGAAGGCTTTTATATTTAAGTTTTGAGTCCTGGTTTTCATAGCAATTTAGCATCAACCTGTATGCCTTGTTGCCCACTTTTGCGTGATTAGTTAGTTAATGGCACTGCAGAGAAATTCTGAAGGGAGCTTTGTTCCAATGCATTGAAGGATCACTACTACCCTTTTGGTAACAGTTTAACAATGTTATAGCAAATTTGTGATTTTTTGCTTTTCCTCTAACATCAGGTACATTTGTCCTGATTTAGAGAGGATATTTCATACCAATATTTGAAGAATAAAATGTGGAGCCTGTTTCTATTTCTATCCTTGAAACTTTTTTTTTAATGCAAATAATGATAAGTTTTCAATCTGATTACTTGATTTTTGACTTTGCTTCCAGCAACCAATTAATACAATTATTTGTTCCACTGTAATTTTAGATATTTATCACAGATAGATGAATGGATAGTGAAATTAATTCTCTATTGGTCTTTTATATAGTGCTCAAATATGTATGTGCAGAGCTGTAACACCTTGATGTATAGAACAGGATGGTCATTGCTTCTCAGTTTGCATTTGATAAAATCATCACACATCACTGATGAGTTTATTATTTGATGTGGAAATTTGAATGCATTTATTCTGTTTCTTTCCTAGTATGAAATATTATTCTGTTTTCAAAACGATCATGATCCAGCAATAGCGACAATTGAAAAGTTACTTGGTGCATATCCCAAGGCAGATGCAAAAATATTTCGTTGTAAGTATTTTTTCATTGTAGAGCTTTGCCTCAACTTTACTTAAATTTTGTTACTAAATTGCGATTTTCAAGATACTGCTAATTCTTAAATTTATCTATAATATCTGATATAGTTCCTGTTAAAAATTTTTATTGTTTACAGTCAAAATGTTACAGTTGCTTAAGTTCATCAAAATCATACCCCCATATTTCTGCCTTCAACGCAAAAATTTTGTTCGGACGAAGTACATAATCTCTACACAGACTAATCTCTGTGCACTTGGGAAATCACTTAATGATTACAATTTTTGTGTTAGTGCCTCTTCAAGAGAGAAATCCTGGCATGTTTCCAAAGTAACAGCAGGTTGATATCTTGTGTACCTTTTCTAATATTTAAATCGAATTAGTGCACACAACAATAAATGATGTGACAAATGTAGGCTTACCAACTCATTTGGATTGTTTTATGAATATTTTTTCATCTCTGTTCTTTCTAACTTGTTTTCAAAATTCCTTCACTCCCTCAACAATTTTTGTCCTGCAGGTGCTTTAAATGTAGGAGTAAATCCCAAAGTAAACAATATGATGCAGGGATACAATGTGGCAAAGTATAACCTCATTTGGATAAGTGACAGTAGCTTGAAAGGTAAATTATTCAATTCAATTTCGCACATTCATTCACAAAGCCTAAGAAAAGCAGCTAGTGCGCACTTAGGTCTCAGATAATCCCCTTACATGCTAACTGACTTAAGAAATTATTTCCTTCAGCTCCTACACCCACTGCAATCTTTCCAACAAGCTTATCATTTTCTTAAGCTTGCAGAATCAAATTTTGTGCATGAAAAAGGAGCTTTTTATAAATATTTTAATTGTAGTGTTATGCAAAAAAAGGAAGACAAGTGAAAAGAACGAAATAAAGTAGAAAAAATTGATAGCAAACAAAGAGAATTAAATGTAACAGATAGAAGTGAAGAATACAAAATTTTACTATTAATTTATTTAGTTATTTATCATTATTTTTTCTGCAATGTTTTATTTTAAAGAAAGTATCATTATTCTTTTTTAACTGCAATTCAGCATATGTTGAAAGTTTAACAGTTTCAAGCAAGTAGCAATACCCCGAAAAGATTGAATTAAAATAAATTGAATTTAATGGAATTCAATTATATTTAAATTATGTACCACTCAAGATTGTTTGCAAGCAGCAATAAATAGTCATTTTAATTTGCAAAGCTTTTTTATTTTCATTCATAAGTTCTCCATTTCTCTTTTATGCTAAATGAAAGCTTGGAAACTACTGATAAAGAAAATTATTTTGCCAAGTACATGCATGAAGAAAATGACATTTGTCTTTAAGTTGCTGATTCATTTAATAAATCATTTAATGACTCAGGCATGAAATGAAGCGAAATATTTTCTAATTAATGGATGGATCAATTTGCAATTCAAAGGAATGCTGATACAAACCTACTGTGTGTGATTCTAGATAATGTCTCAAAGTGAATTGTTAGGGAAAAGTTTGCTGATTAAAGTCTTTGAAGCTGTGGTGAAATTCCCAACTGTTATGATTCATGAGTTTTTGCAAGGAGGCATTACTAAAATTCCTTTACAATTCCATTTCCAAAAACTTTAAGCCTTTAACCAATCAATTTCTGTGGGGTGAACTAGCATGTCATTGGTCATTGCTTCATTTGATCAGTAATCAGATGAAGAAGAAAACGATTGAAAGTTTATTTGAATTGAACAATGAAACACCAATTGGCCTTCAGTTTCCGGTGACATTTTCTTTTGTAAGAAATTTCTAATTCTGGGAATTATCTTCCTTACTCGATTTTTTGACCCAGTAACATGAGAGTAGGTTGCGTCATAAAACAGTTGTCAAGCAGTCAAAAGTTTAGCTTGAAGCTTTAATATGCGAGTGCCACTCCCAAAGTCTTTATAATTAGAATGATCTCAATATCTTAGGGGGGGTGCACTCACTTTTAATGATATTTGCAAAGGCCAGACCAGAAAATTTTATGGACAACCTAAAATACCAGGCTTTATGTAAATCAACTTTTTCGTTAATGCTTCCCGTGCTAAACAATAACCATCACTCTTCATTATATAAAAATGAATGAGTTACGTTGGCCCAGTACCTATAGATAATATATCTGAATCCAGCAATAAAAAACATACAAACTAAAGTTTCAGAAACATAAAATTGTCACGCCGTTGTTCCTTCATATATTTCTAGGGAATTGAAATATCAGATTCGACAAAATGAATGTCCTAAGACTTTGGAACAACTCATCCTGTATGTTGCAACATTGAGTGACTCCCTTGATTGATTTCCCTCCTCAGCTGTATATGTAGTGCCTCGACACTTTGTTCCTTAAAAATTCAAGATTCGTGACAATGATGGAAAAAGGTTTTAGATTCCCAGTGAAAAGCAGATAACCTTCATATATTTTTGCTAAAGGTATTTTTGCTAAAGCAGTTATCACGAATAAACAGTGTCTGAATCTTCTAAAGAGCGTTCTGAGTCTTTTTGTCAGCTTACAAAACGATTATCTCTATGCCAAACCAAAACTTTTGATTTGAAAACCATATCTTAAATCCCGTCTTCTGCAACCTATCACGTGATGTGTCACTGTCTTTGCCTCTGAACAGTTTGCTGTTTTTTGTCAGACCACAGGTCGACAATAGTCACCAAGTAATCTTTTCCACAGACTGAAGCCTTGGTTTTTGATCACTTCCTTTCTAACAGGCGTATTCATTTTTGTGTTATGTTTTTAAGCATAGCTGCTGTTATCATTTTTAACTACCTTTGAACGAGTGCTGGACAATCAGTGCTGGACAATCAGTGCTGGACAATCAGTGCTGGACAATCAGTGCTGGACAATCAGTGCTGGACAATCAGTGCTGGACAATCAGTGCTGGACAATCAGTGCTGGACAATCAGTGCTGGACAATCAGTGCTGGACAATCAGTGCTGGACAATCAGTGCTGGACAATCAGTGCTGGACAATCAGTGCTGGACAATCAGTGCTGGACAATCAGAAGAAAATAAGAAACTTTACTACTCGGAGCCAAAAATTGAGAAACAATTGAATTTTGAAAAAACCGAAACTACGAAATTTCACGAGAGTCCATCAATCTGATTGACTAAAAGACATAAAGCTCTGGATAAAATGAATCAAAATAATAAAAATGGTACAAGTATTTGAAAACAATTGACCTGTCTGCTTGCAGCCACATGGATAATTGTAAGACCCCCAAATATTGAAATTAATGAAATCACAATTAAGAATCTTTTAGGGAAACAACGAGTATTAAAATTTCCCAAAGCATTAAGAATTTGAAGTATTTAACTTTAATCTTTGTTTCTTTTAAACAAGTTGAGTTTAGCAATAATGGATTGATATTTTCTAGTAACGCCCAACACCCTGCAAGAAATGGTATCTCATATGAAGCAGAAAGTTGCAGTTGTTCATCAGGTAAACGGGAGCTTCGTTAAAAATTTCACTTGTTTGTCAAAACGCAAAAAATTTGAATAACGCCAGTAATCAGTTTTTAAAAGCCACCCACTCTTTCTGTATAAATCGTATCTGGTTAATCGTTCTGCCTTTGGTAGTTTCCATCCAAACTAATTAGGGGGATTTCCTGCCACCGCATATAGGTTTTTGAATTCAGGCCAATTATTTTGCTAGGCCTGAAGCTGAAGTTTTATATATTTTTATTCGTTTATCATCTGTCTTGAATTCATAAACTGTTTAATTTGATTAATTAGTATAAAAGTAACATGGGAAAAGGCAGTGAGTAATTTGCAACTAAAAAGAAATTCCCTGCCACAAATTATTGGGATCAACTATGGCAAAACTCCGCCAATTTGGAATGCAAAACGTTGAATTATTCTGTTACCACTTCTATAGAAAAGTACTTTCGCATTAGCTTTTTGGTTAATTTGACGTAGGCTTTTAAATTTTCCGAGACTTGCACTGGTATTCTGTAATATATATGTTTACCGTTTTTCCATATTTTTCCAAGTGCCGTAGTTTGTTTACGTACGATTAACTGGAAAGTTTTTAGATTGGCATTTTTAATCCACCAGGAGGTTTATTGAGGATTTCAGAAAGTGGGTACAATTTAAGTAGGGGGGGAATTGTATTCCGAAAATTCCAGCCCTCTTTACATTTCCTAAGGCAGAGGTATCGTCCCATCGCGGAAAATTTCTCATCAATAATAGAAAAATGTAGAAAAAAACCATTTTCAGCATTAGTAATGGGGTCTTTTATTCATTCCAAAAAATTACATGACAAGTTAATAAAATACCATAAAGTACACGTTTCTATACATACACTACAAATACGATACCCCAGGGAGCACCAACTATGCCCCCCCCCCTAAGCTCCTATCACTACCACTCTTTTTTAAGAATCTTATGTTCCCTTTAGACCGCTCTGTAAAATACCCAATGATGGGTTTTAACATTTCTATCAAAGTATTATATAAGTTTGAATCTATCAAAGTTTATACAAGTCTCATAAAACCTTATATCAACATTTTCTATTTGAAGTTGCCATTCATTACAAATGGAGATGGATTTGGAGAAAGCTTAGAAAAGGTGATTTTATTATTGATCGAATCAAGTTGCTAATTTTTTAAGCGTATAAAATTCTCATTTTATGTCAAGCTCTGTAAAGCATATACAGGAATTTTCTCAAAATTTGTATATAAACATATATGTGCGTTATAGCTGAATATTCATTAACGACAAGCAGTTTTTCGAAAATCTGTCATAAAAACATTTCCAAATTTCTCTGTCTACTAGACTCTTTCGTTTCAGGTAAGGCTATTAAAACTATATTAATAAGAATTAATTCTGCCCTTAACTGCATAAAGAAATTTAAACGAAATAAAATAAAACAGTCTGTCGCAATAATTTTCTTACACAGTCCAGAACGGCTTCAAATGGAGCACTGCAGCAACACAGCTCCACGATGAAGCACTCAATTTAAGAGGCCACTCGTTCTTTCTGAATTTTCTTCAGCAAAGTTTACACTTCTTGTGTTTTCATTTTCAGCTGAATCCATATCTAGCAAGCCGACGAATAACCTTTATAATTGCATAGTCCTTTTAATGTCTCTTTATGATGATTTAAACGTCTGTTGCCTTAAATTCGGTATTGCAATTCCTATGTAAGAACACTATGTTGATCCCCTTCCCCCCTCCTCCACTTGATTTCGCAAGATTTATCTCCAGTCGTTTTCTCCATTACTTGTATTGCTTTTGCAGAAAAATAATGTCAGAGTTTTCAACTCTGTGTCAGTTTGTAAACAGTCAATGTTTTTATTTACATTAAATGACAAATGTTTAGACCCATTTCAACATTTCTACCGCACGGGGGTACTTACCAAATTACCAAACTCAAATACTTACCAGAAGTTTCACAAAACCTCTTTTTCTCCTCCTCACGTATTAGGCTGTACAAATTAAATCATTAATTTTGAAATTCGATAAAAGTTTCAAAAACTCTTTAAATGCAGTTACCAGTAACCTTCGAAAAGATGTTCTGCAATACAAATACGAGGTCAAATGAGTTTTCACAGCCCTCCCCCTTCAAAATGATGACTGGTTCTGCCCTCAATGCCTGACCACACCTCCTGACCCGGCTGTGCCTAGCTAAACCCTTCAAAATCTCAATGTCTGCACGATATCAGTGTAGGTTTACATGGTGTTAGAATCCTAATTGATAAGCATCCACGCCCATATACATTATTCCTGTAATCCAATTTAAGTTATAAAGCTGCTCTAAATTTGGAGCCAATGGAGGCTTGTTCTTGGCTACGGTCGCCTACGACTAAACTTTCAAATAGAAAATTTCAAAGCCCGAAATATATTACATTTAAATTCCTACCTCCCAATAGATTCCATGGATGTAGGTCTATATTTTAAGTGCCATTGGTTTTGATTAAAGTTATTCATCTTCTAGCCAGAAAAAGATGGTATCGAATATTCCACATACTAAAAAGACGATTTCGTCGGTACTCCTGTCCAAATGTTTCCGCTCAGTTGTTTTTCAGTGGTGTGGCATGGGGGCGGCTGTGTGGACGGTTACCCCTTAGCAATGTATAAAAATATGATATTGCCAATACCCAATGTTTCACTATACCAAAAAGGTCTTTCTGTTGTGTTGTTTTCACTCAAGTTTTTTGCACTATAAATTGCTGATGATGGTGCTGCAGCCAAGTGGTCTCTGCGCAGTTTTTTATTCATTGGCGCACCATTTGGATTTATCATGTCACAGATTGTATATCACTGAGCGTTAAAATAAGGCATATGCTTCGTCCCTGTTTATAAAGAGAGCCATGGTCTTTGAAATTGCAAGAGTTCTTGAGATTGCAAGAGAATCTAAAAGCAAATTTTTTTGGAAGGGACGTACTTTTTTTCGTCATTCACCTGTCATATCGCCTGTTCTATTAACAGTCTTGTCTTGAATCAATTACCTTTATGTGTGCCATTTACTAACATGAAAGAATGTGATCTTTTGCCCGTGCTTCTACTTGAATATGTCCATAAAGGTGTGGTTTAGTGTGTTATTTCAAGCTGCAGAGGTCAGATTGCTCTCTTTTCACATTCTAAATGTGTGCATGAAAAGCGATCAGATTTTGCTTTGGGGTTTTTTGTGATTTCTCTTGACAATGTATAAATTTTTCAAATTAAGATAAGCGATATGATTGGATGAAGCGAAGGCTAACCCTATTTGCTTTTAGATATCCTGACTTTCAATGACTGATGATGAAGCAGCTTATTTGAAAGCCTTTCAAAGAGGCCTCTGAGCAGAACACTATTTTGGCTTTCAATGTTTTGCTGTCTGCCACAGTTCTCGCATCTATTTTCTTTTGTACCCTCGAGCCCTATAAGCGTCAGCCAAGCAGAGCCATCGCTACGGTGGCGCTTGGGGGGTGGGGGGGGGGTTGGTGACACCTAATTTGAAAAAATTTCATTTTTAAAAACGATATAACTTTGTTGCCATGTAGGGCTGCTTGGTCGTCAAATTTTCAGAGTTGTCTACATGTATAGGTTGAATCACCCATTTTGTCGGCAAATGGGACCTCACCACTATCAACGGCCTTGTAGCCACGTAAATACTTCGGAATTCTGCAGAGGTGTTACGCGTTCATTTAGTTTTTATTCTTGTTTTGTAGGTTTACTTTGGTACACAGCATGCCCGTGTATACTTGTTCACCAACTGTATGCAACTTCAGTGTGTTAATGGCATGTCAAGTCTCATTAACAAAACAGCTCTTGAAGAAATCGGTGTGTGTCAATTCGTGAAAATTCTTTCACTTTAGTAGGCGAACTTGTCAAATGAGTAACCCATGATTTTCACTAAGAATATCCTTATATCACATGCGATTATTAAATTTATTTCTGTCTCCCGAAAGCGAAAGAAAATCGGATTAGATAGTTTGCTAAAAAGGAATCCATCGTAGTGCCTTCCGCATTGTCACTGCCTGATGTTATGGTTTTTGGTGAATAATGTTATATGAGTCACAGTACAGAAAGTGTCTAACAAATGGTAGCTGAATAGTGCTCCCAGCAGAGTGTCTTCTAGAACAGAAAGATAGTTCTAAATGACGTCCGCTTTTCCTGCTTTCTCCTAGATACTGTAGACGATATATTATATATGGTAGCACTTTATATCCCCCGGTGAGAGGGCCCTTTTTCTTTTAATTTTGTGTGTTTTCTATGTCCTTTTTTGCTTCATTTAGGGGGTCTTCGATCACTTTCTGACTACATCGCTGAAGATTATTACATGTGCAAAGAGTTTTACAAAAGGTATGGATTCTGTATACATAAAACTTAGCGGAAGACTTGTGACAATTTTATCCAACCTTTTTCTCTTCTTTCCGAATGTATTTAAACAGAAAAATATATCACAGTAAACTATTCAGAATTCTTGTAATACTAGGTACAATAAATTTCTTGGTTTCAAGCTATCCAGTAATTGCCAAAATCATTAAAATGCTTTCTTACAGATGTTCACTAAAAAAAATTTCTCGCCGGTATTCTAAGATTGCATAAATTATTTAAAAACTTGAAAGCTACTGTTAAGCTAAAAGATTCCTCAAATCTTTAGCAAAATACAAATGTTGCCAACCACTTCCCTTCAATATTTTTGTTTGATTATGATATCTTTAGGATAACTGTTCGTAGCAGATATTCCAGTAGTCTTGATAAGCCTTTCTCTGATGAGCTAGCGTTCTAGGTTTTTCATTTAGTTAAATTTTTCATGTTTAAGGAAACCTTTATTTAATCTTTAAAACGAATTATTCTTTAACCTGCTTTCTTCTTGCAAAGGGGCTACAAGCTTGTTCTTAGCACACTGCCTGCCTTGCAAAATCCAGAAGTAAGAACCGTAGCCAAATTTAGAGACAGGATGGTCAGGTAACGCTTTCTGATTTTTAAGTAAACCTTTTCCCAGTTTGATAGATCGATAAATTTTTACAGAGTGCAGAAAAAGTGTTCATCCTCTCTTTGGCAAAGAGGCCGAGACATTTCTCAGAAAAACATTGGAAAAGAAGGCCTGGCCTTTGCAATGTAGCTGGACTTTGTCAAATGGCCTTCTTCACGATTACTGGCCTTGCATTTTCCCCGGACTCTGAATATTGATTTGGTGCCGTAACTTAATTTACATGTATTTTTTTGTATTTATTATTTTGTTTCGAGTAGACAAAGCTACTCCTTAGCCTTTTGCTGCCTGACTGTCAAGATTCGAATGATGATAAGTTGAACACTTGTATAATACTAAGGACATGGAAGTATCACTGAATTAGGGGGGTATTTTCTGTTCAATACTCCTCAAAATATAAACCTTTTCAAAGTATAGAACTCCTCAAAGTATGAAATGTTGGATAATGACCAATGAGTTAACGACTAATAGCTGTTTGATATAGTGAATAAAGACAGAGAAAGCAGTGAAATTTCTCAGTATCAGCATTTGGTGTAATCAGCGTGGAAAGTAGTGCAGAAAAACGGCAACTGAAACGCCTTTTGTTTGGTATTTTCATTTCTTCATATCGAGCAACTAAGGTTCTGTTTGTTTATCCATTTTGTAAGCAACAAGTTCTAAAGTTGGACTTCAATTAGCTGCTAGTATCAAGCTTAAAGCAAAGTTTGACTTCTGCCTCGTCTTGCGTAATTGCGAGGGAAATAGAAGCCTTTGCTGGCCCTTTTGCTTTTATACCAAATAGAGTTTTATTGAATTCCATTTCACAAATACAATCTGCAACTCTTTCCGGTCCTCCCGAATCCCCCCTCCCCCCTTCATTTCCCCTTAGACTACTTTCTTAACCCATGTCAGCTCTAATATTTGTCCATGTAGTGTCAGCTTAATTTCTATGAAAGCGATTCTGGTGGAGTTTTCCTTACCTATCTAGGTATTGTTCCACCTGTCTAGCTTTCTTCATCCAACAATTCAAGTATTGTTTTGAAAGAGCTTTCACTATCTCTCTCTGTGTATTGAAAACCCATAATCAGGATGCTTTTCAAAACTTATAATTGTGATATCTTAATTAACTTTTGCTGGTAGACAGTCTCGTTATTTCTGTCATTCTTTGTATTACTTTTATTTTTCTTTATTGGTTTATCTAAACAATGAAATATTTATAAGTATGTTTGTATTTGTTAGTTGAATTTTATGAACTTTTAATTTTTCAACGACAACATTGATATTGTTCCATTTCGTTCCCAGATGGACCAGGCTACGACTTACTATGGAACCCTTCCCGCAATGTCTCGAACCACTGACAGAATGTTTTGTAATTGGCTTATGTATGGCGTTAGCGGTCAACTATTTCACCAACCGGTCTATCATCTTCTCATTTGCTCAACATTGCCTTATTTGGTTCGTCTCGGACCAAATCCTCCTCCGCATTGTACAAGGGGTATGTCTGCCATTCATTACATTTTCATGGTATCATAACCCAAGAATTTGATGTAGAAAATCATGTCACTGACTCTTTAACAAATGAATATCTCGAAACCAGAAAATGTGGAGTAATTTCCACTCCAGTATAATTTACTAAGAACACAGTCTCTGCCAACAGCCCTCATAATATTGCTGTTCTTCTGTTCTACAGCCCTCGTAATATTGCTGTATAAGTGTTTTTTGGAAAAGTTCATTTGTTGCAGGTAGAAAATGCCAGCATTGAGTCATAAAATCCATTGAACTTTAACGAATCTCTTTGTAGCACGTGAAGAGAGTAGTTTCGGAGATTCAATAGAGAATGTGCAGAAATTTAGTGTAGTGTATCAAAAAAGATATACAGGCATTGTAGATTTAAGGGAAAGGCTACAAGATAGTTCTGCTCGGGTGTCAATAACGCAAATTATGAATTACTCTTGCCCAGGACTGCTTAATCCTTTTTTGTCTACATGGTTGAAATAACGAGTGTCCAATATGTTTCGTTGGTTAGCAAATCTGATCCCGTGTACATTTGTGGCAACAAAAAGATTAAGAAAATCGCTTGGAATTTACCTTAGGCCAATAAGTTCTTGAGTTATTATGTTGGCTTTTAGTGCTTCATTCGTGCTTCGAGTTTGTTCTGCTATTTATTCAGACAACACATGTAATTTTAAATAACGTTTGCTCTTTTTATTGGAAGCTGTTTACAATTGTTAGCTTAGAATCTTGCTGCTTTTACGTGGGTTCCATTTGCAGCAGGAACAAAATGTGAAATAGTACATAAAACAAGGAACTGTTTCGTGGAGAAAACTTTCAGGGGGTATCCTCCACCAGTTCTTTATTATGTTCATCAAAGCAACCATTGAAGTTTTCGTTGCTTGGTTATTAACTTTATCTCGTAACCAGAAATCTGAGATGAGCAAGATTGCTTGACAAAGGTCACATTAATGGGTCTGTATAGAACCCCCGTCTTTAGCACTCAATTCAAGAGCGAGTCTTGAAAGAAGTTATTTTCCAAGGAGGTAACCGATGATTTCAGCGATGACCAACAAGAAAAGCGCTTTTTCAACACCATATTTGGCGATAGTTTAAAGAAATGTGTATCGCTTCCTAATCTAGTTAAATACATAAATGAAATTTTGTTATCTAAAAATTCTTGTTTGATTTGCGTCCCAAATCATCTTGACCCATAAAGACATACTGCGTCGAGTCAGCCTTTTGCAAGACGTATGTCGATATGGCGCTCTAGAGACTTCTATTTAACATTTATTAGGCCTGAAGAAAAGTAATAGCAAAAGTATTGATGCATGCGTTTTTCCAGTAGTCTGAGATTTCTAGCTGAACAGTTAACATGTAAAAAAACAGACAAGAGTTATTTGACAGCCCGAACGTTACGAATTAATAATTTTAATGCACGGAGAAAGATGTTGATAGAAGTAATCAAAATTTTATATGGGCAGTCAACTTAAGAAAAATTTTTTTTGAATAATTTTATTTTTCCACTCTGTTAAGGAGCCGGTGGTCATGGTCTGTGTTATAGTGTTACGTTCTTAGGGAGTCTGTTCCCTTCGTGGTGCTCAGCGAAATTGCGCTATTGTGGTTCTTCATGCTGATTGTTTATTTGTGCCTCGAGTCAACGATGCATGAATATCGTGGCCATGGAAAGAGATACTGAGAACAATGGGGGAGATACTGCCTTTAAAAAGGTGCCGTCTCAAAAATGACTAAATTACCATTGCAGGAAGTGAATTTGCCAATATTTGGGTACTAACAAGAAAGCTGAGTTCCCTCTGAGCCCTCACAGTAGCGTTACATCTTTTTTATTGGTAGTTTTTGCTTAATGTAAAAGTTTACTTAATGCGTACGTAAGCCTGTCTTTTTATCCGTTGCTATTTTCTTCTTCTCAGCCAAATGGACCATTGCCGTCGTTGCTGAGGCGATCTTTGGTGTGGCTTTTCCGTGAAACGTGCACTTATTTCTTATACCTGCAAGGCTTATTTGGTCGTAGTGTGGCCTGGAGAACTAGGAAGTTCAAATTATCCGTTGGTGGTAAGGCTAAAGCTGTAAACCACAATTCTTACAATGACTGAAAAAACTGTTTTTAATCGTTAGCTAAATATTTTAATTGTCTTTTATCAGAACACTCAAATAGACATTTTTAATAAGCTTAGGATAGTGAATTTAAAATTTGAGCCATATTCTTCCTTAAAAATTTTCTGTAAACTAACTTTTCCATAAACTTAATCGTTTTGTATTTATTTAAAGTATTTGCTTTGCTATACATTAATTTTAGGACAAATGAACAAATGAGTCAAAAATTAGTTTTCAATCGAAAGATATGGCTGAAAATATAAAGTAGGAAGGAAAAGGCAGCCATTTGCCCTCCACTGTGCCCCACTTTTGGAGCAAGATAATTATTTCTTCTGAGAAAATCTTCTGAGTAATACATTTGGTACTCAGGCAGAGCAAAAAAGAAAAAAGTGTGATATGTCTTGTTATATTTTATAGCTGCTCTTATTCAAAAAGGTATCTGGGGTTTCAAGATAACAGGTACTGCTAAAAACGAGTAAGTTTTCAAGGCTTATATATTTTGGACCAGCATTGAAGAAGACACGTTTATTGTACTGCATCGTTTCTACACCTAAGGCCGTAAAGTGCTGACATTAATGTGTTTAAGGTACCCTTAGTACTGTGTCATGGCCCGATTGGCTTACATAAAGGTGCGTGAATTTCAAGGATCTTGTTATGCAGTTATGAGTACCGCTCAAATAGCTTTGAACTTGACGTTTAATGTGTCAGGATATCATTTGTCCTTAGCGTAGAATAATTAAAAGCTGTTGACCTGCTTCTTAAAGCTTTTTAAAAGACCTTTCTTGTATGCTTTTATTTTCTCAAACAGCTGTGATAATTAAATGACATGAATTTGGCATTTTAGGCCAGCACATCCAGATTTCAGTATTACAGTTTGTAAATCTTTTGATTTTTTCGCCTTGTACCCTCCTCTTTTGCCCTTTGAATCTTGAAACTGTTCATACATGAAATAATTCACATTCCATCTGATTCATGCTACGTCACACACATCTGGACAATCTTACGCTTTTATTTCTTCTCAATTCAATACTTGCTGTATACAGGAAACCAAAGCCTGAAGTAGTGGACGTATCTGGCATTTTATCCCAAGGAAGTGGCTGTTGGTGCATACAGGCTATGTGTTTATGTGGTTTCCCATTTGGTGACAATCGCTTGGCCATCGCTTCCCTTTATATCTCACCCACTGATCTTAATAATTCTTTTTATTATAGATCAAAAACTGTGGCCGGAATTTGCGATTTCGCTTGTGATATGTCACTATCTTTGCAGTTAAATGCAATTGAAGCCAATGGGTTGGCTTGCTTAAACATGCACAACCTTATCACTATTGTTTCATGTTATTCAAAGCCTCAGAAAACTTAAGGTCTCTATGTTTTATAAAGTTTTGATAACTGTGGCTCAAATTTTCCAAAATGGGTTTTGGGAACCCCTACAGAGCCTCCTCCACAGTAACGCTGTTATTGCATTGTTGTTGCAAGCAGTGTATGAATCTATTTTGCATCTGCCTTCACTCAATGACTAGTTTTTCTTGGTACGCTCCAGTATACGACATGTATAGCTTATCTTTATACGACATGTATAGCTTTTCAAAGGCATTGTGAAGACCATTAGTTGCTGTTCTGAGTAAGGGGGATCTCATGTATTCGAATTTACCGATATACTGGGAGTACAACTGATACTAATTCTAGGATTGATTAGCCCCTTAGATGACAAACATGAATCGTTTTTAATACGTTTCAAAGGGGTTTCCTAAACCTGACACCCCGCGCCTCACCTCGGCCATGACTCTAGGCCTATCGCAAGATGGGAAAGTCTTTGAATATGTATACGTCACGGTAAACGGGCCTAGATATGCCTCGGGGGCTGGGGCTGGAGCATTAACCCCTTGTCACCTTCCCCTACAATTATAATTTCCTGTTCGGTTCTTGACATCAAGGTTGAACAGGCCATTTGAGGAATTTATTTCAATATCAATATCAACTTGTTTATATGTTAATGAAAATTGACTTGTCAATATCGACTTTAAAATAAGTCCAAAGCAGATGTCATCTCCCAATTTGTGTAGTCAATAAAATTCGTAAAAAACAAAAGCATCAGATACAAATCTTGCGTGTTATCACGTACACTTTGTTCACCTTCGTTTGAACAAAAGAAAAAGCTGTGTCAGAAATCGACTACTTTCTACGTCTTTCTTCCCTCCACTCATTCATGAAATTTACAAATTTAAGAACTTTGAACATATGACTACTTTGCTATTGTCTTGGAATGAGGATAAATGCTGGTGAATCGAGAGGAGGATCCAGTCTATTTAGTGGCAAGGCAGAGGTGTAGCACTAGCAATGAGGATCCTTCTTGGCCTGTTAGGCCTTGTTGTTGCAGGTAAGGTTCTTGCTCATCGCGCATCTCCTTTGCATGTTTCTCTTGTCTATAGAACCACATTACGCTATAGAATTGCATAATGCTGCTGAATGTTCATATTTCGATGTTAACAATGCTTTTTATCAACCTACGTTTGGTTTTATCATTAAGGTTTTTATTAATTCAAAATTGTCATATGGTTTTGTGTGTTGATTTATGTTGGCACCAACTGCTTAATTTTCCATTAGAAAGTAATAATAACTCTATTATTTTGACAGCTTCTGCATTGGATTTCAAGCTTAAAGGTACGTTTGTTTCATTTTCAGATTCATTATTTGATTGTTTCATTTTCAGGTTTATTATTTAGTTCCTAAATTTGTGAATGAGCCATAAACAGGTACACACTCATTTCCCCAGATTTCTAAGAATTTAATCCTTCTTTATTTAGCTTAACTAGGCATTTTATCATTTGTACCGCTTGAAGGGTCAGTATGTTACAATCTGCATTGTACCAGGATACTCACTTTTTGTAAAAGCTTATTGATTTGCAATACCAAATGAGAAATATGTTTCTGTCAGCCGTTTCAGACTGTTCCACAATCACGAGTTTTGATAAATTTAATCAATATTGTTTTAGCTAGATAGCACTGATGGGAAAAATACCCTTGATCCGGCCTTGTTTCCTGTCATGACATACGTTCCAATTTTTATATACTTTCATGATAAACAGAAATATCGTTTGTTTTTCTTGTGCTGCTTCGGTATTTATGGCACAATTAATTATATTTCCATCAGCCCTTTTAGCTCAATCACTAGAACTTGCTAAATAATGGCATCAGTTCTGTAAAATGTTTTTCATGTTAAGGTACATACAAGACAAGTGCAAAGTATGTTTACCACTACGAGGGACGCATCAGACCAACCCAAGTTCCAGTTCTGAAGACGCAATTCATTGAGCTACTTATTAACTGCACCGTTGAACTCCACCCCCTCTCACACGAAAAGTTCGTCTTGAAGGTTTGTGATTTCATTGCTGCTAAAGCGCAATTAGCCACACGTAAACAGCTCTTTCTCCATAAAAACAAGTCAAGATTTGCGAAATTAAAACCTCTTAATTCAGTTTAGTAGCAAATTTTGAAACGAGATTAAAAGTCCTGCTGTCTCGTCTGCCTTTCAGTTTGAATGCTGAGATGATAATATTTTGATTTAATTAAAAATGTTGTTTATATGTTGGTGCGCTATAATGACTCACAATGCATTGCTGATTTAGGAAGCAATGATTGGTCAATCTAAAGCCAATTATCTTTACCCTTGTTTCCTATTGGCTAACTATGATCCTTTTTGGAAACAGTGTTTCTGCACTGCTGTTGTTTGTTTAACTTATTTCCGCAAGAAAAGAGATCGTTTATTTGGATACTCAAACAATCGAAAGCATTCACAGCATCCCCACAAAGCAAGATCATATTGTAAATATAAGCTTGCAGGAATTTAGCTGTTTTGAATTACGTGCTTTTATCCTCCTTTTTTATTTGAAATCGTATGCATTTCTAGCAGTTAATTACAGTAGTGGTCAAGTGGGTATTCAAAGAGTATCATTGTTAAATAACCTAGATTAAGAAAAAACTTTGGCACAGTTTTGGAGGTTTTTACAAATTAGGCACAAGCTTTTGCAATAAATATTTAACACCGAACGTGACGTCATGATTTCTAATTTTGCTGATTGATTTTAAGGTCTGTTGAGCAGCTAGGAGGCCTGTACAAATGTCTTTGTTTTTTCTGTTTAGATCAGCAAGCACAATTTCACAGCCCTTCTGTCAGATCCAAAGTACACAGATGACCCTGTGGTGTGTCGTAAAATTGGCTCATTGGAGAGCCTTTCAACTTTTATCAAAAAGCCAATCAAGTTCACCTACAAAAATGGTCTAGTCCAGAAGGTCTTTGCCATGAAAGATGACCCTAGGTTCTCTGTGAATCTCAAAAAGGGTATCATCAACCTGTTTCATGTTGATATTACTGGGAAGAATACTGAAACGACCACTGACGATCTGTTCACAAAAACTGAGGTAAATGAATGAGCCAACTTTTCTTTGATGCTCTTGTAGTGATATGTTTCTTGAATCATTTCTTGTACACCAGTATTGAAAGCTAAGCAGTCCTAGGTAGAAATGTTTTCTTGACTTAGAAAATCCGTAATTTGATATAGCATTTTACATAGAAAAAAGCTGATGGTACATTTATTTGAAAAACAACTGATCTAGCGTGCTGGTTGCTTGAATATGAGTCCAACCGGCTCAATACGAAACTCTCTAACAATGCCACGTGACTACTAGTTGTGAAGCTGAAACACCTGTTTCTTGAAATTCTGGAATGAGGTAGGTCTTCAACTGAAGATTGTTTGTTACTTTTCTGCCATCATCTTTATCAATCTTTCACATGACTGTCTGATGTTATCTTTAGGAATCTGTCGTTGGCATTTGCTCAACGTCTTACAGCATCAACGAGTTTAAAGTCATCGATGCTCGCCGCACCTGGAGGACCATGGGATACAATGTCACAAAGGTCATCAATATGAACAACTGCACCAAATCTGATTTCGAGGTTTACAACACTGTTGTTCCAGGTCCAAATGAACACCAAAGCACCGTATGTACCCTTTTGTGAATATTTTTGGAATTTATTTTAAAAGCGCAAAAGCTTTGCATTCATATCTTTTATAAATTTTCTACTTTTTATCACTCTTCGGACTTTGAGTACCCAACAGCATCTTGAGCTAGAAATGAGATAACCTGTAGGTTGGCAGAACCAAGCCAAAATGGGCATTTTTACGTACCCATTCGCACATATTTTTGCTGCATTGGGTTCTCAGCTAGCTAGCGTCTAAGACTGCTTCTTTATCCGTAAAACTAGAACCTTTGAAGCCATGGCAACAAGGAAACAAAATAAGATGCTTTTTGGGTGGCACGACATTGGACTTGGTTAGGGCCACTTTCCTATTCGTTCTCAGAACATATTCTTAACTAAGATGAAGCTAGCCCCTTTTCCTGTTTAGATTACCGCCTCTTCGTTCTGTTTGCATGAAATTGCAACTAGAATTCAAAGCATGATTTAACCCAGCTCTCTTTGACTTTAACAGAACCCTCTCAAGTCGACAGCCACTATCAAGTACAATATTCTGGGGAGCAAATCTGCTTTCAAAATTGAGGAGGTGCACGCAGTTGGCTTGCATGTTCTGTATTTGACGACAGAAGATGAAGGAGGCATTGATTCAGTAACTGATCAGAGAATAAAACTTATCAGAAGAGAGGCTGTGAAATCAGATCGAGATATTGTTGCCATGAATGGTAAGCTTGTTATTTTTGATTTTTCTACTTTTGTTGCGGCCTTGCCTTAAAGTCACAATGCTTGCAATGAGCGCCGTTTGCAAATTTCCTTTAGTTAGCAAGTGTTGATATTAGATGTCTTCTAATCTGAACTTGCTGATAGAGAGCATTTTAACTATTTGATTTCAAAAACATTCGGCATAATCCTTACAATGGACATTTTAATTTTGATTCAGAATTAACCATTTAATTCATAATTTCTAGACAAATATTATTTGCATTCAATACAAGCACCGCAAACCCTATTGTAGACTGCAGTGCTCTTTTCTCCGATACAAGCACACACAGAAATCTTGCCTTTTTTAACTAACTCATTAAATGGAGTTTTTATATTACAATCACAGATCAAAATGTGGCACAGCAAACACTCTCAATGAACGTGCGAAGCTTTGGCAACATCGAGAAAGTGCCAGAATTTTCGGAGTCAGACAGAAAGAACAGCGTAGACCTCATTTTCAGAACAATGACCAAACTGATGAAGATGGTACCAGAATTTGAAAAGCCAAGTAAACAATCTTCTCCTCACGTGTATTTGAAAAACTTCTCAAAACATTTGCTCCAGGTTTTGCAAATTGTCCGGAGCGTGAAAAAGCCGGTACATACCACTATATGGAGCCGGTGCAGCAGTGACCCAACAATGAAGTAAGAGTGAGTTTTGAGTAATTCGACTGAAAAAGTAGTTCAATTGATATGCCTAAAAAATGTCAAATTGTATCAGCATTCAGGTATTTCTAATTAGAAAGTGTATGGAATATACTATTAGTCAGGAGATAAATATGGGTACATAGTACCAATGAAAATTTACTGTTTACCGGTCTGTCAAAATGCTTCTGCATCAAATATCACACTTAATATCGCTTTGTATATTTTGTACAAGTATGTATATTGATCAAGACCTGTCTTACAGATGTAGTTATGTATGCTGTAGTTAGGCCTTCGACATTCTGCCTTTTTCCTTTTGTGATTTTACGAGTCCGTTTTATTGTTGCACGATGCTTTTTCTAGGAAATGGATACTGCACGTTTACAGCTTATGCGGAACACAAGCTTGCATGGAGTTCATGAAGGACAAGCTCAACACGTTGACTGAGGAGCTTATCTCCAGTTATTTGATAACATCAAGCTACAATGGAAACCCGACCGAGCTAATGACAAAATTTTTCAAGGTTTGGATAGGATATCTTTTATCTCACCAACCTTTCATGTTGTTAGACTTATCTTTTGTGTTGCTTTACTAGGTATTCAGAGGAATTAAATTACTCACCTCCTACAACTGGAAAGAGTAATATATTTTTTCTCTAATCAGTAAAGCAAAGTATTCGTTTTCAGTAATTTGCCAAGTTTCTGGAATGCTGTTAATTGAGAATGTGCCATAGGTTTCAAAGATTAAGAATATGAATCGCAACCATAATCTGCATTTTAAGACAAACGGTCATTTCAAGCCTTACAAGGTAAAAATGCTTTAGACAGAATTACACTGGCTAGCCTGACAACTCTTCGCAAATGACATGCCGTTCATAAGTGGCAATTTTGAATATTAATAGGTTAAAAGGTTCTTAAGTACGGATGACACTAAGCTCAGCTAGACGGCGAGTTTAAGACGAGTTTAATCTTGTGTGGACAAACCCTGTAGATTCTGTTTCAAGTAGCGTCTCAGGTACGTTTGCTATCACGGGGATCCAAGAAAACGTGGCTTCTTTTATCAGATTCCAAACACGATGAAAGTTTAAGAATAGTTTATGAGATCCAAATTTGTTTTACAATTTTAATATCCGTGAAATGGCTAGTTGAAGGTTAAATCATTCATTTCCTGCCAAAATTTTCTAGATCAAAAAATTCAAGACCGTTTATGATTTTTGTAGATTGTTGATATTTTCTACCATATTTCTCTTTATAAGGAAGCCTGTAATCTCAATTTTTCTGACTTAGGAAATGACATTGTTGGGAAAAGTAACAACTTCTCCATCTCTGACCAAAATGGCATATCTTGGCGCAACCAACATAATCAAGACCTTTTGTAGGCAAAATAGATGCAAGACTACCTGGATTGACGAGGTATCTTCAATTTTCCATTTTTTATCTTCTATTTCCATTCAACTTTCACTTTCTTCTCTATTTCCTTTTATTCAAAATATTTTGGGTTGGTCATCACTATAGACATCAATGAAATTCACTTCTTTCAGCATCTCAAGTTTCAATGTACGCCGGAAACCCTAGCCAAGGATGTCTAACCAGACTTGCGTATTGGTTTTTAATGCGAAAGGCGACATTAGTGAAGGGCCTGCAAACACATAACACATTCTATTATAAAACATCATCAGTGACGTAATAGACTCATTTGTGTGTAGCAAAGGGTCTGGTACAAATTGGTTTGGGTCTGATACGAATAAGCCCGAAATGAATTTTATTCTGACAAGCTTTCAAACTGTTACTTAGACCAGTACTTCTTATTGAAACATAATCAAATGCTTTGATAGCGAAAGTTCCCATCAACGTGATTGGTCAAATTTTAGGTCAAATTTTAACTGTATTGAGACTTTGGGAAACGCAGCTTGACAATGAAACTTGTAGACATGAAAAAAAAATTGTTGTTCTTTAGCTTGAATCCATTCGATAATTCCTTGTTACATCGTGAAAATCCGATTTAATTAGACAATACAAAGGTTACAAAACCGTTAATTAGACACATCCATTATATATTAGCTTGAATCCATTCGATAATTCCTTGTTACATCGTGAAAATCCGATTTAATTAGACAATACAAAGGTTACAAAACCGTTAATTAGACACATCCATTATATATTAGCTTGAATCCATTAGGCAATTCCTTGTTACATCGTGAAAATTCGATTTAATTAGACAATACAAAGGTTACAAAACCGTCAATTAGACACATCCATTATATATTAGCTTGAATCCATTCGATAATTCCTTGTTACATCGTGAAAATCCGATTTAATTAGACAATAAACGTTTCGACTCTAGCTAGAGTAACTGTATTGAATTATCATTGGCCTATAATGCTCCAATCAATGGAGCTACACCTCCATTTGGTTAATAACCGATAATGGAACCATTTTTGTAGATTCTAACAAATGGCCTAAAAAACATCATCCAACAATGCAAGCAGAAGGTTACTTGTGGGCCAATGAAGCACCTACCAGCAACTGTCGTGTTGGCTTTGGTAGAAAACGTGGAACGACCTACGCTGTTCACCCATCTTGAGAAAATAGTGCTAGATGAAAGTTTACCGGTGATGATCCGAGTCAAAGCTGTTATGGCAATTAGGCCGATGATCAAGATCATTCCAACCCGGGTAGGAAATCTCACACTGACACTCCTGAATTTGCTTATGCTGATCAGCTATGAGTAATGTCCTATTAGTTACAGGAGCTTTACTTGTTTTGCATATTGCGATCCGCAACTGGGTATATATTTTCCAGCTTGTTCTTTCAGACCCTTATTCTGACGTTTTATACTCTGAAGAATGTCAGACGAAAAAGCTTCGTAAAAGCTTGTTCGCATGTTGTAAAATGTTTGATTGCATTTTTCAAAGCAATTTTTGAGCTTTATTTAGTAAGGTATTATAGGGAGTGATACAATTATTATTGGTAATGTGTCTGAAATCATCTAGAGCTGTTAATTTTCTGTAGTTTTATGAAGGAATTCCACAATGCTAGATATTTTAGCCAATTTTCGTAAATATTATTAAGTAGGACTTTCCGAGGATGGCCTCTTCTTGACCATTTTCCATTTTGTAGAAGGACAATAATTAGCTGTAGCAGTCTTCGTAAAATTGTCTGCAATGAAGCCAACATCTACCCTCTTTATTGCAAGTGCCTCTATGTTTGAATGCTCCCAACTCCCTTTAATGTATGATTTGAATTTTATTGTTTCTTATACAATTATCAGTAATTTGTGAGTTGCAGCTACAATTTAATCAGCCTAAACTTTTATGGAATGGTCATTTTCATAGGTGCGCGTTTTGATGCTCAGAGTTTTCCGCGACCTGTCATGTGACGTTGAACTGCGTACGGTCTGTTTCTCTGTACTCATGGAAAACCCTTCTTTCCACGTGATTTTGCACATTGCACGTGTCATTAACCTGGAACCAAGTAGATGCGTCAGACGATTTGTTTACGACAAATGGGTTGCCATGAAATACACCAAGACTTGCACTCCGAAAATGTAAGTTTCTTGCTTTGCTGGTCTAACTACTGGGGTGCCGGCTAACAGATTTATTTTAATGCCAGTAGCAAGAGGGGGGAGAATAGGGTCTGAATGACCCCCATTTTGGAAACAAACACAAAGTATACCTTGTAGCGATATGATTGCGTGGACGCTGTTCACGAACACAAACGCTCTTCTTTAAACGTAGAATTGCATAAAGACTTTTGGCAAGTCATTTTGCAAGGATATCAGACTTGTTTAAGGATAAAAGATTGAATGTCAAACTTTTCATAAAATTTTAGTACGTTTTCACATCTTTGAAATGCATCATAGACGGGACCCATTACGATGAGCAAAACAGTGAAAGCTAATTATCATAAAACGTATTTCATAAACCATAAAGTCGACTTTGGACTTGTATATACAGTTTGGCGAGGCTTATGGTTTTTTGTTTTTGATATTAAAGATAATGTCAATTTTTTATATTTAAAATATTTCGTGAATGGGTAATTTTTCTGAAATGATTCAAACGCTCTTAATTTGTGTCTGTAAATATCAGTGCTCGATTTAAATCTGTGTTTATCACTGAGTTGAGAGCCCGACAGTGTTGTTGGTATATGAATATTTAGAATTCAATGATCCTTAAGAAGAATACAATGTTCATTACAGTTAGAAGAATACCATCTTAATTTTATTCCTTAGTGATACTGCATTGAGGTTGGCCTTGGAGCTTTTCTCAAAGACAAGAGTGCCCTCAAGACTAGGCCAAATGACGAACAGTTACCACCTTAATTGGTATTCGAAGAACTGGACCGTTGGAGCTCTGTGGCGCCATGACGAGATTTACCGAACTGATTTCATGCCGACGTTTATACATTCCAGGCTGAACATTACAGTTTTTGGCAGAAATATTACTGTATTGGAGGTATGACGTAATTTTTTTTGTTACCAGGCCTCGGCTGAGTTGCATGACTAGATTTTGGATAGCTGCTTGAGGAAGGAAGTTTTTCAGACCTGCTTCCAAGTTCCAAGGTTTAAGTCAAAAGTTCGAATTTAGCCCATTCATTTCAAATAGCACTTCTTGTGAGTTATTAGTCTGGCCAGATAGAATGCAATGTAAACATTGATTACTCCGCTAAAGTCCAATTCTCCAATTGACAATATTCGTTCTGTAACTTTAGGGTTTCTAAAAATTTCTTCTAACTAGCAAGAAATGCAAATAATAATTTAACCTTTGCTTCTTTAAGTAGGCAATTCCATTGATTTTGATGATCTTCAAACAGCCCTCTGACGAGGGGGGGGGGGGATATTTTGAGCTACAATTCCCAAACGTATCAAAGATTGATTGAGAGTGCCCACCATTTTCCCTAGGTTCAACTTTAAACATTTCAAGGTTTTACAGTATTTATTTTCTTTCCAGGGTCAGCTCCGTGTACAAGGACTGGAAGAATACCTAAAGCAACTTATTGGACCTAATGGACTGTTTGATATTAGCAAGACTGATGGTTGGAAAAAGAGTGGAATCGGAGCACTCTCTGATAAGCTGAAGGAACTTGAAAAGAAGGTTGATTATGTTATGTGATATTCAATGCTTTCATTCTTAAAGCATCTGCGATACTATGCATGCACACTCTCCATTTTCATCCTGAGAAAACTGTTAAATGTGATTCAGCGATCCTTCAATAGTAATTATCAATTCACTGTTTACAGTGAAATCGAATCAACTTTGGACTGGTTTCAAACATTGTAGTAGTTTTGGATAGATGTTTTGGAAACGGATTTTGTTAGCTTTTTAGGCAACACGATGTGCGCTGTCAAAGATGCGAACAATGAATCTTTGCCATTTTTTGGAAATTGAATACGTCTGTCTTGTCCAGTACCTAGCTTATCCTTGTCCGGAAACCAACTTATTCCTGTCCTGTAACCAACTTATCATTTTCTGGTACCAGCTTTTTTCCGGTTACCAACTTATCTATGCCCAGTAACTAACTTATCCTTGTTCTGTTATCAGCTTTTGTCCGGTAACTTTATCATCTTTTTCCGGTAACGTATTTATCCTCCTTCGGTAACTAACTTATCCTTTTTCTGTTATCAGCTTTTGTCCGGTAACTTTATCATCCTTGTCTGGTAACGTACTTATCCTCCTCCGGTAACTAACTTATCCTTGTCCAGTAACCTGCCTCACAATCAAATGATTTTTTCCATAGAAGTATAACGAGAAGAGTTTATTGTGTCATTTTCTTGCAGTTGTCATCTTAACCATGGCACAGCACTAATCATGGCGGATTCTTACTAAATCCACGTACCTAAACAGCATTTATAATGATTTTTTTTATTAAATTCATTGTAGCTTCCAACTTACACGTTGCCGGAAGAAAAATTGAAGTTGTTTTTCCAAATGAAGATGTTTGGAAAGGTCTTCTACGCCACTGAGACATCTCTGGATACCCCTGCCTCGAAACTAGATAGCTATAAAAGCTTTGAAGGCCTTTTGAACATGGTAGAAACTGCAATAAAACTGCACAAGGGAGTAGAGTACACATTTTCAAAGGTATGAGAATGCAGTGCTTCAAGTTAGTTATTAGTCAATGAGAAAATATCAATCTTTAGATAAATATTTTGGACTTTTTAGTCTATTTCTCTGAATACCTTAGTGTATTTTGTGCTTAGCTCGATCGATCTTTTTTCAGCCTTTCATCCCGATAGAGGTCATTTACAGAATGCCAACTCTCACTGGTATTACCTTGACAACCAACCTCACTACCATGATTATTCCTGTCTCTGTTTCAAAACTGAAAGTCACGGCAAAGCCTGATATGTTTTCATTGAAAACCCTTGTTTCCAAGAAGATTGATTCAGTTCAAGTGAACGCCGAACAAAAGCTTTGGTAAATGTCTCATTAACAATCAGTAGCTTGCAATCATTGAAATATGTTTACACTTTACCGTTTTGCCTCTTCAGTTGCATTGTTAAAACTATTTACAAACGATACTGGGTCCATCAGTTGTTTACAATATTTGACAAACCAGGAGACAAAAATTTTATAGTATATCGTTTAAAGCTTGGTTTATTAAGTTCTTATCATTTGTTAATTACTGCTTACATGTGTTTTTATTAATTTATTAGCATTATAATCCATTTAAAGGTTGGCTTAATGTTGAGAGAAGTTTTCAACAGCTTTCATATGAGTTAGGAATTACTGTTTATTAAGAAAATTCTATAACTTTTGTATCATTTTCTATTCCTCTTAGTGCAATCGCTGATGTTCATGGTGAAATCAACTTCCGTATTCCAAACCTCGTGTTGGGTGGATACATGAGAACCACAGTGAATGTATCAGCTCATCTGAAGGCAAATATCAACTATGACACCAAATTGAGAACATTGAAAACTGAAATCGAGACACCAGAAACTGTAAGAGAGGTTCTGACATTGAAGAAGAAAGCATATCACTTTTTGACTGTTGAAAAGCCAAGAGAAAAGACCCCGACACCAGAAAAGAAAATATTGAAATTTTTGGAAAAAAAAGAACAGGAAAAGGTGAGATGGTGAATTTTGTTTGATTACTGTAATTTTGTTACTGGCTGTGAGTGGCTTGTAACTAATAGAGAATTATTGGTATGTACCACTAGTCATAACATAAATATTTCATGACAGTACTATCAAATAACTATGAGCTTCTAGAGTGCGATTGTCAGTAATGGATTTATTAGGTACATATGTGCCTTGTTCTATTACCCTGATTAAAACCCAAAGAAAACTCTGATGATTTAGATAGTCATTACCCCTAAGTCACTACTACTGTGCACACCGGCTTAGAGCTAGCATTAGTTCACTTTACTTTTGTTATGTTTATGACAAATATTTTTTTAATTTTGCTTATTAGATTATCAAAAGAGAAAGGAGAAGTTTCTATTCTGATGACGCTGACGACTTCGAGCCAGAAATCCTCCCCGAAAGGAAACTAAAATTAGGAGGAAAGAAATTGGTCTTAGGTGAAATCATGACTGCATGGAATTCTGAAACAACAACCACGACTGGAACCACTCCTTTGGTTTCCGCCACTCCTCTTCCTACAACAACACGCAATGTCGAGACAACAACTGACACAACAACGACTGAGACACCAACGATGACTGTAACGACAGAAACACCAACGATGACAACAACGACTGAGACACCAACAATGACAACGACGCCAACGATTACTACAACAACAGAAGCGTTTACAACAACTGAAACCACGACAACAACTGAAACCACGACAACAACTACAGAGATTTCACCCACTACTAGTACGTCAATGCCACCATCAACTTCCACTACTGTTGAGCCAGTTAACCCCTCAGTCCCCGTCTCTGACAACGAGGCCGGCAGGACTCTGATAATCCCAATTGAAGTTGATCAATTGAAGCATATCAAGGTCCTAGGATCTGGAAAGAAACCTCCTATCTGCGAATCATGGACACTCAAGCTCAATGGCAAATTTGTAAGCGTTAACTCCGGTAAGGTTGTGTTGTCAAGCACTCCAACTGTTTTTAACGTGACTTTCCATGGAAAGAACAGACGCATTGTCCGCTTCTTTGCTCCCGGACACGGCTACCTTACCATTCCAACAGACCACAAGTGCCTGAAGACAACGAAGCAGAAGAGCACAACTGATCAACTGTTTGTGATCACCATGACCGGACCTGGTAAGGCAAAGATTCGCACAGTGGCCCACTACGATCCAAAAATGATTCCAAAAGAATGGTCACTTGCAGATGCAAGAGAATTGCGGGAGATTGAAGAGATCGAACAAATTTTCCAGAAGGAGCAGGTCACCCTTGACAAGGAATACCTGGACGATGAGGAAAAGGTCGGTCGTGTTAGTTTTTTATTTCCAACGTCGATGTACCATTACATTATGCATGGAAAATCGTTAAGTTAACAGTCGCATACTATTTCTGATCATAGACATCAAAACGTCATCAAAACATCAAAACAATATCAAAACGTTCACATCCCCTTGGGAGACATCTTTACTATCTGGTATCTTTACTACCTCAGATCTCTTTAAAATTTGGCACTGATTTAAAACCCTTAAAATTGTTGGCTGTGGTGTTACCCCAAGCTTTTTTGCTTGCTTCAATGAATATTCCTCATTATCCATTTCTTCAGATCTGCCATTAATCTAATTCTGTTTACATTTTTATCGCACTTTTAAATATTTGAAAGATTTATTACCACACTATCATCATTGTTTTCATTGCATTTATTTCTGTCTGTATTTTGATACGTTTATGCAATGACAGGTTGAGCCCACCCGCCAAACAGCTAGAATGGCACACTGGACAGCCACTAATGACGCTGTTTGCCTTACTCCATCTGATAAAGCGGCCACGACTGTGCATGTCAATCGAAAGACATCGCTAAAACGCAACCTGAGGCGCTTATCCTACCAACTTGTGAGTTTTATAATCATCTTGCTATTAACTTCTTGCTATTAACTTAGGGAATCATTAAATATTGACGTAAGAACTTTATAAAAAAATATAATTTCGTATTTGCTATGTTGCGTCAATCGCAATAGGATTCAGGTCAGCATGCATTAAAATGTGGGAAAATTTGAGATACGCTTTCTGCATGATGTTGTAAAGGCTATATGTCTCTTACATTGTGATTATTTTATGTTTTATAGAGTTTTTGTCTTTTTTGTTCTTGTTGATACTCACCTTAAGATTTCAAACAAGGTTGATTTTTATTATAGCGTTCCCAAGAAGGAACATAGGTCGTTTTCTAGACAAAGTCAAGTTTTATGAAAAGAGTACAACATAGTATGATAGTTGTCGATATGCGTCTTTCGTAAGCATGTATGAGTTAAAGCTTAAAAAATTGGATCAAAGTTTGTAAAATTCTAGCTTGGTTTACCTGCAGCTTTTCTTTCCCAGTCTCTTTTGGCTGAGATATTCACAGTTTTTGCTAATTCAGTGACATTCCCTTTTTGCAGGGGAAGTGCTATGGAACGTCAATGGGATTGACACTTTGCCAGCATGGTTACAGACCGTATCCCAAGCTAAACCATCTGCCACTGATATACGCCCCAATGGAGTACAGACTGCTTCTGAAGCCGGTGACAAAACCAAGAGTAAGCAAGATCCAAATGAATGTTGTAATGCCTAACCCCAGTGACAAAATCTTGAAGCATGAGGTTACCCTGGCATTGACAGGACAATCTGCTGAAAAGAAAGTGACCATAACAACAACATTTGACCGTACGAATGCTGTTATGTCTTTGACTGTTGTACCAGTAGGCCTAGAGACACTTCAGTTCAAGAAAATGTGCATGCAATTTGCCCGCCGTATCGATGGCGTGTCTTTCAGCGTCAGCTTTGATCCAACTTGCACAAAGAAAAATATTAAGGTGTGTAAACGAAGAATTTAATTTGTTTATCAGCTGTTGCTGCATAACAAATTGAGCATATTATCAACTTGATGTCAAGTTTATTCAAAATGCATTGGTTCAGCATTTTTCATTATTCTCTTTTCTTTTGCATTAGTATAACCTTCTGTCAGTCAAAAAATCAAAAAAGTATTCAAAATTTATTTTTGTTTATTGCAACTTGCAAGAAGTTAAGTAGAACTGTAAATAGACGAGTGAAAATCCAATTTTGATTTTCAATGCATTTTGATATTTATATTTTCTTGTGCTTACTTTTCACTTTTTATACGATTACAATATTATTTTTTTGTGACTACATATTCTTTCTAAGGTTGATGTGGTTACTACAAAACAGTTGCCACGCTATTGGATGACCTTTGTCGTCAAGCACAGTCCCAGCCATGTCCCTCAATACGTCATTGACAGTATCAAGTACATCACAACAACTTTCATCATCCCGACACTAAAGACGTCAGTTTACGTGTACCCAAGAGTACATGTTCCCAATCTGTACAAGGACACAAGCAAGCTTTATGTGTCACTTATTAAAAACGATACATTAAAATTGCACTTGAAGACCAAAGATGCTTCATATGTCTTGGATGATGTCAAACTCCCGAAGGTTATCAGGACTTTACCGAAAGGAACAAAAGAAATTCCATTGCTTTCAAAGTTACCTTTTATTGGTCGAAGTAAGTCTCTCTTGCGCTTTAGAGTCATTCCAGAGTGCTGTTATGTTTTGGCACAATTTGGGCTTTCTAGTAGATATTGCCCGACTTGCAGTTTTAGGTTTTGTCTTAGACCTGCAGGAACGAGGAGGCTTCTGATGTTGGAAGAAACATGCTGTTTTATTCTATCCTCCGATCTTTGAGTTGTGCATCATACGAAGCCACAATCACATTGGCACATAAACCTTTTTTGGGTGGAAAAAATGCAACTCTTTTGAGTTGATAAAAGGGCTCTCCTTGTTCTGTAAACAGCGAGGATTGGCAGCAAAGGAACATTTTGTGATGGCCTGTTTCATATAACATTCGCAAAGAAATGTTACTAAACCATTATAGTTCTAGATAAATTTGGCACATTTGTCGAACCTTTTTCAGCTGAATACTTCCTACTTTTCCTTTGATTATGTTGAAATAACATTTTCTGTATAACCATTCTCCAGAAAAATATATTTTTAGTAGATCCATTCCTGTGTCGAGTTTATGCTATCATTAAATCGCGAGTCCCCTGTGAGAATAGTGGTAGACCAAGTTGTCATGAAATATGAAGATTGTTAAAAAATATGTGTGACTTTTTATAGTGCAGCTATTGATTATTCAAAAGAGGTGTGTAATTTTTTGCAATTCAACAGTCGAAAATGAGATTGTTGTGGTCCCTAATTGATGGAGTAATACTCGTTCTCTTCTCACCTAACCTTAAGACCTCTTATCTCAAATTACTCTCTTTTTATTAGATTTGCTTTTTTTGGTTTATTAGCTGTTTGGTTGTTGCCTTTTAGATAAGAATTGAACTTTTTTCTTTTCAAGCTCACTGTTTGCACAGAAATCAGACATTTGTAACATTTGACAAGAAGCCATACAATTTTACACTTAGAGGGCATTGTGAGCATAATCTCCTAAGGATCTGTGATGGATCATCAAAAAATATTGCAGTTACAATGAAGAAAATTGATGATAGCATGAAAAGAAAACTCACCATTTTGGTTGACTCTAAGGTTGTTGAAATTATTCCTGAAAAGAAGATGGATGACAAACCAACAATCAAGGTGAAATTATACCTATTCCTTACCAAGTTTGACTTGTTCTTTTTACAGCTGCTTTCATATATTATTCTTATAATCATTATTGTCAAAGTCAATAGAAATTAAAGTTGAGGTGCAACTGGCTAGCAATCTTGAGGTTGTTTACTAAGTTACTTGACTCAAAGCAGCTATTTCCTTCAAGCTACTAGAATTTTCGTTTTTTCACATTCCAAATACCATTCTTTTAACCCCTAATATAAAGTTTATGGCACAGTTTGGAGACAGTTTATGAAAACTTAGTCGTGCTGCTCAATTCTTTTAAGTTTGTTATGTGTCAGTTAACCTCACTGAAGATAATTTGATTGAGATAGTGTCAGTTAACCTCACTGAGATAATTTCTCTTGATTTCTTAATATTTTGGATCACAAGGTTCAATTCTCTCTTTCTCAAATTTTTAAATCCTTTTTGTATTTGTTTTATAGATAAATGGACAGCAAAAGACAATGGCTACACGTTTTGTTATCAAGGACCAATCAAACCATCCAATGATTACAATTATATGGGAACCAGAGATTAAATGTGTCACTTTCTGGCATCATAGATATGGCCTTATTGTCAAACTGGTGGAATCTCATCTAGTATGTAGATATTTTTCAAACCTTTAAATTGTAATATTTGTTAGTTTTTGTTATATCTTATATGCTTTTTTAGTTTCACTGTACAAGTTATTGGTCTGAATTTTAATACAAATTTTGCATAGCCATTCTACATCCTTGTTCTAAATCTATCTCCCTCACTATTCATAGTCATTTATGTCAACAATAGCCCACCACATTTTCAATTATCTTTGCCAATAGCCTAAACTCTAATCAAGAGAAGTGTTGTAGTCTATCTTTTACTCAATTTTTTGGCACTTTCTCCATTTTCTTAGCATTTTTTCCATTTTTTGGCATTGTCTCAATACTTTCTCCACTTTCTTTCTAACATTTTCTCTCTGACACCTGGAGATGGTATCTCCAGTATGGGATGATTTCACACATATTTTTTTGGAAGCTTGTTTTCAAAATATCGTGGAAAGGCTGAAAAAAGCAATAATTGCTTTTTGCTGACAGAATAAGCATGCCTCCACAATGTCTTGAGGACCATTTTTGGGTGCTTGAAAGGAATGAAAAACTTTTGGAACAAGTCTCAAAGAGACTGAATGGGTAAAGACACTGAATCAAACTTATTTATTCTAATTATAATAGGCTGATACCTTGACAAAATAGATGAGTTTTCAGTATAATACTTCTGTTGGCATTGTTTCAATCTTTAACTGCTGTTTTTTTCATGCAGGTCACCCTCAGAATCTCTCCTTTCTTTGCAAACAAAACATGCGGGTTATGTGGCAACAATGATGGTGAACATTTCAATGAATTTATTACTCCTGAAGGAGCCTTAGTCAATGACGCTCGAAGACCAACCATCTTCTACCCAAAAGTGAAACAATGTACTGAGACTATCTTTGCGTCAAGCTGGGTTACCCCTAGCCTCAAATGTAGCAAAGGTAGGATCCTGTAAATATTTGCATATTGAAATTTGCAGCCTTTTTTTTAACTTTGAATTATTTGTTAGCTGTCTTAATTTCATATCCATAAATTAAGTTGACTCTTCTTTCATTTCCAGACTGCCCATTTACAAGGAAATTTGTGAAAGTTACTACCCCAGGGAAGACATGTTTAACCAACTTCCGCATCCTACAATGCTTCAGATCATGTAAAGAAAGTGAACCACAAGCGGTTCTAGTCCCTGCAACATGTGTTCCACCCTCAAAGGTAGAACAACTTGAAAAGTTCTTAACACATGGCACAAAAATGGATTTGAGCAAAGCCACTGAATTTTTGGCAAAGATTTCAATTCCAAAGAACTGCAGATGTAACTGCTAAAAACATTTTTGTACTTAAGTTCTTTGTTTGATTTATGTAGTTTTTATTGTTTTTTGTTTGTGTCTTGAATTGAAGAGAGTCAATACAATATTCAACAACAAGCATAAAATGCATAAAGAGTTTGGGAAACAAACTTCTCAAAATCCTCACAAAATCTTTTAAAACAAAATTCTATCTTTAACAGATAACTATATTATTTTTGCAAGATTTGAAAGTACATTTTCTTTCACCTCACAGATATCCAAAGTGGGCAATTTTATTCCCCCAAATTTCAAAATCATATTCCTTGTTTGACTGGTTTCATTTCTCTTCAATCAGGGTACCAATATTTTACACTTGATTATGGTTTATAATATAAACCTTACTAAGTTAATCTTACCTTAATAATGATATGTTAATCTTATAATAGAAAGTTGTATTTTACTCTTAATATGTTGTCATTGTAAGCTTATCTGCATTTATCATACTATATTCTCTGCAAACCACAAAGAGTTGCATCAATGAAAAAATTCTCTGTGTATCATGGCTTTCTATATTAACACCATATAACTAATTCTGCATCCTCACACTTCCATAGTAACAATAATTGTGACAAATATTATCAAAACCCTCAATTACTCTGGTGTTGATTTCAAAACTTTCAATGTTATGGCTATCTTATTGTAAAACTTAATACAATCACACCAAGGAAGAATACCAGTTTTTCTTCGGCGTTCATTTTACAGTTTCCATGTTGTTGTACGGCTTCACTGTTATGTCAAAACCAATGCTTGTCCCATAATTCTTGTTCAGGCCAATAATTCTCACAGTCTGAACGCATGTTCATCTGTTGAAAGAAAGAAATTCATTGTTAGAAAGATTTCTTGCAAGACAGACAACCAAATATTTGAAAATTATCTAGACAGGCTTTAAAATAATAGTAAAGATATTTACGTTTCTCGGGAAAATGCCTCCGCTCTCTATGTTTCGTATCTTGAACTTTTGTTACTGCACTGAACCTGTCCTCCTGCAAAGCCTTCGAGTTCGTCTTTAAAACATTACTTTTCAATGCCTTTTCGTTGTGACTTCTCTGGGCTCTTTGCCAGTCTTGCTTTGGCATCTGCTCAACTGTACACCAAGATTCGATATTCATAGTGGCTTATCGATGTTTTTAAGTTTTAACACGTGTGATAGAATGTAGGCCGTGTGATGTTCGGTTTCTTGTTTATAGATATAGAGTCGTTTCCAACGACAACGCATTATTAGTGACCTCGGAATGGATGGGGTGCCTCTCATCAGAATCCTTCTGGGAACTCACGGTTTTAGAAAACGAAACAGCGCATTCTTGCCTAAAGAATTCCCAGCGGAACCTTTCTAACTCTCCGTAAACTTAGGACTTTGTTCATGAATGGCCTAACTTTTTTCAACATGGCATCTGGCTGGAGGCTTGAATTATAGCATTTGACACATCGCTTGGCAGCTTTAGAGCCTTTCAGCAGCTACCTAAAGGTAAATAGAAATTACTTAAATATATTATCATACCTTTCCAAGAGGTTTTCCAGGGTTTTAAGGCAGCCACTGTTCTTTGCCATTAAATTTGTTTGTAAAAACAATTGCCAGTTTTTGAACCATCGCTGTTTGCTAATGTCAATAAAAGCCTGACATTTTCTGTACTTCGTGTATTGTTTTAAGGGGTATTGCATAAAGATGTTTTTGCATGAAAATACGAAAGGCAGCATAATTTTCAAGTGAAGCAGGCTCATAAATTAAGGATAAAATAAGAGTTCTCCATCTTCATTGAATGGAAAACTTGAACCCTGTATTTACTTGATAAAGTTAAATTATGCCTCGACGCGAGCAAGGAAGGGAACAAATATACAAAGATTTTGAGGTCTGGTGAACTTTCAGTAAGAAAAAACAAAACAGCTCATGCATTGAAAAGATCGCGAATCGTGTCAATTGTTACACGATGCCAAGTCTTGGAAAACTCGTGGCCAGTTCAAACTAAATTTCAAATTATTTGACTCAAAATTTTCCATACTCTATTCTAATGTTCTCGAAAAGCTACGACAAACGTAATGACCCGGCGGCCATTAAATTGAATAAAGAAGCTGAGGCTGTGCGACTGCAATTTGGTACAACGTTTTGTCTCATAAACGAAGATTTTTAACCATGTTTGGGTGCTTTTTCGGCGAATATTTGAAGTTGACGGCAAATGAAGGCTGTCTCACTCACTTTGTTGGCAAATGAGGCCTGAAAACCTCCTTAGAGCGAAAAAGCTAGCAATCGCACTGCTTACATTTATCTAAGAAAAAATTAAGAACAATCCAGCCTTAGATTTTCGAAGAAATTAAGAACAGTCCACCTAATCCTAGATTTACTGGTTCTTATAAAAAAAGTGTGTTTTGCATTTACCTTGTCTAGAATAACATGCCCATTTCATATGAAAGTAGCACTTTGCTAATATGCTAATTTCTTGCTGCACTGGAAACGTGACGGAAACATTTGAAAGTTGAACGGACAGTAGACTTACTAGTTGGAAGGTTCATATAATGCCATCTACACCTGTAAATAGATTGAATTGTCACTGTGTTTATCCATTTGGATTCAAATTGGTATTGTCAAATCACCGAGGCACTATCTGAACTGACATCACAGAAATAGATTCAACGGCCAGTAACTCTTCTACAAATAATGACGAAAAGACGAATTTCAATTTAACTTTACATTGGTTAACGATCGTCTAAACTGGTCCCCTGAATACGCACAACACATTATGCATCCTGATTTCCTGCGATAGGAACTCTACTAGAAGAAGCCCCAAGTTAGCTATCTCATTAAAGGCTGTAAGAGGCAGTCGGAAATTATAAGATTATATAAACATCGATCAGGTACAATACCCTTGAAATGCATCAACTCAACTTGCAGCCTCATTTTGAAAAATTCTTCAATATTTTTTGTACGAGATTTTTGACTCCATATTTGGATGAAGAGCAAGACTTTTAGGCTATCTGGAAGTTTTCATTATGTTGTTGCTCACGATATTAATTGTATAAAAATTTTATAAGGAATTTGACTATGTTTTCGACGAAGGAGGTAAAGTTTCACCCGGAACGATTTTTGCGGTCAAATCCCTTACAAGTTTTCGAACTTCATTTCTCCGATAAAATCTGGATACAAGCAAAAACGATATGAAAAATTGATGTTAAAACCGAATCTGAGCTCAGAAAAGTCGTACAATGAAGTTTGGGGTAATTTTCAAAACCAGGACGCAAGTTGAATTGGTGTGTTTGTGGAAAACTTGATATGCTTTATAAAAAGCGTCAATTATGACAACCCTTTTTTACGTAATGTCATGAAGATAGATTATTATCTTCTTCGGAAGAATGACAATATTAAGATTCAGACATATTTCTAAAGTCCTTTGTCATCAAAAAGCAGGAAAAGGAGTAATAGTCTGTCCAATAAGATTTTTATGCCATTGGTGACGCAATACTCGTGACATAGGGACAGTCAAGACTCTAAAAGTAACCAGTGAGAGCTCAAATATAAGTTAATTTTTCCTTTCATGGGAATTTTATGGCTAACAATTTACTATATTTTTTTCTCAAAAGTCAATCGAGCCTTCACTGCCTACAATTGTTTCTGAAAAACTTAGCCCTTAGTTCTTTATTTCTTGACTCAAAGTTCGTAAAAATTTCTAAGCATTTAGTATAAAAAACCAATGAAAAGAAACAACATCCAACTGAGAAGTATTTAAATCCATTATACTCAAGAAGAAGCAAGCGTTTACATAATTGATTACAAACATTCTATCAACAGTATGGTGATCATTATGAACGCTATATAGATAATGGAAAATGTTACTTAAGAATGCATTACAATTTGAAATCATAAATATATAAATCAGACATTTACAAATCGATTCAAACGATTCGCGTTATTTGAAAAATCAATTCTGCTGACACCCTTCGATGCGACACAGTTTTCATGACGCTATGAATGACGGGAATGAGTTTGTCGTCCAGGTCGCCTGTGAGCTCTTGAGGCATCTGTTCTTTGTTAGCTCCAATGCGATACTCGACCTACGTAACAAAAAAAGCAGCGTTCCTCGTTAGTGAATTAGAAAACTCAATTAAATGGTCAGTTGCGACATTAAAGTTAACTAGTAAGGGGGATTGAAATCTTGGAAAAAACTGTTGAGAAAAGACGTAAAAACGTGTCCGGTAGCATGCAGTATGGTCCAACATTTACCACCCCCCCCCCAAAAAAAAAAATTAAAATATTTGTCAAAAGCACCACATGACAATCATTTGATCTACAAATAAGCAACAAGAAGTACAGCTATCAGGGCAAATGTACCAGGCAAAACCGATGAATTTCCCAAGAATATCCATAATCTACTCTTGCCCTACATAACTTGCCCCCTTGAAGAAAAACTTGCATTGTCCGAAACTATAGGTCTAGCATGTTTCTTTACGGTGTTTGGTATCTCCAGTATGGAAGCTAATGGGATTAAAGGTAGCAAATCCTCATCTAGTACTAAGGTAGAATGACGAAGCAATATTTTCTTGTTTTCTTCATTCTTCGTGTTTACTTTTATTATATAACGGAGGACCAGATGATCATTTGCCTTTTCCCACTATGAATGGTAAAGGTAAACACAGTATATTCCCTCTTGACGTTTCAACTGATAAATCTATATTAAATGTATATGAGAAACATATAATTTCTAATGAGAATCCGAGTCTAATGAGTAGCAAAGTCACTCACCGTATCCGAGTCTAGGATCATGCGCAAACCAATCTTCGTCATCTCCAGCGCAACTAAGGTGCTCAAATGCGGTGACAGTGCATTCATACACGCCTTTGCTACCGACGACGTCATCTGACTTAGCTCCTTCGCAGATAACCTTCCAACAGTGTCTCCGTCATTCGGCAAGAAGTATACCTCTTGCCAGTGAATTTTAGCTGGAGATGTGCTCACAGTAAAGTCATAGCTATGCCGTATTCTCATGTTCGTTAATCCATCAAATGGGCTGCCATCGATTGGGCTGGTAGTCCTTGATGAATAAACAGGTCTAAAAAGTTACATACAGAGTACAGAACTGCCAAGTATGCCTACTATTAACGTGCATGTATTTATTTAACGTCAGCGATAACTTTTTCCCTGCTAATAAATGAACATTCTCTTTGCAGCAATTCAAAAACTACAATAAACAGATAATGGGAAAAATGCATACAAGCGGTAGAAGATTACCAAGGCAAGTAGAATTCTGAATTATATGATTTTTATATGTTATGTACAGTTAATACTTAACTTGCATTTAACGAGATCAAGATCAGCAAATTGATGATTCGAAAGATATATTAAGAAACTGGATGATATTTCAACGGTACAACTTTCTATGGGGTGTCACTCTTTAATAATGAAATAAATGCAAATTGGTTACAACAAGTTACAACATCCGGAAGTTTTGAAATTAATCGTCTTCACTTTGCTACGCTCCAATGTAAATTTATATACAAAAACAGCTGAACAGCTTTTACCATGTCATTATAAAAAACGAACCTGGTGCTTGAATCATCACTGGCACCCCAGGATATTTTCAGTTTGGTTACTTCGGACGATCCTTCAACAGCCTCGCCTGCCGGTGTTACAAGATCCTGCATCTCCTTCAATGCAGTGCGAATCTTTTTCATAGTATCAGAAGTAACCTGCACCATTATTCCGTCTATAAAATACAACAGGAAAATCAACAAAGGTAGCAAACTATATTCAGCTTTATAAGCGGCGTAAGATAAACTTCATTTTTAACTATATCTGAAGTATAGGCATCAAAAAGTGGTTGCCAGTGACACAAGTAAAAAGGGAGTCTAAGGGGAGGGCGTGACTTCCAATGGGACCAACTCTCAATGAATTTAGACCGAAAATTCTAAATGGGTGCTAGCAGGGATATAAACTTTTACTGTTAATGAGAAATTGTATTTACAACTTGCAGAAGATCCGAAACAATACAATCCAGTTTTACAATATGTCACAAAGTTGCAATGATAACGAAAAAGCGAAATAAATCTTGGTACCCGATTATAAAAACTTGGTAATGAGAACTTTAATGAATATTGAAATTTAAGGCAGTGTGTTCCCGCAGCGAATTGTTGATATAAACAAAACAGTTTGCATCACTCATCGTCATCTCTGGTCGGCTATAAAGCTTATGACTTACTTATGCGAACCAATTATTAATTTTACAGGTGAAAATAAATTTGAGATGAAAACAGGTTAAAAGGTCATGAAAAAGGCGACTGGGGTGATAAAAAAGGTACCTTCAACAATGCTCGTTTTCGCCTGCATTCCCGATGGACTTGTTTTCAATGCAGCACTGAAGACAACAAAGCTACAGCCAGTCACTGTGAAAAATAATACATATTATTAACAACTATAAGGGGAACATTTAAGATGCTTCTCAGTCTGTTTACAAAAGCTTGGTGCCAATAAATAGAAAGGGCTTTGGTCCAGTCTTCGAAACTGTAGCTAAAAACTAAGGAGCTATCGTCCAGTGTCTGTGCTCCTATTTCTCTTTAATCTCTCCAATCCTTAATTTCAATCTAAAATTGACAAATCGACAAGTGATGAACTATCTGAAAGAAAAAGACGTTCTCGCAAAATTCTACTCCAGGTTTCGAAACAATCAATCAGTTCAAACTGCAACTTTTGAGGTTTAAGATACAAAAGTCTGGAAAGAGCCTGTTGAGAAAAAATTAAATGGTATTTATTTTTAATTGTTTTTTTGCTTCTACCTAGCACCCGAAGGCACTTTTCAGGACACTTAGAAGATTTGCTTATCGAGCAGTTGCCTTGTCCATTCTTTCGATGTGACCACGCCTATTTATTCCTACGTCTGGAAATATAGAGAGCTGGCGACTCTCCTCACTCTGGGTGAAAGTTCGGTCATGTCAGGGACTAAGGGACTTGACCCCACACCCTTGGGTCTGTAGTCCACGACCCTAGCCAATGAGCCATTCGATGTCTCGAGAAATTATAGTAAATTATAGAGTGCATTCAAAAGAAATTTTCATGCATTAGCATTTACAAATACTTTCGTTGACAGGCGCTAGAAAGTACTTGCATACTGCGTACCAAAGCCGAACGTTAAATGTAAACATCAAGATACAAAACCCTAGAAGTAGGTTCTTCAATTCATAAAAATAGGCTTACTCAAACAGAGTCTTACATTTCTTGTTGCTAGTTCGACAACTAATCGTCTGCGTACTGTGGGTACCATCAGTCTCAACACACACAAGATGGCTGTCTGCCTTGCGATTGAAATTTCCACAAAAGGCCATCACGTTTTCTTCTGATGTATTCAAAACTTTTAATACCTGAAAAAATAAACCAAAGAATTTTTTAAGTAAAAAACAAGACAAGGATTGGCAATTACCATAATTGTTTTCAATAAACTAAAGTTTTCATGTCATAACCTACATGTAACAACTTTTAAATTTCACTTCTGCAATAATCAATGTATCCGAGAAACTCGTATAATTACAAATCAACTTCTTTTTCTAAAAATACAAGACCTTTCATTACAGATTGTATGCAAGATCTAGTTAATGATAAGGAACATTGCAAAGCTACGAAGAGTCAAATGCAGCAGTCCTTACCTCATCATATCGGGTTTGCGGAAATTTTATAGAGGTATCTTTCTTCGTTATCGATACTAGCAGACCAGAAATTCTTGGCAATGTATATTGGAAACTTCGAAAATCCTGAAATGAATAGAAATTCTCTTCTAAACCTGCAGTAAAACGTTTCTCTGTGAGCAGATTAAGCTACATTCACAGAGTTTTTTTGCCAAAACAAGTTAGATCATGGAATTGAATACCTTTAACAGTGATATTGCAACTACAACTCCTCTCCATACAATATTTGACGAGATAAGAATTGAAAGAATAAAATTGCACCAGTAATTCGAAAAAAATGTGCAGACCCTAATTATTTTCAGCTCCTTCAAATTTTTCTTAATATGCTACTATTTTTTTCAAAAAAAATTTGACACTAAATCACATGCATTATTTCATATTACTTTACTTTTTACCTCTCCTGTTGGGCTCTATTAAGTCAAGCTCCTGGATAAATAATTAAATGCTGTCACCAAGCTGTTATGTCTCCTTGGTAATCAGTTCAATCGGAGGAGTCATCACTCCTGATCGCTAATAATCACTTAATCGCTAATGCTTCATTCAAAACCCCAGGTAGTATAGAAACATATGAAGCAATAGTTACCATGACTAAAGAAAGTAACTATTCCGTCCTCAATCTTTGTATACATGACAAAATACATGAAATTGTAAATATCGAGAAAACATATTGCTTCAGAAAACCCACATACCGCTAATAAGCCGATAATTGTGCGGCCGACAGTATGGAAAACTGGCTCTCTTTCTGTGTGATTGAAGAAAGGGTAGGGGTAACCTAAAAAGAAACACGGAAACGATGATGCTTTACTGAATGTGGTAATTCCGATGTCACAAAGCAGGGGAAGGCGAAACATAAAACATCGATGCAAAATTGTAACAAAAAACAAGAAACAAATTAAACGTGTTTAAATCACTCTGTATGTGGCAATCAGCACGTTGGTCAATCCCTTCGTTTATAGGATACGTGTTTAAAAATGCAAACTCAAATCAATTATATAAAATTCTTTTCGAAAGATGAAAAGTTTTCTTTCGTACAAGGTCTCCCGATATGTAGATTCTAAACCAGCAATAAAGGAGATATGTCATGTTGTGAATGCTCCTTTAAAGTTTTGTCAAATTGAATCTGACCACAATTTCATTGCGCGAATGAGCAGCAAATTTGAACATAACTTGAAGAAATAATTACAATTTTAGCTTCTAAGACACGATGCTCATTGAAGGACAGAAACAAGACTTTGAAACTAAAGAGCATCATTTTGTTCCTTGCATTTCTTTACGAATTTTTCCAAGCATCAACCAACGTTAAAATTCGAATTGCACCACTTAATCCTAAGACAAAGATTGTTCTTGTTGTAATAGTCTTGGTAAATTGTATTCTTACTTTTGAACTCTGCACCAAGCCTTATAAGAAGTCGCAAAGGCAAGTTCTTGGCCCACGGAACTTCTGACTCTTGGACCCAAATACCAAACATATAAGGGTGGCAAGGTACCATCAGATTTTTCACACACTGAAACAAATTAATTCATATGAATAGTAGAGTAAACAAGAATGAACTAATGAACCTCTGATGTGAAAAAAGGCGGTGTCTCGAGACATTGTCAGATTTCAACAACTAAAGTCAGAAAAAATTGAGTTGGACTCTAAAAGTGCAGGTAATCAGCAAAAACATTATGATTGGTGATTGGTTTGATTAGAGACGCCAAGCTACGTTTCGTGACTTCTGGGTCAAAGCATTCACTTGGTCCAACCATTACAATTGTAGCCAACATGATATTTATTACATCAAGATCTACAAACGAAAAATTATCTGGCCTCGAAAAAAAATAAGTAACAAAAAATATTTGAGGAATATGTATATTAACATGACTCACCTGTACGTTGGGTTTGAATAAAATCATTCCAACATATTTATGGTTGTTTTGCATGTACTCGTCCACAGAAATGTATCCAAAATCTGCTATAGGCTCTCCTAGAATAGAGAAAAAATCCAATAAGTACAATCCTAAGTTGCAGCATTGCTTGTTATGATGTCATTCACTACATACGAGCTTTGAAGTTGCATGCTCCATAGGTTTCAGTTTCATCATAAAACAAGCAAGAGGTATCATTTTAAAGAATAAAGAGAGGTTGAAGCAATGATAATTGAAAAAACGAAATAAAATCAAACAATAACATTGAAAATTTATTAAAAGAGGTTTCATGTATGAAAAAGAATAATTATCAGTCAAAGTAGTCACTGACCATGTTTAGCTCTTTCAAAGATTAAATTAAATTGTTGGAAAACACATTTTAGAAGACGCGGGTCATCGCCTTTGTATTCCACAACAAACACCTGAAAATAACGTAATGTAATGTAAAATATGTGTAAAAAAAGAAAGGAAAGAAAATATTTAAATTAAGTTAGCTATTTGGGTATGACATATTACATCTTGTGTAACTAACATCTTTTTAAATTACTGGCTATTGCTTTCGGGCTCATATCAAAATTTGTGAGCGACTTGACGAAGCTTTCTCAAATATCATGAAACATCAATATCGCACATATGTTTAAGATTATGCTAGAGGAGACAAAAACTACTCCCTTTAAATTACGCAAATAATAAAAATATAGTAGGCACAGGGATTGCTTTCATGAAAAAGCCAAACAATATATTTTCAAAATTAGTTTATGGATAGATAGATAAATCCTAAAACATTTTCTTTCCATAATATATAATATAATTTATATTCTCGATATATATATAATTTTGCTCAGAAACTGCGAACTAAAGAGAATATCTCAACGTACGACTTCTTCTTGATTTGAGGCTCCCATTCCATCGGAAGAAAAACACCAGAATTCCTTTCCAATGCAGCAGTCAACTGTTAACAAATGGTAATAATTTCAAAGAATTCTATGATTGATGCTATGTAATCAGTAGAAAATAAAACGTAATTGATATCCAACATAGTGACTCTATCTTACAATTTCCATTTCAATCCATGGCAGGTATGCAAAAGAATATCAACAACAGATACTATTCCTTTCGTGAAATTATACATATAAAATGTAAATAAATATAAAATAAAATATTTATGATGCAAACATGTTATACACACGAAAGCGTGTACATCACTGTCTGTGCATCAGACTGGTTGAAACTAATCCCCATTAATGCAAACACATACAGGCAAACAGAAAATGGAAGCAATTAGGTATGCCAGAGTTCTAGAAGGCCCATGGGGGGCAGCCTTTGTTTATATCTACGGGCAATGCAATTAACAGTCTATTTCATCCCCAGTTGCTAGCTCCTGTCCTTTAACTCCCCTAAATAAATCGAGAGAGAGGATAACTGCCCTTCTTTCAAGACCATAGTATCTAGTTTCTCTGAGGTCGTCCAAGCTAGCTGTATTTTTATTTGTAAAGAAAGTAAATCTCGGTTTAAATCTTGAGCCCAGTTTCAATTTATAAAAAGGAAAATGCGCACAAATCGTTTAATCTACTTACGTAAAACAACTTTTAATTTGACCACCAAATTTTTGTTAACCAAAAATGCAACAGGGTCCGCACTTTTATCTGCAAATGAAAAATATCAAGCCGCAGGTTAGGATATGCATGAAAGTATGTAAAATTCGATTACAGCAAATGATTCAAATTGCAAAGAAAATTTCGAAAATATGTATACCTTTCATTTGATGGAACAAGCTTTTGAGATTAGGATTGTTAATGATCTTCACAACTGCAAAAAATCAAGAATTTACAGATCAGTAATAACTTATTTTGGTTACGAAAACTAATTAAGAATGCATCCAGTATCGAAGAATTTGATTCCCGCTTGTGTGAAATTACCAAACGGGAGTTTATCTAAGGGCATGGAACCACTCCATTATAGGGCTGCTGTAAGAGTCAGTTGAGGCGCCAGCCACTAGGCTCCTGAGGGGGTGGGACAAAAGAAATTTAGGCCACGTCCATGATTAACTTTTGGTTACGTAAAGGCAACATCACCATGCCAAAATATTACCACTCCCCTAAAATTATCTCATCGAATTTAGACGAAATACGAAGTTGATTCTGCCGAGCGCTGCTATTCCTGAGGGCATCACAATGAATTACCTAAAATTATAAATTGCAACTCTGGAAATGGGATTGAGCAAGCTAGGATGACGTAAAGTAAGTCGAAACGGTCAAACGACATTACCAGTAGCGGTATCTAATATGATATATATACATACAAACTGGGGAATTCTTACAAATCAGCTAAAGAAAAGGGACTCCCTTTACCGGAACTTATATAAACTACTGAGGGAGAGCGCGGTAGAAGAATCGTTTTACGGCAAGACTGTTTTTTTATTTATTCTTGAAAACAAAGATTGATTAGTTATTGAGATATATTAATCATTATTCTTTGCTCAATAGGTCAATACTAATTTACAATCTTACAAAAGCTTTTCAAAACACTTTAGATAGGTCAATACTAATTTAAAATATTACAAGTGCTTTTCAAAACACTTTAGTTATACCAACATCATCGAAAAATCAACTAAGATTAAATTTCAAAATTTGAACTGATGCTCGCTCTTTGCTAGAGAGAATTCCAAGCACTTTTTTATAAAGCTACATACCTTCATTTTCAATGCGAAGAATTGGCGGTAGATCTGTTTGGGAGCTGTTAAACATAATGACGACACTTCGATCTGATTCGGTTCTAGAGCGGAACCCAGATCCCCGAGCTGATGACGCAAAGTAACTTGGCGGGTTTGGAGGCCCACTTTGAACTAAAAAGAAAATTGCAACATTGATTTCAAATTAGAGCTCTTTCTAATTCCTTAAAATTGATTCCAGTTTTTTATTGAAGGCAGTGGTGAAGTGTTATAAATCTCATTTACCACTAAGTTTACAGGCTCCGAAACAAAAAGATCTATGACTTCAATTGACATTTATCACTAATAACAAAAGCTGAGAAACTTTAATGTTGATTTAGTACCTGCACTCCCTGGCAGAACTGAGTATTCAGGTGGACTTTCAGGCATATACTGAGGTGGTGTATCAGCAGCAACTGGTGTGGTAGGCTCAGATTCATTTAGTGCAATTGTGTGGCCTCTCCCTGGTACATCCTGGCTCACTGACATTAATGGAAGTGGAGACAAAGACTGGGCTGTAAAATAAAAATTCTACTATTAGAATAAATAATTATAATTCACAATCAGCCTCTCTGTTTTCTTCAGTATGAAAGAGCCACAGACAACTCTAAGTGAAAGAGGAAGAGATTCTATAGATTATAGAGAGATGAATAAACAAAGTCTGATAAAACAGTTTTTTACTTTTTATCAAACATTTTCCACCAATTCAGATTTAACAATAATTTTCATATGTGGCTGCTGAATTCAAATTTGACAATATGCCTCCATTAGACAATAGAAATAAATTGCAATATTCTTTTATTTAACAATCAAATTAAGATTTATGATAAGATAGTTATAAAAATATTATATAGTACCCTTGCTAAGGATTTCATAGCATGCTTGGCAAACCCTGCTTGATTTGTAACCAAGATAGGCTAAGTCTGCCTTCATATTGCAGCAGTTGGAGCAAAGAACCTGAAATTTGGTAGAAACGTTTAACTGTAGAAGTGTCAATGAGCATTGTTAGTTGAGAAAATTCAATGTAATCAGAGAAAGAGCAGGCCTTCTTGTATGACAAACAAGGCTAACAAGTGTGGTAAAGACGTCAAGAGTCCATGTGATATTTTTTAAGCTATATAACTGAACAATCTTAAAAAACATGACAAACTGGCACACAAATGAAAGTGAGAAAGAAAGTGAGTGAAGTTTGATTTTTTTATGTTGAATGTATTTCCTTGAGATTTACTTCAAAGATTAAATGTTAAAAGTCTCTAGCTTACCATTATCTAAATACTTAGAGGACAATCATCCCCTTCTTCAAATTGATTCAGAGGTAGCTTGCTAATGGTAAAATATTGATTTATAAACGAATCTACCCTTCAAAAAGTTCTTAGCAAAAAGATAACACCAACAATTCTTACTTTCCCACAGGCTCTGCAGTGGTGCCTCCTCTTCACAACAGTAAACTTAAGGCCACAGTTCATACAACCTTTTGCATCTTTGTCTGGCACCCACTTGGGAGCAAACCATCCCAGTTGGATTTCTTCTGGCACTGGAGGCAGTTCTCTGTCTCCTTCTGCATCAGGAACCCCAACAGAAACTCCGGCCGACCCGTCACTCAATTGCTGATTTATGAAATCTTCAAGTTCTTCACTGTCAGATGTTGACCCAGACCTTGTCCCAAAGTTAGCAGCTGTAGCCCCCTCAAGCTGACTTTCAGGATTTTCTGAGTTTCCTATGCTAGATGATGCTTCATTTGAATCAATTGTAATATCTGCCTCTTCATGAAGGCCACCATCTCCTGGAGAAAACACAGGATGCTGCAGTCCAGACACATTGTTTGTTTCTTCATTCAATATTTCATCTGCTAAAAGTTCTGAAATTCTTCTAGCCTCTTCACTCAGTTCATTATTTTCAGGCAAGGGTAAATCAGTCTTTTGACTTTCATTCTCAGTCATTTCTAGACTTTGGTGCCCTGGTTCAAGTGAGGTGATTATGTTGTTAGAGGTTTGTGGGTTTTCAGGAATCTCTGTAGATGGAAGCTCAGTAAAAGGTGCATCAGTGACTTTGTGATCATCATGGGGCACTGATTCCAGATTTTCCACTTCTTCTGTTACAATGTTTGAATGCTTCTCCAAATCAGATTTAAAACTTTGTTCTTTCAAACTCTGGGATAGCTGGTCCCTATGCCTTTCTGGCAACATTTCATTCTCTGAATCAGTACTTGAATAATCCTCACTGTCATTTTTAACAAGTTCAACAAGATACTTTTGCTTTGACTTTTTAGATTTCTTCCTTCTTCTATCAGAGCTTCCACTTGCTATAGCTTGATCAACTTGATTGCCTCTTTGTGGTACATTTGTCCCCTCAAGGCAGCTGTGTGTATCTGGCAAATAGGAAGATGTGGCTTGAGGAGTTCCAAAATGTGGTTCTTGTAGATCAAAATTTGGGGAGCTTCTAATCAGCTCATCGTGCAGTGAATTGACAGATGTATCCAGTGTTTCAACTCTGCTAGAACCAGATTCTGAATTTTCAAGCAGATCAACAGGAACAAAGGTCTTCTCTGTTATTTGAATTATATCTGGTTCATCTCCTTTTGTTTCACTTATAGATTGATAATCAAGACCCGAGGTTCCTGCTACTATGTTATCATTACTATTACTTTGATGTTGTACCTTATTATCATTCTCTGGGTGATCTTGTGGCTGTATCTCATTACATTGGTATTCAGTACTATATTCTCTTGAGCCTTCCTTGTTGCTAAAGTCAGAAACAATTTCCTCTGCAGCCTGGAGAACATTTTCAATACTATCTACAGATCCACTTGAACTCCCAGCTCCTGATGCTAGCATCTTAAAGTCCCCTGAGTCAAATATCTTTTGATCATTGGTTGTTTCATTTTCATCAGTTTTGCTACCTAAATCAATCAATATATTACTTGCATTGTATGGAATTGACTCAAAATCATATGTATTGTCATTAGGCTGCATCTCCCTAAGTTCATTTGGTTCTTCCGTAACTGCATCTGGAAGTATAGCATCAATGTCTAATTCCTCATTTCCTAAGTATTGATCGGACGGTCTGTTGAAATCATCAAATTCTTCATATAGCGTAACATTCTGACTAGTTGGTTCACTTTGAACTGCATCTGGTAATAGCTCAAGTAAGTCCTCTATTCCTTCACTTGGGTCTTGGGTTATATCATCATTTTCATGGCTCTCTTGCAGTGAGTTTTGTTTAAAATGTGCAAATCGTTTCATATCACTGTCAATGTTCCTTTGATTAATCAAGACAGTATTATCAACTGCCTTTAAGTGATCTTCATTGTCTTGATAAGTTATAAATCTATCAATAGTGTCACACGGCTCTTCAGCATCTTCTTTTTGATCAAAGACTGGATTTTGAATATCAACACTTTCTTGCTTTCGTATCACCATTCGCTTAATGTCTTTTTCAACTGACCTAAGGTTGATCTCAAATAATCCAGACAGCTGACTATCTCCATCTGATCCAGATACATTCTGCACATTTTCTTCTTGTGTGCCTTCCTCTTCATCAAAATAACTAATAGGGTCCCATGGCTGATTTAAGAGTGACTCATCAAATTCATCTTCACCTCTATCTACCATTTTGAAATTTCACAAGATAGGTTCTGAAAACTAGTGGCTAGAACTAGCTTTGCTGTCAACCCTGCAATTAAACAAAAAGTAACTTTAATACAGTAGAAAATTGATTTCAGTTGCATGTATTTATATTTAGTCAGTTTACGTAAATGTGAATTAAGAAAGCTGAATGATACAGAAAATTTTACGATACAGGAAAAACATGAATGATTTTGGCTTCACATAGTTATGAGCAACATCACCCTATCAGCTGACCAGCGATCAGAGAAATTGACCTGCAATCAAATGCATCTCATTTTTGTACGACTACAGTAGAATATACATGATTCATGCACGAAAATGTTATCGTATGCAAGTAGTGTGGGAGATCTAAAAAAAATTAGGACACTCGTGACCTACGCTTAAAAACGAACGCTAAAGGGTTTAATAGGCCAATGGCCTCCTTATCCCTCATTATATCATATTATTATTATTATTAAAAAAAACAAACAAGGTCAACAGTTACCAAAACAAAAAATAGTTCATTTTAAAATAATATTTCCTTATAACGCCTATTAATAAGATTCCGGTTTTCTTGCTAACAACGAATTACAACAGTATCAAGACCCACATTAACCACATTCCTTTTAACAAATAATTAGTCATCGAGATGCGTTATCTTTCGAGTCCCACGCAATTACTGGCACTGACTCGTCGGGCCTACTTCTCTCTGTGATATGTCTAGAGAGCGACAGGGTTTTTTATAAGATGCAATAACAACACCAGGCAAAGGCTTTGCCGATAGATGTTGTCTTACCATCAGCTTTTGGCAATCTTCTCACGACTTCGTGTCTTTCATCTGTTATTTCATCACTGTTCTGATTGCGTTCGCCTCCCGTGGGGTTGTTGTTGTCAAGCTCCTGCAAAGTAACAGAACATGCGCACCAACAGACATACCTCGGCGCCGACTGTGCACATTCGGCGCATGAGTAGCACGAGGTAGTGTTTATTTACCTCGCCAATACCCGGGGGAATTTGGTTACCGCTTTAGAAATATATTTCAATTTTCCCTACATTTGTTTTTAAAACTTATATTCACCCCAAAATTGATTCATCAGTAATGCTGAATCTTCACTAAACATTTTTGCCGCTTGCCCAACAAATGATGTTGAAACTTGCAGGACAGGAATTGATATAGACTACATCAGATGGGTGATTTTGGGTTAAAAATTATACTTGAATAGGGGGAGGGGTGCAGTCAAAAAATAACTTTTTGAACGGCATCATTTACGTAATTGTGCCAAGATAAGTTGGGAGATCTGAAAACTTTGAGCCGTCGAAGACAGCACTAATTGTTGTTGGATTATCTAATATTTTGCTAGCTCATTTCCATGCACTAAAGAAATAAGAATAATTCTATCCACTATCCATCAAAAAGACTCTAAAAAGGTAAAATGTCAGAAGGGAAAGTCAGCTAAGTATGATGAAATTTTCAGAGAATCTTAGAATGTTAGAAAGATTGATAAAAAAGGGACCTGCACAAGCTTCATATTTCGTGGGCGGACGGATTTTTGATATATTGTAAACTTTCTGCTGATATATGGGCAGTTTGTTCGGTAATTTTCATTTTGAGAACTCGGTATTACGGTAAAATCAAGAAAGTCTTGCGGAATGATGGTAAAAAGGAAATTTTCTTGCAGAATCAGGTGTTTGATACCCGCCAAAGACCCCCCCCCCCAATCCTGTGTTATTCGACGGTATTAGTTTTCCTAATAATACCAGTAGTGTAGAGCCAACAAATGTAGAGGGGAGCCATAGCGCTTTCTCTTTATTGTATACAAAATAAACGTTTAAATTTTTTTCGTTTACATGCCTCCTCAACATCCATTTTTTTACCTTTTCTTTTCTTTAGGGTTAAATCAATTTCCAACAAATAAATGAATGTATATGCCGAAAAGTAATATCATTTCAATCAAAGATTTGATCCTGGCAATAATCAGCCATCAAATTTTAGAACCAGCCAGAAATAAAGGGGAGGGGGTGCAGCCCCCCTTTGAAAAGTAGAAGGGGGCTGAGACCCCTAAGCCCCCTTCTTCTACAGTCTTGAATAATTCCCTAGTGACATCTTCTAGAAACAATCTTTGCACAAAACACTAATTTACACAAACTCAGCACAGGTGCTTTTAATTAAGTTCTGGTACAAAATATGAGTAATTTCTATGCTTTTGGGAAAAGTGATGAAGCCATTATACTATAATAAAACTGCCAATATAAGTAATTATTTTTCAGATCACCTATGCTCCTCTGACGTCCTTTCAGCTTCGCATGGCAAATTTTTCCTGCAATCAAGTCAGAAATCTTCTGAACATAAAGAACATGACCAGTCGAAGAACAAATGTAGTTTATGCCTCATGTCTCATGTTTACCAAAACAGAGAAGATTTTATCAGAAATCTCCTGTTTATTCGTAAGTACATATGTTCTTGGAGTGTTAATGTGCGACCGTCAACTTTTATTCTGTATCCGCCCCTGGTATTAATTATCTGGTTCTTATAAAAAAGAGTATACTCAATTTGTACAAGACCTGAGAAACTTCATTACTTGGCGATTTCTGAGCTTCTTCTCAAAAAATAGTGTAGTACAACTAAATTACGTAGGTAGTAAAATGCCCCGCCTTGAATAATGTGGTATTTTGTGGGTGCGACTTCCAATGGGTTGTTCTCTCAACGCGAAAGAGGTGGGTGTTGCGGAGGCCATGCCTCACGTGAAGCTCGCGATAGTCATGTGATTGTTGTGGTAGAGCAACAACACTTGCCTGCATTGAAATTTGAAAACTGCATTGCGGTTGTAGCGTTTTTGTTGCAACAGCCTAGGCCTTGAGAATATTATATTCAGTTCCACAATTTCTTCGATTCACAATGAAGTGCTTGCTGGTTTGCCTGATCGTCTCGGCTGCAAACGCTTTCGTTGTAGAGCCATGGGCTGGACTAAACAAGAGATGCAACAATCCTGAATTTTGGTGCAAGAGTCTGGAAACAGCTAAGGAGTGTGGTGTAAGTCAGAAATTTTCATAAAAATAACCTGATTTGGACCTTTTTTATTTCTGAAAAGTGCTGAAGCGATGTAAACTTGAAGGCGTTCAGCAGTTCCCGCATGCATGTATGACGCGAATCTGGTGAGATTTTGAGCATATAAAAGATGAAAAATTTGGCTAGAAGTCAAATTAAATTAATTTAACACCTGAATTGAAAATTTTAAGCGTTTTGTAAGGTGAATCTTTGTCAGTGTCAGTGACATATGCTAGTGTAAGGATTAATAAGTAAACTTGATGTAATACTTTACAATAAAAGAAGTTCTTGAAATGTGATGTTTATAATTGTAGATACGAATCTATTTAAATCTAATTTTTCAAAGGTTGTGGAGTATTGTCAAATTGAATGGAACAAATCAACACCCACAAAAGATATTGGAAACAAAATCAGTCCTGATGCTGACCCTGTAAAGATAACATTGTATTATGAATCATTTTGTGGTGGATGCAGAGAATTTATCAACACACAGTGGTACCCTACCTATCAGAAGCTAAATGGAACTGGTATTTTAGAGCTAGAGCTGGTACCTTTTGGAAATGCAAGGGTAAGGGAAACTTGTTTAAAACATAAGCCAGTTCAAAATAACATGGCATATCAATGCTATTTGTATGTGGAATGAGTATATGACTGCTTTTCATTCCTTCAGTTATGTAATATTCATTGCTCATTGCTGTTGCTCAATAACTATTTTACATTTCTTTTTTTATCTTGTTACTATGCTACCACTGTTATCATTTAAAACTTTTTTGAGATTTTTGATGTCAATGAAGTTAGTGCACAAACAGGGATGAATATGTTTCAATTTTAGAGTACTGTGGTTCTGGCATCATTTGTTTCAAAGTCCAACAGTCTGCTGTTTGCATGGACCTGTCAAGAATTTTAACAATAGACAAAGGGATAATGACTATCCCCTCTCTGCTTCTTTGTTCTAGGAATATAAACAAGGTGACAAGTACATATATTATTGTCAGCATGGTCAACAAGAGTGTGTTGGTAATTTGATTGAGGTCTGTGAAATATCTATTTGTTCTTCAACATTTGACTTTCACCTCCCTGTTTATTTATAATTGAGATGTGTTAACATGAAACTATGGTCTCTTTTGTGACCTTCACAGATGGTTAGACTGTAGAAAGAGTTTTAATCTACTTAACCTTTCTCTTTCTATGTTTTAGACCTGTGCCATCAACCACCTTGGAAAGATAGCTTTATGGGCACCATTCATATATTGTCTAGAATCAAAAGGAGCATACCCCAGTGTAGCAAAATCAGTATGTTTTAATTTTCTTTGTATTCTTATGTTGTTCAAATTTTCTAATGAAAAGGGAGACAATGGGTCCTAGCAACTAGGGCAAGTGCCCTATTGTTTAAAAAGTTCTTTTTCGATTTTGATCAAAAGAAACTACTGTACCGGAACGGTTCAAAAAAAAGTTGAAATGATTTCAACTTTTTTTTCGATCCGTTTCGATCCGTGGCAGATCAGTCATGTGACCATATTTGCATCCAAAGCGCTTGCACAACACAAAATCTGATCCGATCCGCCGATCATTTTCCAGAGTGGGCTCTCGGCTTTATTCTGAATGCCTTTTTTGGGCTGCCTATCACCATCATGCAGCTATTTGCTTTGATCAACACTTTTTTTACAAAATAAATTCATTTGCACTTTTAGCCACTTTAAATACTGATTTCAGAAACTCTTAAGTTTCCACTTGTGTCCAAAACCTCTTTACCATGGCGTTCTCTGAATCACAACAAAATGAAAATTGAATTTGCCACATATCTCAATGGCTCAATTAATTAAAAAAACATATTCCTTCCTTCTAGTGTGCTCAGTCTCTTGGTATTGATTATAAACCAATAGATACATGTGCAAGTGGCACTGAAGGAAATCAATTGGAACATCAGGTTCGTTCTTGTATCACTATCCCAAATTATTCAATGTGTTGTGAAATCTAAGATGTAATCTAAGATTGTTAATTACTTTATCATTTGAAGCCTAAGAACCAACTTGCTGGACAGTCAGCTAAATAGATTGCTGCAGTGTGTTTAAAACAAGCAGTCTGAGAACACATCAAGCACTTTTTTCTCCAGAATGGTCAACATTTGTAATGGCTTTATGTAGGGAGTAGATTGACTTGATTGTAATATAATGTCACCTTCTAATGTTCATTTCCCAGAGCAAGGAAAAACATTTCAAATGATGCTGGATTTCTGGGAGTTTACTCACCCAGTTTACAACATTTTACTCACTATTATATTGCAGTAGGTCTTATAAATAATTTTTTGTCAAAATTTCTTTCCTGTGGTGATAGCCTTGTGAAGAAAGTTGCAACAAAGTAACCACCTCTCAACAATGGACAATTCTACAGGTTGCCTCTATTGGCATGTTTGATTGTCCTCTCACTCTTATCTTGCATTTTTGTTTTAGATGGCATTGAAAACAAAGGCATTGAACCCTCCTCATCAGTATGTTCCCTGGATTGTTGTTAACGGAGTAAGTGGCATTTGATGATCTTGATTTCTCATGCTTTTCACCAGTGAGAACAAATGGTGCTTTTGCTTCAAGTCCTAATTTTATCCAATTGTCATTGACTTTATTTAAAATCATGGTTGTTGAATGTTTGAACAATCAAAGCTTCAAAGCCTACAAAAAACTTAGAGCCAGGTAGAGTGGAATTTTGCTGACCCTGGTTGAGACCCCTTCACGGACCTTGCAAAGATGATAAATTTGATAGAAGAAGGCAAAAAATTTTCTGTGATGTCCCAATGCTTTGTAATTGTAGCTGCAGTTACCTCTGACACTTATGGTATATTTATGAAGTAATATCTTCTTTAAGGTGCACAGTGAGGATATCCAGTCCGATGTTCAGACAGGAATGCTTGAGTATGTTTGTAATGCGTACAAAGGACCCAAACCAGCAGCTTGTCAGAGTGTATCAAAGCAAAGAGGCAATGTTTGCTATCGTGACTGAAAAGGAATCTGTGTTTTTTTCAAGGAGTTTCATATAAAGTAACAATTATTTAATGGAAAAACGAGATTAAAAATTAAATGCCAAGATGCAAAAATTCTTTCACGATGTTAGTACTTTGTGCTCCCTAGAATTTAATTTAGCAGTGCTGTAAATCTATGTAAACTTCAGTTTCTAAGTTTTTTGTTTTTGATAATAGAATTTTCACAGAGATTTGTGCAAGCATGCAATTTTTGCCAGAACTGTTTTAGAATTATCTTTTGTCCTCTTGACTGCACTATTTCAGGTGCTAGGCAAATGTTCATCAGCTAAATTTCAGATGTGCTTTGCGTTTTTCTCAAGCATTACAAAGTTTGACCTCACTTAAATTCAAAAAGCTCCTTTTCTTATAAGAGTTATTGAATGTGGCCTACTATTAAAATCTGCATAATAACCTTGAATTCATATTGACATGGTGCTGAAATATTGAACATGTGTTTGCCCACCCACTTCTGGAAAAAAAGAACATCTGTTGGGGAATTTTCAATAGTATATTTATTCAAGGCAGCTAAGTTGTCAGGGCTTTGCCTCTGTTGTTATCAATACCCCTTTTTGTTGTTTGTCTCCACCAAATTTACAAACTCTAGGGAAAAATTTTACACACGACCAGGGCCGCAGAGAAAAATTTGTCAAGACCACGCCCTTTTTAAAATGGGAAACGCCCATTATTTCCGAACGTTTGTGCACGTTATAGAATATGGTTAAAATATCTTAAAATGTAATAAAAAGCATTAATTCTAAAGGTAAGCGATTTAAAACGCTCTTTGACCACACCCTTTTAGTAGCCTGTGCTCCAGTAGCCTGTGCTCCAGTAGCCTGTGCTCCAGTAGCCTGTGCTCCAGACTCTTCCTTCAGGTTAAGGGTCTGGAGCACAGGCTAGATATAAAAGCTCCCCTTTCTGAAGGTTTCCCGCCATCAACGCCAAATCGTCAAGAAACATCTTTCTCTGCCGCCCTCTCGCTTCAACATCTTCAACAGGCACCGCGGAGCGTTGAAAAAAGTGGGGGTCTAAAAAAGTAGGGGGGGGGGCTAAAGCCGTATAAAAAGAGGCTTTTCTGGTAGTTTGATACTTAATATTTGGCATTTTTTGCAAAAAGTGGCTAAAGACGGCAAGTGACAAAATTCAAGGCAATATAGTAAATTTGACATATAAAACTGTTTAAACCATATGTGTCAAGCCCCCCCTGCTCGTACTTTGTGCTCCCTAGGAAAATTGATGGTCGGGAATCGGGCTAAAAACGTTGCAAGAATTCGGGAATCAGGGGGGTATATTGGGTACCCTCTGGTGTGTTATCTGAAAATTGAGCATGTGAATTCTATGAAATTGTGCGGTATAACTACAATCCTTGCTAACTCATTAGCTGTTATGAGAGAGGAATGATTCTTATGTTCACGATCAGTTTTCTCTTTCTTCCTCTCCGAGTATCTAAAATCTAATTTTGGAAAACGTTTCGCCATTAGTGATTACTCGTTTGCAGAAGGTCATTAATGTGGTGATACATTTTGGATGACAAAAAAGGAGAAGTCAATAAAACAACCTCTACTTGGAAAACATGACGGTTATATGGTTGAAGACCACGAGGAAAGCCAGCGAAAGAAAAAAAGCCTCGTCTCCCGAACGAAGGAAAGTTTTCCAAGCTTTGAAGAATCACCAGGAGGAAAGCGTTGACTGATAAATAATAAAGGAACTGTTCCTGAGCACATAGCCTCAATTTTTCAGCAATCGCACCACCCCTATAGTCCTGTGTCCCGGTCCTATTACTCAGCTTCCCCTTGATTGTCTCGGCCCTGAATACACAAATTCCCCGAAACCATGGCAAGGCAAAAACCGTCTGCTTGCAATGAACTATGGGTAGTTTGTCGGAATAAAAGCATTCTCGCCTCATGAGATGTCTAGCAGGCAGGACAATCAAAAGTTTATGAAAATGGAAAACCAACTGTTTGATTCAGCCTTCGAATCATTCGATTCTAATAACGAGAATGGAAAATCTGGAGAAAACTTGAATAGTTCAGGAGTCCTCAATAAAGCTAACCTGATCGTCAACTACATTCCACAAAGTTTGAGTCAAGATGAAATTCGCAACATGTTCAGTGCGATAGGCCCAGTGAAAAATTGCAAACTGGTTAGAGACCACGGTACAGGGATCAGTCTTGGTTACGCATTCTTAGAATATTACAACCCTGAAGACGCACAAAGAGCCATATTAAAACTTGACAAGTGTCGAATTCAGAACAAGACCCTTCGTGTGAGTTATTCAAGACCATCTTCTTCCGATATCAAAAATGCGAATTTGTACGTAGCAGGTTTGCCGCCAACTGTTGACGAGGATAAGTTGAGCATACTTTTCAATCAGTTCGGACAAATAATAACACATAAAGTTCTCTATAACTCGGATGGATCTAGCAGGGGAATAGGGTTTGTTCGTTTTGACAAAAGATGCGAAGCACAAGCGGCCATTGATGCGATGAATGGCAAATCATTGGATGGAGGATCTGTGCCCTTAACTGTCAAATTTGCCATTCCACCTGCAGTAAAGAATTTGAATCAGACACTGGTTGCTGCAAATCTTGGTCAGAATAGCACGGCATTAGCAAGTGCAGTGGCCGCATCTACAGGGCGGAATCAAAATGTACGTTTCAGTCCTATGGCATCAAACAGCTCACAGGGTGTTGTAGGTATAATGGCGGCAGCTGCTGCTGCTCAGCAATCACTTCAAAATCCAGTTCAGAATGCCCTTGCAGGTCCATTAGATCAGACAGGGAGGTCAATGGGTCCATGGTGTGTCTATGTTTATGGGCTTCAGCCAACCGCATCTGAAGCCACCCTGTACCAACTTTTTGCACCATTTGGTGCAATACTCAGCGTCAGGCTAATGCGAGATTTAACCAAATCTGAGCAGCCTTGTAAAGGCTATGGCTTTGTAAATTTCCTAACCAGTACAGATGCACACCGGGCAGTTATGCAGATGAACAACTTTCTCTTTGAGGAAAAGTATCTACAGGTTTCATTTAAGAGTTCTAAGGGCCAGAAATGAAAATAGATTTACTCTCTTCTTAATCTAGCTAGTCTATATTAACAGCAAGGCTTGTTAAATGGTTCTTTCGATAAACCATACCTTCCCTTTGTGAGAAATTAATAAGACACTTCCCCTTACCTGTGAACAAACTGATGAGAAATCTCCTAAACTAATAAAATATGTAATAAATAAATTCAATGATAACAGACTAATATCAATCCAGGTTGATCTGGCAATTCTGAAATACAATCAATGGCAATATGAAATTTTATTTAACAACCAAGCAATAGTTTAAATTTACATTCCAGCCTTTTTGTTTATGAAAATATGATTTCCAAACAATAGGACCAAATTTTACTCATTTTTTTTAATTATGCAGCCTGTAGAGTGCTTTCTAGCATTAGAAACTTATGAAGAGGCTTTCTTGTGAAATCCCTCTTCTTCTGCTACGTTCAAACTTTATTTCCTTTGTTCATTAGTTCATGAGTTCCTTTGTTAATTATATTGTTGCCTCAATTTTCTTAACTCTTTATAAGCAGTCATTTTTGTCACAATATTTTATTCCTTGGAGTAAACATTTAATTATGCCACTTCTAGTTGGATTATATTTATATGTTTCTTGTTACGTTATATATACATATATATATATGGTTGTTTGTTCCTAATCATATATTATCTATTTGAACTCCAGAGCTTTTTGTCAAGTAGAGACTTTTGATTTTGTTGTATTGAAATTATATAATATTTATTTAGATTTCATTACATTTTGGTTTTTTCCTGTTTGTTTTTCTTACTTTATTGTGTATCACATTGAATCACAATATTTGTTAGATTGACATAGTTCTTGGTCTTTTATATGATTATATGAATAATTAATATCATTATATATTATTTAAGATTGCCTTAAAGGTATGCTTGTTGCAATTTATATTGCTAGCAAAGCAACTGTATCTGAAAACTGGATTGAAATAAATCTGAAAATATATTTATATCAATATATGTGTTTTTAAATCCATTCAATTATGGAAAAACTATCCTGGAAGCTTCCTCGCTTTGATTTTGATTATGTGTACACTCATGCACATATAAACAAATATTATTCCTTTTGGTTAACATTTGAATATGTTACATAATTTTTATTTGCTTTGTATATATATTTATACAATTTTTCATTATATATAACTTATACCACCCCTACATGTCTAAATGTTACATGACAAATTTAGATTATAATATTAGCAAAAAAATTGCTTCAGTAATCTAATTACACCTAAGAAAGAATTAATCATACATTAAAAATATATATTTTGTGTTTAACCTGTTGTCAAAAATTAGCTAACTAAAACTAGTATTAATAATCTTAGCAGAAGCTAATGACATTAGAATAAAGAATTTGTAAACAAAATTTGAGTCAATTGTTAGAAGCAGACAGTTTATACCACCTTTCTAATTGTTTTTGGCCTGTATTTAATAATAAAGTAAGAGTAAAAGACTGATATTAGATATTCATCAGTTAATTTATGTGCAATTCAACTAATAATCCTAAAAACTAAACTTCAATAACCATTTTCCTGTTTTTGTTTTTGGTAAATGTTGTTTATTGGCTGCAAGGTGAAAAAATTTTGATGGATTTTTGTTATGGGATTCCTGGCTTGTTTAAGGCATTCTATCCCCTAACAGAGTAACTCTTATTTTAACACCTTTAAAATACTCAAATAATGAAGAGAGGCCAAATATGTTTTCAAAGCAGCTTTATTCAAGTAACTGAGATGACCAATTTTGTAGAAATGTGTAGTCTCAAAACGACACCCAAAACAGGAAGAGGAACAGAAAGCATGTTATTGTTACTAAGTTATAAAGATTGTGTGTCTCCCTGAGACATTTCTCTTTGGAAGTTAATGGTATAAAGATCCAAAAATGAATTTTTATGTCAAAGGTAAAATATATATTTATATTTTTGATTATTTTCCTAAATACATTTTTATACACTGTCAAACAGAGGTGTCATGTGGTTTTGTGGGATATGCAGCCCTATTTGATACCAGTAAATCCCTTCTTAGAAAATTCATATTCAATGTGAACTAACCCTCTGTTGTGGCTACATGTTTGTCTGTGTATGACTGAGAATGAATTTTGTTTTTTACTATGTAAGTGGTCTTTTGTCAAAAAATCAAATATATGTTGGGTGGTCAAGGGAGTGGCACCTAGATGAGTGATGTACATTTCCATTATTGCTTCTTTTAGAATTTGCATCCCTGGCGTCAACTAGTGTTTTTGCAATAGAATTTTTCAACTGCATTTCCATTGATAATTTTGTATTTTTGCTGTTCAAATACTGAAGAGATATTTTTTATTTCATTGGTTGGAAATTTCCCAGTTTTTTTATGTAATTGTTGTCAACATGTGATGAATTTTGCTTCATTATAGACATGTCATGTAATCGCAGGGTTCCTCAGAAGAGGGGGGCTGGAGCCCCCCCCCCCTCCCAATGGGAGCAAACAAATTGGCAGCCCCTGGTATGAATTTCGCTTTCATGGCACTGAATCATGTTTTCAGTGTGAAAGGTCTCCAAAACAGACAACATAGGTTAAGTGGTTTGTTTTGATTGGTTATAAGTTGCTGGTTTTGCTTTTGTTATTATGAATATATCCTAAATAAATACCCAATAATGATAGACATATGTTCCTGGTTTTCTGACTTCTCCCCCTGTACAGCCTTCTGCAATATCCCCTGCACAAGCATAATATGTCTTGCCTATGAGCAGATTTATGGACATGGAAAATGCCTGCCTAAACTGTACCCTGGAGGTTATTGAGAATCAACAGACATAAATCTAAGAGTTCTAAAAATTATTTCAAATTCTATTCAGTTTTTTTGGCTTTGACCTGTTTCCAATATTTGTATGGAATGTCTGGTGTCAAAAGGAATTCTATCATGATTGGTTGCCTATCAATAGATGTGTAGGTTCGCCAGTTTTATTCCTGCTCATTCTCTTTAAAGACTATTCTAATTGGTAATTTTAGAAGAGTTTTTAACTTTTTTAAGAGTTTACATACTGTACATTCTCATTGAGACTTCCCTCCTTCTCCGTGTTAGCCCATTGATGATAAACTTCAATGGAAATTACCCTTTTTTATCAATTTGATAAATTTTTATATTTATTGAGAGAGTCAGGTTAGTGAAATTGTTTAATGATGTAAATTTCAATACACAGAACACTCCTTTTTGCTTCTTTATCTGCTTTTTTGAATGTGTCAGATATGTCCTAATAGAAAATCAGTTATCACAGTTTTCATCGGAAATCCCTGCATTTCTACTATCGCAAAGCATTTTCAAAATTTATCTTTTGTAAGATATCAAGGCGGAGAGATACAAGGACAGAGAGACAACTTTTGTTTGGGGGGCCAGCCCTGATAAATAATCGTAAGAACAGCCATATTTACAAAATGAAAGTATTTTACTTATGCAACTCAAGTGTTTTGGGGGGCCAAGGCTGGTATCTCAGTCTTTGGTAAGATAGTAGGCAAACTAATGAGAGCATCATTAAAACCAATGGAATAAGAAATTATTGGAAACCTTTCCTTGAAATGGATTTTTTGTTATGGAGAGTCATAACAGATTTTGTGTATGCCATGCCCAGAACTGTCTCTTAGGGACCCCACGGTCTGGTCATTTCAAATATTCCCATTTTATGTTAGTGCCGGTGTTTTATGTTTGGGCTTCATTGTCCAAAAAATTGAATTGGACGTAGTAAATACTATTTGTCACCCTAGTAGTAACATAACATATGCAAAGGGATATCTACAAATTTATAAATTCTTTTCAAAGCATCTGACTGCTTTATTGTTTTATTTTGATATAATTCAATTCCCGCTACAATACAAAAGCTAGTTGTACCAAATATGAATAAATCAATTTAAGATCTGAACAACAGCAAAAACATTTATTAAAACGGCAAATCGAGCAAAATTTTTTACTACTGATTAATTTCAATAGCTTAACATTATTTAAACTTACAGACTCATTGCTAACAATAACATTGCGCTACGCAAGCATCCCATAATGCATTTTCAGACAGTCTGAAATCAATTATGATTAATCCGTAGAAGTTTACTGCCATTGTTTGGATTCCATAAATATATTAAATTGTTTGGATTCGTCTGGATAATTTGCCACCCTCGCAAAAGCTCATTGTTAGCAATGAGTCTTTAAATTTCAACTGTTTGAGTGTCAAAATATAGCTTAAACATAAATGACTCCGCTTACACCGATGAATAAGTGAATACAAAACAATTGGGCATGGGAAATTAGAACTTTTTCCATTTCGAGTGGAGTGGCCGGGAAATTTTCCGAGAAATCGCTGACTCTGTTGAAATTTTGTAAGAGCGAGGCAATTTCCTACTCAGTGACATGCAATATGTGCAGGGCCTTAGCAAAAGAACGCGCCACTCAGGTGCTGATTTTCGGCGTTGAGCATTGGCGGCACGAAAAACACTGGGATTGCTTCTATTTTGGTTAAAGAAGAATGCCACAATAAATAGATTTCATGTAGTTTATTATGTGATACAATAAGCTGCCAAGGCAAGGGAGAATCTTGGTCTAAAGGTAATCGATGAAAAGCGCTTGGATTTGTTATACGCAGCGCCTCGTACGTAGAAGAATTCAACAGAAAACACAGCGACTCGTAGAAGAGTTCAACAGAAAGATTTTATCATCTTAAAGTTGAAGTGTTTTTAAAAATATATCAATTCCTGAATACAGAGACTGTGAACCTACTGCAAAAGGTGATTGTGAACAAGCAGTGCTGTAGTGATCATGGCCTTTGCTCCGCGTGGAGGCTTCAGGCCTCCCAGGGGAGGACCCATGCCACCAAGAATGCCTCCTAGGATGCTACCACCAAGAGGCATGAGGCCAATGCCCCCATTTGTGCGATTTGATGGCAGAGGCCCGCCACATGGCATGGCTAGATTTCGCCCAGACGGTGGTTTTCCAGGTCCTCATCATGGACCACCAAGGCCATTCCCACCGCGGGGACCACCACGAGGCCCTCCTAGGGGACCACCACAAAGAGGTTGGACACCAAGAGGTTCAATGCTAAGAGATCCTTCTCCCAGAGGAGAAACTCCTTTTAAAAAGCAACCGCCTCCAGTTAGTTCTACTAAGGTGGTTAAGAAAGAGTCTGTTAAAACAGTTGACAATAAAGAGCCAAGCAAAACATCAACAGAGAAGGATTCTAAAGATCAGTTAGCAGAGGTGAAAACTGAAAAGCCTTTGGATAAAGATAATATTGAGAAAGGACCTTCAGATAAAGCAGTTTTGCCAACTAAAACACAGGTTAAAAAGGAAGATGAGCCTGTCAAAGTAACTCTTGATAGCTACAACTGTGATTTGCATTTCAACATTGATGAATCAGGTTTGGTGGGATGGACACTGCACGATAAAGGTTTTGAATATTTGTGGGGAGGATGCAGAGGATCTCATGGTGTCAAGACTGGCAAGGTATAGCTCAAGAACTATATTCTTTCTTATATATATATATATATATATATATATATATATAACTATTTCATGTATTTAGTTACATTAATCCAAGTTCCTTTTCTTCTGGAAGCCTACTTCCATCAGCTGCAGGGGCAACCACCCAAAAATGGGGGGATTTCCTTGGACCAGTGGGAGACACATGGTCTAATGGAGGAAAGGGCCCATAAAAGTCTGGGGCTGAAGGTCCTAGGAAATTTTCTTTGGCAACGCCCTCTATATGTTCAGAAAGCATTTGGCAACCCCCCATTGAAATTGCTTTTTAAATTCTATTTATCAGTTGATTGAAACATGTTTTCTAATCAACTCCTTGTAAAATATTCTGAAATAGTTAAAAATAAAGAAAGCTGCTTGTGCCCATTAAAGAAAATGTTTTCTCCCATCATCAACTTTATCATCAAATTTGGTTTTGAGAACTCCCATTTCTAGAGAAATTGGAGGAGAATGGTCCCAGTTATCCTGGCTCTGCCACTCTGGTTATAATATATTTAGGGTTCCATGTACATATTGATTTCTGTTTTCTGGTAGCCACATTTTCCATATCTGAACCTTTTTTTAATAATATTATGGTGTTGAAATACAGAGCCAATGTGGAATGTGGACTGCATTTCTTGCCCTAAGTTGACTTCTTTGAGATCATGTTGATCAGGAAAGAAAATGCCATTTATGTATTAAGCCAGGAAAGTCAGGAAATGGTCAGGGAATTTTAATCCTACATTTTGTACAAACCCTTCAAAAGAGCAAGTGTGAATTCAGTGTGCAATTTCAAATTTTGTTATGTAGTCTAAAGCTGAGGCTGTGCATGCAACTGCCATGCTCTAAAGACTGATCCAAAGGCAGCCCCTTTTCAAAATGGCTCGCAGTGCTCACAATTATAATGGAAATAACACAGGGTCTTATTTTTCGCCATAAAATGGTTGTCATGTCTTTCATGAATTAATTTCTACTAGGGTGGCATATTGTCCATTTTGGTAAGGTTACAGTGTGATTGTTGTTCTAATTTCGTTGGAAATAGGGCTGATCATGATTTCCTAACCTTTCATATTCTCATTTTATTGTTATCCTAAGTTTGTAATCTGGGAATTGTCATCCGGAAATGAGAAATGTCTTCGAAATTTATTCTTCTTTATGCCCTTTCTCTTGCACTGTTGAGGCTTTTTGTAAGGATAGCCATTGGCTTTGCTAAATTGTTCTGCTAGGAACCTGGAAAGATTTTACACCTGATCTAGTGCTTATTCCTCATTTGTTTTTGTCTGTTTTTTGTTAAAGTAACCCTGAGGCATTTGTTTAGTGAATGATTGATTGTAAATTAAACCTTAGCAGCTACAGTTGACTGCCAATAGTGTATTGCATCTTCCTTTCACAAAATTTAAAGTTTAATATGCTGCATTCGTCAACCTGCTAATCTTAGGCTTAACTCATTTGTTTTCTGTTAGCCCCAATTGACCTAAGTTTTTCAGGTATTGGTAGAGACAAAGTGTTTTTTCTATGGCTGCTTTGGGGTTTTTTCTTAAGATCCATGTGTATATGGTAAAGCGCATTCATGAAAGTATTTGAACATGCACTCTTTAAAAGAGCCATTATTGACTAGTACCAAGGTAATCAAAGGTGGTGCAGTACTTCTCCGATGTAAATGATTTTTTTTAATCACAATAAAAACAAATACAAAACTCAAGTTAATAATTGTTGAGTTGGAGGCAAAAAACATAACAGTATCTTGTTCAACTTAAGTTTAACATTTAAAAAAAGAAGTTTAACTTATCTTAAGTAAATGTAATATTATTAAATTCCAGTTGGATATTATTTCAAGTAGAGTCTCTGCATTGAATTCCTGGAAGTATAACTAAACCCTTATCTGTTTTATTTGTTTGGTGGTATTTGTTTGAACAAGAAGTTTTAGTGAGAAGTTTATCCTATATTCAGTGAGGTGTATAAGTTAATCCTCCCTTCATTTTTTAAATACTTGTCTGCTGTTCCATTTCAATACCTGTTTTTGTTTTATTGGCACTTTTACATAGCTAGCTATTGTATGAATTCACTTATCAATAATTTTTCTATCTCCCTTCAAGGTTGCATTTGAGTGCACAGTCTTAGAGAATTTACCTGTTGAAGTTCCTACCACCGAGTCAACACCTCATGTCCTGAGAGTTGGATGGTCTGTTGATGGTGCAGATTTTCAGCTTGGTGAAGATCGTCTTTCATTTGGCTATGGAGGCACTGGTAAAATCTCAGTTAACAGTAAGTTTTCTGACTATGGTCGTCCATTCACAGTTGGTGACGTCATTACTTGTTGCTTAGATCTTGATGCCAAACCCAATGTCATTTTCTATCTACTAAATGGAGATTACTTGGGTGTTGCTTTCAAAATTGGTCCAGAGCTTGGCAACAATGCCTTGTATCCTCATATCACTGTCAAAAATGTTAAATTTCAAATCAATTTTGGTGGACAGTGGCCCAAATTCCCAATCAAGCCTGGCTTCTCAATGCTGCAAAATTTGCCAAAGGGAGAGCTTTTGCAAGCACCTACAGGGCCTAAGAACAGACAGGATGCTGAAGTTATTATGATGGTAGGACTACCAGCTTGTGGCAAGACATTTTGGGCAGAGAAATATTGTAAGGACCATCCAGACAAAAAATACTATATGCTTGGTACCAATAGCATCATAGATAAAATGAGAATAATGGGACTGACAAGAAAACGGAACTATCATGGTAGATGGGATGCTTTGATAAAAGATGCAACAGGCTGTCTCAATATCTGGCTCAAGATAGCTGAGAATCGTGTGCATAATTACATTCTTGATCAAACAAATGTTTACTTCACAGCTCGAAGAAGGAAAATGAAGACTTTCGGTGGATATAAACGAATTGCATGTGTCGTAGTCAACGAGCCTAATGTACTAGCAGAACGCACCGCGAAAACACAGAAAGAAGAAGGAAAAATTGTCCCTATGGAAGCCATAATGGAGATGAAAGCAAATTTCAGTCTCCCGGAAGTTGATGAATCATTTGATGAAGTTAGGTATGTGGAGGAAAAGCTCCCGAAAGCTAGTGAATTGGTGCAGCAGTACAAAAGTGAGGGCCATGAATTTAGAAAGGGCTCTAGTCGTTTTTCTGGCAACAGCCAAGAACCCAGGGCAAAGATTTCACGAAATGATAATAGCAGTTTCCATGGTGGCCGTCCTGCAGATGGCGTATATCATGAAAGAGCTCCAAGAAATGACTTCAATGAAAGGAGACCTTATGGCCATAATCAAACGAGAAGAGTTGAAACAAGAGGCGGGGATATGAGAGGTGATGGAAGAGAGCAACATAGTAACCAGTATCAGTCACACTGGAATAACGAAAGGCAAGGGAATCAGCAGACAGGTAGACGTTTTGATCGACCAGATACAAGGAGAGATGGATCGAATCAACAAAAGGATGAAAGAATGTATGATGAAAGACAGCATGGTGATCAGCGATTTGATGAAAGGAGATCTGATTTTAGCAGAACTGGCAGTGGTTGGGATGAACGGTCATCAACTGGTGAAGGCAGAAGTGATGCTGCCCCTTTTAGGAAAATAAAGCAAGAGCCACTTGATGATACCCCGCAATTTCAAGGCAGAAACGAACAGTATAAACCTTATACTCCTGCAAACTCTAGACCTGAGTACCACAACAAGGACCAGAAATATAATACAGAGTGGAACAGAGATCGGCAATCACAGTATGACTATTCAGCAGATGTTAAGGAAGAGCCGGGCTATAGAGATAGTTATGGTTCATCTATAAATGAGGGGAGAGGGTACCAGGGTAATGAGCCAGTAAAGAGTGAACGTGGCGATCGATATCAGCCATACAGATCAGATACATATCAGAGTCATGAAAGAAGTCAGACTGCCTCAGCTGAACATGGAGGTAGATATGGAATGGATAGCAGTGGTCCACAAGATTACTATGCATCCCAAAGTAGCTATGCCGGCAATAGAAACAATACTCACAGCCAAAGCTCATCTTCACAGTCATATAGCACCTCCTATGCAAATCAGAACCTTGATAATCAATCATCAAATGTTCGTAGTACAGAGTCTGATCGTAATCAGGAGTATCAAGGAAGGGGGTACTCCAGTAGCCATGTTGAAAGGCCAGGGGATTCACGCTTTGTCCCATATGGAAGCTCATATCAGCCAGGATCACAGAAGCAAGAGCCACCTATGCAAAGTAATTCACAATATGCAACACAGCAACTCGCTTTTTCTAACCCCCAAAATAGCTCCTATTCGTCTACTCAAGGGCAGAAAGACTCATATGATCGTCCATCAGGGGGATGGCAAGCTGGATACTCTCAGTCTGCAAGCCAACAATCAACGAAAGGTTCTAGTGGTCAGCAGAGCTATACAGGGCAACAAAGTTACGGGAGCTCTGTCCAGACTGAGAATCGAAGCTACCCATCACAGCAAACCTATACTGGACAGCAAGGCTATGGTGAGCAGCATAGAGAACCCCAAGGGTATCAAAGGCAAGAAGGATCTACCAGGCAGCAAGGATCCAATGTTCAACATTCATATTCTGGACAGCAGAGCTACACAGGGCAACAAGGTTACACAGCACAACAGGGTAACGCAGGACAGCAAGGCTACACAGCACAACAGGGCTACGGACAGCAGGGCTATGCTCAGCAAGGCTACACAGGACAGCCAGGCTACACAGGACAGCAAAGCTACCCCGGATAGCAAGGCTATGCTGGTCAAGCAGGCTACCCCGGAAAACAGAACTAATAACGCAGTTAATGCGATTTATGACAGGGATGTTGTATAATTGTGCTAAAAGCCCCTAAACAGAATTGAATGTGCTGCATCTTCGATAAAGATAGCTTAAACTAGTAGTGCTACGACCAGATTACAAACTGATATAACATATCAAGCATATAACAAATCCAAAATAGTTCTAAATATATTTCGCTGATATAGGGGGAAGGGGTCATATTGAATAGGAAATGGAAGCGGTCTCACGGGTTTTGGCCAGGAATGCAGGTCAAAATTTAATCAGATTTGCAAAAAGTACCCTCTGTTTTATTCTCTCTGTTACCTTTTCTAAAAGAACAGCTTTTAAATAATGTCCCAGATTTTGCAAAACATAGACCCCTTTCTCAGAGAAAGTTTAAATCTACGTGGATAATAATTTTTTTTACTACCGTTTTAAGCCACCGGGAAAATACCGTTAAGCTTTTAAATCCACTTACTGGTCAGTTAGTCAATTTCTTATCCAGCTTTGAAGTATGTTTTGTTCACTTTTTTAGCTTTCAATTTGAAAATAATATTTGTTGCTTTCACCCATAATCGTTATTATAACTCGTTTGCAATTTTATCAGCTTTTTCTATTTGATCTTTGGTCGGTTATGGTATAATTAAGGATGAGATACAGTATTAAGCCTTTTAACTCGAATGCTATGCTGTTGTTGAATATTTAATTCACCTACCGTTGTTAAATATCAAATTTGAGATTGAACGTCCTATTGGCATGTCAAGACATGGAATCAAAGCCTGCCGCAACAATAACTATTGCCTTTAAATTAATTTAATTTAACACTCGTTAACCAGTGGTGGCGCCAGGGGAGGGCTAGGGGGCTATAGCCCCTCCGTCGGAAGCATCTAGCCCCCCATCGGAGGATATTTTAGGTTATTGTACGAAAACTGCTTATTTTAGTCATTTTAGCCCCCCTGTCGGAAGCTCCAATCCCTCTGTCGGAAGATTTCTGGCGCCACCTCTGCGTTAAACATTATTACACGTTATTATAAGCTGGTTAGTTTTTTGCTGTCTTTTTTAATGTTGTTATTTCTGTACAGAGGAACGCATTTATTTGTTCTCTCCTTTCAAAATGCCAAGTAAACTACTCTGTTACCCAATCCATTATTTTTGAAATCGAAATATTAGATTCAAACTCTGTGTGGTTAACAGAACAAGGATAACCCTGAAAGGAATCTGACCGTGACGTCATTCATCCAACTCGAGCTGTCAATCAAAGGCTGTTTTTAGACAACTCTTCATTTCCTTTGCTTCTTTCTTGAGGCATGATGGCCCCTTAGGTAAGGAGAACACCGATTCAATGGAGATAACACAAAATATTTGATGCCAAGTATAACCGGGAACTATATTTACAGTTGAATGATAAGGGCTTGGTTATCCCATTGAACGTGAAACTCGGAGCAGCATATTCTAAATAATAGGAAACAGGATAAGGGCATGGAAAAACAGTTCTGTATTGCTGGTCACTTCCAGTTGAGAAGCTATTGTTTCTCAGTAGATTTCTGTAGGACAGTAAAGGTGGCCTAGAGAGAGCAAGGAAAACATTACTCGCGTTTTGAAGAGAAGCAATGCGAAAATTCTTACTGAATCTTCCAGCATTACTGTTTCGTATGTAGCAAATAGAAAGGAACTATCTTTTTTTTAAGAATCTTTGCTCTTAAACTTGTATTAGAGAAAATTAAATTCAAGGGGCTTCATAAAAACTTGTTTGTTGATCGAAACTCACTAAGAATCGACTATGCCATGTTTGATTCAGGGCAGTCAGGGTAATTTCGTTAAAACGCATGTGATCGACGAAATTCCTTGCCAAATTTTTTTGAAACAACCAGGCTTCACTTTTCGTCTGAACAAGGCGGAAGACGTTCCGAAAATGTCTACGTTTTTCTAAAATGTTCTTATTCCCCAAACACTCTTATCCGCCCGACTCATGTCTCAATGGACAGTCTCAAGGGTGATTTTCCTCATGTTTAGCACCTACAAGGAAAATCAGATGCCTCGCTCAACGTCACGTTCTTAAGGCTGCCTATGGAACTTGAAGAAATAGTCCATGATGGTGGTTTCTTTGCCCCTACAAAGAACTTGCAAGAAACTGACTGCCTTCATATCAACTCCATTTCTTTATATCTGCAGCGGAATTCGTCGATGATTTATGTAAGTAGAAAATTTAGTTCCTACGCATCAGTTCAAAATTAGGTATTTTCTGCCACGTGTGTATTGAAGTGAAGTGAAGTCCTATAATTTCTTGTTCAAAGAGGGTGTTGTAATTTGCTGTAGACCTTTTAGTCTTCGGATGTCAATTATTTTGCAGACTTATTGATGATAGCAAATATAATACAAAAGGCATCATGCATTGACTTCAAAGCTTCAAGGACCATTGGGATAAATTTTCTGTTATCAATTATTAACAATATATCACTTTGAGAATTGGTCATGGACCTCTGCCCCCTTTCCTCTTTGACTCTGCCCAGTAAATAGATTTCTCCAGAAATTTAAATTAAAGAAGAGGGTTTCTCACCTCATTAGCAAAAACATTTATCTTGCCAAAAAGCACACTTAGTGTTTTTATGGCATTAATTTACTTAGTGTTTGGGTTGAAGAGGGTCTCCAGCACTAGGGCAAGGGTCCTGGCAAAGGTTTCTGGCAAACGAAAATGACCCCTTGGTAACTGGCAATTGACAGCTTCTAAAGGAAATTAAATCATCATTCAATCAAGAATTGCCTATCAGTAAGTTATTCCCTGAAGACACTTATTGATTGGCTAATTTTGACGGTCAGATGGCTTAAGCTACTTGTCTGTTGATTGCCTTTAAAGGCATTGAGTCATGATAAAATGGATTGGGTATACCCAAAGTGCCAAAATCCGCTGAGTCACGATTTTCATGACTGTGATGCTATTGGCTGACCTTAAACTGGTCACATGAACCCACCGCGTACTGATTAACAAAACAGTTTCCATCAATAGAAAGTTGTCAACAACGGATGCCAATATCACGTGAAACAGCAACGATCACCCTGAAACCAAATGACCCCCTATAGAGAAGGCCTATTTACCATGAGTCAATGCCTTTAATTGCATCTATAGCACCAGCTCCAAAATACAAAAAACATTTTTTGGGATCCCTACAGGCTGGGACCCTCTTGTTCTGATTTTCCAATTGCATTGAAAATGTGCCATTTTAAAGGGTACCAAAAGAAGCATAATTTGTTTGGTCATTTTTTAGAAACCATTTTCAATAAATTTATAATACTTTTGCTGATTTTATTCCCTATATTAACCAACTAGTTTTATCAATACCTGAGCTCTATTTTGGCCAGAAAATGAAGAAAGAATTATGTTCTATTGACAAGAACCTCAAGGAAAAACAACTTACATAACTAGACTTTGAAATTTTTACCATTTCTATTTTTAAAAAAATTGAAAACATTTTAATAAACACTTTCAACTCCTTTTTTAATGGCAGTTTCCAGTCAGTACAAGCAACTCTGATTGTTATTGATATGTTTAGCAAATGTTCTAGGGCCAAATGTTTCAAATAGTGTTGATGACTGATGTCCTCTCTAACCACAGAAAAGAATTTTCCTTGTTAGACTTTGCCATAAGACTTAAATTCTTCATCAGGCTGAGTTGAGAGCAAGATCTGCAAATGACAATGCTGAAACGTTTTGTTCCTGTTCCTACTGAACTAGCCGATAAGAGATATATCTTCCTGCTGTCTCACTTGGACGAATTATTTTGACAACCTAAGAAGAAATGTTAAATCTTTAGAAAGAATTTAAATTCAAAACACATGAGTGCACAATTGTGTTAATCAAAATTTACTTATGTTACGTAAAAACACAAATTTCATTTTAAAAATTCTATCAGAATCAGATGATCCTTGGTGAGCCTTAATGAATAAAATATTTTTTTCTTGAAAAGCAATCACAATTGAAATGACACTTGTAAACCATTCGGTATAAGTTATACATCAAACAAATAAAAGTCATAAAGATTTTTAAAATAAAACATAATTCTGACACCCTTCTGAAGCTGCTACAAGGCACCTACCTGACCACGTTTTAAACCAAAGTATCTAGCAACTGGATCACCCTGCTGTATTCTGGGCAGTTGATGCTCTTTCAGTTTGTACCTTGCTAATAACTCGGCTTTCTCTTCTGGAGTCATAACAACATGTTCTGGTACTAGCTAGTAGAGACCCAGAAAAATTGAAAGTCATCATGGGCTTTATCAAAATAGTAACTTCCAATTTTTCATCAAATTTTCATCAAATTGGTATAATATCCAAAAATTGTCCTTTAGAATGCCTCAAGGCACCTAGTAACTATCACATCAAAAACCATGGGAATGCCATGTAATGATTTGAGACAATTAGAATTTATATTAAGATCTTTATGATGAAAAATTAAAATAACAAAACAAAAATGAATCTTGAAAGAAATTTTAAACAATAGTAAACAATTAGTGAAAAGCTCTAGAGAAGCATCACAAACTTATTAGAATTAAATACTACACAATTTTTTGAAGTTATCGGTCTTACCTCATGCTCAGTGATATTTACAAGCAACTCTGTTTCAAGAAATTGTTCCAATATGTATTTTGGTGCCATATCAACAAGCGCCTGAGAAAAATAGTGAGAAGTACTTTATGTCTTTTTCAAAATAGCATTGGTTATTTTAAAGTGGGAACATTACAAAAATTATAAAAATACATCAAGAGCCATTCTGAAAATAGGTAGAAATGAAGTAGCAGAAGTGTCAAACCTGCTTTGCTGAAGGAGTCATTCCATGTTGCACAACAATTATTGCTCTGTTGATATTTTCTTCCTGCATTCTTGTACAGTATCTAAAATTTGATATTATTTCCATGTTTGGTTTACAACAAAACTTCATTGTTTTCAAAATTAATATGAACTGACCTAAGCAAATGCATACTGTTTCTTGAAAAAGCCTAATGCATAATGAAAAAGCTTCGGTTTTTTTTACAGTGACGATTCAATTTTTGTTACTATACTACTTAGCGCTGCCAGCTATTGATATGCAAGTGTTAATCTTAAATAAAATCTTATAATTGCAGAAAATTTTTTAAAATTCTCTTAATTTCTGGAATATGATCTTTTTAAACAAAATCAACAAATAAACAATTAAAAAAAATACATTTTTCAAATGAAAACTAAAAATTCAGAGTAAAAATCTTACTGCTTAATTGTTTTGATTCCAACTTTTTCCTCCTCTGGGAAAAACACAAACATCTGATCTAAAAAAAACAAGGGCATTGAGTCTTTAAACAATTTGGATTGATATCTAAGAAAATTTGTAACAAAATTGTCATTTTGGCAAGTTAGACCTTAAAATGTTATTTTATTAACACTTCAATAATATGTAACCAACAAACTGGATGATATGTATACTGCTTTGCTATATTCTGAAAGCACTTTTTTGTAAGAATACAATAAACAAGATTCTTCTTACCTGTAGGATCATCATTATGTGCCACTAAAATGGACAGGTCACTTCTTGACGGTCTGTTCTCACTAAAGAAAAAATTCAAGGAATTGTCCAAAGTAACGACTGTGCAAATTAGGAGCAAAATCATTGTTACCAAATGTCAAATAAACAAATACAATTTTTGAATCAAAACAAACAAAAACCAGCTTGCAGAAAGTGGCCATGGTGCACCCAGGAAAAAAGACATTGTATTGTTGATGGCTAGCCTAAAACTAGCTTTATTCAATCTAAAACTGGAAAAATGATATTTCTGGCACACCTTGCATTTTTTGGTCTTTTTTGAGCACCCACATCAGAGAATAGGGCTGTTAAAGCACCCAAGAGCTTGTCAAAAACGGTCACACTCTTGAAATTGGAACACCAAGCTGATTCAAGGAATATTTACATGGTCAAGGTTATCCATAAAAATAAGATTTCAGACTTTTTTAGATGCAATTCTAGAAGAAATTCAGTACAAGTTTAAGTGCATCTGGCTTTGCAGCATTCAATTGTGTATGTGAGATTTCTCTGTTTCCATTTTGAGTGATTGAAAAAGGGAGACTCAAAGTTTCAAGGAACAGACTGCTGGGTACTTTTTTGTTGACCCTGGCACAAGGCTGACTAAATATAGGCTATTACCAATTTTTTCTGCCTTTGTGGACATGAGTACAAAATTGAACATGAAAAATCTTTGACATGCATTATAAGGTTTTCAGTCTAATGAATAAAATGAAAGTTTCAATTTTGAGGATGGTACGCAAAGAACTGAATAAATTCTATTGATAGAATCAAAAAGCTCAAAATGAATCAGTTTAAAAAAACAGAAAATAGAACCATCCAAATGATTGGACAGTACTAAGAATAGTATTAAGAATACCATTATAATAAAAATTGATGCTTTGTAGAAAACATAATCAAATATCAATACCTTGGCTTATCTCCAAAATGGTCCACAAATTGTTCTATTGTTTGATCCAGTTCATCTTGAGTAACTAAATACCCTCTATCATGGCACATCTAAATATTGAAACAGCAATAAATATATGCATTTTACCATGATATTTATTAGGGGAATGATGACAATTTTGACATGCATCAAAGAAATTCTCTCGTGTGGAGTTTCTCTGCTCCAAAGGCACATTTCGAGCCAATTGATTCTGTTCTTTTCGCTGCTATGGCAATTTCACGTTCGCCATCATGCAGTTTGAGTCAACTAGATGGTTATTTTTGTTTAAAATCACAACATCTATAAGCACAAAAAATAAACAAGAACGAAATCTATGCATCAAGAACAGTCTCTCATCGTGGTGGGATCTTGATTGAAGCTAGGGAATTATACCCAAAGAAAAGCAAGTCAGTTTAAATACCTGCATTACAGTTTTTCTTATCCTCCATAGCTTGTAAATTTCAGCTTCATCATCCATTTTTTCATGAGATTATTTCCTATCAAACCTACACCGGAGTTAGCCTTTACGATCTTGCTTCTTCTCAATGACCGGCCGGCCTAAATGCTGTTGACTCTGTCTCGACTCAATGAAGAAAGATATATGTAGTCTCACTTCCAGTTGAAATCGGAACGACGTCATCAAGGAAAGGATATCCAAATGACGAAAAACCTTCTTGATTTGAAATCAATCCAATAGTAATTTTTTCCTGGAAATCTGTAGAATACAGTTGTATTTTCCAGGTAATAGTGTCTATTTTCCTTTTCAGGCGAACCATGCATCGATATGTCTCATTTTTCAAAAGAATTGTCGACAATCACCAGAAAAGCTTTTGCGAAAAATTATTCAAATGTAAGTTTCATTTAAGATATTATGCAGCGATTAAGGCTGACTACATTTTAATTGAGATCAGGTATAAAAAACTATTATGGTATGAAAAACAACTTATCACTGCCTTGGTCGAAGATTAGATTTAGAAGTTTCTTATGTACATGAGTGGCGCCAAAGGGGGATCACAGGGGAGGGAACTGTATGTCTTGGTTGATACTTTCCTTATCGGTTACTTGTTAGGAGCAATTTCTGTGTCTTTGTTACAAATCATGATCTACCAAAGGCATGTATATTAACAAAAAGATGGGTAATTTGTCTTAACCAACTGACTGAATGAAAGTTTCACGCTCTCGATACAATGTCGTCATCGAACGGACAGATGTGAGACGGTTAGAAAACGTGTCTATGATTTTGGCCTCTGCGTTTACTTTAGTACTCCGTTCTCGCGATGCTTCCTTGAAGTTTCAATATCTGACCGCAATACAGCTGTCGACAATCAAGTGCGGAAATAGAACAAGCTAAAGTCGATTTTACTTGATAAAGAACAGTACATATAGTATAGGTTTGGTCTCTGTGGAATAGAACAACCATCGCCCCTTACCCCTTCTATAAATAAAGTTAAAATGATCATGGGCCTATTTCACTTTCGGAGAACACAAAAGGCATCCTTTACTACTATCAAAGGTTTTTTTTGCAGACAGGAATCCCATCTAATTTATCTGATCTTGCCCTTGTAAAAGCTACCCGACCTCTCCCCGCTTTTTATTCTGTGTACGTATCGGGCATTTGTTATATTACAAATGTGAAACGTGTACGTAGCCAACAGCAAAATTACGCACAGCCACACCCTATTTAATCTTTTGGGCTCAGGGAGGGCGCAGCCTCCCTTGTTAAAAGTTTCGAAAAAATCGGGGGGGGGGGGGGCTCGGCTTTTTCATTGTTTGCGCTTAGAAAGAGACAAGAACTGTTTATGTTTTGGCTTTTTAGAGGAGGTCCAGCCTTCTTTCGGTGGTATTCCTTCCTGTTAACCCACTAATTTACCTCATCAAACCTTCTGCGGCAATTCAAACTACTTAGATATTAGGTTCTACACGAGGCTACCACAGAACTGACAAATTAATATTTTGTTGCCATAATGGCCAGGCTTAGTGTTATAAATCAACTGTCGTGTGATGTGATGGAAGAAAGCCTTTTGAAAAACTATCTAAAGCCTTGAATTTGAAAACTATAAGCGAGTTTCTATTTGCTATAATCAGGAATATATTATCGTTGCTGCTTTATATAGTCAAGTTATGTTCTCGTGTACCAAGATGTGATTTAATGAATACACAACCAGTCGTTATTATTCAACTCTGTCTGGCCTCCGTTTTAATAACAGAAGCACTAGAGCAAATTAAATGGTTTGTCAAGTTGTAACTTCGTCACAAGAGATATGCCGTAGTTACATACTCCAATAACTATGGTTCCAAAGTCTTTTATTCAATCCGCCAAGAGCAGTAAATTTTTTTCACATAATGGCATAATTTTCTAAGTTCATGCACTGTGTTAGAATCCTGAGGGTACTTCTTGTATTTGATTAGAAAGCGCTAGGTAGGGGTAGATCGTATTTCCTAAGGAAAATTAACTTGTTTAGAAATACTGAAACGAGGTGAAGGGGGCGTGGTATGTGAGACATAACCCTCCCACACTGCAGCAGGGTCCCCCTCTTTACAATTTTACGACTACATCCCTGCTTCTAAGGTAAACAGTTTGCGAGAATAGGTAAAGATCCAGTATTGCAATATAGTAAACTACCAAATACTCAAGGCTCCAAGGGAGCAATGAAAATGATTCGAGTTAGCGAATGTTCGAGTTATCGACCCCCACGGGTCGATCACATTGGTGAAGGTTCAAGGGGGGTACAAGACAAAAGCTCTCTAGTGTTGTAAATGTGTAATGCAGGACTTAGTTGTATAGAAATAGTTTCTTCGCAAGAACTATCAAGGATTCCTTCAAGTTAGATCTCAAAAATTAATAGTTATATGAAGCATTTTCGATACTGGTCTAGTTCGGTGACTTTTAAGATTTGTATTACTTTTGGCCCAGTTAACACTGGTACTAATATAGTTATAGATGTAGCGGTGCCAAAAAGATGAGCTATGAGGAGCTCGACCTATTGAGGGTTCTTGTTATTGGGATTCGAGTTATTGGATTTGGAGTTGTCAGGGGTTCGAGTTATTGGGAGTTCAAGTGTATTGAAGGAGATTCAAGGAGGTAAAAAGAGAGCTCGGGGTATCGAGGGTTCGAGTTATCGGGAATATCTAAATTGTTGCTTGTAATTTGTTTCAAGCCAGCGCGAATGTGAAACTGAATCGCTTAAAGAAATTACTTTCATTATAAAGATTTTCAAACTATCCTAAATGAGTGAGTCTGGAGTTATACGACAGGCTTCAGTTACCACACTAAGAAGATGGGTGTAGAGCCCATGAGCTATGTATTAACAAACAGCCAGTTAAGTTTGAAATTCTGAATACGCTTGAAGTGTAGGTCCTGATTTGCTTGGAAGCAGGAACTCATTTAGTTGTATAAACTCAAGTAATCCTGCATTTCGGCAAAACCTGTTCACATAATGATAAAATGCCCAAGTAATGTGTGGCTAACAAATTGCGGGGGAGAGAAAAGCATGTCTTTCGGATTGCAATACTTGTTATTGCATGGCATTGTCCTAATAGCATCTTTCTTGTTGACATCACAGACAAATATGTATGCTAAATAAACGCCCAAATGTCCAGTTGAATGTTTGCAAAGGATGAGTGGGTGTGATTTTTTAATCAGTGAACAGGTAAAATGAAACTGCACTCAAAATTATCTTGAGTTGAAGAATTCAATACAGTTGACAATGTGATATACCAGAGAGGTATTGTAGATGGAGAGAGGTGGAGTAGTCGGGGATGGGGGGGGGCTGGGAGGTTGTGGAGGGGCAAGGAATAGATAGTGTCAATAAAGATTTGGTAGTTGTCCATTTAAGGACAGGAAAAGCTTTCTGTCTTGTTTCAATCTTTAACTACCAAATCTAGAAATTTTGACGCTACATTAAATAGCGAGCAAGAACCTGTTGTTTAAATTTTTTAAATATGAATATATTGATACGATCTCGAATAGCATATGAAACGAGACCATTTTCTACCAATACACTTAATAAATTGAAATTAATTTTTCTATATTTTAGATCTATTTTCATGCTGCAAGTCGTTTTTCTGTACATTATATCGTGAAGCGTTAGACGTAGTTCGATTTATTTTTTGCCCTTTCCCCTAAAAGGAGTGTTGTTGGCTGATCTGGTGAATGGTAGATCTTAGTTTTTAAAAAGCAGCACTGCTTTGGCAATTGCTGGATTGGGATAATCTAAGGCATTCCTTTCTTTTTGTGAACCTTTCTTGGTTATTCTGAAACTGAACTTCTGAGATGCTCACTCTCAATGTCATTGCTTGTTTGTAAAAATGATTGCATGTTTCTAAAGTGCTACCTGCATGCATTAAGTTAGAAGCATACAGCAACTTAATTCAAAGCTATTTTCAAATTTTCTACCGATTAGTATTTAGGCCACTGCCATCTTTTACTAAATGAATTTATATTATAAGCAAATAAACATACTTGGAGTAAGTAGGGCATGTCCATGTTTCTACTGTCGGTGCCCTTTGAAGGCATAATTTCCTCAGTGCAACATGTTGGCTGGTGCTTATCTATCATTTCAGTTTAATTCTACTAACTAAAAATTTTTGTCAAATTTATATTCGCTAGATAGGTCGGAACTTGATAGATCAACCAAAATGCATCCAAAAAACTAACTTCTGTTTCGCTAGCATACTAAATTAATCTAGATTTTAATATATAAGAATGATCTAGGATCGAGTGTCCCTCATTTCAATCAAGGTAGGCATATAACTTCTTTTGTGAAAAGTGATATTGTCATTTTCGTAAACCAAGCAGTCAAAAAATTAAGAAAACTCTAACAGGGTATTTTCCTGTTTAGAATGTTAAGTTAGCTCAAAATTTTTATAGTTTGAAATGTGGAAAATAAAATGTTGTGAGCTTTCTGTCGTAGAGAAATTTAGTTGGAAAGCAAAATACTGGTAAGAATTAGAAATGGTTCTGGAAATCTGGAAAAATACCCTTTCTAGAATTTTCTGATTTTTCTACCATTTGGCGTATGGATCACTTTTGACAAAAAGTCTCGAAGAAGGAGACTAGAATTTGGAGAAAACTCAGAAACAGAAAATTTCAAAAAGCCCCGAATAACGTCTCATATCGTTTTCTTAAAGCTCTTGCATTTAATTTGTGTGATATCTGCAAATTATGGCTATAAGGTTCGAGAAAGCAGTAATGTAAAATGATCAATGCTTAGGTCTTATAGATTTTACCTATATAGATTTTACTTATAGATTAAAAATGAATAAAAACATAATATTTGTTGCTCCCGGTAATATTTGAATGTGGTTAAGTGCAAAAAGCTGATTAAAACCATTACCATAAAAATGGTAAAAATAAAAAACACATAGCAATGAGCATGACCATAAAAGAATTCGAGAATATTCAAAGATTAGAAATCTTATTCGTAAAACCATGCTATTACACCTCTTTTGTCTGAATTTACAGGTGATGTTTGACAACACCTGGTAGCCAGACGTTGATTAGTAGGCTTAAAACATAAGTGTGGATATATTTTAGAGTGCAAGATAATTTCTACATTCAAAACACAATCCTCGAGAGATGGATGGTACATTAATCTTGTATCAGTATTTGGCATAAAGTCATCAAAATGTAATGATAGGAGGAGAGCGAAGGGGATGGGGTATGTCTGTGGTTCGGGTTAAAATTGCGTGGTCTCATTTTTAACGAGGGTCAATTTTTAATTGTTACTTTTGCCTTTTGAGATATTCTTGTGAGATTGCTCTCCTTGCTCGTTCAACGGCACTACACCCCAGCTCCAAATGTGTTGTCGTGCCTAAAAGTCCACTCAAAGATAATCATATAATACATACATAATAGAACGTACATACTTTTACAACTTGAAGTGACAGTAGTTTCTTAATAGCTCTTTGTTTCATGCATTATATTTTACCGACCAAAATCACGGGGGTATGAGCAAAATTGATCAGCTCTCAGAAGAATGACTTTAAAACGACTTCTAGTTTTGTTTTGAATAGAAATATCTGACATGAAAATGTAATAAACTACTGTCGTGTGAAAATCGGTTTCATATCACTATCATACACACAAAAAGAGTGAAAGTAAAGCAAGCATTTTTAGTGTTTTAAATTATATGAATACAGAGAGAGGATAACGTGAAAATTGTATGTTGGTTGCCAGCTTTTGGTAATGGTAAATCGAGTATCTTTAAGAAATTACTTTGTTGGCGGTAGAGCCGATACAGTCTAGATCAAGATAATAAGAAAAATACAACCTTAAATAATTCTTAATTGCTTAATCAGACGAAGTCCCAAAATGAGTTAGGGGAATGTTTTCACGAGGCCGCCGCATTCGACTGTGATTGCGAATTGCGGGAGTTCGGTTCGCGCGAGCTGCTCACATCTGCAATCACGTTGACAAATATCGACTTCAGTGCTCTACGAAACTGCTTGTTCCATATTCCGTAAACTAGGGGATTCAATATAACCTTCATATCCACCAGTGTAATGACAATATAGAGGCCAGTAGGGGAGATGTGTACTGCGTTGGTGAGCATTAAAACGTTGGCGAAAAAAGCAGGCAGCCAGCATATACAAAACGCTATGACAACAGTAAACATGACCTTGGTAATGCGAATCTCTTTGTTAATAGCATGACTCGACAAGTTCGCTTTACGTCCACCATTACTGTCCGTCTCTTTTTCTTTCTTAGTGAGGAAAGCTGGGAATGTGATTTTTCGACTCGTCGGCCTACCGCTTTTGGTTGGTGTGTCCTTTACAGTCAATTGGTTGCTACTTTCTTTAGTCTCATTGTCAGTTCCTTCAGTCTGCTTTGGTGGCTCAGGTTGCTTTGTTGTTTCGTCCAAGCTCTTGCTGTTATTGTCAGCAATGTCATCATCATAATCATTGTCATCATTATCGCAACTGACTTCCTCGCTTTTCCCCACTTCCAACTTCACGCTCCATTCCACAGACTTCTTTTCATCATTCGCAGAATTTTGCTCCTTGCCTGGTTCAGTGACGACCGGCAAGTTTGATGAGCTTTTCATGATCCTGTATGACCCTTCTTTCTTCTTTTGCACTAATGCGGCCTTGAGCGATGCCGCCTTCTGTGCAGAACGCTTCCGTGCTAACCGCGCGTTATCCAATATTCTCTGCTTGTGTTTCCTCAAAGACAGGAATATATATGCGTAGCAAAAAATAATGACAGGGAAGCACAAACCCATTACATACACATAGAAAAGCGAGCGAAACACAGCATTTTTACTCTCCCAGTTTGTAAAGCATACGCCATGATAGTCACTGTATGCGTATTCACCAACACCTACAAGAGGCAGTATCGCAAGAAGGATAGTCGAGGCGGCCAAACCGACACAGTAGTAGACCATTCGTTTGCGTGTAAACATTCTTTCGAAAGAGCGTGTTTTTACTATTTTCACATATCGGACCACTGCTATGGCGGCAAGAAGCATTGCGGAGTGGATGAAAGTAACGCAGGAAATGAACCCCGAGAACGGACAGTAATAAGAGGCAACATAATGTTCGTCTGCCAGTTCCGTATAAGCTTTCACCGACAAAATAAAGACCGCTTTAGTAAAGTCAACGATTGCAAGCTGGAACAAGAAGACGTTGTTCACCGTCTGTAGGCTTTTGGTCTTGATAAATGCGATAATGATCAGTATGTTTCCAACAGCTCCAAAGAGTGATATGCATGCAGATATCAATGCATTGAAGATAATGAATGTCGAAGGCATGTTTGGACAATTGCCAACCGTGGCGTACGTACCCTCTCGTTCAACCAAAAAGACAAGATATATGCATATCAATAAAGCACCAAAAATGAGTGTATTTGCTAAAGTACCAGCTAGTTCCTTCTTGTCAATGTAGTTATTACAGAATAAGAATGACTAGATTTTGAAGCCAGTGTTTCTACATGCCAGTAGTTTGGGCAACAATGGATTGTGGTCTATAAAACCAGGTCCACTGATATGTTGTTGCTCTGTCATACGAACCCGGAACTGTGCTCCTAGCAAGGTCATGAAAACGCACGACGTTTCTTGGAGTAAAAGCAAATATAATCGTTAATCATGTTGACAGCTAGTCTGAAATGTGATTTCATCTGTTTTGAATCACATCTGTTGGGTCTGTTCTTTATGTGATAAAGAAACAAGCCGTTTCAGAGGTATCCAGTAGTGTCAAGTTGCAAGAAACGAATATTTGCTCAGTCAATACATAATCAAAATCATAACCATTCACCATTATCGCGACCGATCTCCATTTTCATTACCGATACATTCAACTGTTCCAACATTTGTACAATCGACTCTGCTTAAAGTCGCACTACCCATTACAGTTACATGGAATTTAGACTCAGATATAAAAACTATTCAATTTAGCTCCTCTTACAGTCACATTCCGTTTACAGTCACAAATATTCAAGCAACATTTGGTGCGACTGTAACCGGAGTCTACTGTACTGCAACATAGCACTTATTTTGAAAATGGCTTTGAAAAAAGCAAACATTTTACGACATACTAAAAGCTTTTTCGTTTGACACTCCTCAGAGCATAAAACGTCAGAATGAAGTTCCGAAAGAACACGATGGAAAATATACCCAGTTGTGGATCGAAAATCGCCATTGTGTAGACAGAAGGAGTTCGTTTTCTCTCTTGGACTCCATTGGTAATTTTTCTTTATGCTCGCGGCACTGATTGGTCAACTATACCGGTCTTGTGCTTGCGTTTTTCTGATTGGCCTATTTCGATCCACAACTGGGTATATATTTTTCCATCGTGTTTTTTCGGAACCTATTCTGACGTTTTATGCTCTGAGGAGTGTCAGACGAAAAAGCTTTAAGTATGTCGTAAAATGTTTGCTTTTTTCAAAGCCATTTTCAAATTCTGTACCGCAAAAAAATTGAGCACTTATTTTCATACAAATGACTCTAAAATGCGTCTCAAGGCTGGAAACTACTGTGGTTGCCAAAGTCTGCAGCATTTTACGCTAAGTAACCACATATGAAAACCGAGCCCTGCAGCAACAAAATAAAGGCAGTTTCTTTCATTTCAGCAGGACTGCTACTTTCATAAAAAAATTCCGGTTTAAAAACAAAGAGCCTCCTGCTATCTATGAAGCTCGTAAGGCTTGTCGGCAAAAGGGACCCATGAACCCCCCCTCCCCTTCAATAACACGATAGCTAGCGAAGGCCCTGAATTTCAGCTCACCTCCACTCCTTTCTACAAGTATTTCTTATGTTTGGGTAAAGGCTGCAACATTTTTTTCACCGAATGAAATCAAAGAAATTTGAGTATTCCTAATTAAGAGTGACGAAAGCATCTTTTTAAGATCAATCGTAATCAGTGGCGGATTTAAGGGGGGGCAACTAGGGGCAGTTGCCCCTCCCTCGACGAGTTGAAGCAAGCCTGGCACCCCTTTTTTGGAAATTGTGCGCCCCTTTTGAAGAATGAGAATGAGGTGAAAACGTTTTTGAGACCCATAGGTTAATTTGCTTCAAGGATTACCTCAAAGTTATGTTGTTTATTCCGAAAATGGATCTGCAATTGTTGTATACAGCGTACTTTCGACACCAATTTTTGAAAATTTTTCAGCGCCCCCACTACCAACTGTCCTTCCTTCAAGTTTGCTCTGGATCGGCCCCTGCGTAACTTGATGAATAACACAGTGTGCCCAGTTTATGAGATACCCTTTTCTGTTTGGAATGATCTACTGTGCCAGAAGCTAAATACCAAGCACCTTTGCTCTCTGACAAAACTTGAAAATAAAGAGCTCCAATTTCACCCAAATTTTGGTCACCATTCAACATTCCCTGACTTGAGATGAATTACGGTCTCTGCGTTGCAAAGTTATTAAAAAACACTCCAGACCTTTTAATTTTCCTTCTCGTTCCAACATTGTTATCATTACGAATATTATACTTATAGTAAAAAACTAAAACCTTTGCGGAAAAAGTCGACATGGCCTAAACAAGAGAAGAAAGAAATATGATAGTTCAAATTTAAATGTTTGCAACCTACTGGTATTGTCTGCAACCTTAACCCAAAACCCTTCGATATTTAACAAATTGCCAGATTGAAAAGGACGTTATTGGAATTGTGAAAGACAATACTAAGTATGTCTCAATTGGAGTTAATAATAAATATATCCGTAGTTAGATGATATATAAGAAAACTCAAAGCCCGTAGTTAGGTGATGTTTCTGTCCACTCTTTTTCTACGCTAGTCAAATAAATTCTCGCATCATTATGTCTGCCATAAGGAAGGAAATCGCAGAATTTCCATTTAGTAGTTAAAAAGCTCCCAAGAGTTACGGATATATCCAACGCAATGTCTTAAAGGCAATCTGTCTCGTTGTGGATTGTAAACGAGAACATTAGCTGGGACAATAGCCTAAACACAATTCCAGCGCTCCGCCATATTTTTTACAATGCGATAAATTAAAGGGGGACTGGAAACAATAAAAAATCCCTTTGTTCTTATAATCAATCAACGTCGTAACAGATTGCCTTTAAAGCTAACCGCTAGCCGATATTATTCTGTAGAAATATCACGGAATCAGAGTTAAAGCAAAATATTCCATGACGAGGCGGACTTCAATAAATGTTAGCATATAGAGCTAACATTTAATTCTTAAAAGCAGTTCTTCGAAATGAATATTTATCGTGGAAACCTGGCAAAGAATGAATGCTTAATGGAAAGAGCAAATAAGACTTTCTAGGCTTTAATCAGTAATTACAAATGTACTGCATACGTGTTGTGGAAATTAGATGTCTCAACTATCTGCTTTAATGAAGAGCGAAAGGAAGTAATGATAAAACCACTTTGCAGGATAGTCTCTTGTTAAATTTTACTGTCCGATCACAGTTCTTCCACATGTTCGCACAACTTTGAAGAGATAGAGCATTCTAATGGAGGATTTTTAGGAGGGGGGGGGGGGGGGGAAGCTAAGTGGATGGGCAACTAGAAGGCTGGTTATGAAGTGGAAGTGGGTAATTCTAAGCAGAAAGTAGAGTGATATCTCTAAACATTCAAGAAATCAGACGCCCCTCTCGGTTCTTGCAATAAGTTCTACAGTATATTGGAAATGAAAATTTTCACTTTATATCATGCCTTATTATGTTTCAAGTGATGTTGTCTTACTTATGACGTTAGACTCGTTTGGTTGGGAAGAGCCTTAGGCAAACGATTTACGTGTTTTAAGTTTGTAATTGGAGCAGAACAAACCACCTTTATCTTTACAAAACCACCTTTACAATAACTGTTTGCTCATATTATGCAAATTTTTCTTGATGAAGATAATGGGGTATGCAAATAATCGTGTAAAGGCCAATGGTAACATTAAGAATGGTACAATATTTGTGGGAGATCTTAAGGGGTCAAGAGGGCCTGAACATGACGTTTGCTTGAGCAAATTGCAACATCAAGAAACTTTATTTATTATGTTTCTATTTTAAGAGGAAGTGTAATTTATCAAGAGTAATATGAATCACAGGTAAACCTTGCTTAGCCAGTAGAACAGCGATAAGGTTACATGAAATATTATCAAAAAGGGCCTTTACGTTAACTGCCCACACGAACAGAAAACAGTTTGGAGAGTTTTAGCTTTGGAGCACTCAGCTTGAGCTTAAATAGGGGGAAAATTCAGTTAATGGGTTCGTCGAGAAAAGATTTACTAACCGGTAACAAGATATCCTTAGGAAAATATGCATACACGAGAACTGTACGAAAAGAACAAAAACAAAACATTTAAAGGTGTGTTTAACCATATTCAACATTAGAATTGACAAAAGTCTAAACGGAATGGTCTTAAATAAGATTTTGAAGCTGACAATCCAGATGTTGTAAACAGCAACGCTATCATAGCAATAACTGACGTCACAAGTACGAAACACAACTTCTAACGAAAACTTTTTTAATTCTACCACGAACTTGACACGTCAAACCTGGCTATTACTAAACTGAATAGAAAATACGACATTACGGCTTGCATGTTTGTAATTCTACTAAATTCTGACACAAAAACATTCGTGTTTAAACTGAAACACGGGGAATCTTCCATTCAAACATATGGCAATCTTTTCACTTTACTGCTTGCACGCTCCTCTTCGCACAACTGCTGCTTGAAAACCTGGACCTTGTCTACAAAACAATTATACCGGTTTCAATAAATTATAATCCCTTGCACTATATCCACCTCATACAGAATACACCTCCAGATAGAGAGTGTCCATAGCAATAATAATAATAAGATTCAATCAAATCTCTATTAAGGAGCAATGACTATTTAGTCTAGCCAGAATTGCAAGGAAAAACATCACGTGCAGTTTAGTACCACAGGTAAATTTTCCTTTAAGTAAGAGATAATTCAACCCATTACATATTTTTTGGTCGGTTTTCATTTCTGGAAACTGTCTTTTGAATTTCTGGCAATACCATAAATGTTCTGTATTATAAAAAAACTTCTTATAATCAACACCTTGTTCAACTTTAATTGTCATATTTTCTTTTTTAGATAATTATTGATTCAGTCATGTTTAGTTCTCATTCTAGTAACTTTGGTCCTTCCTACTTTCTATGAGTTCTTTTATTTCTATGAGTATTTCTGCCATTATTATGCATACGTTCGAACTGGAAGCGGGAAGGGGAGGGCTTTGGAGGGAGGAGGAGGGAGTGTGCGGGAGGGGAGATGGTAAGAGAGGTTACATTACTATATACAGGTTATGCCAGGGATGTCTTTTGGCGTTTGTATAAACAGCCACATCCAAGGTTGTAGTTCGAATAAGATACATGGAAGAAAGTAGGACACCGGTTCTTTAAAATGTCGCTGCCAAGGCTTCTTTTTTACACTAACTTAGGCAGTATAAAGACATTAACTTAAGAAATGATTTAAATTTTGTTCAAGAGGCATCTAACGTGCAACTTAAAACATAACATGACAATTGGCATGACGTATGATAAAAAACAAACTAACATCATGATAGATGGTCAGAGCAACAGAAACAACAGTGCCTAAACTTTAAAGTGCAAGTCAGATTCTATATAGGTCAATGGCGAGAGTCTGAAAAGTTACCTTTAAGTTGTGTGAATTTTTGGATTTTTTGGGTCAAGATGTCATCCAATCTCTTCACATATTCTGAATAAAGATTAATGAATTAAACGCATGGATATAAATTATTTACCAATTACGAGGAGTGAGAAACAAAAATCTATTAAACTTTGTCTGAAGACATTAAGAATTTTGCTATTCTGTCGGATCTTGAATGGCAGATAATTGAAATTATAGCTCCAATGAGTAATGTTTACAAAACAAGAATGTTGTCTTTTGATCAAAGGTCTCAATTCAGGGAGAGGTTTCTTAGCATCTCCTTGCTCCTTCTTGTGATGCTCCACGCTGGTAAAATTGCAAATTAACGAGTAAAAGAACAAACCTTCCAGATCGTAGGATGTTTCATAAGTTAGAAGGTCAAGCATCTTTTCCTCCTCTCCAAGCATCTCTTTCGTTTGCTATAAGGCATCGAAAACACAAGTTGAAATTTACTTATTATATCATCGCATTTGATTTTATCTTGAAACGACAACTATATATTATTTCATCAATATATATGACGACAAATGGGTGTGGGGGCTAAAGAAGGCTGGTAGTGTCAGTATTCAAGTATGTCTAAAACGTGAACTGAGATTTACATCTAGATGCAGACCAAAAATGACTTGAAAGGGTGAATGACGTGTTTGATTGGTTTCTTGATTTTAGCCACTGACCTATCACATGGTTTAAAGTTCGAATGCAAGCGATGATTTCTATATTTGATCTGTAACCGTAAGGTATATTGGCGCTTTCAAAGAGCGAACAATAATAACTTCGTATCGCTTCCTGGTAGATCTTGTGTTTTTTGTATAACTTTGTTGTGTAATGCCTGATAACCTTTAAATGTATATATAATTGTGAAGTTATGAAAATATAAGTTTGTATATGTGCTAGAAGCAGGCAAACAAAGCAGTTCTAGAAAAATGACAGTACAACAATACCGTGACTGTTCTGCAGAGGCTCTGATAACAGAAGCAAATTATAATTATGCGTACCTCAATACTTGTTTTGTGCTCATCAATCAACTGCTCTTCCGTTTCAATAAGCAACGAAACAGCTTCGTGGAAATTATATAGTTCTTCTGATTCTCCAGCGCTGTTCTGTGCAATAAGACAATGTAACATTAGATTTTAATCATAAGGACTACATGAAACTACGGCAGTAAAGAACCTAAACATTATTTTAATCAATATACTGCAAAACAGCATAAAATAGCGGTGATCTCTTATGGTTGAACGTAGAGAGCTAATTTTCTTTCATGTAAATAGAATACGAGACATTTTAGGTGACTAAACAGCTGGGCATAAACTGTTACATCTTTTGGCCTTCATCTCAACGTCGCACCTCTGTGCCTTCTAAAGACCAGGAAGTCAGGCCGTCACTAGCAGCTCTTTTTGTAAACAAATGGGCTACTTTTTTGAAAAGTGATTTTTTCGCTTCAGAAAATGATATTAAGGTTATGACAGGACGCGTTTTCTTGGCTAGCCATTCCGAAACCCACTCTCGTCGACTTTTTCAGTAAATACATAACTGGTTACGAGACGAGGCGCGATTGGTAATGTATACAAAGAGACCGTGTTATATTTATCTTTAAATGGGGTATTATAAATGTTTTAAGGCTTGGAGAGATAAGAAAGTCGTTTTCAGGTACTTATTTATGAAAACAAAACAAAAGATGAGTTGAAATGTCAATCTTTCTTCTAATTAATAGTTAAGTATCCATTGAGTCATTAAGTGAGATAGATTCAATTGATTTTGATGACGTGTCAACGGCAGGTAACAAACGTCATCAGGGTTCTAGTTGACATTAGTACCTGAAAGACTGACAAGGTTTACCCCGGATAAATATTTTCCATATCAATATCACGTGTTAACCTGCTTTCTCCTTGCACGTATCGTAAATCGATTTAACATTGCTTATAGGATTCTATCGTTCAACAATGATGCAAAAAGAAATAACTTTCAACAAACACAGCAACAATTTTTGAAAACATTACGCAGGTATTTGCCTGCTTCAATGTGAGAAAAAACATGAACAGATATCTTGTTTAGATACAGGCAAAAAAGTATGCCAGTAGCTATGACAAGATGTGAACGAGGTGAAAATGTGCGCTCTATCAACCATTTAAAATGAAGACGGACTGGTAGGGGGGGGGGGGGGGGGCGTTCTCTAAACATCCTTGTCTTGCAACATTATCTAGAGACACAAAATGAGTATCCATGATACCGGCGATTCGAAAACAAACGCGAAACCAAAGCGAGAGAGCGTACCACCGATATGGCGCTGCAGTGCAATGCTTTCAACGGTTTATACAGAAAAAATATAAACGATGCACCTTAAAAGATACATTCTAAATAATACACCTCCAAGCAGGACTTCAGGTACTGACCTAGCAATTCTGCTTTAAGGCATATTACCCATTGCATACAAAGTCGTTAAACTGCAGATGAAATGCTGACATAAATTCAGCTGCTCTGTGACTTGATTAACTTGGAACAAGCTCTTGTACTTTCAGCCCCCCCCCAACATCAGGAAGCATGCTATCTATGCAGGCATACTAACTTTAAGGTCGAAATTCGAACTAGCAACTCAGGGTAACGTGAATGACAATAGTATCAAGCTGAAAGGGAGAGCCTTTTCTTCTCAACAATTTCACTACAAATGAATCGCTTTTTTTTTCAAGGGAACATTCACTTGTTACGCAATTAAGGGTTGAAAATAGCGGGGAGTGGGTGTGATAAGGAAGGGTAAAGGTTTTTTAAGGACTTGGTGCCCCATCCTACCTGTGCCTTTTCCTTCATGTGCCTTCCCTCTCCAACTTTAAAAAACATTCTACCTCGCTATGGTCCTACTGCACGTAACAAATTGCTATAGCAGTGGGCCACATGCTATAGGCGCTTTCAGAATGCAAGAAAATATACTTACACTGTGTGTACACAGCATGGCCAGCTCTGCATTCTTGTATTTTTCGTTTCCTTTTTCTATCTCTTCATTTTCATGTTCACCGCCATTGTTATTTTTCTTAGACGGCCCTCCTTCTGGTCCAAGTTCTTTCACCCTAAACAATAAATTTATCTTTCATAATTTTAAAGGCCCTTCTCAAAAATAGTTTTAAAATATTTGAAACTCGTATGGGCAAAGCACTAGGTGTCTTAAAAATTGAGAACAATTAGCTTCTGACTCTCAGAAATAGTTATAATATCGTGAATTCTAGACAAGAATGGTCCATATCCCTAACGATATGCCTAAATACAGTTGTTTAATGTTTATCAAGCGACCCAATAAAAGAGTTTGGCTCAAAAAGATATAAAAATACGAATTGGTACAGATTTGTAACAATAGCATTACATTTATCGCATAGCAAATAAATAAAATGAGCTATAGACCTTAAAGAAAATAGAGCCCCGTCGCCATGAGCCGGTGCACTAGTCGAATCTTGATTTTTGAACCTCTCGTATTAGAGTTAGAAGAAGAGGCGATAAAAGTTGAGATTTGCCAAAACCACGTGCAAAAACAATTTTTTGACGCCATTTCAATATTTTTTATTGTCTAGCGTTGTTTGGTTTACATGCGATAATTTTTGCAAATACTTTGAAGTTTGGTTGCAGAATTTTTAAAATTGAGTTCCGTTCATTTTGAGACTATTTTTCAGGCAGGGCAAAATATTGTTTATATGTTGTCTTCTGTTTTTTATATAAATACAACGGCAATACTTCTGCAGCCCCGATAAGCATTGAACATTAAGACTTTGAGAAAAAACTTGTTATTGGAAAAGTTATTCAATATATGTTTCAATTTATATTTCACCACACGACACGACTAATTTTTAACAAAGTGGCAATTCCAAGCCACTGTTTGGCTTCAACCTTTGGCTTCTGTGCAAATGTAATCAAGCCTCTAAAAGCAAGGGATTATTTCTTCAATCCTTATGCAATCTATTAAAATTCCAGTAAGATATTTTGACTTACCTATCGGCATACCGAAGGGTGTTTAATGTATGTTCTGTGCATGACATGCCAGGAGACACAGTTGCAATCTTCAAGGAGAAGAATAAGAATTTGACGTCTTTGTCAAAAATGAGGTATTTAGATACAAAATAATCAATAGATCGAATAAATACCAGGTCAACTTAGGTATGAAAGGCTTGAAAATACCAACCCTGACATGATAGACACAGTTGCAATCTTCAAGGAGAAGAATAAGAATTTGACGTCTTTGTCAAAAATGGGGTATTTAGATACAAAATAATCAATAGATCGAATAAATGCCAGGTCAACTTAGGTATGGAAGGCTTGAAAATGCCAACCCTGACATGATCAAGTAAGTGAATATCGCATCTTCTTCGGTTATTAGTCCTTTATAAAAGATGCCAAAGATATGTAGTTATTTTTGTCAAACACTAATATGTCTACAAAAAGAGAATAAGAAGTAGACGTACCATACATGTTTTGGCATTCTCACCAATGAAAGAATCTCGAAGAACCTGCAGGAATCCAAAAGGACAAGCCAGTTGTTAGAATTAAAAAATTCAGGGTGACAGTTTTACATACAAGCAAGACATGCTCATAATTTGCCTCTCTCTCGATCAGTTTCTCTATTAAAGAGCTCCTCCTTTGGCAATTATCTCTAAGTTCATGTATTTTCTAATAACCTTTCCCTTTGTTAATATATTCAATGTAAGGCAACTTGTATCATTTGTGTATATCAATTGTATATTTAAAGTAATGTTATGTATGTTTAGCTATACTAAGATGACAACTGACAGAAGTTGCCAAATAAGCTTGGAGGCAGACTGCCTTTAAATAAAGAATTAAAACCCAAACCATAGATTATATATACTTAAAGAACGGAGCTACAAATGAGCAATTGATAGCAGATTAACCTGTGTTAGTTTGCTGGCTCTGAATGGCAGATGGGCTCCTTTTCTTCCCAGGGCTCGTATGCATTCTTTTAGGGCTAGCAAGCTCTTGTTTATCTCGGCTCCTTCCATTCTCGTTTGTCGATCTGAGCTCGACGTGTCAGCTCCTCTTTCGTTTCCTGAATGAAAAAGATACATCAAACTTGCCATCCAGGAAATATTCAGTCTAGCATCGGATTCAGTTCAAAACAATTTGCATGAACAGGCAGCCTTCCAATAACCTGTATATTCTAACTCAATGTAGAAAAAATATTCCAATTGTAACCAGATAAAAGGTACTTAATGGAGCTAGCAGAAGGTCTTGCATTTATTACAGTGGTTTCACAACTGCAAACTGTGGAGTTTTGTATCAAAAAATCTAGTACACTCACCAGCAAGATCAATGAGTGAAAACTTCCCATAAAGATGTCCCATGCTGCCATCTTTACCCGGTCCGCTAAAATTTGACACAAGTTGATTCTGTTACTCAAAATCGCTTTGATCGGATGAATTTACTAACAATAGTTTCCAACATTGTGATTACAAATGGAAGAAAATGTTGCACTATCCAAATTATTTGATAGGTATCTGCTACTGAAATGGATCAGCTGAAAATTTACCAGTCAGAAAAAGATTAGCTAAAAGAATGATTATTGTTCTTCGTAATTGGAAGAGATTTGGAACAGTCAATAAAAGTTCCTTATTTGTTCAGACGTTGCAATTTGCATAAAGAAATCTGCTATTTGCCAAGGAACTCTGTGTATACGATATCAAAATTGAATTTAAGTACTCCACGTGTAAGAATTTGTATAATGGTGAATAAAGAATACATCAGAAACCTCATTTAATTGATATTCATACTTCCAATTCAAAATAACAAAACTTCCAATCTGTTTTGAGTACAAGAGCTATAAACATTTGATTCTGAACTTCACATTCATTACAACTATTAGTTCAAAATGTGGGAGGGTCAGTAAACTTGATTATATTTTCAAACTGACTGTCAACATTTTCCAGGTACACGGCAAGCTGTAAAATTCTGAACAAAACATAAAGGACGAGAGTGAGGAAGGAGATGAAAGAGCATCGTGTACTTACTGTTTGCGAAGAACAATCTGGAAGACTGCATGTGATCTAGATGAGTTTTGATTGGCGGATGTCTGTCCAGAGGTTCTACGAAGTAAGCAGGTATGTTGCTTTACATATAATGACAATAAAGAACATATATATGATTGATTAAGAAGCACGACTAAATGTGCAAAATCAGTTAGATCTGTAACAAATTGGCTCATGAGCACAGACGCTTCCCCCATCCAATCACAGTTAATCAGTAGCAAAAATCTGAATTCTATTTGCTATATCTCAGTTATTTTGGAACAGATTAAAATTATTTTGCATTTTAAGAGGTATTTCACGGCCATCTTACAGAAAACATGATCCAAAGATAGACATTATGAAAATAAACTTTTATGCCGTCACGTGTAAGAACTCTTTACATGCTAAGATATGCCACTCACCTAACTTTCATGCCACGCTCTATTAACTTAAGGACATCCTGTACACTGTGGACAACAATCTCTTCTAGATCGACAACCTGAAATTCATCAAAAGTAATACATGCTTTAAGATAAATGACTAATAACCAAATGTTTTGATAAAAGTTTCTCAAAGGAATCCATACTACTGTTTTCACAACTGTGCAAATTAGAAAAGGTGTTTGCAAATATAAGCCACCTTCTCACTTCGTCACTGGAATTGATGTGGCTGGCGAACAGACAACTTAATGAACTGTTCACTTTGGATTATGATATACATTTCAAGATAGACGGAGAGAGGGAGAGGATAACACATCCAGAGAAGGGGGAAGGTGATGACACACCCAGAGTGGGAGGGAGATGACACATCCAGACGGTAAGGGGATGACTCATTCCGAGAGGGGATGGGATAACAAATCTGACTCTATATTACTGCCACACACCATACATATACGCCTTAAATCTTTAATGGATCAAAAAGGAATCTAAACATGTTGTTGTCAAGTAAAGGATCATCCTTCTACCGCCACCAAAATTACCTAAACATATCTAATTTCGAAGTAGGATCCCCGCCTACGCTGCACGCATGCTAACTACAGACTCTCAAAATATAAGGCGCCAAGGTGAGATACTCATTTGAGAAAAAGAACTTACTTGAACCTGCCCTTGTCCATCTTCTAGCACACGAAGTTTCTTCTTCTTATTCAAAAGGTCAAATACCTGAAAATAATTGCCAAAATATTCTTTTTTTTAAAGGTGTTGCTAGACATAACTGTAAACTAGCACCAAATTAAAGTACTCAGTACTACAGAAATTTGGTTGTCTGTAGTTCTGAGTTTGTTCTGAGAGTCATTTGACAAAAAAGCACACCAATTGAAAATAAATACGGTCTACATGGCTCACGTCACTGCTAGTAAGGATCGATAAATATCAGGGATCTAGTGGTGATGCTAATTGGTCAAACCTAACTTTTCGTCCACAATAAATCATGTGATTAGCAATTGTTTATTATTCGGAGCCAATTTCCTTTATATTGGACGCTCTAAGATTGCAGGTCAACCAAATTGCAACTAGCATTTATTTTGATATAAATAACAAAAAAATATAATGAGTAGCCGATATGAAAATCTCTCACCTTTCCACTGTATATTTCGAAAAAACTTGATGACACAACAAGATCCTTGGTACGGTGTTTTGCACTTCGTAATAATTTAAAAACATCGTTTGCAGCTAGGGCATAGATTCCTTGCGTTTTGCCACTGAAATCTCCACCCATTGTCTAGAAAAGAAGTATAGGAAAAGTAGAGAACATCAAAGAAAGACAACATAGCTAGATGAACGTAAATTAACCTCAATGAACAATGAGGTTGTCTATTTCATGTTGAAAGCTTCTATGCAAGTTGGTGCTTATTTGCAGGACGAAACTTTCAAGCACACTGATTTTGTGAAACGCAAAAATCAAGTCAGTCTGACTTTGGCTAGCATTGTGACGATTGCAAGCCACCGTCAGCACAACATAGCACTATTCTAGAAACCAATCAACAGTCGGGATCCAAAACATTGGGATTTCAATAACTGGAAAGTTGGTGATAAAAATAACCCTAGGATAAAGCAACCCCGATTTCGAAACCCAATTTTATGTAATTTTCTTGAAGGCAATCAAGTATGAAGGGTTGAACATCACATGTATGACAGATAAATACTCTTTGGTCATTACGTAATAATTTCAGAAAAAGTTGTCTTCAGAAAAACAAAAAACAAATGAAAATATTACATGACTTCATATTTATTGAACAAATTTATAGGCAGCGAGAATCTTTCACACTTTTAAGCTTTCTTGATGGTAATAGGTGGGTAAGGCACTTACATGAGTTTTGCCACTTCCAGTTTGACCGTACGCAAAGCAAGTTGCCATGCCTTGATTAAAGATCATCTCAACAAGTGGTTTTGCTGTATATCTGTAAACTAATTCATTGCTGGCGGATTCGTCGAAGGAATAATCAAATCTGGATGAAATAAGGACGAAAAAGCAAATAAGTCGCAAGTTGATATAGCTGCAGATCTACTAACAATGTTTTCTCATACGCGCAACATCAACCCATTCACAGCAAACACTTCTCTTTCATTTCAAGCGGAAACTTAAATCACCCTACGTCCGTCCCAAGCCGTTCGCTTGTGAACAGTTGTGGCAAGCATGGTGAAAAAGCGCCTTTTTAGATCTTTAAATTTTCAAAGATCAAAAGTTTGCATTTTAAACCAGGGTAATTTTGGCTATAGGGCAAAAGCTTCCTAAAACCTTAAGAATTGCCAAGACTGTAGTTAAAAAATATAATATCTTTGCTCCTGCTCACCTAAACTTGTGGTTTTCCAAATATCTTGTGAGATCTACTTTCAGCTTGCATTCATGAACCTGGAAAAGATAATAAAATAGTTATTACAGCGAGAATGAACATTTCTAGTGCGAATTTCTGTTTGCTTCTTCATGCATAATATGGTGTATAATATCATCCATGCATAATATTTTGCTTAGGGTGCATGAAATTATTTATCAATTAATTTATGAGATGTTAATGTCTTTTTATACATAATCTTGTCTTGAAGCCTATAATTTTCCAAAACCTGTTACCTTAAAAATTTGAATGTTTGCTAAAAGTTATCAAAAATTAAATACAACGAATCTATGTAAGATTAGAACAATATGTACCAGGCATAAACAGCACACATGTTACTGACTTGAATATCGCATTTTTTCAGCAATACAGTTTGTTTCATAGAGAAAATAATTACATACACACAACGTCTGTTTGTCGATCGCCGTACACAAATCGATATCTTTCATCTTGTGTTCTAAATAAATCAAAATTCACATCAGAGTGAAAAAAGTAGCCAATTGCAAATGCCAAAAAGCCATAAAAATCTATTTTCTAAAAAGTATCTGGCAATGCGAATATGCAACTTGTTAGGACTGGATACCAAAGGAAGGGGCAACAATTTAAAGTAAAGACAAAAATAGAGAAAAAAATTGAACAACTACAATTAAATTTTAAAGTAGATATCTGATAATCAGCACGGCGACAAAGAGAGACATATTTTTATTGATAGTTGAAAATTGACAAAATCGCCAAGACTCTCCTTGTTAGACATAATCAGTAACAAAACCATTTAAACGTTCAACCTCTAGCTAGAGTCACCTTCAGTAAACCTCTAGCTAGAGTCACCTTCAGTAAAGTATATGCGAAAGCAGCAACAGCTTTACTATAAGTAGGAAAGAATTAAACAATAAGGATCATATATCATGTGACCTGTCAACGGTAGATACAATTTAGATAAAAGATGTAGAAATAGAAATCGCAAAAATATCTCTCTTTGTCACCGTTCTGATTACCTACTTTGCCAGACTGTAAAGTATTTTTTCTGCGCGGGGAATGCCAGAGCAATAATTTTGAAATTTGCGGATAACGAACACTTTTGCCTCGAAATCGTGCGCGGAATTTGAAGCAAAGACTTTCGAAGAGATCTTGTATTTGTTGTTTTTTCTTGTTTTCAGAAGTCAGAAGTTTGAATGGTGGAATAGTCGAGGGGAACATGACCAGATAATCAAATATTTTGCGCGGAATCTACGGCAGATTCTTAATAATGCGCGGGCGGAAATAAGGGCAAAAATTATTGCGCGGGGAACGTATTTCCCGCGCAGACCAAACCTTCCAGTCTGGCTATTTTATTATTAAACTGCACTTTCCAAGACCTGAATCTATTTCCCCAACTTAATATTATACAGTAAGAAAATGAATAAAACACTAAGTCTAATAAGGCTCTATCTTACCCTTTTTATTCAGAGGCCTTTTTCTAACACAAACGCAGATCTGGTGTTGTTCTATCTATAAAATAATAATTTTACATAACTCTTCACAAATAAAGGAGTTTGGCAAGGTACCAGTCAAAAGGCATCAACTAAATTTTAAGGTAATATCAAAAATACTTTTTTTTGTTGTTAATGAACACATGCAAGTTTAGGTCTAATCACAGAATGTCTTAAATGACAAGTTTATGCATGTGTACAAAACAATTATGAAGCTTAGGCTTTTTGCAATTACGTTGAAAAGCAAAGCATCAGTGACATCTTTTTTAGAAAAAATACTTTGAGGATAACTAATGGGTCAGCGTAAAAGATTTCTAACCACCTTTGATGATATGATGATCAAGTCATGAACTTACTGGGTCATTCATTGTCATCAATAGCTTATCATTCAAACCACCTTGAAACTCTCTAAAACAGATAAACAGAAAAGGTACTTTTCATAGTTTTCGAGAAATACAAAAAATACTAAGAAATACCTTTAAACTCTATTATTGTCTGCACATTCTGAAGTGCATGTGACTATATTCAGTAATGTAACCCCTTACCCTAGAATTATATTCACCTTATCATTTTCAAGAATTCCCAGTTTGGATTCCCTGGATCCAATTCAAGCTGAAGTTTTTCCTTTTGCTCTCTTGCTTCATTCTGTTTTTGTCTGTAATGAAAAATACAACAATCTTATTCAAGTCCTTTCTTGAGCATGAACTAATATATAATTGAATTTTCATATATCAACTATATCCTCCATAGAAAATGAAGTATTCACAGAATTCACTTGGTTGCATAACAAGCTCATAATATCTCACATTACTTTTCTAATAATTTTTGTAAAATAGCTGATCATATCATTGAATGGTAAATGCACAACAAATTAAAGCCTAGTCAATTAACCTTCTTTCCTCTCTGTTCTTCTTTAGCCTTTCGACTTCTTTAACACAATTAGATCTCCTTCTAGAGGCTAAAAAGCAAAAAAATGAAATTAAAGCCAACTATACATATATTTAAAAATTTAAAAGTGTCCATCTTTAAAAACAGCAGCTCTTTAAAAGGAATGTAATGCGTTTGGCAATTCATTTATGAAGACTTTACCTGCATTGCCCTTATCCAACAAAGGTTTACTTGGTGGAACATTTTCATCTGATGTTTCAACACCATCAAGGCCCCTTGACTGAGGAGGTAGATCTTTAGCTTTCTGTGCAACAGCTGTCAACCGCCTCCCTGCAAAACATAGATCTGATTTTGTAGATAAACCTAAGAAATGCATCACTTCAAGGATATATAACATCATTTTGAATTATTTAAAAAAAACCAAATACCAACAGATGATCACAAAAAGTGACACATTACCTCTCTGTGATATGACTGGTGCAGGCTCTTGGAGTTTTGATGGCTAAAACGACAGAAGATAATGAATCTTTTACATGATTTGCTTTGAAGCACAGCTCACTGTTTTATGCTTGATGTGAAAAATAGGCAGCTATAAATCTTAACAGTCTTTCTACATTTTTCAGTAAACAAAAAGCAAAGTTGTGATATCACATTAAGTTATTTGACCTACTAAATTCCTTGGTGCTAAAAGTAAACCAATCAATCCAGCTTTCCAGCAACATGTCAAACCTTTGACATCCCCAATAACAGGTGTTGAGAATTAAATCATTGTTGGTGGGCATTTGAAAACAAATTCTGTAATGGGAATTTGACAGAATAACAACTATTGTAGTGAAGGTTTACTAATCGTTTTTCTCTTATCAAGCTGTTATAATCAGGTTCATTAGCAGATTCTTTGGTAAACATATATTGAAACAAAGAGGTTTTTATGATTATGGTTTTTCAAGATCTGATACACAAGCTGCCTTCAGAATCCAACCACTAAGAGTGTAAAAAAGCTAATTGCATGGAATGCCATGATAGGTGGATCAGTTCAATAAACAGCTTTCAACACAAACCTTTGATACTGATGGTGTTGCATAGCGTTTACTCCCTTGCTGCCGTGTTGGCTTTTGAGGCAAATTTTCCAGGTCTGGATTTAGAGCATAAATTTGCTCAATGTCAATCTAAAAGAGATCATATCTGGCATTCAAACATCAAGTAAACAAACAAATCATTGTTTAGCTGAACCTTTTGAAAAGCAGAATAACGAAACAAACTTAGGCTGTTTTCTGATTGAAAAGCATGTTGGCAATTGCTTGCGTTTTTCATTTTGTCTCCACATTGGTTGTTCAGCTGAAAGTGTGTAGGAGGACATTGTTTATGGACATGTGATATGTTAACAACATTTATGAATTGTTTCACGAGCCCTAAGGCTGAAGTGCCATATCAGAGAAATGATTGTAACAGTTACATAACAGATTTTGAGTCGGACGGATTTTTAACATTATTTAAATCTAAAGAATTATTCAGCAAAAAATCTGTTTTTAGAAAACCTTTTGTACATTCTTCTTGTTATAAAAGCTTGAAAATATAATACTCTTAAAACAAATTCTGTGACGTCTGTCCAACATCTCACAAGAAAATCTATGTTACAATGTCTATGATTTTATGGATCACAAATAGCTCAGGGCTGTTTAGGTCTGTTTTCAAGAGTTGAAAATACATCTTGCATCTCACATTGCATGTGAAATAGCAAGGCAGCTAGCTAACAAGCAGCAATGCAGGCTTCTTTCTCTTTGGTATTGTTGGCAATTTAAATAGATCTATAAATTTCTATTGAATATATCTTAAATCATTTTAAGGCCCTTCCAATAGTCTATGTAGCGAAGAACAGTATGAACTTGAGGAAAATAAATTTTGTACCTCTTTGCCCTTTGCCTCACCATTTTCATACCATTCTACCATGACACTGTTCATATCTTTGTTTATACCACTTATCATGGCAGAATGGACTCTTCCTACAAATCAAATAATTATGTTTATTTTCACATGTCAAATTTTCATATACATAGAAAATAAAAAAAACACAAGGAACGTTGGTATAACTAAAAAAGTTGTAGTATGCACAATAAACCATCAAATGCTTTATTTTGATAAACAATTTTTCATTTGTTTAAATCACAAGCTTTTGAGAGAGGTATATAGTTCAAAAGTACACCTTTGCAGGCCTTTCTGTGAGAAATAACTTGTGAGAAATAACTTTGAGATGTGGTTAAGTCAGTTTACTTTCTGTGTTTTGATATACCAGCTTTGTATTGTCTGTCACTTGCTTGGTTCACAAAAGGTACAATTTACCATTTTGCACGAGCGATCAAACGCTCACATGGTTTGGTTTGCGTGAGTGCTGATGCTTGCGTCACACGAAAAGGCCTGCCTTTGTGGACAAGCAAGAGATGCCCTTTTCTCTGCCTTGGCAGGATAACAATCCATAAGGCCTGGTTATCTTTGATTTATCACTGTCAAACCCAAAGGGTCATATACCTAATAATGAGCCTCCATAAGGCAATTTCAGTACAAAACATCACTGTTAGCTTTGAAACAGGAATTATGCAACATACCATTCAATCTTCATCTAATATAGAAGAACATGTTAGTATATGTAGATGTATTTTATTTGTTTACAGATACTCCTACCTATTTAAGTTGGCAAATATGCCATTATCACCAAAGATTGGTCAGTGTGTAAGGTATTCTGACTTGTCATTTATATAATCACACATAACCCTGGCACTATTTCACAAGCAGAATAGAAATTTTGCAAACACAGGCTGCAGTCAAGCAAAAAACAAAACTTTCAAAAAAATATTTCTTGAAATAATGAACCAAAACAACTTTTGTCACACCAGAATTACAAAGCCAAGTGCTATGATGGATAAATCGATTTTAGCATCATAAAAGTTCCAATACAACCGAGTGTGCTTTTTTGGGAAGCATATAAAATACAGCTTTCAAGCCTCAGCCTTTCAAACAAATATTTCAGAGGCACACATAAGATATCACATCTCTACTTATCAATTATTCACAAGAAACATACTGAGAATAAAAGCTCTTAAAGGTTACATCCATTGCAATGTGCTGCTTATGATTAATTTTTGAGAGCTATCAAGTGAAGATAAGATTGCATTAGTGATATCTGAAGGTAATGGTAAAATTAAACCTGCCAAAATAAACCTGTTAGTTCAAAAGGAGCCATATGCATTATCGCTCTGTCTCTGTTTCTAGAATGTCTTGATATTATTTCCTGTTCCCACTTGAATATTAATAAATGGTTAATTGGGTTCTTTTTTATATGAGTGGTGAAGCAATTTCTTTTTGCTTGCAATCACTTTAGCAAAAACGAATGGAAATAAAAGAAGGCCTGTTGATACCAAACATGAATAGAATTGCAAAGCAAAGAATGCACAGTAATCAAGGTATTAACAAGTTTCATATTGGAAATTTGAAACAAAATTTTCATAATTGCTATCAGTGCCAATTACTTCCAAAAAATTTAGTTTCCTCCATTTATATTATAGGAGAAATGGATGCTTTGGGAGACAGGCCAAATAGATATACCTATTGCTGAAAATAAAACCTTGTTATTCTATGAATATAGCTCAAATCTACAAGGAAAATTTTGATGCTTAGCATTGCTTATTTATCAGGTTAATCTCTATTTTTCATCATGAACAGCTTCTCAGGAGACTGAAAGGAATGGTGCAGTAATATCTTTTTCCGTTTATCTTCTTACAGTTATATAGAATACTGCTTTTAATGGATGAGAAACTAAAAAGTTTTTATGATTACATAATTCATATAATACTTTTTTGTAAGTTCTGGGATTAACCTGAATTTGAAGGGTTAATTAATAACACAATGCAGGGTTTGGCCCAAGTTTGGGGTATTATTGCAATTTGTCATCATTCTAAAAAGTCCTAATTTGGGATTAAATCTGGGATGTAGTCTACCAAAATGACTGGAATTTGACCAATTTTCCGTCAAAGCTGATTCTATCCTTTTATTTTTCAACTTCAGTATCAAAATTTCAAAATTAATATAGAAATGCTATTTCAGAAATATATAATTTGCGTTGCTCGCAGTGTTTGCAAACGCTGAATGAAACATTGCAAATAAGCCCCTTCATGGTTTGCTCTAGATTGACAAGGAGGAAATAATTTAAAAGCAGCAAAGCTCAAGTTGCAAAGATGCTGAGAAAATAATGTAAATTCGAAATGTTTATTTGATAATGGCCTAAGCATCTATGAAAATTTGCTGCAACAGCATCAAGCTTGCGGTGTTTCTTACCATCGCTTCGTTGAATATCAACTTTGTTGCCGAGCGTGAGCGATTCGTGCACCATCTTCTAAAGCTGTTCTGAAGCAAGCTGATACGATATACTGGCAGAGAATAAAAAATTTCCGATAACGCTGACTGTAATCTAAGAATCCGCCATAAGTTAATTTTGAATTTGAACGGTCGTCATGCGAAACCTATTGAAGCCATGTTTGAATTACTGCAACCTCATTGGCTGAAACAACGGTTAGACTTGGGGGATACCAGTAATCGCATTTTCTCGCGTTTTTTCCGCGAATAGGTTCCAAAAGGGTGGACAAAATGATCTTATTTGGGAGGGGCAATTTAAGGAGAACCAACAACAACTAACCAGGTAAAAAAGGGCCAGACATTACAATCAACGGTTTAACAGTAAATACCACGATTGCACGTGTTAGTATTGTCTTAACAACATGTATGCATGAAGCAAATCAACTCGTTTTTGGGTTTTGTAATAAGTCACTGGGGTTGGAGGGGTTTTTCCCCCTTAGTTAGTATGCTTAGCTATTAAAAGCCATATTTTAGGATCATTTTAAAATTAAACTAAGCCATGGGCTCTGACGCAGGTTGGAAAGTGTGGGGGGGACCAAGAAAAAACTTAACAATCGTAACAAAAGATTTTGACTTGGGCCTGTATTTTGTGCGAAACTTCAAAATTGAAGTCAGGGGCGTAACTAGGCCAATAAGTTTGGGGGGGGGGGTGAAAATGGTTTCTGCTCTGCAAAATTGGGTGGTATCCTGCAGACCTCAAATCAAAGTTATAAGTCTATAGGATGCTAATGAAAGCTTTACCAATGTAATTTTTATTTACCAAGGACAAATGTATAAGCAATAAAAACAAATTTCGAACTTACTTGCCTATGAAATATATATTGATCTACGTGAGCGTAAATTAAATTTCAAATTTGATTTTTCTTTGCACGTTTTCACGGGGGGAGGGGGTGCATATTTTTTCGGCTACATGATAAGGACGACGCCACAAATTTGAAGCTGGGGGCCTAAGTATCAAGTCTAGTGAGGTGGGAGGGCCCACCATTGTTGGGTATAACTTGAAGAAGGGCTAAACAAGCATCTCCTAGGCTAAAATTTAGCAAAATACTATACTGCTTAGGAGGAACAATTCTCAGAAAACACTGATTATTGTTTATTGGGATAAATCGAGGAAGGGAGGTGTCATGCTAAAACTCAAGTGACAGACCTTGAAAAAAAAGGAAAAAAATAAATTGTGACCTTTCTTTTCTGATTGTTCTCCTGATTCTTCACAGTTTATTCTCCTTTTTGCATACACTTTTTCAGAAAGTATTAGAAAACCGGTGAGAAACCGGAAATTCTTATCCTGAAAAATGGGGAGCTTCAGCCCCCTACCCCTCCTATCCCACCCTGTGGCGCCGTGCCTGTCATGAAAAAAATTTACAACTTAAGTTCCTTTGTGTGGATTCAACCTTGCGCTAAAAATATGCATCAATCATCGTTGCATTTTCCGTTAGCTTGAATGCAATGTCATATCAGGAAGGGAAGATCATCGCAAATATGATATATCTATTTCAAATTCCTAAACGGGCTATTTACGAATATCAGAGGTGGCGTTCCTGCGCTGCAAAAAATTGTTCTTGATGCCCTGCGAAATCGAAAATTTTTTAGATTGGGGGTTTCACGCCCCCGCACGGATTGCCCATAATAGGCAATTTACCGACTCTGGTACCTGGTTGGTTATGCGAGCTGGGAAGGAGCATGCATTTCCTCCTTAACGCAAATGCTTGCTGACACAGCATCACTTCGGCTAAATAGAGGATTTTTCTTGTTGTTGGATAGAAAAGGACCAGGAGCAAGATGTATAGTTTTGACGGAAAACACAGGCAAAAGCCGATTGTATCATTACGTGGCGCAAGTAAAAAGGTAAGGTAGTGTTCCTTGTGAAACTGATGTAGATGTTTTTTTGTTTAAGAAAATATGAGAATTTCATTTTTAGGCCAGTCCCTTATTCGAGGGCAAGCCTAGGCAATGTTGGCCAAATAATTTGATTCAACTAGAGGACATATACCTGGAATGATAAGCATTTTTTCTACTTTTATCATTATTTCCAAGCGAGCAATATTAATCTATTTTTAGCATCTGGTATAGCATTAGATATTACATAAGTTGTTTGTACAATTGTAGAAGCACCTATTTTATGGTAGGTACATTTATTTATTCTGCCCGATGAAGAGTCGTTGTAATAAACGTAATAGTTATATAACAATTCGATTGTTTTTTGTTGAAAGAAGAGAAATATAAAAGAAATGCATAAATAAAAAAAGTGATTTACAGTTATACGGAAAAAAATGTATGTGGAGGAATTTTCTCGACAACAACATTTGTCACATGAAAACACACAAATTTTGGTAAAATCTCAATTGTGCGTAATTCTTAGTCAAAATTATCAAAAAAGGAATGATTCTCTTGAGCATTTCAGTTCCTTCCCACATGTTGCAATTTTGTAACGATCTTTGAAATGCTGGAAACATAACATACGGCGGATAGTGACCAGATGTAAGCTGAAAATTTATATTCAGGTGGAAAATTTATAAATAGACATGGTTGATTGTTGATTGTTTTTTACCAATCAGTCTCCGTTAACTTCTCATCTAGTTTAAGAGTGTGATGGGAAATGAACTCTTTCTGTCTATACAAGCCAGGATCCTTTGTTTTGATGTAAACAGATCCTAAAACTCCTAAATGAGAAGAAAACCTTGCTTGCCCAATGATTTTAAAATTGTCATCTTGTTTTCGCACACTCTAGATTTGTGAGTAAATGTTAACCAATTGTGGAATCAATAGAGTACCGAAGTGATGACTTAACAAAAATATATTTTTAGAATTTTTCACTTTTGATCCCATTACCTGAAAGAGCATCATGTAATACCTCTGAATCTGCAAAATCAGTAGAATGTGTTACAAATTGGAGAAATGGCTCTATGAGCAAAGGATCTTGCCCCATACCTCGTAATTTCGTCTTGGTTCATAACTTTATGAACCAGGCCAGAATAAAAGTAATCTGATGAAAACAAACTTGAAGTCTTTCATTAGCCATATTTCGCCCAATTTTGAATATATCTAACCGATTTTGCATGTTGATAAGTTTTATATGCCATTCTTTTAGACTATGTGGTCAGAATTAAGAAATTTTTAAAATGTTTTTTGATGACATCAGACTTCGGTAATCTATTTTGGCATTTTGGTTTTTGCAAATAGGCCATACAAATAGGATGTTTTCTTTTTGGGGCCGTTTTTGCCTGATGCTCACAGAAACATGCAGTTTTATTCTATTGATTAATGGCTGGCTAGTGCATCCAAGATACTGAGCTTCACAATTTCACAAAATTCATAAACAACTAAACTTTTTTTGATTGGTAGGAGCTCAATCCTTTTGAGCGAATTGAAGCTTGACCTTAGTACTATAGACTTCATATGGTTTCACAGTGGACAAAAAATTTTCTATGACATTTTTGCTTTGACTTTTGCAGTTTAATGAATTATTGCCATCCACAGCATTTTTATATTCACATTTATATTTATATTTTATACATCCACAGCACTTTTCTCAACTAAACTTTTTCCTGGCTGAGAAATTAGAAATTGTTTACTCTTAAAAAAGTGAAAATGACATTATCTGGGTAGCCATTCTCCAAAATAATTTCCTTGATTTTGTCAAGTTATATAACCAATGAAACACCTCTTCTTCCTCTCGCATTACTTTAAATCCACATCTAGATATAAATTTTCCACTTACTTTTGATCAATTTCCAACGTTTATACTCTGAAGAGTGCTGAACAAAAAGTGCTTTAGTTACTATGTTTCCCGTTTCTCTTATTTCTTGCAATCTTTAAATCATTTTTTTGGCTAGTTATTTTGAGAAACACCTTTACTTTACTTTAAAAATTTTTTGCCAAATAATTTAAGCAGCTAGAATTGTTTCATGGAGAGGCCTTTATGTTTGCTTAATAAAAAAAATCATTTTTCAAACTTGCAGGAGATACATTTGGGGGTAAAATCATTTTTCAAACTTGCAGGAGATACATTTGGGGGTAAATATCAGAAGATATGAAAAAGAGGAAAAAATGAACCAAGCAGTATATCAAAGATATATGAACATGCTTCTTGATCACTTCTCTTTTCATTCTGTTTTATTTGTATTCATCTGGTCTTTTTACAGGAAACAAAATCTTCTTTTATGGAAAAAAGATTGCAGGAAAGGCAACAAAGATGGGTAAATATTTCATCTTGCATTGAGAGTTTTTGTACAGGACTTTTAAGAATGGTTCAGTGACATTAACTCACCACAAATATTTATTCATTTGCTTCGTTTGAAATCATACTTGGAAATTATATTTGCTGGTGGAGGTTAAATTCATTATTTCAAAGCAGGAACTGTTTCAATAATATGTTGGTGTGTTCCATAGAATTCTACAATAGAATCAAAGATGATTGGATTAGCACTGGGTCCTGAATCAGTCCAGACATTGTATGAACAAGGGCTACACAATGAAGTACTAACATATGCTTCTAAATTAGTGCTGGTTTTTACATATAAACAATTGTTTAGAAAGAGGGATAATACTGTAGTTGCCAAATGATATGCTATCAAATGTGCTGAATATTATACTGAATATTACTTTCATTGAATAATTACTGAATAATACTGGTCTTGATAACCTTAATCAACATGCATAATTGATATCAAATGTTCAGCCTTTCTTTTCTCCCTGTTGGCAATAGATTGGGTCTTTATTTTTACTATGCCTGTCTATGATTTATGCTTCTTGTTGAAAAACACTCTTGGAAAGTTCAAAATATACATGTTCAAGTTTATAGGGGTAGAAAGTTTTCGATGCTCAGAGACACCTTTCCAGAATATTTACAACTCTTTTTACTAATAACACCCATTTTCATGTCAATGCTTTTATAATGTGTATAAAAAACTCATTTTTAAATTACACAAGTGAATGCTTTTTCAAAGACAGTAAAAGGCAGTCTGTCCCTAATTGTGCTCAAATTTTTACACCAGAGCAAAATTCATGCTTGGTTGACATGGGCAAATTGTTAGCAATTTTAGTCAATCAGACATGACATTGAGTGGTTTCATCCTCAGTTTTCATACAAGCCAATTTCTGGGGGGAGTGACTGCTTTGAAGCTTTTTTAAAGGATTTTTACGAGACCTTTTCTTTTTAAAATATTGACAAATTTTAGTTTACTGTTTATAAAAAAATTTACACCAATGCTCTTGTTTACAAAACCTATTTTCAACATCCCTTTCTAGATAAACAAATTATTTCTAGGTAAACAAAGTGTTCACAATTTTTCATGGTTTGGCTTTTTGGCAAGGATTTGAAAAGTGGATTTCAATTTACCAGGGTAGTTACTGGCTCCCTCCTGCATTAGATTACAAACAGCTGATTTGCTTTTGCTGATTTGCTGTTCGATCATAAATGATAATAAAAAATAGGGCAGGGTAGCTGGGGGTTAAGTCCCTAAGGCCAATACTTTTTACAGATATTGTTATTGCAGTGCCTGAGCTGGCTCTGGATATTTCTGGCTACATACATTTCTCACATGTAATTTTAAAACATTTCTTTTTAAACCATGTTCCAGTTATACTACCATGTTTGCGTTTCTATCTGAAGAGGCCAGGTTTTCCGCCGACTCCTCCCGTATTACACTATCACCTTTCCCAGTCATCGGAAGACCATCTTGAGTTTTTTGCGCTGTAGCCACTATGGGCGTCTGAGCAGAGTTAGTTGTGCTTAGACCTGATGTATTGATTGTGTTTCTGTGAACAGTTCGTTTTGTCGCGAGCGTGCTATTTGGTTCGATTCTCTTGAAACAAGTAACCAAATTTTTCAGCCCGCGGCGATAAGTCCCGCTGAAAGTGAAATAAATGTAGGGATTGATTGTACTGCCCAGGTACTGCATGAAGAAGGCGAAGAAGATGAACCATGTGGGAAACGAAGTAAAACATTTCTGATAGTATTCACTTGTAAACATGATGAATTGCATAACAAAAACTGGAAGCCAGCATATAGCGAAGGACAAAGTTATAGCCAAGAGCATTTTGATAACGTTTTTCTTTTGCTTTAAAAGTTGTTTCTCTGTCTCAGATGTGCTCTCCCCAGGAATTATGCGCTTCCAAAGCTTCCAGGCGATAGCTGTATACATAACTGCCATTGTTAGGAGAGGCAAGGCGTACAATCCAACGAACAAGATGATCGTGTAATGCACTGGACTGTTTTTGGCGTCAAATGGTGGATTCCATTTCTCAATGCAGTAGGTATCGCCAGCAAATTCTGCCAGCTCCATGGCATAAATCGTTGGTGAAGCATAAGCCACTGAAATTACCCATATGGATACCAGTATGTATGGCAACATCTTTTTCGTTATGGTGCGGTTGAATGGGAACATAATGGCAAGGAATCTGTCACACGTGATCACCTGGAGGCTGAGGATCGAACATGCTACTGAAAGATATATGCACATGTGCATAAAGGTGCACATGAACCCTCCCAAGGGCCAGTTTCCTCTAGGCAAGTGTATGATCCGCACTATCTCCCATACCATTGGAAGAATTGTTATTAGAATGTCAGCGACACTCATATTGGTTATGAGAGCGTTAGTAACTGTATGCATGCGCTTGTTCTTCGCCACAATCAGAATCACCAAAGAATTGCCGATAAGTGAAAAAATCACCAGTAAAGTAAACATCGCTACTTGTAGCTGGATGCTTACAGGTTCTGACGGTACACATGATACGGAAAGACCAGGTACTGGTGTTGAAAAGGACGAGTTGTTCATCTTTTTCTAGATGCAACAAAAGATGCCAACAATAACACTTTGGCAATCAGCTTTCAACTAAATGTAATGCAAACTCAGTTGCTAAATGCAGAGTTCGGATAGTATGAAATGCGTTCGTCTTTGAAACTGTTCCACTATTTCACGAAAATGTTCTGGAAAGAATCTACCTCTCAAAGCTCTGTATGTCTTGATGCACGTCTATCGCTTTTACTAGCCTGAAAGATTTGAAGTATACTTTTGTTGGTTGTTTGTTGTAGTAGCCATAGCACCAATAATTTCGTCGTCAAACCAATTCTTTTTTCTCTAATTATCGGATAAAATTTCCGGTAAAAGGCCGTTATGCCTAGTTTTCTTTGGTTTTCTCACCTCCTCGCAATCCATTGGTCTACCGAGCATACAGCACACTAAAGGTGTTGTTTTAACTGTTCCCATCGCATCACCACTTATTATTTTTTCAAGTAAATAGATCTGTGTCAATCAGAACTTGTTAAGTCAGATTTGCAATTTTTCTCTGAATACGAATAAAAGAGTTATCATTCCTTATAATTTTATTATGAATATGAGGCCACAAGGGTACATCGCTAAAAATGCTTTTGTTACCCCGGTTGTGAATATCACGATACACTCGAAATGACGACACACCAAAGTATCTGTCCTTGATTAAAAGCCGCAGTGAACTGTTAATAAAAAAGTGTCAGCTGCCCTTGATTATAAGCCGCACCCGTTAAACAATAGAAGATAATTGGCTCTTATAAGCCGTACCCTTTAAACAATAGAAAGATTCTTGGCTCGAAATGACAGACGTTAAAACTGAAGTTCATCTCGTGGAAAACCAGTCGAGTCTGCGCGCAGGTTAGTCTTTCTCTCCGCCATCCCACTCTCCTGCAACGCTCCTTCTCTGCAACCCCAACTAGATGCCTCCGCTCTAGAGCCCATAGTTACTACAGGCTAATTTGCATTCGGTTGTCTTTTTTGTTCAAATGAAAGAGCTGCAAAGCATACAGAAAGTCATATTATCCCTAGACTTGCTCCAAGACTATTCCGTGCTTGAGAGAGAGAGAGAGGGGTATTTGTTTCTTTCCTGTGGACTTTTGCTAAGGAGACGGACAGAGAGGGCTCTGCATTATCCCTATTTGAGTCTTTTTTCCCAGAGCTTTTGAATATAAAGTACTATGTTTCATTTATTTTTCGTAGACTAAATTACGATACATTCAATAAAGCGGGTATTCGAAACATTTTTTCTTTTACTGTTCAAAATATTAGAGTTTGTCTGCAGTAAACTTCAAATAAAGCCAAACTCCTAGCATTCGAAGGGAATATCAAACATTGCAGTAGCTGTTCAAATGTCGTCCTGTGCTAGTTTGCAATAAATGAGTTTTCTACTATGTCAAATCTAGATTTAAGTAAGAAACAGACCAATTTCTCGTGTAGCAGTTGCAGGGAAGTTGCTGTAGCACTTTTCTGGCTATGAGTAAGGGCGGTGTATGTCCTTTGGTTGGGTATCAATGGAAATCATGCAACATTGTTTGGATGAAAAAGTATTTTGTATAAAGCATGCCGATACCTGTCATTGTTAAATGTTTTTGAATTATTTTGACACTGGAATAGGTTGGGTTGTCTCCAACCGGCATATGTGTTCAGCAAACAATAAGGTTTTTCTTTCTGCTTTTGTAATTAGCACTTGCCACAAAACATATTTTGCACATTGAAGTTCGTATAAACACGAAAGAGAAACAGAGCATTTTCAGTCAACAACGAAACAAGTTTGTTTGTCGCCTATCATTGTTCTTTTACTTTTAGAAAATTTGACAGATGTTTTCAGACTGTCTGTCTATAGTTCTGTTCTGCTCAGTTTTCTTACTCAGTGTAAAGAGTTCATTTTAACTGATTCTGTGCAGTTACAAATGAGAAGTAGAAGGACTGATTGCTTGCTTTTGGCAAACTGGCAAATTCTTCAAGTTTTTAGACCAGGGCTAAAGAAGCGCATTCTATGACGGCAGCTCTCACCATCTTCGCGCGGCCAACTGATTTCAAAAGAGCATATCAGCTTTACATTCGATTCAAGCAATTGAGCTCTCCCATTGGGGCTGTTACAAAATCTTTCTTTATTTATCTGGAACCTGGTTATTTACGTCAACATGTTTATATTTAGACGCCGAAATGGCAAGAAATGATACTTTCTTAGCGATCCGCGATCACCTTTATTTATTTACAAGAGGCCCCCAGTTACAAGGCGGCTTTTATTGGCAAGATTGTTTGATTTGCTGTCCCTTGATGTCCGATCATTCACCGGTATCAGTGAAGAAATACCCGCTGGATTTCAGAAATTGTCTTCACAGGTCTACCATGGCTAGTCTACCATGAATAGGAGGGATTGAAAAAACATTTAAGCAATGAATGTTGATAGGCGTGGTACGAAAGCCACCCGAAGAATCTATTCGTCAAGACTTCAACTTTATAGTGTGTTAGTTATGCTGCTTGAAGACAAACGATAATTGCTGGGCAGTTGCAGGTGACTGTTCATCTATGCATCAAGAAGGCACGTTGTCAGTATATTCGCAATCGCAGAAGGCAGAGGTTAGATTAACGCTTGAGTTGGTTATGTTTTTAATCTAAAAGCTGCTTTACGGACATCTAGAGCAGCATTTCATGGTTGGCAACTGTGCTTCTGGGGGATCGCTATCCGGATAACGAATTTTTTACATATCAAGTTCTGGAGTGGCCAGACTTTGTTTAATAAAAACAAAATGAACTACTCGCGCATCAATTTAAGTATTGCTTCGAATAGCCAGAACGACAGTTTCTCGTGTCCCGGCAAAAATGTGGTGGACAGAAATTTGCAAGTTGTGCTTTTCAGCCTGATAATAATTGTTTCGCTTATCGGGAATTTTTTGATTGTAGCTATTGTGATCAAGAACAAACGGATGCATACCTTGTCAAATTTGTTAATCATGAACATAAGTTTGGCCGACCTACTCGTTACATTGTTGCCTATGGTTTGGGAAATCGTCAGGTTAGGGTACTTCACCGACGGTACATGGCCTTTGGGCAGCTTCATGTGCGTGTTTGCCTTTTTCTGTGTTTATATGTCGGTTGCTTGCTCAGTGTTGAGCCTAAGCGCCGTCTCTATTGATCGTTATTACTTGATTGTCAAGCCACATTCATACAGCTTGAAGAATCAGTATATAAAGTACATTATATTTGGTATTTGGGCATCGGCATTCTGCTTTGCATTACCGACAATACTTATGCAAAGAGTTGTTACTGACAAAGACACCGGAAAAAAGCAATGCGTAGAAGCATGGAAGAACCCCTTTGACCCAAAGACTAGCCCTCGCATTTACACAGCAGTGCTATTTGTCTTCTTGTACGTGATTCCATTGATGATGATGACTGTGTTGTATTCAAAGTTGTGCTTAAAACTGTGGATGAGAAACAGCCCCGAAAGCATGATCTCAAAGAGCCGAAAGAAAGCCGTTATGCGGAAAAGAAAGGTTGTCATTATGCTCATCTTCATGGTTCTCATTTTCGCCATTGGCTGGTTTCCAATATTCCTGGTACAGTTTATGACGTATTTTGATTCTCGCGTCGCCCGTTGTGCCTACAGTATTCCCGAATCGCTAATCTTTGTGGGATATTTTTTCGAGTACTTGAGCAGTGCGTTGAATCCGTATGTTTACTTTGTGTTCAGCGAGTCTTTTCGCCACGGGCTCGCAACTTTATTCCAGTGTCAAACCAGAGGGCGACCAAGAGCCAGAAGTGGGACTGTTTCTAGATTGCAACTCTCAAAATATACACCATCTCCAACCGCTTTTCGAGACGAAAACAGAATTCACAGAAATGGTAGCTTGCGAGTTTCGCCTGATTCAGACTGTATTGAAAGACGGCCGTCAAGTTCGCCCATGAGATTAAACACAGACGATATACATTTTCGTCAAACAAGTCCTGTAAAATGACACAGAACCGTCATTATAAGTGAAAAATAAAAGTCTATGAGAGATTATTAGATTAAGGCTGCTTGTAAAATACTATCGAAAATTTTGTATTTTTTGGATAACTGAGCAAGCGTTATGAAGCAAGGGTTCTCTGATTATGACCGACCTCTGCAGAAACTCATTCTCTCCAAGTTAGAGTCTAACTTGGATATAAATTTTTGTCCCATGTATGATAACCTCTGAAATTGAAACCATTACCTACCCCTTTACCTTGGGCTGTGATCATTTTCATAAAACGTTTCTCTTGGCTATCATGATTCTGTCACCGTTGCATGTTTCAAATGAATTCTGATACAAATCTTAACTTTTATATGAATCTTCAGTACATACAGCAGTGGAGATATATGTCTATAAAATGTGATTTGCTTAGATGTAGAAATACCCCCTGTCCCCTTTAATTATCACCTTCTCTCGCGAATGCCTTCTCCAGGCACTGCAGATTAACCGTGATGTCTTTTAAAGGATTTTGGTTATTCCTGTCAAACAAAAATTAAGGATTTTTGGGAAGAATAAAGAGACAACCTATTAGAGTATTCGTTTATTTTAGTTTGTTCATGAAAGTTATACTCATATTTTTAAGTAACAAGTTATATTTTGTTTTTAAAACCCGTATCCTTGCCAACTGCTCGTCGGATTGGTTAGAAGGTCTAAAACGGCTATTGCAGGTGCAAAATGTTCCTTATGAGAGATTGGCAATCTATAATTATGATATCGAATAAAGCGTTGTATTAAAAACTGGTTCACTTCATTAGTTTGAAACAAAGTTGTGTTTCCTGTTTGCAAATCGATTTATTTAACATGTTTCAAGCCGATCTCTTTGTTTAAGTGTTCATTCTTCGCACATCCATCACCTGCTTTCTCTCTGCAGGTTAATATGATAAATATCAGTGTCAGTGTTCTTAATTAAAATACACAGCTGACAAGTATAATTACAGAAGAAATATTCCAGCCTAAAATAAAATCTGATATTACATTATATTCTTTAAATTTTCATTTCAGAATGCCAGAAGTGAAACTTCTGCGTGTATACGAATTCAAAAATTTGTGAGGGGATGTCTGTGCAGAAAAAGAGAAGTACGGCTAAATCAGATCAATTTGTTTGTCTTTGTTGATGCAATGATTTTTAAATATAGATCATAAAGCTACGGGATTGCTGCGTTCGTCAGTGCGACTGTCATTGAAGAGACAAATATGTTCTTCACAGAGCTGTTTTCTGATTCGAATTTTCAAATTTTCATAATTTATCTACAAAGTATAAAAAAGTTGTTCTACATATGATAAAACTGTTTGATGTGATAAAGTCTTATAAACTCTTCCACTTTCCTTATGGAATTGTAAAAGAGTTCTTTAATGTGACGTCAAAAAATCCATTTTTGAATTTTTGACTTTTGACCACGTAGTCCAAAAAACACCATGAAATACCTCTGCAAAATCAGTTTATATGTTAAAAGTTAGGTGAGACCTAGTTTTGGTTCTCAATTCTCTTATCTGGTTTACACGGAGCAAAAGTTAGTAGATTGAGAGCACAAAAGTTAACGAAAATGGTGTCGTGTAAATAATACCCAATCACGATCTTTATCCCGAAAATTCCACCTAATTTCCGAGGTGGATTAGGGTCGCGATTCAAAAGACAAAGAAAAATAAAGAAGTAACTAGAAGATACCCTGTCACATGCCAGTATTTTTAAATGTTACCTATCAAGGATTTTGGTTGATTCGACAGCCCTATATTTCGGTTTGGAAGGAGGAAAGAATCCAATGTTATCTAAACAAAGACAAAAAGAAAACATATGTTTAGGCTTGTTAGGCTCAGATGATTTTGCTCAATATTTTCAAAATTAATCTTGATTTGATTTTTTCAGTTTTATTCTGAATTTTAAATTTAACTTGCTGCCAAAAATTTGTACCTCTTTGAGCGTTGTACCTCCAAATTTTTACTGCTAACCGTCAGAAACCAAGATGGCTGAGGCACAGCTCTTTCTTTTGTTATCCTTCTTCCATTGTTAAAAATCACTTTGGAACTCAAAGCATTTGTAAAGCAGTTTTCATTTTTGTTCTTTAACTGCAGGCACGAAAATTGCGAGATTTATTTGACCAGGAAATTATAATGCTACGAAAAAAAGATACAAAAAAGGAACTCAGGTTCGACGATACAAAAATTGCTCTTCGGATGATTGGTTTCTTCCACAATTCACGCACGGATCATGATAGATTAGTAAGTGTCTGTTCTCATCTTAAGCAATCAACAAACGTAGTGAAATACTTGGTATTAGCGCTAGAATCATAGCTGTGAAAATGCTGCTGGCCTTTGCTAGAAATGTAACAAGACTACATGCCCATGTTGACATTTATGGAAGGAACAAAAACTATAACAATGTTTATAAAAACCTGATGCTCTATAATTTGTTGTTGAGAATTTGATGATGTTTTACGATGAAGCAAAACCTATTTGCTTGGAAAGAGGTTATAGGCACTCTTTCAGTTTCAAGTTTATCATTCAATGTCATTAACTGCCCATTTAGTCATCATTTTTCAGTTGAATATGTAAAAATGTAACACGACATGAGAATACACGGCATATAGATTGAGTCAGAGCAAAGTATAACATGACAAAATTTTAACAACTTATTTTGAAAGATCGTAAAGAAGGAATAAGTTATTAAACTGCACTTTGAATAAATTTCTTATACATTGTGTTTAAAGGCAATCTGTCTCGTTGTGGATTGGTTAACGAGAACAATAGCTGGAACAATAGCCTAAACACGATTCCAGCGCTCCGCTATATTTTTTACAATGCGATAAATTAAAGGGGGACTGGAAACAATAAAAATCCCTTTGTTCTTATAACCAATCAACGTCGTGACAGATTGCCTTTAAGTCAAGTGTAGTATGGATTGTATTATTTTTCCTGATTGTTTACGTCAAAGAAAATTGATGTTTGCTTGCAGATACAACTTTGCCAGTTGATTTTAAAACTTCACAATGCCGGAGAAATACACACAGCCGAAGGCGAAAGGAGATGGATCCATCAGTTTAAAACTTTACTTTATCTTTGTTTAAGGTTTGTTTTCTCATCTTATCAACGCATATCTTGTTAGCCAGCAAAAAGCAACATACATTAATGAGCCCCATCTGTCGGTGTAAGAATTTTCACATTCTTTGCAATGCTGATTCATTCAACTCAACATCTGCGTGTTCACACGATAGCAAGATAAAGAAGTCGCGCATTAAGTGTGAAGAATGGCATTTTCCAATCATTTTCAAATCCATTTTGATTAGATAGAACTAATTTTTTATTTTCTGTCAGTGGAAATTTTAATGTAGATTTGTTTGTGTTGTTAGATTTTGCTTCTCGCAAAGAAATAAAAAAGAATGAAATTACTGTTTATTTTCATTTTGATTTTATTTGATTCATAGTGCCTGATCTAGCTATTCCTGTAAAAATGGTACTTAAAACACTATACACTGATTGATATCTGCTTTGCGTCATACCGAGTTCTGATTTATTTACCAGAGACAGTAATATTTGAAGTCCATTATCGATGTTCTCCCATCAGTAGCCAGTCTTAGTAATATATCATTACTCTAAACAATTTGTTTTCTTAGTTAACGCTGTGTCTTCCTTTTCTCAGGAATTTAGAAGATTCAACAGACCCAAAAATATCTATAACAGTGCCTCTGCGAATATTGGAGGTGTTTCTTCAGTCATATTTGTTCTCATCAGATTCTCATTCAACAACCAACTCTAACGGCAAATTGGTGATTCTATATCTAATTAGAAAAGGTCAGTAGAGTGGTTTTTCCACATGAGTATTTCGGGTAGATTCTTACTTTTTTAACGGTTTATAAGGCAAAAAGTTCTATGAATAAAGAACTTAAGACCAACATTATTTTTTTACACAGGAGAGAGGAGAGGGTCTGCAAGGCTCTTCAAATTGTTTGACTGAATCTTTTATTCTCCTCAAAACTTGATGACATTTTTTAAACGTCTATTTAAAATTTGAAACCTGCACTCAAGAAAATATTGCTACTCTTGATAACCGTTGTTAATGAGGTTTATACGTCCGAATAGCTTTTTTAAAACAAACACAGGAAGAATCTATATCAATTGTTATAAATATTTCCTAATGAAAAATCAGTTATACGCGAGTTGAATATATAGAATAAAGGTTGCCTTAAAATTGTGTTATTTTTTGGCCTAACAGGGTACTTTAGATGCGTTAGATCTCTAATCAATAACAGAGTACCAGCAAGTTTGGAAATGTCAGCGAAACCGCCAACGCCATTAGCAGCGAGTGTTAAAAACATGGTGCTGAAGCCGATTCAAAGTGTGATGACGCAGACATCTAAGGCTGATGAAACTGCAAGGTATGTAGTTACATTTGAGATATGCTGTCAAATTCAAGGTATTGTAGCACTCCCTTTGAGGGCTACCTTAGTTTACCTATTGAGAGAGTTACTCATACTGATAGTGTTATTAGTTGTAATATAAGAAATATAATATAAGATAAGAAATTACAGATAATACTATTAAAATACTAGGGTTTTAAGCCATCTATCAATCAAAAATTGACCAATCAGTTTGCGTGATTCCACTGGCACGCTAGTTGATTGGCTAATATTGATTGACAGATGGCTTGAGCCACTTTTATATCTGTAGATCTGTAGATTGTCTTTAATGGTTTTCTCTGTAATTTATTATTTTAATTTTGCTTTGATAGCGCTTTTGAAAATTTTTCTTGCTGAAAGTCTGCCCTTGTACAGTGTGGTACAGGCTCAGCCTCCAGTACCAGGTATTTGTGAGCTTAGGCTGTGGATGGTGATAGGGCTGGGGTTGCCAGTGCAATGTAGGTTTAGGTGTAGTGCGGTGGAGTCGGGTGATTTTGGTTATAGGTTCTTAGTAAGAAGTGGAAGTGGTTTGAGATAAGATTTTTTTATTTTATTTGTTTTTACCTAGCATCCGAAGGTAGTTTTTAGAACACCGAGAAGCTTATGCTTATCGAGCAGTGTTCTGGTCCTTCCTCTCGATGTGACCACACCTCGTGATTGCTAAGCATGGTATTACAGAGAGCTGGCAACTCTCCCCACTCTGGGTGAAAGTTTGGTCATGCCAAGGAATCGAGCCACGGACTCTTGGGTCTATAGTCAGCGCCTCTAACAACTGAGCCATCCTCGCACCCAAGATTTTTTGAGATTATTTGATAGACATAAGAGATTCTTTGCGCTGTAATAGTGTGTGGAATGATAAAGAAGCTGAATCAATTTTGCAAAATTGTAGGGAATGAGAGATGCCCTTAATGTTACAGGAGTTGGAAGACTCGGTGTATTAATCTTTATGGATAGGAATTTCCATTTCCGAGCCGAGGGTGAAAGTCGTCAGAAACGAAATGAATTTTGTTCTTGTTTTCTAAACGTTAGTATCTGAAAAACTTTAAGTTAGAAAAGCTTTTAACAATCACGATTAATGAAAGAATCATGATAAACCTACTTTCGTTTCCATGAGCTCTGTTTTCTGGAATTAGTCATTTTTGGGGTAATAGACTTTAATTGTAAGCCGTTATATTTGTCGTGAGCCACTCCAGTTGTTTTATGCACCAAAAATTATCAGTAGTGAGAATTTCAGTTTGTCGTGAGTTCAGTAGTGAGTTCAGTTGTAAATGTTCACAGTAGAGTGGTATGACTTCTAAATAGTTTGTATTGCTCGAAGAACTGTTAGTAATTTGTTAAAATTGAAGATCGAAAACAATATTTCGCATTTTTGAAATAAATATCTAAATAGGGACAGCACACAATTCTTTTTGTTCGCCATGAGACATCAATATAATCGGACACAGAGCTGCCTAGGACAAATGCCACCTTATTTTGTGTTAATTATTTATTGATCTTCTTGCAAGAGCTAGTCATAGAAAGTGAATCATTTTATGAAACCATAAACATGAAGTTAGATTCAGATTCAGTGTTTGTCTGAAAGGCTGAAAGGAATTTCTTGGAATTATTTTTAAGTGGATACAAAGATTTTGTTAGTCGTTTCAACAAAAATGTCCTATCTTCGTTATTTCAAAATGGAATAGATATGTTTAATAACGTTTTTATTGGTTTACAACCAATTAATGTCTTTTTTCTTCCCAGGGACGAAATAATGTGTAATTTTGCAAGTGAAATGTTGTGTCCAGAAATGTCAAATCAGCTGTTTCTGTTTCTGATCCCGTCATTAGCAGAAGATGTTCCCATAGCAGATCTACTTCAGTCTATTCTCCGGCTATCAAATGTCGATACAACATCAACTGAGATCAATCCAGGCCTAATGGTCAATGCTACATCTTGGTTACTCTATGGTCTTCTCTCCTTCGGTGAAAAACAGATAGGTAGGTTGAACGCGTGAAGCACTAGCAATGTTTTTTGTCGATAATGTTATGTATGGTCGCTGTTCTTATTTATGCTGTGTTCAAACTGTGCACAGAAGCTCATTCAATGGTTGTGGGAAATAGGAGTCAGGATGCTTCTAATGTGTGTAGTTAAATATTAACAAATGCAGTCGATAGCATATATGTACTCATTAAGAATATCAGAGAAGCAAATAAGGGATTTATCACTGTCTCGACCAGAAGCACAGTTTAAAGATTCATCTATTGTTTTGAAGAGCAGGTCTGTGTAAAGTAATCGAAATTTTCATATAGTTTGATAGACAATATGAATTCACAGGCAGAAACACAAAGGGCATGTTGTAATCATCTTCAAACATGTATTCTCATATACAAAGGCTCATTCTCCTAAATATTTAAACGAGGATGTACAATTGTTGATAAAAGAAAGAGAACGTTGAGTATTCCGTAAAGCAGTAAATATAGTGATATAACTGTTAGCCAATTTTCCGTTGCTGAGCGATCAATGCTGTACATGCTGTAGTGGTGATAGGTTTGATTTTGATGCTTTGAGAGCAACAGAGAATTGTCCTTTCCAGTTATACGCACAAAAGCGTGAACTAGACTAGTCTTCTTTCAACTTCAATGTACATAATCAGCCAGTTATTTAACAAGCCGTCCTATCAAGGCTCAGCCAATGTTAACTTTACAGTATGTTATACTCGCAGAAGATAGCCAAAGAAAATTTGATTTTGGGAAGTCCTGTTAAATAGAGACCCGATTACTCAGGTTGAATTCATTTCGAAGTTAGCGCGGATTTTTTATGCCTTTATATTTTGCGATTGAGATTTAGCTTTAAGTTATTTTCTTCTAGGAGGTCTTTCACTGGAAAATCTGGCAAGATACTTAATACTTCTGAAATACCTTGTGCCCGTTTTGCCGTCCACCAAAGGTAATGAAGTACTTTATGTCCAGTCCCCCCTTATCTGCAAAATGGAAGTATCTGCAATATGTTGTATTTTTGCAATGAATCAAATGCAACAGAAATACAATTAGCATTGTTGCCATTGCTATTTTCTATTTCCTGAAAAATATATTATTTATAACTTAACTGATAACTTAATGGTAAAATAAAATTATTTAAAAGGCTGGAGAAGGATAGTTTCATTCGGTCTTGCACAGTGACGTCAGTGTTCCAAGGCTTTTGACAGCTATTGAACTGTGGGTTGCTCAGAAGGTATTCTCAACTGTGAAAAATCATACCAACAGAAAAATTAGCATTCTCATTATGCACCTTGTGCGCTGAAGGTGAAACAAAAATCTAATTACAGGTGTTGTCATAATAAAGCGTGTTACCTATGGTCTATCCTTGTGAACAGTTTAGTTATATCGTTTGTCAAAAACAAAGGCTTCACACGTACTGGTGACGTACTCGAATAAATGGATTCCTGGTTGCCCACTCGCCACTCTCTTTTCATCATTCGTTTTTTCATCTGTTCGTGTATGGTTCAGGTTTTCATACAGCCTGTCTTGTGTCCGCTTCTTTTATATGATCAGAAAAAACATGAAAATTTTCAGTGCTAAAAATTTGTCAATGCTTATAAGCCATCAGTTTTTCTCATTTCTAGTTTTCTTGCTCAGCAGCAAAAATGGCTCAAAAACGATTGCTTTTTTGCAAGAACAGAAGTGATTTTCTGGTGCTGCCGAAGATGTACACACTTTTTGTTATGAGAATACCTAAAATTTTGCTGCGGCTCAATATTTTTGGGTTTTTTTATTTTTTTTTCTAAGATTATTTTCAATTTATTCTTGAGTGACACCAGAAATACATTCGCCTGAAGATCAAAGAAAATTTTTCAATCTTGGGGAATTAAATTTTTTTCATCATAAAAACAAGACATGAACAGAAAATACAATAAATGTGGTATCAACAAACAAAACTTAATCGAAAAGAACAATTTCAACTCCGTCTGACTCGTTTATTTCAATGTAGCCCTCAGTATCATCTGCATGTGTAACTTTTTATTTGGCAAACTTTCTAAAAAAACTAAAAAACAAAAAATTCTTGATGATGTTTGAGCGTTGCATTATTCTTTAATTATTCTTAATTTTAGCGATTTCCAGCCTTAATATTCCTTTACACTATGTTCTTTTAAAAAATGTGCTTATTATTCTACGAAATACTCTAAAATCTAAACAGTTTCCTAGAATTTCTATTCCTAACCGAGAGTTTCTTAACAGCTCCAATACAGAACTTCCTTCGAATAATTGTTTTTGAAAAAGTCATATCCTTTCTTAAAAACAGTTTGCGACCCACTGGTGCCTGTCCATGGAGATTTACTTGTCCACTCGTCAGCAGATTTGGCACTTAATCGAAAATTAAAATTTTGTTTTCAGTTCTGTGAATTGTTTTGCAGATATAACTTCAAAGAGCAAATCAGCTGAAGAATCCGACTCCGATTCGGATGCCGAAGAAATCGAAATGGAAACTGATTCTCCTCTCGAGGTAAGGAATGCGTCATAACAAAAGTCATCCAATCACAGTCGCTATTTATGATCACATGGTTTGCGACCATGTGGTTTGGCAGGAGCTCCCTGTGTTTAAGGGAATTGTTAATTTCTAGTGATTTGATTTTTGCTTCGGGTTTCTTAATAGCCGCAATATATTCTCCAATGCTGAAAAACTATAGCAGCTTTGAAAACGACGAAGGTTATAGCTTGTGTCGTTTTCGACACAATGGAGAAGATTGTGATCCTTGTGTTATCGTCAAGCAGTAGAAACATTCATGGACCTTGGAGCATGTTATGGATCGAGGGGGGGGGGCAAAATAATTTAAGGAGCTTAACATACCAAAAACCTAAGCCTCCTCAGCCCCCATTTTCGCGATTCCTGACACAATGTTATAAATTTTGATGTTATATTGTTGAAATTTATGTTTTAGGAGTCCAGTTCAAGAAAATATGCTATGTTGCGAGAACATTGTCTTGAGCTACTAGACTCTCCTAACCATGTTAAAGAACTTGTTTCTCTTGTTGAGCGTTGCTCCGTCGGGTAAGTTTTGCACTATTTGTTTTAATCGTGGTAGGAGATTTGTTTCTTTCTGGAAATATATACTTTTCGGTTTATTATTTACTGAAAATGAGAAGGGTGTTGATGATAAATGTTGTTTAGATTTTCAGGTATAAACAACTATTTGAGGAAAGTTCAAGGTATTTTAAAATTGAAATTTTCATATCATGAACAAGCTAAAGACATTGGAAAGAGACTTTCCTAATATTGATTTGAGCATCTAAATTATTTGATCTAGGGGAATTCTTCTTGTTTTGAAAAGAGTGTCATTGCAAGCAACACACATTGATATATCCAAGATTGTAAGAAGGTTGACATATTTAAATTTGGTTGACATTTCTCATAACTGTCGTCTGTAGAAGGGAGCAGACCTCGACTGATGACGAAAACAGAATTAGAAGTGCCTGCATAGAGGCTATATGCAACATCGCCTTCGCACTAACCACAAATCAGAAGTTGCTTGTGCATAAAACAAGGTATCAATTCCAGTTCACTTCGTCGTGATAAACAATGTTCTAGAGGCCTCCATTTTTCGAAGAAACCTGCCGTTATCTTTTGCTTATAACCTTTCAATTGAAATACTTGTATTATGAAAGTATCATTTTGTGGGTAATAAAATCTTGCGACCTGCAGATTGCTAGATGTGTCTGCAGAAATTTAGTTGGAAAGCCAATGTATTTCGGGGAGACTTCATTTATTCACTAATTTATTCTTTAATAACTTAAACGATTTTGTCCTTTGATAATAACACGAATCAATATTCGCTTTGCTGGCTCTGTGATGGCTTTTGGTAGTGCTACTTTCTGTACCAACATTGAAAAAATGATTATCTCTGAACTACACACCATTCAGCAAACGTTTGTCTTCCGGTCCTTTTTGCAGCACAACATGTTCTAACCAGGTAGTGCTAAGATGAATCTGTTTACTTAATTGGTGTTTAGACCAAGACTTATATCTTCCAACCGTCAAGTTCTGTCTATATTACTGATATTTCTATTAGCAAATTTTTGAAACATAGCAATGCAGACGCCGTATGCTGGTTTTTGCCACGTCTTGCTTTGTAGTTGTAGATGTTGTTTTCTAATGGTTCAACTTCAACCAAAGCATGTGACAAAACAGATATTTTGCGTCTTTACATATTAAAGCAAATGAAACTAGTTTTAAGGATATTATAGCACACATACACCCATATTTATGCTTTTATAGCAAATTATAATGTAACCTAGTAGTTTACGGTTTTGTAGTTTGACTTGAGTAGAACGTTTGATGATCTCTCTGTTTTCTTACAGATTGCTGCAGAGATTAGCTTTCAGCCACCGGTTCATGAAAGGTACTTGGTACTTGTTGTCAAAACTGACTACGAAAACAGGAGTGGGGTGAGTGTTATGTCTCTATTCAACGTAATTGTACAGGCAGTTTGTGCCTTTGATAGAAAGAGGTCATCTGTTCAGTTAACACCAATGAATATAAATGAGGATAGGGCTCCTGAATAACATGAGATTTAAATTGAAGCCACGAATTCATACATTGGCGGAATTAGTTGCAAATTGCAAATGTATGTGTGTTTATGAAATATCCATGTTTCGCCTTCATTCTGCAAATTCGTTTTAAAGAAATTTAACTCCAGGCTAGAAGAAATTAATGGCATTTGTTGTGCTCCAGGCCCAGATCTTACGTTCGACACAAGTCGCGCATGGGGCACGAATGTTGTACGTTTTAGGTCGAGGTCTTCGCTCAAACTTAACTCAGAATTTTTATAGAAGTATAGAGAGTTTTTCTTATAGAAATAGGTACAAATTAAATCACTTTATCCGTAACAGTACTTTGTGGCTATATTATATCGGAATTACTTTCATTCAGGAAGGATGCTTTATTTGTCAATCAACTGGCAAGAGGTGCGGTGATGCCAGATAGAGAAAAAGCCCGAATCATTCCTGTTCTCAGCATTTTCTGTACGCTGTTCCGATACGCTTTGTTTTGCGTGTATGATACTGACTTTTTCAGTTCAAAGGCAGGTATGTTTGGCTTCCAATCCTTGTTGAAAACATATAATTTTTATAACCAGTAGTCTTTGAATTGTCATGATGTGTATTCTGTCTTAATGCCTGCTCTTTCTTGTAGATGGTTGCTAGTTATTCTTGCATAGTTTTTTGTTCTAGTAAATAGAATATTGTCTAGTTGCTGCCTGTTCATAATTTCATACAAAGAATAGAAGTAGTAATATAGGTTATAGCTTTTGTTCAGTTGAAGTGATTCTCTAACTTTGTCGTTAATGTAGCTGCTTACAAAATTCAGTTTTTTGTACGCACGTTGTATAATGGTGTGAAATAGTATGACATTGTCCCTAGAGCCTTTGTTGTATAAGTTGAAACGCAGCTATTCATTGTAGGCATAATTTTGAAGCTGGAAACGCAATGTATTAGATACGTTGCTCGACTTGTGATGCTCAAATGTACCTTTTGTACATATTTTGAGGGCCTTTGTTTTGCTATCGTAGGCTAGACCCAATTATTTGATATTTGTTTGTAAATCTGTATTAACTTTTTGCTTGCTAAACTTGCAAGGCTCAAGTGATTCTATGATGCCCTTTACGCTGCCAAACCTCGTCAGCATGTCGAAAACACTTCTCGATGTTTTGATTGGTCTCATTCAAATGATGTTCTCAGAAACTCGATCTAACGTTGTGAATGCTTATGGCAAAGCTATGCTGAGTGTGGGGGGCAGACCTCTTGGAGATGCAAGTGGCTTGGATGAATGGGGAGGTACCTGTCAGGTAAGAACAACCAGTTATAGCAATTGTGAGAATAAACGCTACGAAGATGCTTTTGTTATGATTTAATATGGGCCGTACTGGCCTAAATGCGACAGGCGAAAGCAGATTTAACTAATCAACCAATTAGAATAGTCCCGTGTCCTTTCCCAGAATTCATGCAGTAGGTATAATTGATTGAAAGCATATCTGCCATATGAAAGTTGCCACTTGTCAGAAAAAAAGCCTAAGATTTGGGTTATTCGGAATTGTTAAACATCTTCAGGAAAGGTTTTCAAATTTTACAGTTCGTAAAAATATACCTAAATGGTTTCAAGCGTTTGCTTTAGTACCTTAAATATATTGACTCTACTTACTTGGGCACAGCTGCTGAGAAAGCCGCTTAAATACAAAAATGGTAGCATGCAAATAAACACCCTTGGTACCAGAGCCTCAATGAATGTGTGGGGTCGAACTCCACTCTTCGACCCAACTCTTTTTTGAGGTTCTAGTGCCCAGGATAGTATCTATAGTACCAACACAAATTCTCTCCGCATGCTTGTTTTTAAATCGTGCGAATTTTAATAGCAGATATGCGAACGTTGAACTTAGAGGAAAGGAGTTGTTTATCTTTCCTTCAAACAGTACCCTAAAGCTGTGAACACCTTCGCCACAATCAAAATTTTTTTTATTTTATTTGCATTTCACAGTCATCGGCAGCCATGTTTTTTTGCTCTGGTCTCAGCACTGTCGATTGAGGATTGTAGATCAATTTTTCCTTGCATCAAATTTTTCTCAAATTCCTTTAAAAAATGTCTAACTATTTGTCTTGGAACATCTTTTGTAGGCGGTGACTCTGCTGGTACGGCAGCTGCACTCGAGAGACAGCCGTCATCAGTTTTGCCCCGAGGGACACTGGTTGTCACCTAGAATTGCAATAAATGCCGAGCAAGTTACAATCGAAGGATTCTTTGAGGAAAAAGGTGTTAACGCTTATTACATTTTTTTATTTGTTTATGCCTGATGCAATCTGCGTAAGAATTTTGCTGGAGAAAAAGAATTGTCGATTTTATGAACAGCCTAGGGGAGTTGAATCGACTCGTCACACCAGTGTGCCAGACGCATAATACAGAGAAAATTTCATTTGAATGATATAATGCTGCACCCCTTGCCCGGTTGCATAATTAAAAAAAAGTTTTTCAGAATCCCACATTTGTAGACCAAAAAATACATTAGGGTGAGAATTATTATCTGAGCGACGTTATCTATAGGAGAAATTATTCCTAGAATCTCGTTATATTACTGATCTTAACCCAAGCCCAATCCCAACCCCAACCCTAACCTTAATCATAACCCAAACCCTTACTTTGACCTTACCTCAAATTGTTGTGAACGTTTTGCGTTGTTTTGTTGCATTGTGACATTGGTACTTTTTTCGTAAGATGAAAATGATGATACATTCAAGCCTGGAATATCAGCACTCACTGCCAGAAGTATGGCAATTTTGCGACACATTCCTTTCTCAGTTCCCTTCCTACAACGCGTTCAGGTTTGTCCTTTTGTTTATTATCCAACATAGACATATTTAAGAAAATGAACTTGGAAATGCCATTGTTTTTCGTGTCCCTGTTTACTCTGCTCTAGAACGCTGTACCCTTACAAGCAGACACAGAATGCTGTATCCTTAAAAGGGGGCGTTTCTAGATGGGCTTGCGTTATAAGTGGAAACAATGGCAATGCAACGAGAGCTGAAGTCAAAATGATTAGAAGTGCCTTGCTGTTATACTAGAACTTTAGTTAATAAGAATTTCGGAAGAACGACTTAAATGTTGTGTTATCTTTCGTGTTCCACGTGGGATACGAGTTTCATTCATGAAAATCTGTTACTAATAAAGATGCATCGTAGTCTGCTAGGATAAAAAGCAAAACCTATCGCGATTTGCTGGTAACAGAAACGTTAATCCATCATAAAACCTCAGTTAAGCATTATGATTAAATGTAGATTTATTCCGTTAAAGATCTTCCAAAGAATTTTGAACCAAGATAAAGATGATTCACATGACCCGGCAGCGGATTTGTCAATGCGAAACCCATCATCGTTCATAACTGTGAACCGGAAATACTTGTATCAAGACGCATATGACCAACTCTCTCAAGAAAGAGGTAAAAGAATGATAGAGTTTCAGCCTTTTTTGACAAAATGCAAGAATATTCTTGTTTTTCAAAGAAGATTCTTACTTAATAGTCTGCAAACTATTTATTGTTTTGTGTATTTCGCTGTTCATAATTTTATCTATATTAATGTGTATATCTTTGTTATACAAATTTTAGCTTGTTTATTGAGGCTCTTTGCCTCAGATTAATCTCAGGCCTTATTTATTAGGTAGAGGTCTGAATGTCAGCTCATTACAGGTTTGTCTATTACCAAAAAGTGGCTTACAACCAGCATCGATTAATATGTAGAGTAAGTTATGATGCTCTAGACTCAAAGAGTAAAAATGAAATCTTTAGACTGTATGTTGTCTGTTCATTGCAGCGCCTGATATCAAAAAGAAAATTCGTGTGAAAATGATCAACGCTCAAGGCCTCGATGAAGCCGGTATTGATGGTGGCGGAATCTTCCGGGAATTTATGTCCCAGCTGGTAAAACAAGGATTTGATCCGAGTTACGGTTTCTTCAAAAGTACTCCGGAACAGTTGCTTTATCCTAATCCCCAGGTTCGTTCTTTCTTTCTCAAGGTTTTCCTTTTTCTAAAAATATATCAGTATTTAATTTTTTATGCTTCTTTTTATGATCAGCCTTTCATTGGGTATTGAAATATCTTTTATTTCTGTTGTATGTGCAATGTATCAGGAAATCATGAGATTTGAGTTTTCGAGGATCGTAACAACCTCTAAAAGGAGGGCCTTGTGCCTCCACGCAGCAGGAGGTAAAACCCCACATTTTCACCATATAAAACCCCACATTTTCAGCATTTAAAACCCCACATTTTTAGCATCTAAAACCCCACATTTTCAACATCTATTTATTGAAATCTGTAGAGAAAAGTACGAATATTTTTCCTTGCTTCTTTTGAAAACAAATGCAGAAATTTTCCTTGTTTTTCGACGTCCGCAGGGCGGTGGTTGCTTTTTGTGCGGATCTATTGATCCCCATCCCTCAATACCCTACCCCCTGTCAACCACCACATTTTTCGCAGCTGGGGCTTTCCCTGACAAAGACAGGACAAAGCAATTGACGAGGGGTCAATTGACAGCCATCCTTACGGAACAGAAAATATGGTTTCGGAAAATTTTTCTGTTTCATTGAAATATGAGAAGCAAGAAAAGTTTTTAAACATACCCACTCAAACTTCTGTACAGTGATCCCTTTGAAACTGTGGAGGAGCCATTTGTAAGGTATAGATACGTTTTTTCAACCTCGTTCTTGCGTGTCGGCTTAGCATAGTGGGTTCATCGCTAAACTTCATTACATGTTATAACGAAACTTTGCAGTTCAACCCCACTAGCGCAATCCGATACTTTTTTTCTTTTTTTCTATATCTGAGGAACATTGTCGACTATGATGTTTAAGCTGGACACGGTTCTCAGATATTCATTTTTTTCTAGTTTAAAAAATACGTTTTGTTTTGTAAAACTCCTGAATCAATCATGATTTTATTATGGATTGTAGATTTGCAAAACCATAGTCACTGTAGCACTCATTTTTTATAAGAAACTGCATGCTGACGAGCTGTTTTTTAAAATAATAGTTTTTAAGAACACGGGCCTTATTTTTATTTTATTCATTTCAGATTTGTTCTTAATTTAGTCAACTTTTTTGAGAATTTTTCTTTGAAGATTTTCAAGAATTAAGAACAAGCTTAGGCTGAGCTACTGTAAAATGTAATTTTGAACAATGTTTCATCGCAAATTTGTGGATAAATAAAGGATGTATCACTCACTTAGTTAGCAAATGAGGCCTGAACACCTCCCTTGAGCGCATGAGATAGCACAATTTAAGAACAAATTGAGAAAAACATAGTCTCAGATTTTCCAAAAAATTAAGAACAGCCAGCCTTAATTTTAATTTTCTAAGAAAAAGAGTGTATGCTCGGGATTTGTACTTGGCTTCTTGTTTTTGTTGATTTCAGTGCTAAAAGTTTCTTAAAGATTCCTGATCAACATTTTATTTTTTGGTCTTCTTACGCTCGGTTTCTGATAGACGGTTGGGCTTCCTAAAGAATGTTGCTTGGACTTATTCTCAAATCAATACCAATTGTTTGTGGTTAATATCACCCGTAATTTTTCCACTGTAGATTCGTGCCGGCTTAGCCTTGTGGATACTTCGTTGAAATTAGTCTGCTAAACTAAAGGTTCTCAAACCCCGTTTCCACTGGCGCCATCCGGCACATTTTCCTTCCTTTAAATTCTTAAAGTTTTTCCATACTAAATAGCTAGTTTGCTATCAAACAGTCCAAAACTGCCACTGGTTTGGCGTAATAATTCGATTAAAATCAGAAAAGTTGTTTAAGTCTTGATGAAATATAGAGAAAATTACAAAAATATATTTTTCAAAATAAAATCTTTAAGATGAATGATTTTAGTTATTTTTTTTATTTCGCGTTTTTTTTTGAAAAAATCAGGAGTTGCTCGCAATCTGGCTTCAAAGATAACAGTACCAAATGACTTTTAAACTAATATCCTTTCATTAATCTTGAAAAGTTTGGAAACATAAATACAAGCATTTTTATGACAGATTTAACTGGTTTTACACATGCAAAAGTGTTAAGCTTTACACTGATTTTGCACATTGTCACAAGTTCTAAAAAGGGTTTTTATAACGAAATTACTTAGCCATCCCATAAGGTTGTCCAGCGAGTTATTGGAGTCGTTTAAAGTAGAATTTTTCTTCGTAGGCGGCAAAGATCAATCCAGACTGCCTGAAGCATTTCCATTTTCTTGGCAGAATACTTGGCAAGGTTGTGCTGCTTTGAAATACTGATCTTTTAAATTGAATTCAGTTTTATTACCATCTCTACATTCATTTTTATTACCAGAAAATCTATATTGGACTAGAGGGAGTTTCTCAATTTTGCGGCTTTCCATATGAGAGCTTTCTGAGATTTAACCAATAACATTAAACAAATCAAAAATTGTTTTGATGACACAATAAGACACTATATTTCCAGTTTTTATTGATCTTCAAAACCCCTTTGCAGAAGATGTTTTCAGTGATTTTCATAATATTTTTTGTTAGTGTTTCTTGATTATCTTCGAAGTCATAGGCTCTTCTTATTCTTTTGAATTTTTAGGACCTGTCTTTAGATGTTTTGATCACTGTGGAGCATATATCTCCTTTCTTCGTCGTTTTTACCCGTTTAAAATAACGAATCTGTATATCAAACTTTAGGTTATCTACGAAAACATGATGGTTGAGATGCCCTTTGCTCCATTTTTCCTCTGCAAGATTCTCAACAAGCATAGTGCCGATGTTGACATCCACCATCTTGAATCTCTCGATCCTGAACTTTACCGGTAAAGTTTCTTATTCATGACTGACTACAGATATTTCTAAGGATCCCATACATCTAATGCTCCCAACGGAATTTTCGATCGAGTAAATTCCATTTTTTCGCCCTTCTCGTGGTCCTGCACTGTGTTTCTGCTAATTTTCCTGGGTTCTAGAGATGGTCTATTGGGGAGAGTGAGATGTTAAACTCCGAATTGATAGAAACTGTTTCAAAGGAATTAAAAGGAAGAAGAAAAGGAGAGTGGAAAGTTACTTTGCCATTTTATTTAATCCAATTTCATATTTGTATTCGTTTCTAACTGATATCCAAAGGTAGTTTTTAAGACACTGAAAAGCTGTGCTTATCGAGCAGTTTCATGGTCTACTCGATGTGACCACACCTCGTGGTTCCTACGCCTGGAATTGCAGAGAGCTGGCGACACCCCACGCTCTAAGTGAAAGCTTTATAAGTTATATTTATATTGACTTTTGTATATTATAAAGTTATCTTGATTTCGGAAAACAATTGGCAAGGAGACATTAGCGGAATTGTTGCATATTTTCGCGTGCAAGAAATGCATTGTCAGTGAAATTCTTCTTCTGAGAATCATCAATACATTATAATGAATTTACTGTCAGCCCCTCCTTTCAATGTACCCTTTGTCAGTTTGAGAATAATTTTATGGAGTTTATCCCAAAGGATGCTGGAACCGACTGCACGAGGGGCACGTGTCCCCCAGTAATCAAAAAGTGCCTATTTTGATATAAGTAATTTTCTGCTTGCTACTTATATTTGATTTGTTTCAACAAATATCGCAAAATTAAAAACTTTAAGTAATTTTTAGGAACCTTCTATCATTGAAAAATTACGACGGAGATTTTGACGACATCGCATTGAATTTTACGGTCATTAATGAAGAGTTAGGAAATGTCGAGGTAAGGTGACTTTTGAGTAACAGCTGAAAATTCTTGTGAATTTTGGATCTGTTTATTAAGTGCATAGTATGATATGTTAATTAAGGATGAAGCTGGAAATAGCCTAAATTTGAAATTTTCTTATTAAGACGCCCCTTTCTTATTAATTATTTCTCCCCTTAACTTATCACATTTGAGCGCTGTTCCATGGGCGGCGTCAAAGGGGGGCTGGGGGCTGAAACCCACCTTTTTTGCAAACAAACTTTTTTCAAAAATAACAAAGGGACTTGGAGTAAAGGAATAGAAGGAAAAAATAAGGCAATGAACCCTTTTATTGACTTTCTCTCAGGGCCTCCGAAGCCTTTTGGTGGCTTGCCAATGTCTCAATGGCAATAAAGGGTGCCCATAATATCATAGGCATACACATATCGTGATAAATTATAGTGCATTTTTCAAAATTCAGTATTTTAGTCAAATTATGCTGTCAACTCGAGCTTTGAACTTCTTTTCGCCGCCCCTTTTTTCTATGCTAAACCCAAATGGTTAGTCCACTCTTTGCTTTATTCTTGTTTGTGTGAAAGTTTAGCTGAATCCCACTACTAGAATTTGGTTACTTTTTGCTCTACTCAAGCTAGAAGTCTGCTAGAAGAAAATTCCTCAACCAGTTCTCTGAATTTCGACTCGCCGCATGTTCTTTCGAACAACGAATATTCAGTAATAGGTGATAGTATACAGGAATTCGGCAGTAATCCTGACAGGCTATATAATTTTTTTCAAAGAAGTATATTTTGCTGCTATTAGTATGAAAAGGAAGAAGTATATACTTAGATTTTAAATTTCTTATCTCTTCGAGGCTTTATTTGTCAATGGTGGAGGTTTCTCTCATTTCTTTGCCCTATCTAATGGTAGAATTCTTTTTGTTAATAAGGTGGAAGACCTGAAACCCGGAGGCCGAGACATTCTAGTCACCAGCTCAAATAAAATTGAATATATCCATTTAATGGCTGATTATCGACTCAATAAACAGGTTTGTCGCTAATCTGCTACTTTCAACCACAGATAAAGGAAAGTTCATCTATGTACAAGTGAAATTAAGGTCATCAAAATAATTTGTTTTATCTTTTTTCATTACAAATTTAACTAACACGTCGAAGCTCTAAGTCAAACTGTTGTATGCAAAATCTCATCGCAAAGGTTGAGCTTCCTGCTCTTAGATAATGATATTGCCTGCCTGCCTTCCTGCCTGTGGATGCTTTAGGTTTGCTGGCAAATTATTTGTATTTATGATGCAAATCATGTTTTCATAATTTTCATAATTTTCATATTCATATAAATTTTCATATTGTATTTTCATAAATTTTCAGTTGTATTATTGTGAATATATTAAGTTGACTTATAAAGCTTTATTGTTTCAAGTGTCAATTTGCTAATTTATAACGTATGGTAAATCCAAAATACACAATTTTGCTGATCTCTTTCATATGAAGATTCGTGCCCAGTGCAACGCCTTCAGAGCTGGCTTGTCTGACGTCATCAATATCGAGTGGCTTCAGATGTTTGGTCATCGGGAGTTGCAGGTTGGTTTAAGATCTTGTGTTCTGCTGTTATTTGTTGTAAGAATGCTATGAATTTTGTCCAGCCTCGATATTCTTGAGAAATTTTTATTTGAAGGCTGGACATAATGTATTATAATTCTTTTAAATTTGATATGGTTTCAGGGGAACTCATAGGGTCACCAACCCTGAAAAATAAACCACGTTTTTTGATAAAATGAGAAATGTCAGTATGATTTTTGTATCATCGCCTTTTGAATTTGAATGGATCATTTTTGTAGGTGCTCATATCCGGAGCCCCGGTCCCAGTGGATCTAGAAGACTTGAGAGCAAATACCAACTATTCAGGTAATGAAACATATCTTCGCTTTTATTCTATTACATATATGTTTTTATAATTCTTACATACACATGTTTATACATATGTTACATACTTTATGGTCAAGAGTTAGGCGTTTCATGTGTAGCTATGAATCGAAATGACAGCAGGTGTGCACTAGGTAGATTGTGATGGAAGGTTGTCCGGTTCACTGTCCGGTTCATATTTTTTGTTGAAATATGCTTGTATATTAAAGATTTTGCCTACCAAGCTAAACAATGATTTGGGTACTAGATTTGTTAGATCCATTTAGCTTTTTTTACTTTGGTTTGATGATTAAATGGGTATTGGAATACTTCGATTTAAAAACCCAACTATTGCTCTGGTCCCTTAATATCTCGAAAGGTATAGGTTCTATTTTATATTGGCTCAAGACAATACTTCTTTAGACAACTAAAGATCCGCCATGGTTTTGGTATTTAGTTAGATGTTAAATTGCCATTCAAGGTGGGTACGAAGATGGTCAGGATTACATCGAAGCCCTTTGGTCAATTTTGAATGGATTCAACGATGATCAACGAAGAAAATTCATCAAATTCGTCACGAGCTGTTCAAGACCGCCACTCCTTGGTTTCAAGGTACAATGCATTTCATCTTTATATCTATTCTAGGCCTCGCTTATACGAGTGAAAGTGGATCAGATCCAAACTGGGTCCAATCTGCTTTGAGTACAAATAGGTCTCACATTCAGCCGGGATCTCGTGGGTCCGACCTACGTTCATATGCTTTCGAGAAGGATCCAGCTCAAATCCGATTCACTTTATCCTTGTGTAAACAGGTGGATCTTAAATTGGATCTCTTCGAATAGGTGTCTTGTCGTTGCTATACTAACGGTCAAGTGCTTGTGCGTTATATTTTGGACCCTAAAGGTAGGTGGTAGGCCCGTCCGTATCAAAGCTGGATCCACTGGATCCGATGCAGTTTAGATTCGATCCTCTTTAGATCCGATCCACTTTAGATGTAACCCTCTTTTAGATCCGATCCATATTTGATGCCATCCATGTAAGCATAAACCTAACGTCGTTTTGGCCTTGTCTTTCTATACTAAAACAGCCCCTAAAATAGGAAATTTTCTGTCATAAACTATACCTTTGGAATACGTTAGTATTGTTGGGAATGGGATGAGGTAAATAGCTAAATCAAAAGTTGGAAATTAGTGTTTAAATATTGTTGCCAAATGTCAGAATTCCTCTATAATTTTCTAGTAGAAGGATATTTTCTCTCTGGGCTGGGAGGAAAAAAAGTTTTAAAGGCTAGCCACAACAAAAGGGGTCACAATTTTTTGAAATAATGTTTAATCTCGATGTAAAGATTCCGGGGTTTTACATGCTACTCCAGTTCATCTTTCGCTATTCAGTTTTCTTTTAATAAAAGAAGAGGATGATCAGCTAGCCAAGACTGTAAAATAATTGCTATATTTTCAATTTATTTATGGAAATAGGATTGTGAACTTATTTAAAGCAAGTCTGTTCAAGATCTATTTGCAGCCAATTACCTCTTAGTGATAAGGAAGCCTGAATTCGAGTACTGAAATATTTCCAAAACTATTTTTGTACAAATTTTTTGCAGAGAACTTTCGACTAATTACATAGGCATCTTAGTACAGTTACTGAGCCAAGTACTCTAACTGCATTGAACCAAGTTGTATTTTCTAATTAACATCTAATTACAAAGTTAAGTCTATGAACTGCCATGACAGAGTGCGTGTACTTTCAATTGCTGTATTAAATCATGGGAAACTATTTCGGAGATAAAACGAAGTTCTCTTTACACCTAAACTGCTAAGAACAATATCTAGCAGCGAATACTTCTGTAGCATCGATTTTTTATGCAAGACAGGTCCATCGTAATTGTCCTACAAAAAATAGGCCAGTTGAGTAAAGTTTTATAATCATATGAAAAAACATCAATGCAATGATTCGCTGATTTTTCTCTTACTAGGACCTCTATCCTAAAATGTGTATTCATTTTGGTGGCAAAGAAGACCGTTTACCAAGCGCGAGCACGTGCATGAACATTCTAAAGTTACCTGAATATGAAACAGCAGAAATCCTGAAATCGAGACTACTGTATGCAGTTGAATCAGAGGCTGGGTTTGAACTTAGTTAGTCTTTAGGTTTAGTTTCATAAAAGTTATATTTTAAAAGTAATGTTAATCGTAATTCAGCCCTTGCCTTCTATTACAAAGAAAAGTATTTTCTTGCTAAACTTTTTTTAATTTGATTTTCAACAGTTAATTGACACGTTTTATTGTTTTGTCGCATTGAGTTTTTAACTTTGAGTCTATTTTCTTATTCAAGAAAACCAATTTTGTAATTAGCAAAGGTGATTAATTCGTATGTTTTACTTTTCATACAATCCGTCACAGTCATTCAAATATTCACTCGCTCAAAGTCGTGTCAACTCTTAATACCAACAGTGGTGCTTTGCTTATGAAGCTTCAAGAGATGAGGTAACAGACACGCCGAAGCCGAAGTTTTCTAATTTGTCTAAAGCCCCTTCACCCCAAAACGTGTTCCAGCGTCCCTGAGCATGTATACGCAAACACAAGACATCTAGACGTTCACTCAGCACTTTGATGGGAGCGAAAGAGGTTCTGATACGATGCGACGACCTCCTTGCTCAAAGACTATATAGTCGTGCTCGCCTGGGGAGTTTTCCAAATGTTAGCTGTTTAGAAAAAATTAACTAAATACTTTAAACTGTCCACGTGTCTAGACTTCTGTTCATTGCCTTTACAAGAAGCTTTGCTTTGATAAACGTTCCAGACTTACATACATTCATAAACAACAAGGTAAAGCTGAGAATCATTCTTGAAAGCCAAATTCATACCCCCAATTGCCCCTTGTTCGTTCCAGCATTGCTGACTGTAAGTACGTACGCACCAAAGGGGGAGAGGCATACCAAAGGCGTAAGGGTGCATTCGAGAGAGGGGCTATTAAGGTTGATGAGGACCTATACAGTTTGACTGTCCTTTTTTGCATATCTTTAAATTGTCGAAATAGCTTAAAACCTTCCTATTCTAAAAAGAAGACAAAATTCTTATTCGCGATTATTAAGGTCACCAGTTGTTGAAAAAAACATTTAGACTGTGAAAGGTGATTAACCAGTGACCGTTTTCTACTCCCGTCTAATTCCATTTCATCGTACCACTTTTACCCTTTTGATATTTGAATTTAACTTTAAGATATTTGAAATAATACCGCAATACTACAAAGAAAATTTTAGTTTTTTCGATTTCCTGAACTAGGGGAATATTCAAATTATAGGTGGGTACATGCGCAAAGGGGGAGGCATAAAAGCGTATAGGAAGAGGGTGGGCAAAATTAGGGGTTGTACTGCTCATTTCCTTTATGGAAGCACCCCTCCCCCCCGATTTATCGTTTTTATATTTCGAAGCGGGCGCTCTTCGAAACGCGATGACGGGGGATTACACAATTATTCATCCGCGAGAGAACAAATATATAAACATTGGTCTAGTTCAATAAGCAGCTATTCAAGTAACTCAAAGGAATTTCGCTTGTGGCAGCCGTGCCTGCTTAGCCTAGTGGATTCATCGCTTTGGTTGCAAAATAGTTTCAAGTACTGTTCAATGTGGTTCGAATCCACAACTTTCCACGGGCGCAGTCCGGCACTTTTCCTTTCAAGCAAAAATTCTTCGAATCGCGACGTAAACCACAATCATGCCATTTTTGAGTAATTCAAAACTGAAGAAAAGCCAAGATAAAAATTATGCTAATTATGTTAAATAAAAGTTATTTTTTACATAACCTCTCCCTGGGATTATTCAGTTTTCCATTGAAATACAAACAATGTTTCGCATTTGCGAAATTAAAAGAAATACAATATGTCCTAAGAGTTTCTTGATTTTAATTTCCAATATATAATTTTTTCATCCTCAAAAAGTTTTTATCTTACGCTTGAAACTATACGAGGTTCCCGGCTAGGACTGTCAATTTTCAGCTGCATAATTTCCAAAATGGACCCAAGAATAGAATTGGAATCTTCATGGTTAATGTATCCTGTGACAAAATTTTCTTGTTGTTTGGACATGCCACTTTCAAAATTAAGCTTTTCCTGAGATGCTTTTCAAGAAAGTAATTCTGAGAAAATTTCACCATGCCAATTTCAAATCTGGGGTCCATTTTTGCCAAAGGTCTGTAGATAGTGAAATGCAAATGTAGGTTAAAACAAGTGTAGTTCTTCTTTGACTGTGTTTAAAAAATACTTGAAAATGTGAATCACTTTAATGAAGTCCCACATGGCTGGGTAAAATTTTTGTTCAATTGATTCAGATACATCTTTGTACCACAAATGAGTTACTTCTCTTCATATATAGTATCATTCCTTTGTCGATTTTCGTTGTTCCTGCCAAAATGTTTTAGAAAAATGGTATCCAAATTTGAAAAACGCCTAACATTGACCCTTACGTAATAAGAGTTTTGGGGATTTTTTGTTTGCAAAAATTTCGAGCACGACATATTAAATAATGTAAAAATGTTTATTGAAATTCTAGATCCATTTTGGAAGACTTTTAAAGTTTCCTGTTATAATTTTCTTTATACGCAAAAAATCACAGGTCAAGTTAGTCTATGCTGCAAGTTTCAAGATATTTTATGAATTTAAAGATGAAGTTATGAGATTCGTCGGGTGGCAATATTGTTGATTTCGAAGTTGACCGATTTAGCGTCCTTAGAAACGCAGTTATTTTTCTGTCGCCATGTCCTTGTTCCATGTGTTATTGTGCGCGTTCCGTACTTCACTGAAAAATTTAATGCGCCCACGTCTCTGTTTCGTTTCGTTGTTGGGGTGTTACCATGCCGAGCTAGATTGCATCCAACAACAAAATAAACAATTAGCTGCACTTGCGAGGTTCGTTTATTTGGTCTTGAAAGATTGATTTGTTTATTTTGGAATTTCGATCTGTATCATTAAAAGAAGTGAAATCAGAACATTTTTCGCAATGGTTAGCCGTTGATCCGGAACATTGTAGTGGTTCTGATTTAGGCCGAATATTGTTGAGAGAGGTTCCGGTACAAAATGGTGGAGAACGAGCAGCCTGTCCAAGTTGTTGTAAGGTGCAGACCTATCACTGACAATGAGAAATCGCGAGGTGCAACGAGAGTGGTAAAAATAAGTGGAGATAGGATCCTTCTGCATAACCCATACCCAACAAGCGGCGTTAAAGAGCACAACTTTGCTTTTGGTCACTGTTATTTTTGGGACACAAAAACTGACCAGGTTTACAAAGAACTAGGTGAAACTTTACTACGTCGTACGTTGGAAGGGTATAATTCAACAGTTTTAGCATATGGACAAGTTGGATCTGGGAAAACGCATACACTGACTGGTTCACTCGAAGAACCGGGTTTGCTTGCGCTATTCAGCCAGGCGTTGGCCAAGAAAGTCGAAGAGTCATCCAAGGAAAAGCGCTTTTTTATGACTGTTTCGTTTGCAGAAATTTCGGATGAATGTGTACGCGATCTTTTGAATCCAAGTGGCCGGGATCTCAGGATAAGAAAACATCCACAGTTAGGCACTTACATTGATGATATTGCAGAGCTTACTGTCAGCACACATGAAGATATTGTGAGACTTCATGAGCAAGGTAACAAGGTGAGCAAATTCACAGTCTCAGATTTTGAGGCATCCAGAGCCAAAGCAAGTACAGTCTTCACTCTCTCCTTTGAACAGAAAGCGAAAGGCAAAGGAGAAAAACAGGGTTTGCTTTCAAGGGTATCATTTATTGATCTTGCAGGGTCAAACCACTCTAGTCAGTCAGAGGACAGTAATTTTGTTTCAAAAAGTATTGCCTCATTGTCTTCAGTCATCTCCACCCTAAATAACCAAAAATCTTCAACCACACAGTACAGAGAATCTTCACTGACCAAGCTCTTACAAGATGCTTTGGGTGGTAATTCATTTACCACATTTCTTTTGACGATATCACCATCTGATTCTGAGTATTATGAGAGCCTTTCAACCTTGCAAGCTGGTACATTGATGCAAAATATCAAAACAGTGCCTCGCATTAATCAAAATGACAATACAGCTGTCATTTCAGAACTCAGAGAAAAGATAAACAGGTTAAGAGACAAAATGGCAGGTACATCTGGTGTGATTACTGATATGCCAGAGCCTAGTGATGTGGAGCGTATGGAGGAGCTCATTAAAGATTTGCAAATTGCAAAGTTGCAAACCTGGGAAGAGAAGGAAAGGCTATCTGAAATGTATGAGGAAGAAAGACGTCATCATTTGTCAAATAAAGGGATATTGGATTGGGTACTAGATTCAATGAAAAAGGAAAGTAAAGAAATTCAACAGAGATTGGCTACATTGCAGAAAGAGAAAGATAAGCTAATGATTGACTACAAGGAGAAAAGAAAAGTTGTTGATGACTTGAAAGATGTGTTGCAAAACATGATAACTGAGTATTCAAAACTCACAGAAATCGGGAAAGCAGGGGATGATGAAGGAAAAAAGAAAGTTGCAGAAATTCATAGTTTGAAAGAGCAGTTGAAGCAAGAGAGTGAGCAAATGAAAAAGTTGAAACAGCAATTAAAAGACATCCAGGAAAAACAAAAAAGTGAAAAGGAAGAGGCAAAGTCACAGACATCTGGAATGAAAGGCAACTGGGATTTGCTGCAGAAACTAGAAACAGAGCAGAGAGAAAAGTTAGAGAAAGAAAACATAGCAACCCTTGCTGATGAAATGGATAGGATCAAAATTGAAAGTGAGCAGGAGAAGGCTGATCTGAAAATGAAGGTAGCCCATGGAAGTCAGTACAATGAAGATCAAGCCTTAAAGATTGAAATGGAATTGATTGACTTGAAAGCAGAGAAATCTGTAATGGCAATCAAACTCAAATCATTGGAAGCAGAGAAAAAGCAAATAAAGAAGGATCTCGAAGAAGTTTATAAAAGACACAAAGAAGAACAAGAGTTACAGCAACTGCAACATTTTCAGACTTTTAGAAATTACAGAGAAGTGTTTGAAGAACAAAGAGCTTCACTGGAACAAAGGTACAGAGCCCTTTTGGAAGATTCTATTCAGGATGCCATTTTCCTGTCTTCAAGAAATCAAGAATTGATTGATGAAAATCAGAACTTGAGGCAAGAAATTGCTGATTTAAGAGACCAAATAAGCATGAGCGGTGAAAGACCTACGTCACCATTAAGTGAATGAAAAAGCTCTTGATACCATAAAACTTTTAACTTTTTTAGACAAAACTAACTGCTAATGTTGGCGTTAACATGATCCTTTAACAACCATTCATTGAATGGTTAGTCACATAATAGAATGTTTGATTACCTTATTACAACTAATTTTTAAAAAGTTATTGTTTTCAATGTGAACCCTTATTTCACAGAAGGTATAAAGCATTGGATGTTTTATGGGAGACTTGGGGTACCACTTTATCTTATGTCAACAATGAGTTGTTGTGTCATTTGAAAACTCCATATAGAGATTATTTTTGTAGGCAACACTTTTGAGTAAACTGCTATAAAATTTGTTGCAGATTACAGCAACTCTTGATTAGCATTATTTATTTGTTGAATAACGTAATAATTCTTCTTGATTGAAAACCAGAAAGTATACTGACTTCAAAAGATTATATTTTGTTTCAGCTAGTGCATGGTATGTGTTAGTTATAAATGTAATATATGTACACTTGTTCCTTATAGACCAGCTTAAAAATGCATTAAGACTTATGTACAATTAATTACTTGATCAAAGCAGGTCCCTGTCCTTAGAGCTATCAGCGATGCTAATATTCTTTAATGTCAAAGTCTCAGAACACTCTCCTATGGAAGTAATAAGAACATGCCTTGAAGTATATCTATTAACCAGAAGCTATTAGAGTTAAACTTTCCTTACAACACAGGTTTATTAATCATTTACCGAAAGTTGCAACACAGGTTTGTCATATATCTATTTACCAAAAGTTGCAACACAGGTTTGGTAATTTAGGAGTGTCCCTTGCAAACTTTAAAGGAGGAGGGGTTAGTTTTCCCATTTTAGTAAATTGAATGGTCAAAAATTTATCATTCACACTTTCAGTTGACAAAATTTATTGCAAACTGTCCTTGTGTATGCCTTGCAAATATTTTTGTCAATTAGTTAGGCTGGTAAAAGAGTGGAAAGTTTTATGATACAACCATCTGCGACCATCAACTATGTAGCTGCTGTCTATGATTCTTTGTATTCTGTTTTTTCTAGGCAAAGGACAAAACAATGATTAAGCTCTCAGGTTCCTTTTAACCAATAAAAATTACTTATGATGACCAACTCTCAAAAATGAAATTCCTTTGAGAATTCTGTGGATGTAAAAGATATAGCTTCCCCCCACTAGACAGAGAGAGGCAAACTACTAAAAATTTTAAAGATGTTTCGCAACATTTCTACTACAAAATCATTATTTTTGAATAAATAGAAGCAAGGGCATCATTATTACCCTATTAAACTATCAATATTTAATGTTCTTACTTCTTAATAACCAAATACAAAACTGTTTCCTTAGTAAATTCTTATTGAATGAATATTTGAAGAAAATTCTAGCATACCAAAGCAAGGTGATATAACGAAAATTTTATATTGAGTCTTTAATGATATGGTGGTATTTAAAAAAGGGGGTTTTAACATAATCTGATTGTTAACTACATCCATAAAGGTTCTTATAGAATAAATAATAAAAGATAATGGGGGATATAAATCCAAGGTAACTATACAAGTGCCGACTTTGCATCTGGATTGCCAGAGCCATGTAACATCTTAAACAAGCATAAACTAATCAAGATTAAAACCATTTTTAATTTTCATTATAAACTGGTTCCTTAAGTTGTACTTAAATTTTTGATACCAATGCAGCAAAGCTGTTCTTCTTTTTATTTTGAAATCAAGTGAATATTGCCTCTCTCGGTCTATGATACTTGAAAGTTCATTCCAATTTTTTATGTATATAACTGGAGCATGCATTCTCTTAAGTACTCTTAGGGGGGTTTGCAAACCATTATCTGAGAGTGATTGGCCACATGCTCCTGGTGTCATAACATCTTCAATAACAGGGACAGATCCATATGAGATTGCCTCATAGATGCGATAACACTCTGTATTTTTTCCAACAGGAGAAAGAGTCAGGTCACTATCCTTCATTGCACTCTGATACAAGTCACTAGATTCTTTAGTTTCACCTGGTAACCATTTATGTCTTGGATTGAGAAGGCAGTCTTTTTGGAAACTTTTACCTGATTTGATTACATTTATCAATGTAATCCTTGATGAATTCTTGTACACTGTTCCTAGGAAATTACAAATATATTTTCTCCTTGCCTTAACTAAATTGCTATCACTATGTACAATTGGAAAATCTCTGTATGTTGCAACTCCAAGTGGCCACGGATGGAAATTAACATTGTCAATGTATGGAACATCATAAATAATAAAGGCAGATTTGATTATGCCACCATTCCTTGCCATGAAAGGCATCAACCAATTATTATAGCATTGCTCATTACCAAGTAAAACCACTGCCAGATTTTTTACTTTATTAATTTCTGTCAACGTCTTTAGCCATGTTGAAGCAAATTTAACCTTCTTTGGGTCCCTCCCATTTATAACCAAAATTGCATTTTGTACATCCTGCTTTACTGTTTGTGGTGTAACTGAAGGTCCTGTATGAAATCTAAACTTTAAATTTTCAATTTGCAGTTCTCCATATCTCAAAAACTTTCCATTGGTATTCTCTAGTGAGGCCTCGAATATATGCTGCCATAAGTAAAGTCCAATTGCTGCTTTTCCCCATATTTCCACGTTGTGGGTTACCTTGAAATTAGGCTTTGTTTTTGTATGACGGGTTTTCTTGAAATTTAGGCTGATTGTATCTTTCTTGTGTGACTTTTCAAAGTAAACTCGCATAATATGAATCAAGGCGTATGCAGTGAAAATAAAATAAACAATACCCACTAGCTTTAGAAGTGTTAACCGCCTCATCTTCTATACATATCCCCATAACTTTTATGACATTAGAAACTTGAAAATTCTCCCATGTTTTCATTAAAAATCGGAAAAGAGGTTGTCCGAAGATGGTGTGTGCTATGGCCTAAGCATTTAGAAGCCTTCATGAAGCCTTTGATTTCTAGAGTTTGTTAGAAGAGAACAAAATGGGTGAAAAGCTCCAGGTAGACCTCGTCGTTTTTATTTCAAGTAAAGCTTTATCTAGGTAGCAGCATTTTTGTGTACGCAGGTACGAGCTTATACACAAACCATCTAATGTAAAGCACCCCAGCCTTTGGCTGTTAGCATGGCAGTTCTCGACAAGACCTTGTGTGAGCAAAAACAAATAAAAACATGTGTAAATGTACAAGAATAGTATGCAATATAGCGTATGCGAATTTTACACTTAACAGACTGGAAGCATGTGTAAATAAGTGGTTGCATGCTCTTTTTTTAGAGGAAGTTTCATTTATTTTCATTTTCTTTGAGAATTGAGTTGCCCCCACACGGAGCTGATTTTAAGGGGCCAACAAAAATGCATCCATTACAACATATAGATAAATGTAAATTGAACTATTTGCCTCTACAAAAGACAATAATATTAGAAACATAATTACAAGAATATAAAAATTGAACAATTAAAAATAGTCTCTTTCCAGATTTGAAATACCAGATTCAGGCGCAGATCCAGATTTTTTTGACTGTCGCACAAGAGGGCGTGGTTATAAAATTTTTAGGGATCACACCCTTATTTCTTTTTAAAAAATTCATAATTTCTATACACAAATATTTTCTGTACAGAAATAATTTATATCCATCCAAGAATTAGTTATATATTTTACAGACAATTATTTACAAGATAGAAAAATCTTCAGAGCTTAATGTTTTGATATAATGTTCTGTCATGCACTTGGTCAATTTTTTTGCAATACCCTCAAAAAGTGAAAATTTAAGACTTGTACCCCTAAATGTATCGGATGCCATGGTCATTGGTATGTAGGTTTCCAAGTATCTCTTTCCTTTGGAAGAGTAATTCAAGCCACATCTCAAAATTTATTTGATTCAATTTGTTTGAGAATGTGAATTTGAATAGTCATATCACTGCTCAGCTAGCAGAAACATTCTCTTGGTTTACTTCCTGCCTCTGCTTCTGCAGGTAGCAATGAAGAGGCAACAGCCTCTACCTAGTAACTAAGGCACGACTGTCACAGTGTACAGGAAAAGACATATGTTTGCCACTGTGCAGTCAGCTACTTTTGCATTGCAAATGATGCACTCAAACAATAGATGAACCAGTAGGGTCTCAAAAACGATACCAAAGCAGCCCGATAATGTTATTAGATTGTCACTCCTTTTTTCCATAATTTATGCAGTAGGGTAAGCAGTAGAGATGACAAAGGAAGCAAGTAGGATAATTTCCTTTTTAATCAACTCATTTCTTGTATTAGGTTTGGCATACCTAGGGTTGCTGATAGAGAAAATGTTTGCGACCAGTCTTTCCTTCAAGCTGCTGTCAAGTTTGTTGTTTGCAGTAATGAAGAAAATTTTCTTTTTTTAAAAATTGATTCTGTGACATAATTTCACATGAAACATGTTTCAAATTCTGACTGTCACCTGTGCAATCTGTGGGACAGTTAAGACCCTGCCAATTTTTTTTTTTCATCGCTTATTATATCCAACAAAACCAATTGAAACAAAACAAAGTGAAATGAAATGAAGAAAATGATATATGATGAAACAAACATATAAGTTCAAAGCTATTTCCAATATCATAATGAAACTATGAAAATCGTGTGGGGTCATTGATTTTAACTTGTCAGAAAGACTTTCACTTGCCATTTCATGCAGGGACTTAAGGTCATTGTTATGGTTTGACTTTCTTCAATTGACTCCTATCAAATCTTTTGAAATAAATGTTATGCTTTGATAGGATGTGAAGTTTGTTAAATGTGCATGTTTTGATAACTTAAAAACAATACAATCTCATTTAATTTCATTTAATATTTTCCTTTTAGGAAGAGAGACAGTTGGAGACTACGATTGACATGTTGATAACAAGAGTACAGGATTTGAAGACAACATTAACTTCTTTTCTTTTCAAATTGGAACATGAAAATCCAAATTGGTGAGTTGGGCTTTGAATTTTCCAAAGCCACGGCAAGTTGAGCCTCTGCCAGGGGTATAACAATTATTCATTTAATGGCAGTTCAAATTCTGGTTGAAAAGTGTTTTGGATTGAAAGGTTTCCTGCTTTCTGATGAACTGACAGATTGTAAGCCAGTCTACAGAGTATACCAATTGAAAATTTAAAATCAGCCATAGAATAAACAAGGCCAGTTTTATTGCTAAACTTCTATGTGCATGCTACAGTTGGAGCAAAGACATTTGAAAAATAACACACAGAGTAAAGTTGCTCTGTAGGAAAGCAAGGGTGGCAAGCCCTTTAAGTGTGTTGGTGGACATTTGAGGTAATCGATTCAACAATTTTAGTCAAACAGCATGGGGAATCCTACAATGTACCAGAGAATTCTCTTTTTATGATAAATCTATGGTTTATGTTAAATTCATGGTTTTACCATAATGAAGTGATGGCGAAAACCTTAAGTAGAGCTAGGTCACTAAGTGCTATGCTTTCATAGCTCCATTAATAGTGATACAGCTAACTATGTAAAAAATGTGACAGATCTATTTAGCATGTGTGTAAGTTGAAGGTCATTCAGTAACAACTTTGTCCCTGATCTAAAATGTTCCTTTACTGTGTAAATAGTGTCTTAAAGTCTCAACTGCTTACTATCTTGCTTACCTTTTGTTTCTTATCAATATCAGGAATACTAGATTTGTTCATATCATTAAATTTTAGGCCTCAAATGCTGGATAGCTTTGCTGTACTTTCAGGTAAAGATTTGTAAAACTTTTGAATATAAATAAGTTTCTTATTTTATAAGTCCCTTTCATAAGCATTTTAAAGAGAACAAGCCTCTTTAATGTCAAACAACTTTCTTCAATCAAGACTTTATTTTTAACCATTTTCAGTTAACTTGGTGTTCTTGTATTTTATGATATTTACTTCTTTTAATATAGGGTTTGGAAGAGGTTTCAATTATTTTCAAATCAATGCCTGCATATACCACAAAAACAGAAAATAGGTCTTCCAACGAACTGTAGTTAGTTCTTAATATATGCCTTCTCTACTAATAGCTTTTCAAGTGCAACTACAAAATGTGTTTATTTCGTTTGAATTTTGTTTGGTGAATCTTGCTATTGCTCATGGTTTGTCGATGTGTTGATAAACTTTGGTGAAAAAGAATATGAAATATTCCATTAAGCTGCCTTGTTTTGTAAACTTGAATATATTTCTTCTTTTCACTCATGTGGAGTTTTTGACCTCAGCTTCAAATCATAATCCAAGGTTTCCCTGGTTTTGGTTGTATAAGAAACAGAAATTTATAATTCTTTAAGGAAATTAGCCACAAAAAGAAACAGGGATGTCAAGTTTTAGATTTTCATAGCTGCCATACTTTGGCATTTTTAAACTTTTTATCTTAACATAATGGGTATCAGTTTTAAATCTGTTAGCCGGACTAAAACTAAAGTGCTAAATCTTATTCTGTTATAAAAAATTGATATTTTTATATTTTGTGCAATCTCTAGAACGAGGCAATCTCTTAATCAAAGTAGTGTATAAGTATTGTTGTGAATAACTTCATGCTCCCAGAAATTCAAGAACCTCGAAGGTTTTCAGGGGAGATTTTCATTAGTAGGAAATACACCATTCTTTAGGAACTGAAAAATGACTTCATTGTCTTGAAAAAGAAATATACGCCAAAAAAAGAAGCAGGAGCTTGTATTGTTTCTTTGAAAACACCAGGTTCCTTTGTCATGAAAGTTATAATGTCTGAATTCCTTTAAGGTCAGATCAACACACTGAATAAGATGATAAAAGGTGAGCGAATCCCGATTCTGAGAAATTTGGTCTTGTTTCCAATAATGGTTTCCTTGGACAGAGATGAATCTTTGGAGGTTAGCAAAATTTGAATGCTTATTATGGATTTCGTCTCATTTATTACAGTGCCGTCGGAACGAAATTCATATTGGGGGGGGGGCTGCCCATTGTATTCCTTCCCATTCAGTACACTATGATAGGGGAAACATACTACAGTTTGAAAATTATTGGGGCTGTATTATAACATTCTAATACACAATCAAGATGCTAACAAAGGAAATTACTACAGATAAAGTGTAAATCCAGTAAAGCTTGGTGATATGAAATATTATTGGTAATTTGCAGTGGCGTAGATATATGGGGGTCAGGGCGGGCGAAAAGCCCCCTTGTAAAGCCAAACTGCTTTTTTGTCCAAAAACTTCAGAGTTTGTTAGAAATATAACATGGTTTTCTATTTTTTATCTAAGAATTACATTTTGAGTGGAAAGATTTAAAGCTGTACATAAAAATGTCTTAACTTGTTCTGAGTCAGGTTTGCAATCTTTTTCAATAAGGTATAGCTCCTAAAAGTGCCTTATTTTAGTTGAGAAGTCCAGAGAAATCTTCACTTCGTACGTTTTATGACACTTTGAATAAATTATAAGACTTTATCTCCTGTTTTATTTCAGTTCCTTATGTTATATTCAAATGAAATTCTTATTGGATTTATGTCGGAAAATCTAAATTTCGCGCCCATACTATGAATCCTTCTATTTACGCCACTTTCATTGTACCTACATCGGCGTTCCATCTTGGAAGTGTTTATTTCTACACAGTCCAAAGCCCTTATTAGACTATAAATTTTATCGTAACTTCTCCATCAAAGCTTGGTATTCTTCCAGCTTTGCCTCATTTCTTTAATGATCTGTTCTTTTATCAGCTCTCTATTTTTTCATTTTACCACGCTGCTATTCAATGTTATTCTGCCTTATAAGCGTGTAATACCTTGTTTATTTCAGTAGACCGAGCTGCTTGAGAGTGATACTTTAAAAATAGACTTATCACTTTACCATGTGGATTTTATAAGCAGTTAATCTTGCTTTGCGGTACAATATACGTTTAAATTTATAAATAAAAGGAGAACAGATGCTAGAGGAAAAACAAAACAACAGCCAAAGGTTGAATGTTGTCAAATGAATTGATCTTCTTTCATAAAAATCAAGACTTACCTTGCAATGTATTTTCATATATAGAGCTGCATTGTGTCTGAAATCATAGTCTTTAACTCAAACTTGAATTTAAGTCGCCATTTATGAATCCTGTTTAAATTTTAGAAAGGCACTGAAGGTAGAATCCAATCATTTAGTCACGAAGTTGGTAAGACTTTCTTTTTCGAATCTCCTAATCATTTATCTCATGTCACTGTACAAAAAGTGGATTGAACGCTTATTCAAAGAAACATATTTATTCACAAGATTACGCGGTATCAATGTAATTACATTGCTGTGAATTACAGTCGATAAAACCTTTGGTGACTTTGATGTTTGGTCATTGTCTTGGTCATTGTCTCTTTTTTAACCTTATCGAATCTTTTCTCGGCTGCATTTCCTTAATTGCACCGATTTATCCTATCTCCCTGCCTGCTTATTGGCAATAAAGCGTTTTAGAGAGCTTTGAATGGGCAACATCTTTGATATTTTGTAGTCCCCGATGCTCTGAGGACCAAGTACGAGCCTGATGTTGAAAAGGAAGAGGCGCGGTTTGCGAAGAACGCTGCCGATCTCAGCCCAGAAGAAGCACAGGTAAGAATTGCTTGTTTTCTCGCACCACAGATGACTTCGAATACAGTAAGGTACTGCCTGGGAACCAATTAAAAATAGGCTTTTTAGGAAACGAGGCTTGCTTTGAGGTTAGGCTATCCCGATTTTCCCGATGTTTAACAGTTTATGATCTTTCATCAACCTAAGAACAAATTTGCCAGCAATACCAAGTCATGAAGGTCTAGGAAGTTTAGCCTTTCGTAATTCTTAAACAGTTTATCGAAAAACCAGGGTGTCTTCTTATTCTCGACCACCGAAGAATAACGCACAATGTCCCGTGTTTCTGGTCTGTTAACAAAAACTTGACACATCCCCTTTAATCCATTATGTAAACAAGAAATAGTTGCTTGTCACAACCGTTTACTATGAAAGTTTAAGTTTAAAGTATTTTAAAGAAGCAATTTCAGAAGTATTTAAGTGAAGGAAAAGCGTTGTTAATCGCTGTCTGAAAGATCTTGAAAATTTTACACCCAAGGACCACAAACAATTCAAAGCAAAGTATCCACCACTGAGTTCTGTTCATAAACGACTTAGTTTAAACTTTTTTCACAGCGTCAGATCTCCACTCTGAATGAACTGACGTCACACATTGTTGACATGATTTCCACAGCTAGAGAAGAATGGGATTCTGAAAACACATGTGAGAACGTTTTCTTTTTAGTTGATGTCAACAAATCTTTGCGGTCTGCATTCTACACTCCTTGATTAGCTTCTATACATAACTTTATGTTTAATATTTCGCTTTTGTATTGTGAATTTACAATGTAATCTTCACATGTTTTATTTTTTTCATTCATACATTCGTTAGAAAAAGAGTACACTTCTGCTGTTGAGGTGTGAGCCCTTAATTCTTCAAAGCTCTTTTCGTTTCGAATACACCTGTTGATAAAGCAACGAAGAAATGTATTAGTGAATAAACGAAATAGCAGTCAGATTTTTGGCATCACTGAAATAGTGTTTTATCAATGCTTGATAAAAAAGTAATTCATTGTCGCAGTCCTCTGTCTCAAATCTGTCACATAATTTTATTTCTGTCTCCTTAATCAAGTCTTCGATATCCTTAATTTACGTCTAACTTTGCCTTACATTTTCATTTTCGCAGCCAAAAAGATAGCAATAACGCCATCTGCAAATGATACGAATATTCTTCTAAATGCCATTTCTAGCGGAACAGGTTTGTTAATCATTTGTCTAGCACTCCAAGTTTTCGATACTGTACTGAAGCGTGACTACATAAAGGACAATTTATCTTGTTGTCTAGGCCTAGCTAAATAAAATTTACTAAATTGAACTCAGGCAACGCTCTACAGATAAACTATTTTGCTCAGTACACCATTACAGCTAAAATTTAAGGTATTTTATCTGTTTGGATTCCTGCTAAATTTGCGCTTTAATGGCCTTCATGAATTTAACTTCTTGGTGCTGCAAAAAGATTGCCCTTAACCCAGGGGCGTTGTGGCTAGACGGGGCACCGGGAAAAGTGAGTTTGTAAAACCCCGGAAAATATTTAATGTCAATAGAATCCTTAGTGAGAAAACCTCTCACTTACATGTAGACCAACGTTTACAGTTCCGAATTAGAGCAGGTCAACAGACAGGCCCCTGCGAAAGAGATGCGTGGAATTTGAACAGGGCCGCCGATAGCGGGACAAGAAGGGGCAAACTGCCCGAGAGCCTTGAGGTCTAGGGGGCCTCTTGAAGCAAGTAATTCCAATTTAGGAACTGAACTTTAACGAAACGCAAAGTAGTATGCCTAAAAAATTTTATAATGTGGTAACTACTGGAAAAAACATTCTGAAATAAGTGCTCTGTCGCGTTTGTGTTGGTGTTAAGTATGTATTTCGGCATTTGATTTGTTCCACATTTTTGCAGTCTTAAAGAGACTATGGTTAGAGAAAAGGGGATACACCCCAACAAATAAAGCAGACGAACCTTTAAAGATGATGAAAACTGGCGTCTTTGTAATTTTTCGTTGGTGCATGGTTTCCAGGTACGTACCATTTTGGGCGACCTGTGGTTTGTGATTGGAGATGAAGAGCGGGCCCCCCGATGATTATTTTCTCCCGTCCCTTTTCTAGGAGCCACAGAGCCACAATGCCCCTGCCTTAACCACTTTTTTAATCAGGAGATCGTCAAGATACTTTTTTGTACTGAGATAACCTGTGCTGTGGAAATATTTAAACGAGGACCACAAATTTATCAGGGTTTACAAAATGTATTGAAGCAATATTCGATTTTGCCTCAATATTGCAGCCATTCTACAATAAATTGGTATCCAAACGTCAATGAATAGAAGGCTATTCCCCGTTGAAGCCCGGTACGCAAGCATCTAATAGGCCTCGAAAGGAATAGTAATCTTTTTATCTTGTGATTGAGGCTAGGATCTATCTTCTCTTTCTAAGGCTAGAGTTACACTATACCGCATTGTTATCGGAGCGGAGCAGAGCGGAGTAACTTTTACTCCGAAATGATATTTAGGGTAGCAGTTAAACTACGACGCTCCGCTCACTCATCAGCCTGCATTCCTTTGCATTTCTGACAGACAAAATCCACCAGATTAAATTTTTGATGATATTTTTGAATCTATGTGCTGTTGTGAATTCGTTTTCAATAGCTATGCATAAAATGACGAAGACAACCATGAAACTGAGAGATAAATGATGGGGTTCGTAGGACGGATAGCGAGATTGGGTTGCTATCTAATGTGTTAAAGTATGTTTTTCGTCAAAGGGCCACTTCAATAAAATTTGGGTAGAGATGAAATCCAAATACGAAAATGTTGGGGTGATTTCGATTTGGCATTATCCAACAGCAACAAAATCTCAGAAATCGCTATTGTTCACTAACGATCTAATTGCTTCAATCAGAAAACAGTAAGAAAAGCCTTTGTTGCGAAGTGGAGCATATCGGATTCGTGCGGTTACACTACAACGCTACGCTACAGAGTGACTTTGGAGTGATTTTCGTATCACCTCCAGAGCGGAGTGATTTTCACTCCGCTAATCAGAGCGTTGTGTGCCGGATTGGTGTGGCATCGTGTAACTCAAATCCCTATCCGGTATGAAAGTTACTCCGCTCCGATAGCAATCCGGTATAGTGTAACTGGCACCTAAGGCTAATCTTAGTATTCTCCTCAGGGGCCATGGGATGTCGCTGTGGCGGGCTTCACTGGGGTGTATATACTGATATCGATATTGAATAAGCTACGTAAATATTAAATGCTAGCTCACTCAAATGTGAATCTTTGTTCTTGCACAAAACTATTAAACCATTGATATCTCGTGTTGATGAGTCAGTCTTCTTGAATACGAGCTACTTGTATTCGTAGGTGGGTAATGTTAGAATGACGAGTTTGTTGTATTAAACCCCTTTTTTGTTTTCTATGGTTTGAAAGAAGGAAATACCAGTTCACTCTTGCCCCGAAACTACAAGTATCCTTCCAGAAACTCTTATACTGTGGCTTGACTAGAGGTTTTTCGTGTTTCAAATCTGCTTAATCTGCTTTTAAGGTCTAAGAAGAAGGCCGTCCGTTTCAGTTGAGTCAGGTGAGAATTTCATTGTCCAGTCTTGATTATTGTCAACATAATGATGATGAAACCGTTACAACAAGTTAGAAAGTTTCAATTTGTACAAAGCCTCTTGCTATTACCTCGTGCTCATATTGAATCGTGGAGGGGGGGGCATGTACTTAACCTTGTTTGTAGATTTCACAGCAGTTCATATGTAACATCAAAGTAGGGTTAGGAAAGTTCAACGTTTCTTCTGCTCCTTTCCAGCTTTTATTGCAATTTAGGGGTTTGGGTGTGGGGTCAGGAGGCTCTCGTGCAAGCGTAACAATGAGGTCGCACGTATCACTGATTGACAGTGTGACGCCATTCATCATTCCCCGTAAAAACCACGAAGGCCATTACTTGCTCGAAATTTGACAAGTGATCTGTTATTTGATGTCCAGGCAGTGCGGTTCATGTGGGAATTTACACCTGCGCATGCGTATAAAGCCAATATTGGCCTGCGATCAATGATTGGTTGTTCTTCCTTGTTCAGGACCCACCTCAGATCAGAAGGCAAATACTGCCGCATTGCACAACAAAGCTCAGAGTTCTATGAAGGCGAATGTTCGCAGTCATCCTTATGCAGGACATCAAGCACCGCGGGGCCAGCAGAAGTGAGCACAAGCAACAACCATTGGCCACTTTTTTACAAGGTATGTAGGTAATTTTTGCTTTGAATAGCAAGTCACTGGAAGATATTTTCAGAAAATTAACTGTACTGGCGCTAAGACGAATGAAAAAATACGCTCCTTTTTAAAGAAGAGTTTCTGTTAGTGTAGCTTTAAAAAGTGGAAATAGCATTATAACAACTAGCCAGAATAAGTTCGTTCATTTGAAGAACAATATAGTGATTAGGAAAAGGGTTTGGTCTATATGTGGTTTAAGCAGTAGGGTTTTCCCACTATAAAAGCCAAGCATGCTATCAGATCATACAAGCAAAGCATGCTTTGTTAATCAAGATAATCACCCTTCAACAGTCGTGCATCGTTAAAGAAATTCTTGCTTTCCGTCTACACTGTCTTACAAATAAAAAGTTCTTTAAGCAGATTGCGCGTTTGAATACCGAAAAAGGCAGGTTCGAGTCACATTGTTAGCTTCACTCCTAAGTGTTCCGAAGAGATTTTCGAAGCATTTTTCAGTTATTGAAACTTTACATTGTGACTTTCAAGGCTTCATGGGCAAAATCTATTTTCATGTTATGTTATTTTTCTGAGGGGATCATATGTATGTACTTAACATAATCTCCCTTAGATAAACAGACGGCTGTTTCAAAATCACATCACGTGTCAACGTGACCTGGTCACCAGGTCCCCAACCCCCACATTAGACCACAATCTTATTTTTTCTCGCAACTTGCACAGTTATACATAGTCATATTTTCCGGTATTTTTCAGCGAATCACAACTTGATATAACTCTGATGTTCTTTGTGTATTGTTGCTTTTTCATTTTGAAGTTTGAAAGATTTTCCAGCCTAATCTAATTCTCAACCACAAGTGGCTTCTCCATGTTAACACGATTCGTTTTTCAGGAGTTTAGTAAAATAAAGTTTGCATGATTTTAAAATTACTCCAGGTAATTTCAAGCCTTATTTTCATTGCGACCTTCCTGCATTGTTCCTTTAATATGCGCTTCTTCTCTGTCTGACATTGTGAGAGATGTTTATCTTTACGGTTATAGAGCATTCGTGTCAGGGATATCCATGCTGGTTAGTGACCACAGAGGTTTTATCTGAATGCGAATATATGACCTTAAAGCAAAAAACTTATTCAAATGACTATTATCATAAACAAAGATTCTTGAGCGGATGTTACTGAATGTTGCTCACAAAGTAAAGTGATGCTGAGACAGTTGGACTAGTCAGAACTGTTCGCTGTTCCAATCTCCTTCAGGAATTTCAGACATCTTCAGTGACAAATTTCAGCTGATACATCTTGCATTGTATCTCTAGCAATATATTTGGTAGCAATAAAAGTTTGATATTTAAGTCTAAAGCGTGTTTAATACCTGAGCTGCTCAGTTCTGTGTCTTTACTCGCCTTTGCCAGCAATATATTGGCATCTACCCTGTCTCAGTTTGGCACAATGGAGAACTCGTCATACGTTGCCATAAGAATGGTAAACCCTGTGGAATGTGCCATTGAAGAGTTTAACAGACCTAAAAGAAACCAAGCTCCCGAGGAGTACCGTTTAGTTGTGCCTACCGGAACTAAAAGTTCCTCCAAGTTTGTCTTAAAAGAGCGTTTTTCTTTGTGCCTTTGGTTCATTACTACTGTGAGCGCCATCTCTTCGTGGTTTTCGTTCCCAACTTTGACACTAAAACTAAATCAGTACTACGATAAGTCGTTCTTAGAGATATCAGTTATATTTTGGATATCGCCGCTGTTCATGGCAGCCATGCTTCCTCTTACATCACTGTTTACACGGAAAAGCTCATTACCAGCATTGATGGTATCAGCATTCGCTAACGCATTGGGGTGTGCAGTCAAATGCAAAGGAACCTCACCAAGCGGTTATTCCATCATTTTCGGTGGACAAATGCTGATCGCCTGCGCAGTTCCATGGTCCTTTGGATTTCTCTTCGCAGGCAGAAAGGAGAATCAAAGCAAAGCTCTGTTTCCTTTGGGTTTATTGGCTTTAACATTAGGCTGCGTATTTGGTTGCGTAGTGCCCGTCGTCCTGCTTTTAGATGGTGAATCAATGAAAGAAACAGGATCAAAGTTGCACGCATATTTCTTATGGGACGCAGTTATTTCAACTCTTATTTTTGCACTCATTCCATTCGCTCTGAAAGAACGAAAGAAACTCCCTGATTCAGATTATCGAGCCTTTGTTATTCCACCAAATGATGCTGAGCAGGGGTACGAGGCTGCCCATGGACATGTCACCATAGATATAGGCGGTGCAGGCAATATTTCCTCTAGTAATATTATACATTGGGCCTTGCACTTTAAAGAAACTCTTTTAACGCGAAAAATGGTATCGTGCGGGCTGAATTATGCGGTTTTCCTCAGCTTCTTCCTGGTTTCAGTCTTATGTGTTCAGGACCCTTTCTCGTTATGGCCTATTTGCCTACTAGAATCTGCAGTCGTTGTTACTATGGTGATCGCTTTTCTTTTTGGAAGAATCTTGAAAAAGGAATGCTCAAAATGGATTGCAGGCATCTGTCAGTTGGCATTTCTTTCTTCTATCCTTGCCTTTGCTTATATTTTAGATAGCTCATCAAGCAAGGGGAAATACTCCGCCTTTTTCTTTATGCATGCCTTTATCGGACTACAGTTGTTGATTTCTGCACAAAAGCTTAAACTTTCACCTCAGTCAAAAGATCAGATGTTTGCAGCCATGTTTTTTCTAAGCCTTGCTACTACAATTGTTTGTTTCTTGTTGTTGGTTTTATTATGGAAAGTAGCCGTATTTGCTTGGGCTATAGGTGTCTGTATTGTGTTTATAATTTCGTCAATATGTTTTTTTCTTTCATAATAATCAACCACACAAATAAAGCGATTATCAAACTATTGCAATACTTGGCAATGTTTCAAAGCATCAACAAACCGTCATTCTTAGCTGCACAATTCTGGCATCGATTTTTTTGGCGCTGTAGGAGAGGCTTAAGGGGGGGTATATAGGGAAATGAGATTTCAGTACTGGGATTTAGGCAGTTGGAACTGGGAAATTCATTCTGGGACAGGATGCGCATTGCATTTATTGATTAAGTTAAGTATAACGTCTAGCCAATGTTCACTGGGAAAGGGCTTTTACCTAAAAATGGCTGGGAACTAAGATCAAGAACCATAACCTCTCTCCCTTTTTCAGGACCCTCTCATAGTATCCTTGCTGCTTAGCAAAATATATTTTGGACGCAGCTAGCAAAATATAATATGTTTTTGATATACCGTGTGGTTATTACAAAAATTCAGATTTTAAATGTTAAGTCTAAGTGGAGTGAATTTACATGATAGTTCAGGAATCAGGTTGAGCAAGATTTAGACTTCCCAGTTCAGTTTCTACATCCGATCTTAATTTCAATGGAAAACTTTCAAGATATTTGTTCTCTTCCGTTGAAATCTTCTAAGAATAAATAACTGGAATAAAGCAATCTTTCATTCATTCGTCTTCATATTTCCGTTTTTCATATTCACGTACCTTTGTGGAGTTTGTGGATTGTTTCATTAGATAGTGTTGTTTTATTGAATATTCTGTTGATTTTAGTGAATAAAATAATTTTAAATTATAGTAGAAATATTCTTCGCCCCGCAAAAGCATATAATTGAAATTTTGGTTAGTAATTAATTACACTTGGGAAGAGCATTGACTAATCCTTTTTAGCCAGTCATAGCAAGATCTATTTACTCTCTTTGTAGAATCATTACCTATCTTTGGATTAACAATTTCATAAATAATGGAAAGTTTGACACCTTCCTCAACCTCAATCAATGAAATTACGGAGAATATAATAGCCTTTGACAACAACAAAAGACAAAAGCAGAAAGGAAGACACCATTCTTTTAAAGCTATTTACGCTGTGTCCATCTATAAACGACAAATAATCTTTCAACTGTTCTTTTTCCTAACTTGTCGTATTAAAGTTGATAACCAGGTTTTTACGTTGCGTTTTACACACCAGTTTTTAAAAAAGGCTTAAGGCTTGAAAAAATGACAAATTTGGAAAAAAAAATTTTCACCTAAAACCATGCTGCATCCACTCGTGAAAATAAACTATTACATTAAAACTGTTCAGTTTTATTTTTGTTCTATTTCTAGCTGAGATAAGTGGCTTTATCACTTTCAGATTCCGGGGTCATTTTTTGAAAAAAAGTAAGGCTATAGCCTTGCAAAAATGGTCAAATTTGATGAAATTTTTTTCGCCTAAAACCACATTGCGCATACTCTACATAACCAGTTATTACTTCTAAACTGTAAAGTTTCATCATTTTTTAATTTCTAGCTGAGATAAGTGGCTTTATCACTGTCAGATTTCGGGGTCATTTTTTGAAAAAAAGTAAGGCTATAGCCTTGCAAAAATGGTCAAATTTGATGAAATTTTTTTTCGCCTAAACCACATTGCGCATACTCTACATAACCAGTTATTACTTCTAAACTGTAAAGTTTCATCATTTTTAATTTCTAGCTGAGATAAGTGGCTTTATCACTGTCTGATTTCGGGGTCATTTTTTGAAAAAAAGTAAGGCTATAGCCTTGCAAAAATGGTCAAATTTCATGAAATTTGTTTTCGCCTATAACCACATTGCGCATACTCTACATAACCAGTTATTACTTCTAAACTGTAAAGTTTCATCATTTTTTAATTTCTAGCTGAGATAAGTGGCTTTATCACTGTCTGATTTCGGGGTCATTTTTTGAAAAAAAGTAAGGCTATAGCCTTGCAAAAATGGTCAAATTTCATGAAATTTGTTTTCGCCTATAACCACATTGCGCATACTCTACATAACCAGTTATTACTTCTAAACTGTAAAGTTTCATCATTTTTTAATTTCTAGCTCAGATAAGTGGCTTTATCACTGTCTGATTTCGGGGTCATTTTTTGAAAAAAAGTAAGGCTATAGGCTTGCAAAAATGGTCAAATTTCACGAAATTTGTTTTCGCCTATAACCACATTGCACATACTCTACACAACCATTTGTTACTTTTAAACTGTAAAGTTTCATCATTTTTTAATTTCTAGCTGAGATAAGTGGCTTTATCACTGTCAGATTTCGGGGTCATTTTTTGAAAAAAAGTAAGGCTATAGCCTTGCAAAAATGGTCAAATTTCTTGAAATTTTTTTTCGCCTAAAAAACCACATTGCGCATACTCTACATAACCAGTTATTACTTCTAAACTGTAAAGTTTCATCATTATTTAATTTCTAGCTGAGTTAAGTGGCTTTATCACTGTCTGATTTCGGGGTCATTTTTTGAAAAAAAGTAAGGCTATAGCCTTGCTAGAATGGTCAAATTTGATGAAATTTTTTATCGCCTAAGACCTCATTGCGCATACTCTACATAACCAGTTATTACTTCTAAACTGTAAAGTTTCATCATTGTTCAATTTGTAGCTGAGATAAGTCGTTTTATCACTGTCAAATTTCGTGGTCATTTTTGGAAAAAATCTAAGGTTATAGCCTTGCAAAAATGGTCAAATTTGATGAAATTTTTTTTTCCCTAAAACCTTATTGCGCATACTCTACAGAACCAGTTATTACTTCTAAACTGTAAAGTTTCATCATTGTATAATTTCTAGCTGAAATAAATCGCTTTTTTAGTGTCAGATTTCGGGGTCATGTTTGGAAAAAATCTAAGGTTATAGCCTTGGAAAAATGGTCAAATTTCTTAAAATTTTTTTTCGCCTGAAACCACATTGCGCATACTCTACATAACCAGTTATTACTTTTGAACTGTAAAGTTTCATCATTGTCTAATTTCTAGCTGAAATAAATCGCTTTTTCAGTGTCAGATTTCGGGGTCATTTTTGGAAAAAATGTAAGGTTATAGCCTTGCAAAAATGGTCAAATTTCTTGAAAATTTTTTTCGCCTAAAAAACCACATTGCGCATACTCTACATAACCAGTTATTACTTCTAAACTGTAAAGTTTCATCATTATTTAATTTCTAGCTGAGATAAGTGGCTTTATCACTGTCTGATTTCGGGGTCATTTTTTGAAAAAAAGTAAGGCTATAGCCTTGCAAAAATGGTCAAATTTCATGAAATTTGTTTTCGCCTATAACCACATTGCGCATACTCTACATAACCAGTTATTACTTCTAAAGTGTAAAGTTTCATCATTTTTTAATTTCTAGCTGAAATAAATCGCTTTTTCAGTGTCAGATTTCGGGGTCATTTTTGGAAAAAATGTAAGGTTATAGCCTTGCAAAAATGGTCAAATTTCTTGAAATTTTTTATCGCCTAAAAAACCACATTGCGCATACTCTACATAACCAGTTATTACTTCTAAACTGTAAAGTTTCATCATTATTTAATTTCTAGCTGAGATAAGTGGCTTTATCACTGTCAGATTTCGGGGTCATTTTTTGAAAAAAAGTAAGGCTATAGCCTTGCAAAAATGGTCAAATTTGATGAAATTTTTTTCGCCTAAAACCACATTGCGCATACTCTACATAACCAGTTATTACTTCTAAACTGTAAAGTTTCATCATTGTTCAATTTCTAGCTGAAATAAATCGCTTTTTCAGTGTCAGATTTCGGGGTCATTTTTGGAAAAAAAGTAAGGCTATAGCCTTGCAAAAATGGTCAAATTTCTTGAAATTTTTTTCGCCTAAAACCACATTGCGCATACTCTACATAACCAGTTATTACTTCTAAACTGTAAAGTTTCATCATTGTTCAATTTGTAGCTGAGATAAGTCGTTTTATCACTGTCAAATTTCGTGGTCATTTTTGGAAAAAATCTAAGGTTATAGCCTTGCAAAAATGGTCAAATTTGATGAAATTTTTTTTCCCTAAAACCTTATTGCGCATACTCTACAAACCAGTTATTACTTTTGAACTGTAAAGTTTCATCATTGTCTAATTTCTAGCTGAAATAAATCGCTTTTTCAGTGTCAGGTTTCGGGGTCATTTTTGGAAAAAATCTAAGGTTATAGCCTTGCAAAAATGGTCAAATTTGATGAAATTTTTTATCGCCTAAAACCACATTGCGCATACTCTACAGAACCAGTTATTACTTCTAAACTGTAAAGTTTCATCATTATTCAATTTCTAGCTGAAATAAAGCGCCTTTTCAGTGTCAAATTTCAGGGTCATTTTTGGAAAAAATGTAAGGTTATAGCCTTGGAAAAATGGTCAAATTTCTTGAAATTTTTTTTCGCCTGAAACCACATTGCGCATACTCTACATAACCAGTTATTACTTTTGAACTGTAAAGTTTCATCATTGTCTAATTTCTAGCTGAAATAAATCGCTTTTTCAGTGTCAGATTTCGGGGTCATTTTTGGAAAAAATGTAAGGTTATAGCCTTGCAAAAATGGTCAAATTTCTTGAAATTTTTTTTCGCCTAAAAAACCACATTGCGCATACTCTACATAACCAGTTATTACTTCTAAACTGTAAAGTTTCATCATTATTTAATTTCTAGCTGAGTTAAGTGGCTTTATCACTGTCTGATTTCGGGGTCATTTTTTGAAAAAAAGTAAGGCTATAGCCTTGCTAGAATGGTCAAATTTGATGAAATTTTTTATCGCCTAAGACCTCATTGCGCATACTCTACATAACCAGTTATTACTTCTAAACTGTAAAGTTTCATCATTGTTCAATTTGTAGCTGAGATAAGTCGTTTTATCACTGTCAAATTTCGTGGTCATTTTTGGAAAAAATCTAAGGTTATAGCCTTGCAAAAATGGTCAAATTTGATGAAATTTTTTTATCCTAAAACCTTATTGCACATACTCTACAGAACCAGTTATTACTTCTAAACTGTAAAGTTTCATCATTGTATAATTTCTAGCTGAAATAAATCGCTTTTTTAGTGTCAGATTTCGGGGTCATGTTTGGAAAAAATCTAAGGTTATAGCCTTGGAAAAATGGTCAAATTTCTTGAAATTTTTTTTCGCCTGAAACCACATTGCGCATACTCTACATAACCAGTTATTACTTTTGAACTGTAAAGTTTCATCATTGTCTAATTTCTAGCTGAAATAAATCGCTTTTTCAGTGTCAGATTTCGGGGTCATTTTTTGAAAAAAAGTAAGGCTATAGCCTTGCAAAAATGGTCAAATTTCATGAAATTTTTTTCGCCTAAAACCCACATTGCGCATACTCTACATAACCAGTTATTACTTCTAAACTGTAAAGTTTCATCATTATTTAATTTCTAGCTGAGATAAGTGGCTTTTATCACTGTCTGATTTCGGGGTCATTTTTTTTGAAAAAAAGTAAGGTTATAGCCTTGCAAAAATGGTCAAATTTCATGAAATTTGTTTTCGCCTATAACCACATTGCGCATACTCTACATAACCAGTTATTACTTCTAAAGTGTAAAGTTTCATCATTTTTTAATTTCTAGCTGAAATAAATCGCTTTTTCAGTGTCAGATTTCGGGGTCATTTTTGGAAAAAATGTAAGGTTATAGCCTTGCAAAAATGGTCAAATTTCTTGAAATTTTTTATCGCCTAAAAAACCACATTGCGCATACTCTACATAACCAGTTATTACTTCTAAACTGTAAAGTTTCATCATTATTTAATTTCTAGCTGAGATAAGTGGCTTTATCACTGTCTGATTTCGGGGTCATTTTTTGAAAAAAAGTAAGGCTATAGCCTTGCAAAAATGGTCAAATTTCATGAAATTTGTTTTCGCCTATAACCACATTGCGCATACTCTACATAACCAGTTATTACTTCTAAACTGTAAAGTTTTATCATTGTTCAATTTCTAGCTGAAATAAATCGCTTTTTTAGTG